GAGGCTGGCTTTATGATGGGCAAGATCACTACTCAGCTTGTTGTAACAGGGTCAGAGAGGAGAGGCCAGCCAAAGGCTATCCAGCCAGGCAATCGTGAGTGGGTGATGGTCATCCAAGGAATCAATGCTACTGGTTAGGCTATCGTACCATTTATTATCTTTGCTGGCCAACACTATTTCTCTGCCTGGTATGAGGAAGCTGATATCCCACGCGACTGGGCAATTGCTATTAGTGACAATAGCTAGATGAACAATGAGCTAGGAGTTGAGTGGCTAAAGTACTTCAATACTTATACCAAGACTCGTGTTGTAGGTGCTCGTCGTCTGCTCATCCTTGATGGCCACGAGAGCCACCACTCCCTTGAGTTTTAAGAATTCTGCAAGGAGAACAATATCTACACACTGTGCATGCCAGCTCACTCATCTCACCTACTCCAGCCTCTTGACGTTGGCTGTTTTGCACCATTGAAGCATGCATACAACCATGAGATTGAGGCTCTGATCCACTACCACATCAACCACATCACGAAGCTTGAGTTTCTGCCAGCCTTCAAGGCAGCCTTTGATCAATTATTTACATCAACCAACATCTGTTCAGCCTTTCGAGGTGCAAGCCTAGTTCCTCTCCAGCCAGATGTTGTTCTGTCAAAGCTTGATGTGCAGCTCCGTACACCTACTCCTCCAGCTGCTCTAGTAGAGGCTCTCTGGGAGGCTCAAATACCAAACAATATACGTGAGCTCGAGGCTCAATCAATGCTAATTCGGAATCATATTCGGTAGCATAAGAGTTTATCACCAGCCTCAATTATTGAGGCAATTGATCAGCTCAAGAAGGGGGCTAAAGTAATGATGCTCTCGGCTGAGCTGATATGTGATCGGATTGCTAGCCTTGAGAGAGCTAATGAGGCAGCTATAAAGTGGAGGCAGTGTAAGAAGAAGCGGATCCAGAAGCATGGAGTCTTAACAAGGGGAGCAGGAGAGGATATACTAGCTCAACAAGAGCTTGAGGAACAGATTGCTCGTGAACAGCGTCAAGGTGGTGTGCGATCAGGACTCAGCCGCCAGGCTCTGGCGTGCTGCACAAGATGTAGAGAGCCTGGGCATAACTCATGCATGTGTAAAAAGAATACTTTAAACACTGCTTAATCTACTCTCTTAATAACTCTCTATTATCTTATATAGTTGTTGAGATATACGCCTACAAACAGGCGCAAAGTTGGTGGGGTGTCCACTCGCTTGTAAAACACGTTATCTAGTTTTTAGCATAGCGGTCACGTAGTAATAATATCAAACAAAGTTTGACACGATATCTGCTTGAAGAAGGTTGGTCCAGCTTTCGATAGAAGGCCCATGCATAAGACACTGTTCTTAGTAGAGAAACGGAAGAATGGGGAAAGGGGCTAGTTCCTGCCTTCCGTACTTTGCACATCGTCAGACCCTTATTATTATGTTCAGAGAGGCCTTTCCAGAGCATGAGGGGGGGGGATAGTCACTCCGCTGTCAGGTACGCCACTGCCGATTTTGGCGGCGTAAGTGATTTTAGATGGGACATGAGCGTGCCTTCTGCCACACGCCGGCTTAGTCCATCAGAAGTACCAAACTAAGTAGCCAGAAGCAGCCCCTGAGATTTCGAAACCCGACTTGAAAGCCGCTGTGGCCAAGTACCTAGCCGAGTCGAGGTCGTCAAAAGTGTCCTAGCTCTCGTCTTCTTTCCCACTCCATTCTTTCCCTTTTTTACCCGCCTCTTAACAGCGGTTTTGCAAGGGAGGTCCTGCTTGCAAGAGGAGCTTTCTTGTTCTCTGGGGTCACGATATTGATAGGTGGAGTTTTGGGGTGGAGAGGGATCGATTTCGGTTCCCTTCACGGAGACGGTTGGATGATGAGGTTCGATTGTCGGATTTTCACTGAGCGAGTCTACACAGCTTTCGTCCTCGCCGGCCTCCGTAGTAAACATATACGGTCCCAACGTACCCCTCTCGCACGTCTCCGCCAGAGATATACACCACGTCATGACCGCCAACGAAGCCAGCGTCCTAAACGCAATGCTCAAACCGGACGACATGCACGACGGAAACGGGATCTACTGGGCGGCCCTCCCCCTCCCGCAATGAATCAAGTTCGTATGTAAAGTTTATGCGGAAGAGATCAGGAAGGTGGGAGATAGCGAGCTTGTGGGAGATGATTCGGAAGGATCCGTTGAGTCCTGTGGTGTGGTATATGAAGACCATGGTTGTGCCGGGGGCGGGTTTGTTGTTGGAGGGGTGAGTCTGTTGGAATATGATGAATCGATGATGACGATGAGTGTTGGGAGAATTGGCGGCTAATGAAGGGGTTGCTCAGATATGTACTGTTCTCCATTGGGAATGTTCGGCCGCTGCTGCAGGATGTGTTTCCGAGGTGTTGCAGGGAGTTTGAGACGTGTGATCGGAGGTAGACGCAGGCGGTTGACTACTGTATCTGGAGAGTGCGGGTATCATTGTGGGTTGGTGCTGTTTATACCGTTCCCATGGTTTGCTCGGAAGTTGCTGATGGGCAGTAGGTCAGATCCTGGTAGGATTGGGTGTACGATGAAAAAGCCAGACTCGTCAAATCCCAAGGAACCAATCACTATACCATTGCCAGTAAGAGACATTTCTTTCCGGTGACAGCAAACTGCCCTAAGCTGCATCTCGTGCAAGGCGGCGTTCAACAGCTAGCTAACAGACTTTTAAATGACATACAAGAACAAAAAAGGGCCCTCCAATCTCTGTGGAGTGGTCCACTAATAACCGCCTCCAGGATGTGCAGTCTATTATCAGCAATATTTCCACCGAACTAAAAGACATGAAGAGGCTTCTGTTTGAGATCCGTTCCAACAACTCATCAGCCCTGAGTTCCTGCTGCGAAGTCTACCCTTCTCGAAACTGAATAAACTTCACGTAGAGCTCCACGGCCAAAGTGAAAATAGAGAAGAGACTAAAGGGGAGTCAACTCCAATCGTACAGCTTCTCCATTTAGTCGCAGTGGAAGACGCAGTCCATATCTCTGTCTCCGCTGTCTGCGAAAGAGTTAGCGGGAACGGTAGAAAAGTCATATTCTCATGGACCCTTACCATACGCACCGGTCTTGCAATTCGGGCTGTTGGAATCCCACTCGAAACCGGCATATGCAAACCTCACCGGGTCGGCATCAACAGCACCAGTCCTGACTTCAACGGTGTAGGGGAGTTTGCTCCCGAGGCTGTAGTTGGGACCAACTCTGCCAGATGCACCGATTTCAACTTCGTTGTTGTCAAAGAGCTTGATTTCGAGCGAATACGAGTCCTTGACCGGGTCGGGCTTCTGGTAATGGGTGACGTGAATGCCGCATTGGCCGGGTGCGTAACCTTTTTCGTTTGTCGGTCCGTTGGAGTCCAGATGATGGGGGTCGTCTGGGCTACCGAGTGCCTTTCCAACCCTCGGGACACCGCACTCCCACATTCTTTTTCTCCCTACCCCCCTATCCCAGCTTTGTAAATGTAATCTTAGCACGTTGGAACAGACTTCAGTCGCGAAGATGCTTACAAATTTCGGCAAAAATATGGACCGTCGTAACAGTCCTTGTCCACAATTCCTGCATCGCAACTCTGGTAGCTGTTATATTCGGCCGCTAAGGCGGCGGCATCTATGCTCATCCAATCACCCACGTTCTTGAGCTGGAGAATGGGGTCGATAAGACCATCCATCCTCTCACGACCTCCTGAGGTGAAGGTGATGCTGAACTCGCCAATCCGAGGATCGTTGAAGAACTGCCGGCCGCCCACATAGCACGCGCTCCAGAAAACCTTGCCCTCGTTGTATTCCTTTACGCCGTCATTGCATATTACTTGCGCATAGCAGTTCGCCCCGTCAATGGTTTCCATGTAGACCCTGCACATTTAAGGATTCTTGTCGAAATCCCAGGCGAAGATCTCGTCTGGTCCAGTGAGAAGCCCGATGAGCTTTGCGAGGTCTTTGGCAATACTTGCTTTGCCCCGCGGCGTAAGAGCAGAGGGTAGCGCTACAGCCGAGCAGGGCAGCATTGCAAGAGCAGCTGCCGCCAGGGTGACGCCGAACGTCTTCATCTTGAGAGGTGTTGGAGGTGGTTCGAAAAGCAGAGAAGATGAAAGAATGGGGATTGATCAAATGACTTTGATGTGATAAAGACACAAGTAGAGCTTGAGAAACCGTTCTGCTTGAGCTGCCTTCAGTTTCTCCGGCGACGGTGCTCTCTTTTATACCCGCATCTTTCCACACCCGGCGGGAATGACCACTTCTTGGGCGCCTCCAGGGTCTGCCCAATCATTGAACTTGTATGGGCTGTCCAACATCGGACAAGTAAACAAATGGCGAACTTTAAGCGGGTTTACTTGATTATCTGCCTGTGAAATAATCCGTGCAACCCTAGTGATCCCTTGTTTTCTCCCCCGAGGGTCGCCAGACGTGGAAGATGCGGTAGACTTGACCCCTTGCAGGTTCCTCCGTCTCGTTATCCGTGAGAAAGGATCAATTCAGCTTCTCGCCGCAATCTCAATTCTGATGGATCAACAACTATAGGTAGGTAGGCAGAGGATCGCCGAGGCGGAGCAAGTCGTGGCGCCATGTTGGTTTTAATAACGGATACGGATTCTCAATCCTGTCATGGATTTGTAAAGGGGCTGTTCCGTTCGGATTCTGGGGGCGAATATAGGCCTTCTTAGGTCCAATTTCTCCTTGGATTTACGACGATTGATAGGGCGGTTAGAAGTGGAAGGGCTTTTGAATGAAGCAGCTTGTAGAAACTCTGTACCCTAGGGTAACTGATGCGAGACAAGGAGAGCTGAGGTAGATACCAAAGCATATCCTGCCTACATACTGTGTACAATACGTAGCGGGCCCCTATGCCTTCGGCGGGACTTTGGCCCTCGACGGCCCCCAAATTACACAGTGCCTGTGAGGATTAGGTGCCTCTGGCACTGAAATCGTATCGACGGACTGTGTGTAGCTACAGCCTGGGCACCTGGAAACCTGCCCCGAACAACAGTACAAAAGATGCCATGGCAACGACGGGACCGGCGAGAAAAGGATGCTGTGTAAGTAAGAAAGGGGAGGCATGTTACCTATGGGCGTCGGAAATCTGCCTGAAAGAGAAAACATGGCAATCATACACCCTTCTATGTCAATCAATTGCACACTCGGTAAGTGTTTCAGATGGTGGCACACGCTACATAGACGAGGCATCACAGTTGGGGCTGGCAGGCGCCTTTCAATATAGCTAGGTACCATTTTCCTGTTTGAGACACACGCAGTACTTGGTGGTTACTCGGCCCCGGCCAGGGATTGATTATGTAAACAAAACAAATTCGCCGCGCAAAATGCCCTCATATATTGCTCTGCGTGCTCTAAGTGATCTGCCGAGTCCTCTTCTTCCCCATAGCTGTTACTGGGCTTCTTACGCGATTCCTACCGCCTTGAGGGGGCGGTGGTACCGCACTGTTGTAGGAGGTTACATGGAGTTGCAAGAGAACAGATATTTAGGCTAGCGCGGCCTTTTCTACGCGTGCAGTAGATTAGCAGGAGGAAAACTTAGTGCACTCAGAGTAATATATTGGTATAGATATCCGAGGCCCTCTGTACGCAGAGGGCATTTGCGCTGCAAATTGGCGGATGACTGATGTAGTCATCAGGAACCACCAAACTGGGTCCCGAGTAGTATGTTCGATATCTTTTGCCGAAGGTCGACTTCAGCTTGTGGGTCTTAGGGCTCATTGATGGCCTTCCGCTGTTTGACTTGGACATGGTGGTAGGAGCTGGAGGTGGGTGATGTGCAAGGGACGAAAGCGGGATAGTCGGGTTACGGTAGACAATATCTACTTGTACCCAGTACAGGTAAAGTGCCAATACCCTACTTAAACTACACGGTACTCTGTGGTAGAGGGCAAAGTTCTGTAAATTGTAGAGCATCGGATCATCGTGTACCAAGTCAGATCACGTTAGCGAGCCGGCTATTTCCCTACACAGTATACAAAATCCGTGAAAACGGGCAGAAACACGCAACTGGCAGCGCTGTATCTTAACGCAACCCCCTAGGATTATATAATATATCCTAAGAAACCTACTTTTTCTTGCTATATTCTACAGGTTAACAGCGCTTTTTTCTTTTTTAACCGCTTAACAAAGGTATTTTTTCCTGTCAGGAGGAAAAAGAACATTGGAAGGAAATAGAAGGAAAACACCCCTGTTTTAAGAGAACAGGAACGAGCTAAAAATATGCCTTAGAAGAAAAGAATATATATAAAAGAGTAGTCTTAGATACTACTCCTACAAACTGTAGCATTATTATACGCGTTGCGTTGAGATGCAGCGCTGCAAACTTGCGGGTTTGTAATCGTTTTCACGGATTTTGTATAGGGAAAATGGTCGGCTCGCTACGTAATCTGACTCGGTACACGATTCAATACTCTTATACTCCATACAGAGATAGCCAAGCAGACAGCAGCTGTATGGTCGGATAGCCAATCAACTGCCCGCCTTTGCTGACCCACAAGAATTCATGAAACTTATGCCTGATACGGTACCGTGAGCCAATCATACTTTAGAGAAGGAGCAAGTTAGGAATCACACATCTCGTTTTCCATGAATAAAAGCACGGGATGGCAAAAAGCTTGCTTTTGTTGATCTGTCCTGTTCCTGGTGGCAACCCGCCATGGGCGTATCGATAACGATGTACAAGTGCGGATACCGTGCCTGCACGGTACTGTGAGAAAGGGGAAGCGATGTTAGCGACGAGTACGAGCGTCGGGGAATCTGCCTGAAAGAGAAACATGAAAAGGGTGTGCCATTGGTTGGATATATCATCCTACCGTGACGCTGGACAATCGGAGACTCGGTGGGTGTTTCAGTAATGTGGCACGGCAGCGGAGTTGGAACTGGCAGGCGATATACTATTTTTTCGACGTTGGACGCGCAATATAATGATAATAACCACGGTAGTACTCCGTATCGTTGATGGGGTTCTGCTGCTGACCTGGACATGTTGCTGGGAGGTCCAAGGTGGTGGTGGGGTGATGGCAAGGGATGAAAAGTAGGATGGCGGGGGTCTACGTCATCGACAGGGGCAGGCAAAGACAATGCAAGGGTGAGAAACGTCTTTTACCACAGAACTAGCAGGTCACAGTATTTGTCTGGTGTCGTTGGATTATATTGGGGGAAGGGGAGCAAATAAAGAAACGAGAAATTCAAGAACCAACAAGAGAAGGGGCTATTATCTCCATGAATAGAAGCACGGCATGGCAAAGCTTGCGTGGACCCGTCCGGTTCCTGGTGGATCCCCACCATGATACCCGTATCGATAACGATGTGCCGCCGGGGGCCGTTCCGAAAAACAAGGCGTGCGTCCACGAATGATGCAACCATCAATCAAATCCATCAGGCGAGTATTGGAATTGCACATCACTGCCGGCTTCGCACATGCACGAATTCAAGGAGAAAGATGCGCCTCTGCGGTAACGGCGAGATGTGAAAGTGGCGAGGAGAGCAGGGATAGACGGGCGTCGGTGATGCAAGCAGGCTGTGTGTTTATTGTTTACGGCGAGGACGCGCGGTGTCTCCCGTGTGCAAGAGCAGGACGGATCACAATAAGGTTGGGAGCGTACCGAGGGAAGGGAGCGTACGTGGCTTGCTTGTTGGCTGCGGATGGCGATGGCTGGGAGAGGGGAGGGTTTGGATTGGGATGGGTGGCGCGGTGAGGTGCAATGGTTGGAGGCTGCGTGGCATGTCACAGTGCAGTGCTGGGTAACGCTGGACAACGAGGGGCTTCCAAGGTCGCTCGCTCCTTCCTCCTTCCTGTGCAACGCCACATAAATAAGCATTCCAGCCTCCTTCCTTCCTTCCTTCCCACAGTCTCTCTCCCAACTACAGCAACCGACTTATAACCCTCGACTTCCCCTCGTTTCCCCCGTTTGCTTCCATCCACTCTGCATCTCACCACCAGCATATCCAATTCTTCTTCGACAGTCATCAGTAACAGCAGCAATTCAATTCGTCACCATGCGTTTCTCCACCTCCCTCGCCCTCCTCGCCGCTGCCGCCGTCAACGCTCTCCCCCAGGACGTCCAGCCCATCTCCCAGATCAGCGATGGCCAGATCCAAGCTCCCCCGGCCACCCCTTCGCCAGTCGTGAGTGAGACTCCTGAAGTCGGTACGTTGGATCCTCTCCTTCAATCTTCTCCCACGTGACGACCTCGTCGACTCCAGGGCTGACACGCACACCCAGGCCTCCCTAGCATCGTCCCTCTCCCTAGCATCGTTGAAACTTCGGGCCTCTACACCGCCACCGTGACCGCCTCTACTCTTCCAGGCCTCCCTTACATCATTTCAACTTCGGGCACCTACATCGTCACCGTGAGCGCCCCTACCTCGCCGCTTTACACCGCTACCGTGACTGCCTCTTCTGGTGGTAACACCACCGTCTCCGTGCCCACGGGCCCTAGGACCTCTTCTCCCGTGCAATCCCAGACGTCCACTGGCACCGGTGCTCCCACCACGTCTTCGTCCCAGTCTGCGCCTCCCTCTGACTCTACTGCCGCCGCCAATGCCAATGCCTTGTCTCTCAGCGGCTTGGTCCTCGCTGCTGTGGGAGCTGTGCTTATCTAAGTGGGAGCGGCGTGCTTGCTGAGGCGTCCAACGGACGACGATGCTGGACTCTGCTTTGGATTTTCGTGGACCTTTTGGATCGAAACACCGCCTCCGAATCATCTACCACGGACCGCGCACTTTGAATCGGAAGGACCTCAATCCAAGGGTCGGGTTCATTGCCGTCGGCCTCGCTGCATTCTCCTGCTCCCGGACGTCTTCCTGTCTTGCCCTAGTCATTTCAAAAGCTGGAGTATATGGTTCGGATCGGTATTGGTGTTGCTGGTTTTAATGGGCCTTTCCATGATCCCTTTGTCTCTCTACCATCGGAACGATATGTCAATGACTCTGCTTTCGGTGGCGCAAGGAGGGGGATATGGCATGGATTATGGATTACTTCACGAATGATCTTGTGATGACCGCGCCGGTAATAATGGTGGAGGGTGCGGGTGACGGCGCGAGCATATGGGTCTGTATAGATAGCCTCAATTTCTGCTTGCTGGGCTGGAGATAATGAGAGGGATATTCATGGGTCGCTATCGTCCTGTTCAAGTTTCTGTGATGCCAGTGTTCTCTCCATGTGCCTTGTCACCCTTGTCCACACATGCTGCTAGGGCACGCTGCTACCTAGGTAGCTTTCTATTTTCATGTGCCTACTCAGATAACGAGGATGAATTCGCTCGGAAGATGTACCGGGTCGTGGTGAGATATATACGCTGGTATACTTTGATAGATGAACATGCAGCAAACCAGTAGCTGTGTCAGATACATGTACTACTAAGAAGGCACTTGGGTAAGCTGCATATACACCTCCACCCAAAATTATCTGTAGCATATCCGCACAGACCTCGGCTCATTATTGCCGACTTCCAATGGACGATTTCCGAAAACGTCGATCCGAAAGGTGGCAGTGTTCCTTTGTTGCTTTCTGAGAAGAAGCGAGAAGTCCATCTCAACGACGTGCACGTGATATACATCTTCGCAGCAGTGCCGCGCCCGACTGATAGAGAGCCGAGGAACAAAGAATGATGATGCCGTGTAGAGAATGAGGGATGGCTTAGACAAAATCATGGCCGTCTCCCTTGTGCTCGGGGAAGGCGCAGCCAGAACCGCAGATGGGACATTGTCGTGATTGAAACAGGAAGATTCCTACGTACCATCCTCCATGAGCCCAACACTTCAGCGTCGATATTTGGATCAATTACCAGTAATGCCGGATACTCTTCCTTCCGTTGCGGCAGAGCAAGGCAAACAGCAGCAGCAGGCTATCCACTACGATCTTGCCCTTCGCAGCAGCGGTCTTCCGCCTCCGCCTACTTCTACTTCTCCTTCATCTCCTCCGTCATCCTCCAATACCAGACCACCATCCCTCCAACGAGCAGCTGCTATTCGCATCCCCTCACCTGCACGTACAAATACACGTATACCCACACCTACATCTACACCTACACGCACACCAGACACCCACCTCGCACCACCCCCCTCCCAACCCAGCACCCTCTCCTCCTCCTTCTCCTCTTCCCAACCGAGCTCCCCAACCCGCTCCCCGGGCCTCTCCACCCGTCGCAGCAATACCCCTTCACCCCGTAGACGTCCGCGCCCAAGGCTGGGAAAGAAAACCGTCACTACACTACCACCACGGGCGGGCATCGACACCGGCACCGCCCATGTAGATGGGTACACAGATAGCGGATGCGGGTTCCAAGATCTCAAGCCGCAGCTCCCTCGCCGGGCCATCAGCGCGCGTGTCGGTGTTGCACGGCGGGGGAGTTGGATTCCGGGTAATGGACTGGGAAGAAGGGGGCGGCGGAGTCGAAGTGTCGGTGGGACATGGACGGGGCGGAGGGATGGTTGGGAAGGGGGATCGGGATTGTTATTGACCAGCACTGTCTTTCCGGGGCCGTCGACACGTCTCGGGGCATCCTTGAAGGAGACTAGGAGACGGAAACGACAAGGCGGATCAAGTGGGACGGGGAATGAGAGGAAGAGCGCTGGGAATGGAGAGAAAGGGCGGAGTACTTGGAACGAGGAAGGGACTGGGGTGTGGACGACACCGAGGGAGGCATCGGAGCGTATGGTCAAGAGGTGGGAAACGGTTGTGAGATTCGTTGTTGAGGGGTTGGATTCGGATTCGGATAGTGGTGGTGAGCCTGAGTTCAGGACGGTTGGGCATGATGGGGTAGTTGTTGGTGCGGGGGATGGGGATGCTGGTGAGAGTGCGTCGTCGACCGCGACGACAGTCATTCATAGCTTGCCGTCGAGGGCCACGGCTTCTTCGTTTTCTGATAAGATCCGGGTGAGGGAAACGCTTAAACAGCGTCGGGTGCAGAGGCTGGACACACTGAGGGCGACGACGAAGACGACAGTCAAGGCTCGGGGGGTAGACTTCCAATTGAGGGATCTGCCGGATACGCCTGGATCGGTGGTGAGTACGCCGCGTGAGCTGTATGGAGGTCTGGAACCCGGGCCGCGACGGTTATGGCAGCCAACATCGGAGATGACGATGACCCCGACGACAGTGAGACAGAAGGGAAACGGAAAGGGAAAGTCAAAGCAAAGGAAGAGGACTGCAGCGCCGCCACGGGTACCCAGAAGACCAAACGTACGTCTCCCACCGCTCCCGTGGGGCGTACGCATGTGGGATATGGGAACCATCAACGAGGATTCCGTTCCCCCTCCCCTTGACCAACGTCGTCGCATCTACATTCCCGCTCCCGTCCGTCTGTGCGATGTAGGCGCTCTCCCGCCTGCCATCGATAGGGTCTATCGCAAGGGTTGGGTCGCTACCCTCGAGCCGTTCGGCGATGCCATGGAAGACGTGGGCAAGGTTTCGGAGAGTCGGAGAGCGTCGGATGATGCTGTGCTGGATGATATTGCGGACTACTTCTCTGGATTCGCAGGGGCTGCGATGCCGGATGTCTCTGGGCCGGACATACTGGATCGGTTTTGGAGGTTGGAATCGGAGTGGGCAGAGGGGGAGGTAGCGGATGAAGCTGAAGGAGGAGATATGGGTTCGCGAAAGCGTTCGGATGGAGAAACGGTTGTGGGTGCGGTGGAAGGAAGGTTGGTACCGGGGCACTTGAGGGCGGAGAGTGAACCGCCGTTGACGCCGGGGAGGGCGAGAGAAAGGGGAAGAGGGAGAGGCAGGATCAGGGAGCTGTTGAGATTCTCTAGATGATGACGGGGAGGATTTTGCAGGATGGTGGAGGTTGAGATGAATAAGGGTACGTTGCATCTACTCGAATAGAGGGTTTGAAGGTCATGATATAATAAGAAGATTGGACGACGAATGAAACGGGACAGCAACACCGTGTGCGGTACAAGCCGGATAGGATAGGAAACAAAACCGGTGAAGTGATCATGATTAATAAATAGGAAGGAAACATTAGAATAGACTAGCATTCTGAGAATAGTGCATTGGCCAAAGGGAGTCACCTGATCACCATCTCAGAGCCGCATTCCCATCCGCACGCGCTGACGAAGCCAACAATGATAAGGAGTCGCGAACTGCAGCTGGAAGGCAACACGAGAAAGGGCGTTGCGCGAATTGTGTCTCCCTCAGGGTCACTCAGCCTGCTCACTAGCCGACGCCGAAGGAGAATGCCACGGGCAGTCGATGGCACAAAGTCGAGCCGGTCGGAGCGGCGATGCGTGAGCGAGACTTGGACCAGGACGAAAGAAACAGTGCATCGCAATCCGGGTAACGGACAGAAAACAATAATGAAGCGGCCAATGGCGCCGCCTTGTGCCGTGTCTCGGGTCCAATGAGTGGTGATGGGGAGGGACTCTGAGGGAGCAGCTGGGTTGCCCTGTTGAGCTTGGCGCAGCGTCCTTGGACCCGTCGCCGCGTTGCCTGCTTGTGCCAACACATCAACACCCACCGGACAGCTCTGACCTGTCATAAGCTGGTCCCCCTCCCGCCTCGCCATTTTCCCCTCTCATCCCTTCCTCGCACAATAGCCTGACGTCTTCTGCTGTGCCAGATTCCCATTGTGCGTCTTCTCGTCATTACAGTAAGTACGCTGCGAAGTGCGTTGCTTTGATTCCATTATCAGCCCGCTGATCGTATCACCACAGCACGGTTTGCTACCTCCTCCCCCTACCTCGTAGCATAACGACCTCGACCTCGACCTCCCAGGCCGCCATGGCGTCCTCGGCCAAACCCAGCGCCGATCCCACTTACCTCCAAGTCCTCAACTCGCTCCAGCTCGCTCTGCGCAACTCCAACCTCCCACAAGAACAACGGGAGCAACTATGGTTACAAGCTACCTCCGCAATATCCACCCGCCGAAGCACACCTTCTTCACAGCTTCGTCAAGTACCACGATCCATGTCTGCGTCGAGCACCTCAATATCTTCTCAGATCCAAGTATGCGATAGGGGTTTGGTTCCGTCCGACCCCCTGGCTAATTCCTTGACAGACCGCAGACGCCATTGTAATGGACCGCACTCGTTCCGCACCTGCCGCCTCTCACAGGCACGATATATCTTCGTTTTCTGCTCCCAGCGGTGACGATATGGGCATGCTTGCCCAGCGCAGCTTCTCCTCCTTGCCCACCTCGCAATACTGCAGTGATATGGAGTCTAGCAACTACACCCTCTATTCACATGCCACAGCCCTCCGACGTCAACGCTCTCTGCAACCCATTCATGAGCAAACAGCTCTGGGCACCGACAGCGTCGTCGAGTATCAGCCCGCAGACTACGTGAGCACGCACATCGAGCCTCTGGGCTCCTCTGCTCTCCCCCTGAACCCCCACCTCGACGTAGATCATCTCCATCTACAGGTTGACCCACTAATTCAAGATGCACAGTCGTGGTGTCCGCCGCTTGACGGCTCCCTCTCCCCGGGCATTGCATCCACGGGCGCCCTCACACCGTCTACTCCATCTAGTAGCAGCATGAGCCGGCGCACCAGTTGTAATGCCCAATTCCTCGATTCCATGTCTATGCTTCGTCTTCCGTCTTCTGATGCTAGTGGCTTTGAACCGCTCCCTACTGAGGACGGTTCGTTTCTTCTTTTTCCTCTCGATCCTGTTAATTCGAGTGCTATCAGCGGTTGCGGTGATAGTCTACTTTCTTCTTCCAGTTTCTCTTTCTCTTCATCCTTGGTTGGCAGTGACAATCAAGTGTTCCCTTTTTCTTCTGCGCAACAGTCTGCTCCAAGCGTTTCCCCGCTTGGAGGATTTCAAGATCAGTGTCTGTCAAATGGCTTGAATGCCAATCTTGAAGAGCAGCATCAGTCAAATGGTATGTCAAGAAACATGCGGAGATCGTCATCGAACTCCAGCAACAACGAAAACGGCACATCAGCAAGACGCACAGCTAACTCTTCGACCGACTCCTACCACCCACGCCCCAACCTCTCAGCAACAACCCACGCCTCTACCTCCCGAAGGATCGCACCAAAATCAACAACGCCACCGACCGCCCCCCTCCCGCCAGCACTCCCAAACCCGGCCAACACGTCACTCCCATCGTCAACTTTAACACCACCCAACATCACAATCCAACAGCAAGCACCCACCGCCCTCCCCATACCCATACCCAAAACTCCCTACCGCCGCCCCGCGCACGCCAAACTCCTCTGCCCCCACTGCAACCAACGCCCCTCGGGTTTCCGCGGCACCCACGAACTCGACCGACACATTGCGCGTGCTCACTCGGTCCAGCGCAAGGGCTACATCTGCATCGACGCTTCCGACTCCGGTACTTTTCTCGCAAACTGCAAACATTGCCGAAATGGGAAGGTGTATGGTGCGTATTACAATGCAGCGGCGCACCTGAGACGAGCGCATTTTCATCCTAGGAAGAGGGGGCGGAAGGGAGTGGCGAATGGGGCCCCAAATGGGAGGGGGAAGGGGGGAGAAGGAAGGGGCGGCATGGGGGGTGGGGATGATCCGCCGATGGAGTGGTTGAGGGAGAAGTGGATAAGGGAGGTGGATGTTTGTGAGGATGGGATGAAGTATAACGATGAAAGTGATGAGGCCGATGGCGTTCGGGTCGGGGATGAGGCTGCTGCCGTGCCGCAAATGATGAGGGAGTGTAGTCGGAGCGTGGAAAACGGGTATGAGTATTTCTCAACGACTCAGAGTACACCACAACAGCTGGCTGGTGTTGCACAGGAGGAGGAGTGGGATTTCGGCGAGTTTATGGCATTGTGACGTTCGTTATACCATAATAGCTTTACCACTTGTTTTTCGTGCATGTAGATTGCTATAATGTTGTAACGCTTTGATATATAATAGTCGATGTAATCTCTCACGGACCTTACTCTACCCACTCTTGAGCACGATGCTTCATATAGACATTTATCTTGCTGATAAGGACTTTGGATGTCGTCGACGGCTTGTTGCTAAGAGTATGGTGCTTCTATACTATCTGCAGGAAGTATTCTGCGTAATGCAAGCAGCTCATTGTGATGCTGCGAGTTATCACCACTTGCATCATCATCATCATCATCAGCATCATCATCGTCATCATCATCATCTCGAAATTTAACATGACGTTCCCACCACACTTGGATCTAGCAGGCCCGGCACACATATGCAGCATCTCCTCCCATTTTGACGGACTCCCTTTCTGGGCCGGCCGCAGAGTGGCTACTCCGCACGCACAGTCGCACATAACGACTATTATCGAAGGGTTGAGCAAATGGTGATCCACCGCTCCAGTCACATGAAACGGCAGATGAAAAATCTTAAGACAGGCGCAGATAGACCAGCTAATCTTTTTGCGAGGAGCGGAAAGCAAGACTGAAATGGGAGGCTTGGATAGTATTTTTTGGACATAAGATAGTTTGTTAGTCCTTTTGGACGTTCCTCCCTATCGTCTCTGCGTTGATTGCGGATGTCGAAATTGGACGAACGGACGGCACATGCCCAGGCTTTACCATATGTTTTTTTGCATTTCAGATACTGTGGAGAGCCGCAGGGAGGACATGCTGTATCTTTCTAAGAATTACTGATGGCCGCAAGTCATAGCAATGTTGGTGTGGATGGTCTTAGAAAGAACGCATGTCGGGGTGGGGCCAACTTTTATAGTTGGGTTTCTTGCCTGCGCACATTGCGCGTGTCGAAATTGGACGAACGGACGGCACATGGCTTCACTATATGTCTTTTTGCGTTTCAGATACTTTGCAGAGCCGCAGGGAGAACATGCCGTACTTTTCTAAGAATTCTTGACGGGTCCAAGTCATAGCACATGTGCGCGGCGGGTTGGAAAGAACGCATGGGGGGTCGGTGGTGGTTATAGTTGGGTTTTCTTGCCTGCGAGGACATCTGTTGTGGCAAATCCCTTTTTGAATGCTGCTGTCTTGGACCATGAGGATGATGTCTGACATAACGTGTCGGGGTGCAAGATCTTCGCTTTTGGGGTTATCCAATGCCGCCCACATGCCTGGCTTGTCTCGTCGATTTCGTCCTGGCTGCGCAGAGAGAGTCCTGCATGGCACATGCTCCTTGAGAACTCGCATTTTGGCCAGATGTTCCGATGAGATCATTGGATGGATCTGCCATGTTTCGGGAAGTTTGGTTTCCGCCGCATGTCTGGGCTGGCCGGTTGTTTGACTGGATAGGAGCCATTTGAAATGTGGTCCGCTTTTTTTTCTGGAAGTGTCTGACAAACAATACGGTCGAGGGTGGGCGTATACTGAATCTCCTTGTTTTGAGCTTGAGGTGCTCCCTTTCTGCCATCATGAAGATCTTTCGTGATTTTCGCTGTCCATGTTCTCTTCTTCTTTCTTTTTTGAGGCTTCTAATTATAAGTGGAGCGAGTGATCTAATCTCGTTCCTGTTTACATGGGGGGTCACAGTTTCCATTGTACATTCTTTAAGACATTGCTGCGGAAACGAGGCCAGTCTCTGCACATCGACAGGCGTCATGTTCATTTGAAGAGAATTCATGCCCTCTCAAGACTCGAGGAGGAAATCAAATCGTGGTGCATGGGATGATTTTCATTTCGAAGTAAAGCCGATACGCTCTCGGGCGTTGAGGAGAAGTCATCTCCAGGTGAATCTGGGAATTTGTCTTTCTCTGCCTGTTTCTTCGAGCGAGGATGGACGCCGAATGTTGGAGACATCCTTCGGTACAGCTGCGGCAGGATACACAAAAAGCATATGTCGATGGGATTGCGATCTTGCTTATAGGATCATACTATGTATCGGAAACACATTTCTTTCTTCGAAAATCCTTCATTCTGTCGCCATCTGCCTGTTTTGTGTAGATATGTTCCAAGGAGTCATCTTGAGGGGCTCAACTGGGTGTAGATCAAGGCGTGTTGGTGCCACATAGCCATCATGAAAGGGGAGTTTTCCAATGCGCAAATGGCGGTTACGAAGTGTGTAGTAGGCCGCGCATGCAGTGCGACTGCGCAATTTTCCTCAACCGTGAGAGTGTCCGAGGGACATTGCACAACCACTCGGAGATTTTCGAAACGGAAAGTCCCAAACAACATGGAACCATTAGTTGACTATTTGAAATGGTGCTCCGCGGACATGAAGCTATCCAGCCATTTTCAAAAACTGAACGCGGAGGAACATTGAACCGTGGGCTATCGTTTTAGGACCCGGCTCTCTCAGCGGTTGTAGAGAGTAGGAAGCACAGAGCAGGATGTAGGGAAGGTGTTTATATACGTCTCTGTAGTTACTGTTACGAATTCGGAAACATCGAATCCTTCGCTGTTGGATTTTGATCCAGCTGCTGCCGGGTGAGGAGAAGCGGGCGCACATATCAGTGAGATGAATTCAATTTTTGAAGAACATTCCCGGTGCGCATCAAGTTTTCAGATGAGGCACTGTTGAGGTGGGAGAGTGAGGGGAGAATAGCGAAGACTGCAGGAAGAGGGTTTTTATATTCGCCGTTTTGAAGTAGCCCAGGGACTGGGACGTAGAGCGAATGGGCCAATATAATGTGGCTGCGAGTTTCCAAACACAGCACCTGCATGCGAAGTTCACTGAGTGTTTTCTGGATACAAGATCTTGCACATTTTTGGCATATGAGGTGTTTTGGGGCAGTCAAGCTCCCCTCTTAAGCGCATGTTATTGTTATTGTAGAGTGCAGGTTTGGGGATGATCATGCAGGATGGTTACTGCCGTTTAGTTTTTCATATGTCGTATGTCGCCTAAATCCACAAAAGTCAATCAAGTACCGCGAGCTTTCTTATTTTTAAATCTCTTTTTCGTTGCAGGGGTCGCGTAGACGGCAACATTACGGGTCTTTGCTAGTCTTTAACAAACATCGGGCCATGGTGTTTGTCTTTGGGAACTAGGAGTGAAAAAGATAGAGAAGGGCGGGAGGACAGTGGCGGAGGAAATTTATAAAATCTTCCAGCCCATGCTTGGTGGGACAGATAATTGATAGATGATTGTTGCAAAGAGCTTCCTTGCATATGGATGAGAGTAGCCAAGCCATCGAATCACATATCGTCTGGTGATTTGGTTTTGAAAAGCCAACTTGGTAAAGACATAGCACTTTACTTTTTTGTTTTCAATGCGGTTGTTTTGGAAGGTTTGTCTGCGGTGAGGTAGTCATATAGTTGCACTGTGTATGGCTGTCGGACATTTGAAGCATGGAATGGTCTTTGGAATTCGCCATAATCCCTAGGCATTTTCCGCAGTGTTGTAGCCGAATCAGCCGTAACCATAACGACGATTGACAGGAAAAGACTGTCGTCGTCTGGTCGTTCTAGCCTCTGACGGAGCGGCTTTCGGGAGCTTGGCTGTCCTCTTCGCAGTCTCTGCGAGTCGAATTAAGGTTCTTGAGTGATGCGACTGCGAAAGCAAGAGATCGGGCACAGTGAGCATAAGCCAATGAGAATATCTGTGCAACCCAATGCCATTGCAGTTCACTGCATCGTTTGAATGAACTGGAGCTGATGTTGAGTGCCGCCGCTCCATTCAACATCTCTCGGACGCTCATATGGGAATTTTGAGACAATGAAACGCCTCTACCCCGTACATTGTGGAAGTAACCTTTACTTCCCTGGACTGACGTGTTGAGAGATATTTCTGTGAGCTTGCTAGACTACTAGCGCACAGAGTAAGGGTCTTATTTTTGAAAGACATTCACAGTCCGTCAGCTGATTTAGGTTCCTTGGTAAGCTCTTTGAAGTGCGTCGGAACAAGGTCATGAGAAGATGCAATTAGACTCTGCACTCCTAGGGCCAACATAAAACACGTTGAAGCCTTTTTTATATTGTTTTGATTCGCAAAACACATATTTGGTGAACGAGGGCTCATATATCAAGGGATGACTTCTGAGCATGACATTCTGTGGCAGTGTTTTAATAGGTCCGTCCCACAGGTCCGTGAAGTCGCCTTGCCAGTCCAAGTCACTCGAGCAAATTCCTCATTTTTCGGCAGCCCATAGCCACATGGGATGGCCGTTACAGGTGGTTTATAAAGTTTCTCCTGTCTTAGCAAGTGTTCGTACGGCCTCTCCCATTTCATGTTTCGCTGACTCTAAACCCATGATGTCCTCTCTTTCGAGACACAACATCTGCATGCAACTAAGACATTTTTGGCTCGTCCTAAGCAACAACACGTAAACAACCCTCATAAGAATTTTGACTCCTTTTCAGTGAGCAGGTGTAGCCTAAGTCTGATACTCGTATATCGTGCCTTTGCTTGTTGGCGGCGAGTGTGTGAGAGTGCGCTGCATTCCCAAGGGTTTGAGGAAGCCCCTTCAAGCATGTTGCCGGTGTAACCCGTCGAACACAATGGAAAAACCTTTTTCGTGGTTCTTGGAGTTTTATTTTCATTAAAGTAGAGGTAAGAGCGTGACAGTGAAACAGCAGGACCTCGTCGGAGGCATCTTTTCTCCCAAACAATTTTACTGAGCAATTGGCACTTTCGATTTTGGCGTACATGCCGTTGGTTTAACATCGCTTTTGAGGTGGATTCGACATGGCAGGGCCGACCAGCTTTTTGAAATGTCAACTATCCGCAGCAAAAATTTGAACGAATTACCGCTGTTGCGCAGAAAACGGATAGGAGCAGCCTCTCTTTTTAGGAGCATATATATACGTTATGCGGCGCATCGCATAATCGAATGTGCACCTAAGACGCTCAGAGTGGTAAAGGTAACCATTGACACTGTTCTTGGGGGATGAATCCATCGACTTTCTGCTTGGGTTTCATACTGGGGACTCAGTTGCCGGTTCGCATGATGCGTTCTTGATGAAGCTTTGAACTTTTGTAGGCAGATCGAAAGTTCCGACCATGTAACGAACATGGTTGAGTAGGGCGAAAGAATGCGTTAGGGGGGAGTAGACAGCACATGCAGGTTGCAGCATAGTTTTTTGGAGAGCCCTGTCCATATGTGTTCGTCCTGACATTTCTGGGTGGGCATGTAGCATAAACATTGATAGTTCTATTCGGATTTTCTGAACACAGTTATGAAGATCCCTTTGTTGAACGAGTCAACCGAGGTTTTGCGTCAAGAAGGCTTAAAATAAGTAGAGACTTGTAACACGTCAGCGGTTAATGGGGCATGCAAGCCGAAATACTGATTCGATTGAACAGAATCCGTCATTCTTGACTATTCTGGTCCGCTCCCCGTGCCCCAGTGTTGCCAACACTTCATTGCATTGCTCCTCACCGAATCATACTGGCCAGTCTTCTTGTTTGACGGCTGGGCAGCATCGTCAAAGTGACCCTAATCAGCAGCGGCCACGACTTCCTCAATCTCGCGCTCAAGCTGATCAGCTTGCTCGATCAATTCTCGCTGTCCCGAGTTCTGAATATGACCCTTCCAATTCGCTTCTCGAGCCTTTTGGAGCATGCCGTGGAGGCTTCGTCGCTCTTTTCACCTTGTCGTGAGCACGTGTTTTGACACCCAGATAACAAACAAAGTGCTGGACTTACGCATCCTATCTAAATATCCATCTTGCTTGTGCTCTTGTATCAATCCTCCCATTTTCTTGAATAGCCTCTCCAGGCGGTACTCTCGTATGGCTTTGAAGAATTTTACGATAGTCTCAATGATCGTGTTGGCAACGCTGAAAAGCGCGTAGCAGATGGCAATAATGCCCATGGTGATAGGTTCGGGCATCTTGGCGAAGCTGATTGATCCCTCTAGAGCAATCGATGTTTCACTAGGTCGTCCAAGGAGAATAGATAAGGAAATTAAACCGCGGGGTGCAAGGGGAAGAGTCAAGGTATTGAAATTGTTTCCGTGATAACGACGGGTGAACACAGTAGGAAACAAGGGTGAGTTTCTGCTCCTCCTTTATATTTTATCGGTTTAGTCACTTACCCCTTAGCTCACTCCCCGCGGTGTATATGCATCCCCCTCAGCTGAAGCAATGGCTCGCTTAGATACCGTTTCCATTGGAAGCTGAGCACAGTGGCTTGGTATCAGGCTGAAGATATCGTATGTTTTTCTAAGAAACACGCCTTGTGGTGGCAGTGGCGGGGTAAAATCCCTCAAGTGCTCATCTTGAATGCATTCCATATCCTTCTTATTCACCCTGTATGAAACGTCATTCCCGTGCTCCTGGAGCATGCCACACGCTGAAGACAGAAGATTATCTAATGATTGAACCGTAGGCGCCTTTTCACCGTAGTTCCTTAGATGGATTCCTGAAGATGTTATCCAACGATAGTGTAGGCTCAACGCCTCCTCGTGTAAGAAAGGACTGATCGAAGATGCGCAGCGTGATACACGATCTTATTGGCCCTACAAAACACGCTTCTGCGTGGCCTCTGCAGATGTAACGGATTGGCGGAGTGAGAGCAGAGGATGCGGGAGACAGCAGAACATCAATCCGATCCTTAGGACACATCGGTCGAATGTGTGGGTCTTTAGAAGTTGCGCACGCAACTGTGTTGAAGAGAAGAACATGTATTAGGCACCATATCTCTACGACCGCGCAACATGCCTTAACAATACTATATTTCAAGGCCTAGAAGGCTTACGCGCATGTTAGCGGCGTTGCGTGGTTTTTTAAGCTCAACTGCTTCCATATATGTACTTTCCTGCAGAGCTCTTGAGTTGATTCACATAGGCCTTTTAGCCTGCATTCGGTTGCGGTTACAGCCTTTTAGGAATATTCATCGACTACATTGTTGTCTTCAAGAGACTCCTTGAAGAGAGGGATGCAGTGCGTAGAGAAGGAGCGCAGAGTTGCAAAGAAGGAGATATATATACGCGTGCCCTATCCTACATACTCCTGAGAGCGTTCACGGGGCCCCGTCGTCGCCTTAATTTACAGCTCCTACATTTTCCCATGCTTGAAAACATACAGCTTTCGAACTAGATAGTTTTGGAATGAAGCGATCCTGGCATGAGAGCTCCAAACGACCACCTGCTAATCCTAACAGACGCTACGCATCACAACATCCAACAAACAAGCTAAACATGACATGACATACCTGGGGAAACACCCCTAAGGCAATTGCACTTCAACATTGACTATAAACTCTTCGATATTTTAAAACGCACCTGGCACCCTCGGCCAAGGACTTTGCGCTCACCACTTATTCTCGCCTTTCTCCCCTTATTTGACCACCGTGACTGTCTTCACCTCCAAACATAGAGGTACGAACCAGCACCTTTGAGGATTAACATGCTTTCCTTCACGGACTCCTCTGGACCATTGGGGAGACGTTCGAGTTTTTTCGCTCTGATGCACACTAGTGGAGCGATCGGCGCAGAAGGAAGATCAGGAAGAGAGACTAGGGAGATTATATACTCCCCTCGCAAGCCGCCACGTGCATTCCGTTTCCCTTGATATCTACCCCTAACGGACGGCTCCCTTGAGTAGACGCCATAATCGAGGACGCCAAAGACGGGGCGAACATGCTCGACGTTTTATTGATTCTCCGGCATAGGAAGGAATGCCCCAAGTATCGACGAGTGAACGTTGGTTTTATAGACGAAATGCGAGCCGATTTAGAAACTCTTGAACATGCAACAACTCTCTCAGGCTCTTCTAGTTTTTTTTTTCTTTCTATTCTCTCTTAAGAACGCAGGCAATCGCAAACACGCCTCATCATGAAGCAGACTTGCGTGCTGAAAGTAGGGAAATAGGAGTATTTGTACTGTATATCTCTCCTCTTAATAAGTTACGTGACCCCTTCTGTACATGTACACTACCTGCAGATCGTGCTAAGCAACTGCAACAATTTTGACGCCAAAGGGATGATGCACAAGAGCACGAAACATGTTCGCTTTCCTGTTGATTTTTACAACCTAGATGACCCTCACTAACATAAACTTTTCCCGGGTCGCTTTCAACACATGCCGATCCCCTCTACATCTTTTTGGACATCCTTTTTGGACATCAATTCCGCCATCATCTGTTTTGGAAAAACCTCAGCCTATAAAGGCAAGTTCATGCAGAAGGAACGTGAAGCTCGAGGAAGGTCTATATAGCCCGTAAATGTCCCCTCTGCCACAGCCAGCACTTTCACATGCCGCCCTTATCTGCTTCAACCGCAGCTGCACATCTCACGCAGCAGCCGCAAAACATCGAAAGGGCATCAACAATGTAGGAGAAGCAGGGAAACATTTTCACTTCCTTTTTCGATTATAGCTGCCAGTGAAAAACAACATTATACGCGGCTGTCGTAATATGTATAAGTTTCTCCTCAGCGTTTCACTCGCAAAGAAAACAAACTCCTTAGACATATGTCTCCAGCAATCCATTTTCCACACCCTAAAAACGCAAACCTCATAAACATATGACTCCCCCGCTACAATTTCCAACTCCCCTATCCCCCTTGCTACAAACATAGCTCACGAGCACTATTTTTCTCTATCTCACCACATCATCTCGCAATTCCCTTGTTTTCTTCTACCTCCACGTACACGAAGGGTAAGAGAGGCAAGAGGAAAAAGTAGAGCTAGCACCTCAACATCCACGGTATTTGGCTTTAGACGCTTCCTCTAGCTGTGTCCCCGTCACCGCTTACCTGACTACATTTACGTGGTCCTCCCTTACGTAGTTTGATGCACGCGACGCTCGACAAAGCCGTCGTATCCCCCTTGCGCAAAACAATCCCTCTTACTTCCGACACGCCTTTTCGACCACCCCACACCCCTAAACAAAACGAACTGCGCACACATGGATCAAACCCTCTCCATATGTATGAGACCCCTTGAGAAACCGCGTACCTCTCGCTTCTGCTCATCCCAGAGATAACGACCTCGCCCAAGAGTATTTCTAGAAAGCCAACGGGGGTTTCCAGGAGCGCAATTTGCCCGTGCAAGTAAAAGTAAGAAAAAGCGGAACGTAAAAAAGCAAGAATACTCCAGGGGGTTTTTCGAATTGATCTCACTTCTTAACCACCTGGACATGCCTCTCAAAGATGCGTTCACGTGCCCTCCTTCCTCATTCAACACTTCCTTTCTTTCGTTGATATATCGCCACGATCTCACCGATTCTCCAATCCACGTGCCCACCTTCCACATCCAGGCAAACTGTCTCACATGTACTTCGTAGACTTGAAGTCGCAAACGCGCCATCCCACGCCATCCCCCAGACCCATAGCATCATCACGGCGCTAAACCCCATCCACTAATCCATCCTCAACTCCACAGCCATCAACCTTCATCCTCTTCACACCTCTCCTTTCCCACTCACAAAACGCATGCAAAGTGAAATCGTAACTCTCGTTCCTCATTCAATCATCCTGGCTCATTTCTAATCCGTCCTATACCGTACTCCCGCACCTACCCAGGCGCCAAACAAATAAGAGCATCAAAATTTTGATCATCCAGTCTGAAACTTGCAGCTCGCGGATCCCAAAACCCTCGAGAGTTCTACCCTGCTAAAACGCGACGCACGCTCCAACCCAAACATTCAGAAACAGCACAATCTTCCATCTCCCTCGAACCGCTTGCCTCTCACCACTTCAAGAAAGAAATACGACACGACACCCTTACTGCGACCTGGGAGTAACATCGCCCCTCACACTCCCCTCCGCTGTCCTCGTTCCAGAGGCGGAACCCGTCACACTCCCCGCCTGTCCAAGATACTGCTCGAGCGCCTCGTTTCGAAAGCCGTGGAAACTGCCACTCGACTCCGTACGCTTCAAGTCCGAGTGGTCCTGCAGCTCAGCATCGCTGGATTGCTGGCGCTCCGGAGGACCCATAGCCGACGAAGGTGGAGCAGAACGCGCAGGTGCCGACGGCGGCACCCCCGCGTTGCTGATCTGTTGCGCCAGACTGGGCTTCTCCGCGAGGTTGTGCAACATTGCGCGGCTGGCGTCGAGCATCTGGACGGCGTAGTCGAGAAATTGTGCACGCTTGCTGCTCACGCTGAGAGTCCAGCGGTATTCTCTTAGACGGGTCTTGTAGAATTCGGCCTCTTCCTGAGTAGGAGCAGTGGCCCAGAGAAGGGATCCAAAGGTGCCAATGAGGGTGAAGTTGATCTTGGACGCAAAGTACCAGAACGCCTGGAGGTGCTCTGGCTTCAGGCGGTTGACAAAATCCATGGCAGAGATGAGGCGAGTTTTGGCGGCACTGCGACACATGAAGAAGCCATACGGGTCATGAGTCGAAGGATCGAGGGATTGCACTATGCGGCGGTGCAAGGTGATCTCTGTCGCGAAGTACGCAAGGTGCAGATAGCCTAGGGATTGTGAGTATATGCTAACCTCCAGAACTAGGGCAGACCCACCAGTTGAAGAGAGTTTGCCATTGGTATTGGCGCTCATCTTAACCGTCTTCGGCAACTCCTCGTGCCACTTCCTCAACTTAAGCTGGACGTTCTTCGCGCGGGACAGAATCAAGGACGTCGAGTTCTTGCCTGCATTTGCGAAATCCTGGATCGCCGTCTGCGTGTAGAAGGTATCCATGACCTCGGCCATGATCATGGTGAGACCGATCATTTGCGCAAAAAGCTCCTGCCCTCGCCGGTTCTCCGCCCTCTCCTCTTCAGTCTCCTCCTGTCTATGTTCATAGCCGTCGTCCTCCTCAAGAAAATCATCCTCAGTAATCGGCTTTACCGCCCAGTTGGCGCTAAAGATGTGCGATGGACGTCCGTGGATTAGCGAACTCCATTTATCCTGCATGTACAGGGCCCAGGCGATTCTCTTGCGCAAGCCACGCTCCCAAAGCGGAATGGACCACGATGAACAGTCAAGGTGGAGCCCCAACTCTTGGCCTATTGCCACGAGCTGCGTCGTCAGGCTCCATGAATCTGCTTCGGGGCGCTGCAACAGCAGCAGACCGGCTTGGATCGTGGAAAGCTTGGGTCTCTCCATCGCGAGGGAGAGCGACTTCATCGCGACAGCTTCCAGCTTTGTCGCATCGGGCTTGGGGTGGGCCGCCAGCTTCGGATCAAACGACCACCAGTTCAGCGCCAGAATATACATGCCTGCCATCAGGCAAGGGGAAAAGGTTCGGTCGCCAGTTCGATACCGCTCCACGAAAAGATGCTTTTGGATAATGGGAAAGTTGGGGTGCACAATCTGGAAATAAAGGTCAAGCAAAGCCGGTCCATGCGGGTGGACAAGCTGTTCAACATGCCTCAGAGTCTCGGCCTCTTCGGCATAGTCTTGGGTGTTCTCGTCGGGCAGCATGATGAAACATTCATGGTCATTGACTCGACGGAGGGTACCAAGGTCGAAGGTGGACTCGTTGCGGGTATCAAAATGGGACAGTCCGATAAGCAGAGAATCAAAAGGAGAACTTAAACCGATATATCTGCTATGCTGACGGCTCTGCAGTCCCAAAGTCTCTCCCAACTGAACGGCGTGCTGATTGGACAACGACCTCTGGGGTGGGGGAGGGCTTGGCGCAATAGCCGTTATCGTAGGAGTCGTTAAGGCGAGCGGAGGCGGCTCTGTCTCAACCGATCTACCAACTTGAATTAGCTTACCGTTCGCCAGAGAAGAGGGTAAACATACCTCTTCTTCTGGTTGTTGGGCGAATCCTTGTTCCCGTCGTCGACTACCTTGCGCTTCCTGGGGAGTGGACTCTGCACGAAGGTGCACTCTTGCTTATGGAACTCGCAAAGGACACACAATTTGCGGCCCTCGTTTATGACGCAGCGACTCTTTCGTCTTCGGCAAGCGTCACAGGGTCTCTCCCTCCTCTTGTTGATGATGGGCGTAACATGCGACAGCGGCTTGCCAGTAACCAAGTTCTCTTTGCCCGGTGAAGGCTTCTGCTGGTTGTGCGGTTTGTGGGAACGGGCGGCAGCGATGGGGATGGGGGCCTGCCGTGGCATGGGCATCGCAGGTTGTATAGCCACGGCGGTCGTCATGGCGGCGGTATCTGAGAGGTCCCCTGCTCAAGGTACGATAGGGTAGGGTCGAGATAAGGACGCGGCAGGTCGGGGGACTGGATGCTCGATGGGGGCTAGTCGGGCCAGCAGGCTGGGCTATCTGCCTGATACTCTGCAGGTAAGCCGTTGCTAGCTCTGGGCATGTTTTGTCTTGGTATAGACGTAAGGGGAGAGGAACAAGTAGGGACGCACCAGTCACACGAGGTGCTGTAGAGCAGGATCCGAATCGGGAGACGGAGGTTGGGGCTTATCGCGTGGGTTGCATAAATAGGCCACAGGATAAAGTGGAGGTTGTAAAAAAGTAAACTGTTTCGAGTGTGGCAAGTCGGCAGAGGGCGGGGCGAAGGCTCTCAAGGACCCAGATTGCCAGCTATGGCAGCGAGGAGAATGAGGTAGTGGATGCTGCGTGCCGTCATTGAACTGGGCGGAAGAGGACGACAGAGGGCGGAGGCCGGCGACGGACAGAGAGGTGCAGGACCTGATTAAGCAATATCGAAGGACGGCAAGGGCATAACCGCGTAGTCGAGGGGTGCGAGCAGAGCTATATTTCGGTGGTGAGGGTGGGAAATCAGGGAGTGGGAGGTTGATGGGAGCGCTGGTGGAGTCTTTTTGAGGATGGCGCCTGGTGGTTCTTTCTCAGACATGTGCCTGGCAACGCTTTGGGCGTAGAGGGCTCCCAGGCTTGCTCAAAACCGATTACGTGATGACTTGGGCGAATCGAACACGGCCCAACCCGAAGCGGCTAGCTTTCACAACCCCAGAATGAGAGCCGATAAGATCCTCTACAAGCCAATGACAACGCCGCGGCCCCCACTATCCGTATGGAATCGTAAAAAGATTGCTCATCCGTTCAAGGGCCTGATAAAGTGCGAATCCCCCAGAAATTCCAAGGTTCTCGCTCCCAGCCAAGCAGCGAATTGCTCTTAGGTACGAAGAATTGGGCGACCCTGCACGTCACCATTCCAACGGCCCGTAAATGCTGTCATCGAGTGTGGGTTCATCAAAGGATCAACGCGCTGATGGCTCTGGGGAAGACATGGCCACACCGCTTTTGGGTTCCTCGCCGTTTTCCGCGACTTTTGTATGTGGAGTTCGGCATGGGATTGCGATGGGAGGGAAATAACAAGGAAATGAACGCATAGACTCTCCTCTCCGCTCCGCTCCGATTTTGCCCGTAGTCCCTTGTCCGAATACGAGCGGCGGGGCTACTCGGAGATAACGTTCAGGTAGCATTTTGAAAGGTTACTGTGTACCAAGGTACAACCAACCACTAGCCGACTATTTCCAACACTCTCTTGTTCCCTCAACTCAATAGTAGGGAGTGAAAACTCGATGCTGAAATCCCTTGGAAGCAGAGAAGACGGAAATATTTAGGTACAGTATTTCCGTTCCTCCTAGCTGGCCCAACCCTCCCAAACCTCCAAGATGGAACGATGTGCATGTCTATCAGCGGAGCACCTTACGAAATATCCATCTCCCTCAGCCAACGAGAGGCCCAGCTGAGACGAGCACGTCAACCACACCGGCAAGGACCCAAAGTACGGTTCGACGGTTTGTCAGCCGGGACATGACTCCTGTGACCGACAACGGCCGCCATCGCTGGTTGGACCGAACTTGGCCGATGTACTGTGTAATCTAGGGTGAGCGGAAGGAGCGGTAACGGGATAGGGTTGGCGAAGGGCCGTAGCCACGTGCGATGCAGGTCCAGTGGGTTCCAAGATAGATGTCTCAGATACCCGCAAGTAATAGTGACGTCCTCTCCAGGAGCATAGGTACAAAGTTTGTCCGATATATTCCCAGGAAATGCAAGAAGCATTTAATGAAGGGAATAGATGTCGACCGAGTTCGTCATCCTCACTGGCACGGCTCCTACCAGCGAGCTGTGCAGCACCAGTCCCCCGAATAGACTTCCGGGCACCTTCCTGAACAGCTTCTGCGCATTGGTGGAGAGCGCTCCATCGTCTCCGTGCCTGATGTAAACTCGATTCCGCGTCGACGCATCCAGTCTGCGTCGATAAAACTGTGGGCACGCCTTCACTCCGTCCACAGGCAGTGACGATTGAGGGAACCCAGGCTTGTGTTGGAACGACGATGGGCCTCCCCCAGGCATCCCGTCCAGACGGGGTGAAGGGGAGGCAGTTTTCCCATATACGAGTTCAACGGTTGCTGCTCGCGTGAAGATGTGCGTAGAGTCGCGAATTTCCCGACTCTTCCCCTCGGGCACCGTTTGCGCCGATGCCTTACGACGCAGTTTCCGCTTCGGCGCCTTTGGCTGCAGAGGTGTCTCTGAGAGATCCATGAAGTTCAACTTGGGCACTGGTAGTTGGGGTAGCAGCGGCTTGGCTCCAGTCATTCCGGGATCGGTATATGCTCGCCTGGCCTCGACTGATCCCGCGAGGGCTTCAAAAACGGACGGCTTGCATCTTCGGCATGATTTCAGCAGCAGAGGCCAACCGGCGGATAGTGTCCCGTCATAGCTGGTTTTATGACTGTCCTGCAGGTGCTGTCGAAACCGCTGGCCCGAGAAATAGAGCCTCTGATTACACTTCCGAAAGTTGTGCTGATTGATATGTTCCTTCAACACTGCGCTTTTGACCTTTCCTGCGCCCTCGACGAGATTATCATTGCAGTAGCAACAGACGGCTCGCATATTGTCTTTGGAACCGGCCGGGTAGATCGTATATTGCATTCCTGGGAGGAAGCTACACGACCACATAGTGCAGACTGAGTGTAGTTTCTGGGCAACTGCAAGACTCTCATATACTCGTTCGCAGTATAAGCATTTGTGCGGTAGATTACTATGATTTTCAGTGAGTGAAACGGATGTAGAAGCGTTTGGAGCTTACGGGTTACGACGCATGGCTTCACTTGGTCTCGGGTCTGGCACTTCATGGCTGACCCGCTCATCCCACCAAGACATCATGTCGAATCCTTCCAAGAAATGTCTGCTGACATGCTCAGTGCGCTCCCTATACGACACAAAGGTGGTGCCGCAGAACCCGCAGTGCAGCGCCTGGTGACCCCTTTTCAAGGGCAATGGATGTCTCCAGGCTGTAAGCAGTTCAGTCAGGCGAACTGGCTTTTGTCCCGGGCTGACTTTGTGTACTTGGGAAATGTGTTGCAGAAAATGATCTTGCCGGCTGAAAGTACGCTCCGAAAGGGGCTTCTCTTGACAGGAAAGATAGTTGTGGTCGGCAAGGTGTGATGGACTTGGGTTGCTCTTCGCGCAAAAAGGACACCGTTCAGGAAATTCTCCTGTCCGAGGACAACAGACCCAGAGTTCCTGGTATACGTTAACTGTGAGGGTCCAATTTCCACTAAGGGAGCATGTTCACCTCGGGCATGTGGATAGTCTGTTCATGACGCATCCACTCCAATTTACCGTGGAAGCGCTTGAGGCAGAAAGTGCAGTAGAACTTCGACCGCTTGCTGGGTTTCCGCTCTACTCCGCTGTCGGCTTTTCTCTCAATGACCTCCTGCCGAACTCTAGCGTCCAAAGTGCCGCTGGATTTCGTTCTTCGTGGAATTCTTGATGGGACACTGCCCACAGTGCCGCTTGTGGTCGGCCGTTCGGGTGCCTCCGTCGTGCCTGTCAGTATACTCCCACTTGATTTCGGTCTCTCGATGGATTTGGCGTCTGACGCATCTTCGCCTAGGATCCAAGCCAATTTCGGCTTCGAGGCCATCTGCTGGTACGCCACGTCGTCAGTGACTCTGCTCACAAATGGTTCAGGAGCATCCATTTCGGCATGGTATCTGCGAATCTGCTCTTCTAACCGCCTTGCCTTGTCTTGAATCCTTGCAATCTCTTGCTCGGCCCTCATTCGATAATGCGCGTCAGCCGCCTTCTCGTAGCCCGAGATGAAATGCTCCATCTGGTCGGCCCAGGTCTCTTCAACATCCACAGTTCCACTCGTGGTGGGCCGTTCCGGCGATGACATCTTGGCAGCATCGTACTCCATATCTTCAGGGGAGAAAACCGGCAGATTCGCGCGTGATCTGTTCCGCCGACGATGGACGGGCGTTAAGTCTGTCTTAGAGACCAGACTGTATGATGTCCCTGTAGATGCAGGTGCTTTCGCAGTCCATCTACCATCGGATTGCTGTTCAAACGAACTCTCTCTCGAGTGGCCAGAGTGACTATGAACTCGAGCATGGAGAGTGTTGCCGGAGGACTGCCTTTGAAGAGCTGCTTTGATAGCAGGGACAGACGCGGGTTCATCCTCGAGAGGAGCATTCAGATACCGCTCGATGGAGAGTCGGCTTGTCGTCCTTGAGACAGCAAGTCTTGCAGCGCTCTCGCTTTGCCTGGTGGACAGTGGAAGCAGGCGAGGTCCAGCGCCCTCAACCTCTTTGGAGTCCTGTTTCTTGATGGGAAGAAGTTGACCATCTACGCAGAGTCAGACATGGTTCGTTCTTGTTATGCTCAGCAGCATACCTGACCGTTGCGTACGTAAGCGGTGACTATGGAACCAGCTTTTCATGGTTGCGAGTTCGATATTTCCAAAATATGATTGCTGGCAGCGATTTTGTCAGGTTTGCGTAAATGAGTATCCGTCCTGAAGATGGAGTTTACCCTGATCAGCGAGAAACCTTCTGTGTCTTTACATGTCTTTGGGAGGCACCTTTGTCCAGCCTCCTTCTGACAAGACTGATTTAGCCTGCTGCGGATGAGTATCAGCATTCTGGTACCGAGACACACATCTTTTATTTGGGAGGCCTGCACTCTACAACCAGAGAACTGGTATCCGGAGAAAAGAGTGGATGTTGTGTGCACGGTTCAGCCCATGGCCGGAACTCGTTATGCCTAGCCAATGTGTCTATGGAGGAATGATTTGATGCCCAAAAGAGACCGGTCGAAGAGAATATCAGCCGTCAGAGTCGGGTGGGAAAAAGCTACGGTGTCAAGCCGTCTGGAGGATATGTCCGCACCGAAGCATGTAGTGGTAGGCCCATTCAGGAGATCCCGGATTTCGCTTCTTCATGCTACTCATGCCGACGAGGCCGTCCTTCCACAGATTTCCCGTTTTGGGTAACAGTAAGCAGAAACATCAGTGCCATGTAGATACCATGTGATCCCAAGTTTCAGCGAATGGTGAGCTCAAGCCACAGCAGTGTTGCCAGGACGGCATTTCGCCAATCTGGAGTTCATCAGAAGTGAGGTCGCCGATTGAATACCCTTCCGATTGAACCGATGAATAGAACAAACGGCGCAATTCCCGTCATCAGTACCGAATGGCCTGTGTGCCATTACTTGTTGGACAAGTCAGTATTATCATCCATCCAGCAGCGACGCGGAGTTGTCCATGCCGGAAAGGGAGGTGTAGCAACAATGGTCAGGGCTCAACCCAAAGTTGAGACGGAAAAGAAGCCAATAGCAGGCCTTTGAAGCAGTAGATAATAATGTGTATAAGGCTCGCGGACCAGTCTTTGTTTAAGAACAATTTATCCAGATATGTCGAGCTGGAATGGATGATGCGAGCCCAGAAGAGCCCCTTGCAGAACGCGGGATCTTGCGGGGAAACACTAGCCTTGATTCGGCTAGCCTTGCCGTTGCGGGATCCGTTCCAGAACTTCATGCGGAACGGTTTCTACCATGCCGCGGCCAAGACTGTGGAGGGCATGAACAACTCCTACCTGCTGTCTAATTCCTGTTAAAACCACTGCTTTACTCGGCAATGCATATGGCCTTATGCGATAACTGCGGCACGGTTACTGCCCGAAGAATCTTCCCACGGGAGTCGTGTGCTGGATTAGCTGGTTGTGAAGCGTCCTCTAGCGATAAGGCTGAGGGTGTGAGATAGAGAGTGTGTCCGCAAAATGGGCGTCTTCAGGGTTGGCAATAGTGGCAAGCGCAGTGTATGTAGAGGTGCGTACGAGCGTGTAGCGTGGTTATAGTATATTAATGTTGACATATCGGAACCCAACGTTGTTCCATCAGATCAGACAACAACGTATAATCTATCCTTCGTTCCAGCTCATATATAAAGCGGACCGGGATAGCACAGGCAACCAAAAACCCCGAGCAGATATGAAGAGGCACTAGCGGCGTATCAGATAGAGTGAGTGTGCAGAGATATGTACACGGAATATACACTCGCTACCGGACTTTGTAGGTCGTAATATGTAGTTGAATGCTAGAGTCTGGAATGCTCGGGAGCACCTAGGTAGCCGATCGGATGTCAGCACTAGTAGGTAAATATACCTAAGTAGTGCTCAACGTCCTAGGACCATGAAACGTGACTTAGCAACATAACAATTGTTCGAAGGGCAAAACGCATGGTGAAGCTACATAAGTTGAGTACCGCTACCATGGTCCCTGATGCTCGTATATTCTTCCTATGTACACGGACGTTCGCCTGACCTCCCTTCACGCCCAAGATATTTGCACTGTATATTCTTAAATCCCTTCTCCTCCTTTCCCCCTCTTTCCTCCCAACCGAGGCAGCCCAACAACATGCCAATCCATGTCTCCATAATCATATCATGGTAACCGGGAGATGGCCTGGTGTGCTAAAAACGAACAGTGAGAGGCGCTCGTCACTCGCTTAATACCAGGTCGATGGAGTACTGGCCCGGCACGCGCGCTGGCGGAGCCTGGATGGCTAGGCCCTACGACTCGAAAGTTGGTGGCGCATCATCACTGCGGCGGCTGGTAGTTTATGGGTCGCCTATGAATGTTAGTAAGACCATAATATCTCCAAACATAAACGGACGTACTTGAAAAGAAGAATGTGTGGCTCTGGCTCATGCACCTCATAGTGCTCCCAACCAAGACTCTATGTCCTGTTAGCGCCGTTGGCTATGCAGCAGTTACTCCTTGCATACTTGTGTGATGCCGAGTGCTCTCCACTCTTCCTCCCACAGAAGCTTCAGCGTCCCCCTGGACCCATCCTCCTTTCGCATAAAGTATTCCGACGGTATTGCCTTGAGCATTTGCTTCGGTAGCTGAACATGTCGGTATTCGTACTTGTCGTCCGAGTATCTGAGGCGATTGTGAATAATGCGCCTCTCGCGTACTCGGCCTTTAGACATACCTTGCTGAATATATGATTGAGTCTTTGAACTCCGCCAGTCTCTCGGCTTCCCTATCTTCAAGCGGTCGGGGATGCTCATTGCGCCGTGAGTAGTACGACATGGTAACGCACTTTAGCAACCGGTCGAGCGCGGGCGCGTGCTCGTGGCGGGGCTTGGGTTTTGGTTGTGGGATACTCCCGGCAAGTGAGTGGGCTGTAATCGGCGGGGAGGCGCAGGGATTGGAAGAAGCTTCAAGCAGGAAGCGAAACGAACGTTCGAACGATGGGCGAAAACTGACTGAAGGTTAGAACAAAAACAGAGTCAGTGTTTACCTTGATGCGTGCACTTGAGTTTGCGCCCATTGGTCCGAGCGCTAAGACCGGGGTTCTTCCGAAATCTCCGAGGCTGCACGGACGTCACTTGGATGATCCTCCAGATATCCAATCTTCAACCTCACATGTACAACCCCATCAATGGATTATTATTCACTCCAACTTTTTATAATCTTCGTTGCGGCTCTTTGTAGGCCTTCATTCTGATCTGAGAGCAAAGCATCAATCGTGATAAAGTCCACTCTTGGGTCGCGAGACGCACGCCCTGACGAGACACAGCGATCGCTTTTCAACACAATCATCCCAACAACAAGTCGGGGGCATAGTTATCTTTGAAATTGCAGCTCTGAGTCAATTCAAATGATCGTCTTTCATACCTTCTGTCCAAACCCCCAGCGGAGCATCGAAATGTAGTCTTTGAACTCAATTTCTACCATTGCGCGTCGGCGATACTGTTCGCTAGAGCTATGCATGATCAATTGCGCATGAGGTTCGTACTGGAGCCTTTCTCCATGCCGCTTGACTTCGCTCAAGCGTAATACTCCTTCATTGCCACTCAACAGCCGATACCACACCACCTCGACGACATCCAGCCTCTCACACCCCTCAAACATCAACGGCGGATTCGGCCACTCAATGTTGCTATACCCGGACGCAGCAGAACTCCTCTCGCTTCCTCTAGGTTCCAATTCAATCTCAAACCTACCGATGCCACGCCGGCTATACGCCAGGACGGACCCGTCATCATCCTCAAATACGATTGGATCCGAAGCCGAAGAGCCGGAGCCGTTGAGTTCTTCAAGCACGAGAAAGTATTCCCACCTTCGCGACTCATACACGTTTGAAGGTTTGTGGTGCAGATAAGGTAGTGACTAAACATACTAGCATTTCCTTGGCGCACTTACGGGAACTCCGTCAGGCACCAACTTCGGACGCTGTATAGAACACAGGTCTGCAATCTGCCGCAGAACTCTGTATAACCTTCCCACGCATGGTAGCATCTCATATCTTACTACAGGTTTGATAGCTCAACCTCTTCCGTCTCTGCAGAACCCAACTTGACTTCTCAGTTCTCATATCTCTCTAAGGGAACACCTCCGTACAGTTGAGATGAAGTGTACTTTATGATGCGAAGACATGAGAGACAGTCATGACAGACAGGCAAGGCGTTCGCGATGAAATTGATATCCTTCCTATCTGGATTACATATTTCATTAAGGCATATACCAAAAATGCCACCAAGGAAGATACCACTTCCCTGGCCATAAAGTGGCAACAATCAACGGTTGAGGCCATCCTTCACGGTACCTCATACTTAGAACACACAACCTACATCTGCCTGGCCAGTTTCTGACTGGGTCATGCACCAGTGTTATCGTCGCCAACCTAAATGCCCACGCCCGAGGCAACCACATCGCGAGCGAATTCTGCATACGCCTTGATCTGCTCTACGCTCTTCGGGCGCCACACGAACGTCTCATTTCGAAGTGGCAGAACTTGGTCCTCACCCTTCCTCACTGCACAGACTAGCACACGCTTCGTCTTCTCTTTGCAGGTGCACTCTTGCGAGCTATGCGCAGCGTTACGGTCAGCATCAATCGCAGAAGCAGGACGAGGGTTATGACACTCCCACTCACCGAGCGCCAACGCCTCATGCGGATTCCGGGAGGTCCAACCCTTCACACCCTCCAAACTTCCATCGTTCAGCATCCTCTTCATCAACATTTCGAATTCCGATTGGGGAGCGCCGAGATACACCAAACTCACATGGTCCTTGACGCCCGCTTTAGCAGACTCATCAAAGGCGATGGCCAGATGAGGATTGCCCACCTGCTCAGAACTCACCATCTCCCAGCCGTACGTCTTTACGCTTTGAGGATCCCCGGCCACAGTCTTCCTGACCGTGTTACCGGTGAGATCCTCGAAGATACATGCCGCATATGCACGAGCGTAGAGAGCGCTCTTCTGCGGCTCCAGCGCTGGCTGCTTCGACTCGAGCTTCTTCTGCTCGTCAACTGGCGTCTCCTGAGCGTTTGCAGTCTTTATCGGCTCTTTCAGGTCTGGGCATCCGTTCGCATCAGCGCTCCTATCCTCGTGATGTGGACGCTGGGGTCCCCGAGCGCACTCGGGCGAGCACTCCGAAGAAACGTCAGTCTCGTCATCGTCGTACTCATCCGACTCCCATTCCCACTCACTCCCTTCCTGCCCGTCAACCTGCTCTTCGAGATCTTGAGTTCCCATCGCCAACCCGGTAACCCCCATTGAGTCCCTCCCCTTTTCCTTCACAGTCAGCTCAGGGCCCAACATTCCATCAATCGCACCTGTCAGCTCAGCGATACTAGCATCAGCTTGCACCACACTCCCAACACGCACATGTCTACCATCCCAACGTCCAGCTGACTGACTCGGCGACTCTGCCTCGAGGACAAAGTCAGGAACGTCGGGGAGCGTGACGCTGTGGCCGCGGCCAGCGCGGCGCTGGTAGGTGCATAGGGAGCGGACGTAGGTATTCAAGGGCCCGTGGGGGACGCCCAGGAAGGCGGAGGGGGGAATGGCCATCCTGGTTGGGATGGTTGTTGATGTAAGCGACCGTGGGATTGTGTTTTAAGGTTAGCTGGATTGGTTGAATGAGGTTGGGCTGCGAAAGAGGTCAGGGGTAGGAACTGCATGCTGCTTTTATGTCGAATTGAGTTGCGGCACCCAGAGCGTGATTGTGTGTGTACAATGTACGACTCTTCTACAGTATACAATGTTGGTATCGCTTAGGAGAGGAGGTGTGAATCGCATTCTCCATATACCAGCGTACGGAATAAACAATTGGGAACCGCATACATTGTCCAGGGCCTAGTCGAAACCTCCGCTTCGCGCTCCTGTGAGAGCAGTGAGATCGAAGTCACCGGCATGACATCTTCCTTTCACGGCAACGTATTCAGCGAGCTCCGGATGGTCATATCACATCTTATTAATAGAACTCACTCTAAATGTCCAATTACTTCCTTTAGTCTAAACATTTAAGCTCAGGAATGTTCACTGAAGCGACTCAACAACAAGAGCAGAAGCACCGCCTCCACCATTGCAAATGCCCGCGCATCCAATCTTGCCCTTCTTCTCCTTCAGCACACTGAGCAGCGTGGTGGTTATCCGTGCACCAGAAGCTCCAAGGGCGTGGCCCAGAGCAACGGCACCGCCGTGGAGATTGACCTTATCCTCGCTCAGGTTGAGGAGCTTCATGTTCGCCAGCGCAACGACGCTGAAGGCCTCGTTGATCTCAAACGCGTCAACGGCGTCCTGCTCAACCTTGGCGTGCTTGAGCGCCTTGGGAATAGCGAGGGCGGGTGCAGTGGTGAACTTGGAGGGGTTCTGGGCGGCGTCTCCCCAGCCGAGGATCTTGCCAATCGGCTTGAGGTTGTGCTTCTTCACTGCTTCCTCAGAAGCCAGGACGAGAGCAGCGGCGCCATCGGAAAGCGGTGAGGCGTTGGCAGCGGTGACGGTGCCGTTGTTTGGCTTGAAAGAGGGGCGTAGGGTACGTGTCTTGGCCTCGTTAAACTGAGAAAGTGATTAGTGAACAAATCAAAAAGAATCGCCTAGTCGGGCGTGCATACGTTGTTCGGCTCGTCGTCCTTGTCAACGGTGACAGGGGGCTTCCCGCGGCCAGCAGACACCTGGATAGGGGCAATTTCCTCCCTAAACCAGCCAGCCTCCTGAGCTGCGATAGCCTTCTTGTATGACCGGATGCAGTAGCTGTCCTGCGCCTCACGGTCGAAGCCATGGTCGTCCGCACACTCCTCGCCCTGGAGACCCATATGCTCGTTCTTGTAGGCATCGGTCAGACCATCCTTCAAAACACCGTCCACCAGAGTCTGGTTGCCGAACTTCGCTCCGGTGCGCATGTTGGGGAGGTAGTGTGGCGTGTTCGACATGCTCTCGGTTCCCCCTGCCACAACGATATCCGCATTGCCGGTTATGATGGTTTGAGCACCGAGGATTATAGACTTGATGGACGAGGCGCAGACTTTGTTTACCGTCGTCGCAACAGTGCTCTCAGGCAAGCCAGCGCCGAGGGCGACTTGACGGGCAGGGTTTTGACCGAGGCTGAGAGGGAATCAGTAAAAGCTTCGCAGATTTTGTGGCGATTACCTTACTTTGCAGAGAGGACATTGCCAATGAAGACCTCCTCAACATCCTCGGGCTTGATACCAGCACGCTCAATGGCGGCTGCATGTACAGTAAGCCAATGAAGCCTCAAATTAGGGCTTGTCGACTTCACTCACCCTTCACGGCATGGGAACCAAGTTGAACAGCACTCAGACTTGAAAGCGAGCTGTTACGGGGGTCAGTGGCGGAAATCGTTCACCGCGGGGGTGTGGGAAACATACCCCAGGAACATGCCTGTCGGCGTGCGGGCCGCAGAAACAATGTAAACTGGCGGAAGAGAAGACATGATGAATGGATTTTCAGACGCGGAACGAAGGCTGGAGGAGGAGGAAATCTCAAAAGCGAAAGAGGGTTGACAACAATTGACTTCCAAGCCTCAGAGCGGAGGAGGAATTAAAAGGCACCCGTTCTGTCCTCGGAGGCTAGACCAACTGCAGGGGCAACTGGACCCCTCCAGGAGTGATTGGCACGCCACTTTAGCATTGTTCACCGCCGGGAGCTAGGCATTACTTATATCCGAGGAACTCCCTCGGGCGCCAAGCTGCATCATCGGTTTACAATTTCTGGGTTCCTAGGCAGCTCCGAGCTTCAGTCGCAGTCAATACATTCCCAATTTCAACATCCGCCGCCACAATGGATGATCTCTACGACGAGTATGGCTCCATGTCGCCTTTTTGGGTTCATTGACTAACTAACCGTTCAGGTTCGGTAACTATATCGGCGAGGCCGAGTCCGAGGAGGAGGAGGCGCAAACGACCGGCGATGCGGCGGAGGCTTATGTTCTTGACGAGGAAGCAGAGGAAGAGACGAACGACCAACAGCTCATGGAAGTGGATGAAGGACCTTCCAATGCTGTAATTCTTCACGAAGACAAACAATACTACCCCTCCGCGTCCGATGTTTACGGTCCCGATGTCGAAGTATTAGTGCAGGAGGAGGATACACAGCCGCTTTCGCAACCCATAATCGAGCCCGTTGTGCAGAAGAAATTCACAATAGAAGAGACGGAGCTACCCCCGGTACACTTCAAGCGCGACTTCCTCACCGATTTGACGAACTACCCAGATCAAGTTCGCAACATTGCCATTGCAGGCCACTTGCATCATGGGAAAACAGCATTCATGGATATGCTTGTACTGGAGACACACGATATGCAAGAGAAATTGGACAAGAAGAGGGGACGCAAGCGGGAAGAACAACTGCGGTACACGGATGTGCACGTCTTAGAGCAGGAGCGAGGCCTCTCAATCAAGGCAGCGCCCGTGACCTTGGTCCTGCAAAGCACTTCGAACAAATCGCACTTGTTCAACATACTAGATACTCCTGGACACGTCAACTTTGCTGACGAGGTGGCGGCCTCTATGCGGCTAGTGGACGGCGTTGTTCTGGTCGTGGATGTCGTCGAGGGTGTACAGGTCAACACAGAGCAGATCATCAAGCATGCGGTCCTCGAGGATCTGCCTTTGACTCTGGTCGTGAACAAGATGGATCGTCTGATGCTCGAACTCAAACTGCCTCCCAAGGACGCCTACTTCAAGATAAAACATGTAATCGAGCAGGTCAACATCGTCATCGAGAATACAATACCGGGTAGGGGAGAAGGCCGGCGGCTGAGTCCGGAGAAAGGCAATGTCGCTTTTGCTTGCACAAGTATGCGATGGTGTTTCACCATACAATCGTTCGCGAAAATGTACGCCGACTTTTACCCAGGGTCGCGGGACCTGCCAGGGTTCGGTCAGCGCAGCAAGACAATTGATGCAGCCAAGTTCGCGTTGCGGCTGTGGGGCGACATCTACTTCAATCCCGCGAGTAGGAAGTTTAGTCGAAAACCGCAGGAAGAAAGCTCTCAGCGGTCATTCGTGCATTGGGTACTTGAACCCATCTACAAGCTCTACTCTCAGACCATAAGCCGAAGCCCCAAAGAATTGGAGGAGAAGCTGGATCAGTTGGGCATCCGCCTGAAGCCTTCGCAGTATAAGACGGATGCCAAGGAACTGATGAGACTTGTCTGTCAACAATACTTTGGGCCTCCGGCTGGCTTCGTGGATATGGTTGTGCAACATGTTCCATCACCGAAAGACGGTGCACGGAGGTTGTTGGAGCGATACTACACGGGTCCTCTTGACACGAAAACAGCGGAGTCGATGCTGAATTGCGATCAGGATGGTCCCTTGGTCGTTCACGTAACGAAACTTTTCAATTCTACCGACGCCAAATCATTCCATGCCCTGGGACGAGTGATGAGTGGTATAGCAAAGCCAGCCACTTCAGTACGAGTCCTGGGCGAAGGTTATACGCTAGAGGACGAGGAGGACATGGTAGTCGCCACAGTCACGGATACCTGGATCGCGGAATCGCGGTATAGTATACCCACCAGCGGTGTGCCGGCAGGCAATTGGGTACTCCTCGGCGGTGTTGACAACTCCATTGTCAAGACAGCAACCATCGTCGCACAAAAGCTTCCTGAGAATGAGGATGCTTATATCTTCCGGCCCATCCGCCACTTCTTCGAGTCCGTTTTCAAGGTTGCTGTCGAGCCCATAAATCCTTCCGAACTTCCCAAGATGCTTGACGGCCTACGAAAGATCAACAAATCTTACCCTCTCATTACGACAAAGGTGGAAGAGTCAGGCGAACACGTCATTTTGGGAACGGGCGAACTATATATGGACTGCGTGCTGCACGATCTACGTCGGTTGTACGCTGATATGGAGATCAAGGTCTCCGACCCAGTGACAAGATTCTGCGAAACTGTCGTGGAGATGTCTGCGATCAAGTGCTACGCCCTCACGCCAAACAAGAAGAATAAGCTCACCATGATCGCCGAGCCGCTTGACGAAGGTATCGCGGAGGATATTGAATCCGGAAAGGTGAATATCAAGGATCCCGTTCGTGTAGTCGGCAAATTCTTCGAAGAGAACTATGGCTACGACCTCCTGGCTTCTAGAAATATCTGGGCCTTCGGCCCTGATGAAATGGGACCCAACATCCTCCAAAACGACACCCTACCTTCAGAGGTAGATCCCAAGATGCTCCGCTCAGTCCGAGACACCATCCGCCAGGGTTTCAGCTGGGCCACGCGCGAAGGTCCTCTCTGTGAGGAGCCCATACGGAACACGAAATTCCGCATTACGGATGTCGATCTCGCCTCAGAACCCATCTTCCGCGGTGGCGGTCAAATCATCCCTACTGCCCGTCGTGCCTGTTATTCTAGCTTTCTCATGGCTAGCCCTCGGCTTATGGAGCCTGTGTATAGCTGCAACATCACAGGTCCGGCGGACGCGGTATCCAGCCTTTACACTATATTAGCGCGGCGGCGAGGTCACGTCTTACAGGAGGAGCCGATTGCGGGGACGCCCTTGTATAGCGTCCGTGGTCTGATACCTGTCATCGACTCTTTTGGCTTCGAGACAGATCTTCGGGTAAGCACATCCGCCCTCGCTCTCCCCCATTTCAACACTCGCATTCGCTAATTCGGAAAATAGATCCACACCCAGGGCCAAGCTGCCGTCTCTCTCGTCTTCGACCGCTGGTCCATCGTGCCTGGCGACCCACTGGACCGGGAAATCAAGCTTCGTCCGCTGGAACCTGCGGCTGCACAGGCGTTGGCGAGGGATTTCGTGCTCAAGACGAGGAGGAGGAAGGGGCTTGCGGAGGATGTGACCATCTCGAAGTTTTTGGAGCCGGATCTATTTAGGAGTTTGAAAGAGAGTGGGGTTTTGGATGGATAAGAAACGATTCTGCCGGACTATGTTGGTTAGGGGAAATGGTCACAGTGAGAGCATCGAAAGGTGCCTGGATCCAACGGTCTTTTTGGAGGTGCTGTATAGCATGCAGTGGGGCGATAGTCAGGGACTTTTTCACGTTTTCCGCGGGTTGGAATGCGGTGGGATAACGTACCGTGCGGCAATGATCTGTATAACATTTATACCCTTACATGAATGGCTACCTATGCCTTGCACATGTGTGTTCCGCTCTCAAGACCCTCTCTCAGATTTTTCTCCTCACGATCCTCCACATTACCGACATGATCTCATCTGACATTACCAACCCTCGGACATACATCCCATCTGCATGGTTCATGTCTTTCCTTGATCAAGACATAACCATCTCGACTCCCAGCGCAACCGAAAACGTTTGAGTGCTTCCCTCCGACCCCATCAACCCATCAACATCTCCCCATCCTCATCATCACTCACGCTCTCAATCCCTACATTCACATCCTCCACCGTCCCCAACCCCTTCCCTACCACCCTCTTAATCCCCTCGCCCACAACCCCCTCAACATCAACCCCTTCCTTCCTCTCAAACAGCTCATCCAGCATCCCCACAATACACGCAACCCACCCCTGAACATGCCCCTCTAGCACAGGCCGACCAAATGCATCAGCCCCCTCACCATCCGCAGGATATCCCCACTCCAAACTGTTCCTCCGCATATCCATTTTGCGCATGAGGCGTGCAATACTGGAGACTGGGACGGATACATGCAGAATCAGATTCTGGACGTGGAAACCCACTGGCGTGCGCTCGAGGGGAAGGAGTGAAGAGAGAGTGCGCTGGAGGGGCACGTCTAGGTCTGCGGTTCTGTGGTGGATGGCACGTTTCGAGGGGCCGGGAGTTGGGGACGATGAGACGGCGTGATCATACTTTGGTTCCGGAGGGTGGCCAGAATCGTCATGGTGCGGTGCTGAGCGTGGGCGTTTGCGAGGTTGGGGTCGGAAAGTCGAGATAGCGGGGAGGACAACTGGCGGTAATGGTTCCTGCTCAGCGTAGGCGCGAAGTTGGGAGATGATGTCTGGGTTTGAGATGGCTAGTTGGGACGATTCACCGAAGTTGGGATTCAGGGGTCTAACGACTCCGTTGCCGCGACGAGTCGATGCGATGTTGATCGAGTCGAGGGAGTTGCTTCGTTGATGGGTACGCTTTTGCGAGGTAAAGTAGCCTCTGATATCTGCATCGTCTTGGGAGACTAGAGGTTGATCTGTAGCTGGCCATGCGTTCTGCACCTGTTTGCTGGGCCCGCGTGAACGAGCGGTGGGGAACGGTGGAGGAAATTGTTTAGCCGGCTTGCTTCTGCGCTGCGGACGGGGAGCTTGCGAGGTTGGAAGAGCAGGAGGGTGTACGGTTCGCTCAAACCAGGGGTACTCCGATTGCTTTCTTGGTGGCTGTGGAGCTCTGACTTCGGCATGGGCTTGCATATGCTGTGTTGACGGAGGGAATATTGGCATTGCTGCTGATTGAACAATTGGAGGATTGTCACTGGAAGGTGCTTCCTGTCGAGGTATCATACGAGGCGGCCGGAATGGGGAAAATGGGGTCCCTTTTACTTTAGCAGGAGCTTGAGCCTTCCGTCTCTGTCCGTTTGAAAAAGCATCTGTTGATGATCCACGCGCTTGCTGCTGAATAACAGCGTCATTGTCGATGTCTCTGCTAGAAGGTAGGGCAACTCGTGCGGAATCGTGTCTCTGCTCCGCATCGAGCGAAGACTGGGAAGCCTTGATTGGAGAAGACCGCTCTGGAGTCAATTCAGAGGAGTGCAAGACCGGTGCTGGCTGAACAATTGGCATGGGCGAACTCGATTGTTTCAATAGGCCACCTGGAGTTTTCGTTGGCGTCAACAGTTGTGGGTTCACTGGCCGCTTCTTCGGTTTCATAGCGGCATTCATTTTTGCTATGGTCCATGGGTTCGACACTTCTGCAGCGCGGGCCCCTTCCTCTTCTTCCAAGTTTGGTGGCGGGTTGTCTGACAGCAGATGGAGGTCCTCCTCGTCAACGCCGTACATTGTGGAGCGCCACTTCGGATCCGGTTTAGAGGGACTAGAAGCAAACTCCTCTGCTGGAGGTAGACTTGCGCTTGTCTTCACATCGAGGTACTGTGGCTGAATGTCCAATTGTGGCTTTGAAGGAGGCACTGTCTCCGGCTCTTGTCTCTTTGCAACCGGGTAGAACGAGTCCAGGAGTTTCTCGACCGCGCTTAGAACGAGTTCTGGGTTCTCGAACAAAACATCATCCTTGGCTGGCTCGATATTAGGATCATAACTCTCCGGCGGGCATATGATATTCATGCAACAAAAAGGGTCCTTGACCGAAGCAAGCGCAGGATTAGCCTTTCGTAGATGTTCTTTGAAAGCAGCTGCGATCTTCTTCATAGTTCCCCGATTCGACGAGACCGGCCGAGAGTCCACCGCCAGGAACGTACCCTCGTTGGCGATTTTCTCTCCAATTGCGTCGGCTTTTGGCAGAAACGCATGAACCTCGTAGCCCTCGAACTCCAGCGCAGTCCATTCGCATTGAGAGGCACAGTTCCTCCCAATAACCTTGAATGCGGCGTCTTCTACTTTGGCACCTGCTTTGGGTGCATAGTTGAAGTTGCCCTTATCCGTCTTCGCTTTCAGTACGCGGAGCTGGAAACGAACCGTCGGCCTGGCGAGAGCATATGCCTGCATCAACCGTCTGATCCTCGCTAGCCATTTCGCAGAATGCTTGAGAGCGTCCTGTTTGCGCACCGGGAAGGAGCCGAACAGGTCAGTGACTTTGACCGTGGTGCCGACTGGATGTGATGCTCTTTCCGTCCTGAAGAGTCGTCACTCGGCCGCTCTTCCTCCAGTTTTGAGAGCCGGTGGGACTTACTTCTCAAGCTCTCCATTCTTCCCATACTTCAACAACACGGCGACCGGCTCCCCCTCCACCCTCGTCACGACCTCCAGGCTCCCACTCATCTCCGCCATACTCGCCATAGCCTCACCGCGAAACCCCAACCACTTCCCTCCTACCTGTCGCAAGTCCTGGAAGTCACGAATCTTGCTCGTACAATAACGTCGGCAAACCAAGGCTCTATCCTCCGCGGGAATTCCATGGCCGTTATCTTTCACCTGAATGGAAGTGATTGTATTGGCTGAGATGTCGACGAAGACGGCGCTTGCACGAGCATCCAATGCATTGTCAATCAGTTCTTTGACGACCGAGCTGGGGTCAACGAGGACTTGGGAGGCGCCGATTTGGCGCACTGTCGTTGGTGGGAGCGGCTTGATGCCGGCGACGGCTTGTGGAGTGTCCGCTTCAGGAGCCATTGCGGAAACTCAGCAAAGAGTTCCGCATGAAGAAGCGGTTTCGGAGACAGAGGGGAGCAGAAACCATCTTGAGCCGTTCCCGCGGTGCAAGTTCCATCGTGCCTTCTTCAGGTGGACGCGCTGTATTCGCGCCATCGCGATCCGTACGCGGTGTCATGTGACAAATTGGCTACTTGGCAATCTCATTGTAATTGATAAATTTGTGTGGAGCGAGAAGCATCCTACTGTCGTATTTCGGATTTGGGAATTTGGGATATGCTCCGGAAGTAACCAATCAGCGCTCGCGCACCTGCAAGCAGTCAGGAAACATAAAGCTGTCGCTCGGCTACCTCTTTCCATTTACCGTGGAAAGCATTTCTCCCCTAACTCGTCTGAATCTGTTGAAGCTTCAGATCATAGTGGCCTTAAGTGTTGAACCTTTCTTCTCTTTGGAAGTGTAGTCCTCGTCATCGCGCAATCATGACGGGACCCTACAACACCGAAGCCCTCCGCTGGCGCGCCCTCACCATCCGCGACCCCAACGCAAATGGCCACTTCGTCTACGCAGTAAAAACCACATTGTGCTACTGTCGGCCCACGTGTCCTGCGCGCCTCGCCCGCCGCGCAAACGTCGCCTTCTACAACACCTGGGCGCAGGCCGAGGCAGCCGGATTCCACGCATGCAAGAGATGCAAACCGAGCGAACCTATTCAGGAACAGCCTGCTGAGCGCGCCGTCGCCAAGGTGTGTGCACTGATTGAGGAGGCTTTGAAGGGTGAGGGGAGGAAGAGCGTGAAGCTGCAGGATCTCGCGAAGACGGTGGGGTTGACGCCACGGTATTTTCACAAGGTGTTTAAGGATAAGATGGGAATGACGCCGAAGGAGTGGTCGAAGATGAGGGGCGCGAACGGTGCGAGTTTGGGGAATGCAATGGTGGTGGGCGAGGGATGCGCGCCGAAGGGTGCGAACGGTGAATTGGAAGGGCAGGACGGCGGAGGAGACCTCGATTTCGATGACCTTGTGGATTTGGACGGGGCCTTTTTACTCACGCCAGAGAACTCACTTTCGGAGACTACGTTTACGCCTCTCACCGAGGATTTGCCAACGCCCAACTTTGCCTCAGTACTACAGGGAAACGAAACTGTAGCCATCGCGGATACAGAACCCAAAACGGCCTTCGACCTTCCACGACAAAACTTCCCTATCACGACCAACAAAATCACCCTGGGCGCTTCGATGCCTCAAGCAGTGACAGATTTTGATTTTGAACTTGACTTGACGCAGATCCTCGATGCCACGGTACCGACTCCTGCAATCCCAAATGCAATGGGTCATGCCTTTGATATGGATTCCTGGAATGTAGCATATCAGGACTTTGTCTGGGGAAATGAATGATACGTAATTAATGAATGATATCCGTCAAGCCTTGAGCACAGAGCCGCATCCCTCGAAGAGCATTCCTCGGGGTACTGAACTGCCCCGTATCCGGTGAATTGTGACATGGCCGCTCAATGTGACGTTCAAGATGACAACCGAGGCACTCTTGAGAGGTATTAGGCCCAGCGAGCCAGGGTGAGCGTGCTGGACCGGTTCTCATGCCATGCTCAGCGTCCCATATGAAATATCCAACATTTCCATCCTGCACGTATATCGCGTATCGGGCCATACGAGCGGGCACACGGGAGGCCATTCGGTCCATCAACTGCACGCACGCATTTAACCTCACACTCGTATGATCCCTAACACAATCGTCAGCTTTCGTCCCATCCACGAATATATGAAATGGAAAGCCAAAATAGTTCTCTCAGCGACCGAGTTATAAGCAGCGACGGCGTAGCATATGTCGATACTAGCCATTCCTTTTCCGGCTCTTCCTAAGATTGCAATGGTCTTGATTTGTTCATCATGAAGGAGTGGAAATTGAGGGGAAGAATTCGAGACATAGACGTACCGAAAACTACGATGAATCGGATAAATGCTTCTGGCTGGTGTCAGTTACAGATTGGAATATCCGGCAGCCAAGTGGCGCTGGCGATATGCTAATCCCAGGTTGATACCCTTCACGAGGGCAACTGGTAGGCACTACATGTTGGATGCGGTGGAATGTTGCGACGCGACGGTCGTTGGGGACCTTGCGGAGAAGATTTGGAGCTCGCCAAGACTGAGACTGGAGACTAGGCCAGGAATGGTTGGTGCGTTATCTTTCACCATTCCAGTCTTCGAAGGTTTGTTGTCTTCCCTTCCCACGCGGGTTCGACATTCACTATTCAGCTTGAAACTGTCCAAGAAAATCACGGGCTCGAATTGTCTTTGTTTGAATTTCATTTGGAGGATATTTCCCCGCGTTGTGTTCCCCGGCGTATCTAAATATAGTTTCACAGCAGATTTCCAAGGCTCCGAGCAGAAGATCTCGATGGCTTATTCGCAGCCGGAAGCCTCCCGTCATTTGACATTTACTACGGTATCCCATACGGTCTCCATGCAGTCGAGTCGGGACGAGGAGGAACACTGTACAAGATAGGTGAATGTAGACGACCTCCTAGAGGACTCAGTCCTGTCTCCCTATAACCAGAGGAAAGACTTCAGAGAAGCAAACGTCCCAGGAGTAGTTATTAAGGACTACCCCATCGCTCTGCGATCCGTAACTTGTCCTCAGCACTCACACACTTCAGGTGCCGGGCCAATATGTGAATCGGTCTTCATTCCAATGACTGCAGGATTTCTGATACAAGATGCCTGACACGAACAGACAACTCCCAGTTCCCTGCCTCCCAGTTTTGGAAGGCAAGACAGGAAAGGGGAATGAAATAGAGGAAGGTCAAATGCACTGTACTGTATATGTGCGACCTTACAAAAATGCTGAAGAGAGTTGAGAAGACGAGAGAGGAGAGGAAAAGAGAATCCTGCCAAGGTAATTTCACATGAAAAAGACATCATGGTGCCAAGCTACACTAAGCCCGATATGGTAATCCCGCCAACCGAGGTGCCTGTTTGCAGGGGCAGGGGCAGGTCCACGGGTCAGGGCTGCCGCGTCGATTGCGAATTGCATCGTCAAACATTTGCTCTGCGGCATCTCTTGTTCCCCCACTTGCAGAAGCCCACATGGCCTCGACATCACCGATATAAACAATTTAAACAACCCCCCGCCTTCGCCACCTATGTCTCTCCCACCGCCCGCAACCCACCCCAAGATGCCGAGCGCTCGTAAGTCTACGCGCTTCCTGTTCATGACGCTATCCGACTCGTCCAGGCGAGAACCCACTCTACTCTAGACTTCTAGAAAAACTCCAGCTAATCATCATGTACTGAACAGAGACGGCTGCACACGAGTGCGTTTCAGAGGAAGCCCTTCAGCACCTCCGCTTGTACAAGTACTCTAGCGTTGACAAGTCCTTCATATCCCGATACGTCCTGAAGCACTACGTACGAGTCCCGCCCGCACTCCGCACCTGACTTTGCACACCGTCTGACGAACAAGTAGTGGAATGGATTTGTTGAACTTCTGCCCATGTGGCTGGCACCGAACCTGGTTACTCTACTTGGATTCTGCTTCATATTAGGAAACATAATAATATTGGAGTTGTATGTTCCGGACCTTGTGGGACCTGTAAGAAGCCCTTGGATCACAAATACACACCCTGGGCATTGGATGGTGACTAATATCATGACTATTGTAGGCACCTTCCTGGGTATACTTTAGCTTTGCGTTCGGGCTTTGGATGTAAGCTCCCACGATAGGCTGTCTATATTGGCTGCGTGCTAACAATGGTCGTGAAAGGTACTCCACTATGGACAATGTAGACGGCAAGCAAGCACGACGTACCGGTACTTCGAGTCCATTGGGGGAGCTTTTCGAGTACGATATACTGCCATAGTGACTTCCGGCATACATGGGAAGCTGATATATTGCAGTCACGGCATCGATTCTTTGAATTGCACGCTAGCAAGTCTTCTTGAAGTCGCAGCTATGGGCTATGGCGCCTCTAAAACTGGCGCTTTCACGGCCCTCGTCCCAGTGCTGCCCATGTTCTTCTCAACATGGGAGACGTACCATACTCATACGCTCTATCTTGGATACTTCAATGGACCTACTGGTAAGCTCATAAGACTAATTTCTCTACGCGGATGCTGACGATTCGCAGAGGGATTGATCATCGCTTGCCTCATAATGTGTGCCTCGGGGTACTATGGTCCTGACATTTGGTCAACACCGCTCGCTGCTTTCGCGCCCAGTTATGAGAAATACCTCGACGATATCACCTTCCGTGATTTGTGGGTGCCCATAATCTTGGTTGCCTTCTTCGTGGCGCACCTCCCAGCCTGTGTCGTCAATGTCGCTCGTGCGCGCCGTGCTCAGAACCTTCCCATTGCGCCACTGTTCTGCGAGTGGATACCAATCATTGTCTTTGTTGGAGCCAGCATGGCCTGGCTTGGTTCGCCCTACTCTTTCATACTCAAGGACAATCATCTGGTCTTGTACTGCTTGGTTATGTCCTTAGTCTGCGGACGCATGACGACGAAAATCATCCTCGCGCACCTGACCCGTCAGCCATTCCCGTATTGGACTGTCATGTTGGTTCCAATGGTTGGCGGTGCTCTGCTTGTCAACCATCCTTATGTCACACTCAAGGGGACGACGTTCGGACCCGTTTCCGCGAACTTCGAACTATGGTACCTGAGGGCGTATTTTGTCTTTGCTGCTGTTGTGTACGGCAGATGGGCGCATCTTGTCATCACCAGTATCTGCAACTTTTTGGGCATCAACTGCTTGACCATTGCGCCGAAACCGCTTAAGAAGGAAAGCGGCCTACGGTCTCCCGGTCTTCCCAATGGAGTCCGCCCTGAGAAAGGACGGACGGACTAGATGATCCCGCATACCAAAAGACCGGAGGAGGTCCGCTATGATGGGGAGAAGCAGCCTTGGATACCTCGTACGCATCATCGACATTGACCTTACATCTGGATATTCGCAGTTGAGCGTGCCGGCTTCGCTCATGATTAGACTCGATGATATCTTAGCACGATACCATGCCTAACGACGGAACAAGATTCAAGATAATGTTTACATTCCCAGGCCACCAGAGAAGCTGTACAGGAGGAGATGCATCATCAGCCTTGGTCGTGCGTCCCTTTTTTTTCTGATTTACATATTTTAATGTATAGACGGCACAGTCATCAGCAGTCCATCGATTTCGAACACGCAGTTATTACCGATCCGACTTTGAGCGTGGGTATTATACTCGACTATACACAATTCTACGTGACCGCACCATATGTATGTGGTGTCCTGCGGTACAGTGGTGGCATAGTGTCACTACCGATCAATAGAACTAGAGCTGAAATCTCCGTTGTTAGCTTGTATTCACCTTCGATCACTCTAGGGTCTAGATGCTCTCTTGTCGCTCAGTGTCCAGCCCTGCGTTGCCTGTCACAAGTGCGTCGAGTGTCAATCCGCAGAGACAGAAGAGAAGTTCTCCTTTTAGTCAAGGGCTTTGGCTGCGGATTAGAAGAGACTCAAGGTACAGGGTTGTTAAGGGAGATAGATCACGCATAATACGGGAAAGGGTAGTGATTGGTAAAGGGGATTCTAAGCTCGTTCTGTGTCCGAAGATTCACCGAAGTGTAATTGGGTGTAAGGGGCTCATGCGTAGGCCCCTCCGCCTGTCGAGATAGATGTTTCTCTTTCACACTTTCTACTCCACGGTCTCTTTCCCCTCGACTATTCATATCCAGGTTGTCGTTGACTTCCAATTCATACTGGCGGTCTTGACAGTCATCATCACGTGATCGATGTTAAGGCAAGCTAATCCACTTTCAGAGTAGTCTCAGACGCTCCAAGCCGCCAAAAGAGCTTGTCCAGACGTCCAAACCACTTCCAAGGTTCGTTCTCAACAGTGCGATGAGAGAAGGAAGTGTTGAACATTATTGAATATTCCGCATTTAGGGCCGAATGCGAACGGCCGCCACAGAGCGAAACGATGGATAAGAGTCGTGGGCCAAGCGTTAAAGCCGACCGGAACCATGTCGACTGCGGCTGATCGCGGCGTAGAGGAACCCGGGAAGCAGACTAGCAAAGGATATCGTTGGGGAAAATCGCCACCATCACTGCTTGGCCAACGTCGAGAAGCAGCGCCAGAACCGCTGTTTGAAGCCGGCCCACGCCGACCAGGAAATGCACCCCGCAAATTTGCCCGTGCAGGTTCCTCTCCGACCTCCGAGCTCACTCCGCTAACCGAATGTGGTACAGCTGTGAAGGCCCAGGCGTGCATGGCCGTTTACTTTTCTGGGAAGGTCCTTGATTTTCTTCAACTTCAAATTCTCGGTGTTTTCAGTGTCTGCTACTCTCCGCACTCTCCACACTGTAATCTGGGGAAGATAAGATAGTGTCCGCCACTCTATAAGACCGTCATCGCACCGGACTTCGTCCCTAGACTATCGTTGCTCCGCGGGGGCTTCCATTCCTACTCTACTTATATCGGAGAGGTGGGAATCCTACTCTTGTCCAACATCCTCTTCCCGACATATCGCACTCCCCACTCGAGACTCCTCCAAAGGGCATCGGTTCGTTGACCGACCCCATCCTCCCAGAAATTCGGTCACTGGACCACTCTCTCCTTAGCTTGCTTGCTTCGCAAAGCTGTTAACATGAGCCACGCCGATATGGATCCCGAGAAGGGTCGTGGGGTTCATGAGATGAGCACTGAGCACAGCTATGAGCCGACTGACATGAGAAATGCCACGGTCGCCGGAACTGTGGGACATGGCGGGTCGACGCAGAGAGGCTTGAAGTCGAGACATATTCAGTTTTTGTAAGTACTCCGCAAGGGTGCAGGCCTTCGTATCTGACATTTCTACAGGGCCCTTGGAGGTGCTATTGGAACTGGGTTGTTCGTTGGCTCAGGCGCAATTCTCTCGCTCGTTGGACCTGCACCGTTGTTCATGGCTTACCTGTCAATGATGATTGTGGTGTACAACGTCATGAACAACCTTGCCGAGGTATGAGCCCATGTCATTTTAGGATGCGACTTCAACTGACCCTTATGATCAGATCGTGACCTACTTGCCTATGAGCGGCATTACCATTCCATACTTCGTGAAACGATTCGTAGACCCCAGTCTAGCTTTCGCGACAGGATGGAACTATTGGTGAGTGCCCTAAGGCTCGCAAGTGTGATATAGTACTAAACATGTCAAGGTACGCATATGCCATCCTCGTGGCTGCTGAAGCGACTGCTGGTGCCATCCTGCTAGGTTACTGGGAGACGCCAGTGCATGATGCAGTCTGGATTACCATATTCCTCGTCGTGATCCTGTTTCTCAACATCGTGGCCGTCAGCGTCTTTGGGGAAGCCGAGTTCTGGTTCGCCAGCATCAAGTTCATCACCATCATAGGTCTCATCATCCTGGGTTTCGTCATCATGCTCGGCGGGTCTCCCAATGACCAAGGAAGGCTAGGGTTCCGATACTGGAACGACCCAGGAGCGTTCAATCCCTACCTTGTTCCAGGAAATACGGGCAGGTTCCTCGGCTACTGGACTGCCTTCGTCAAAGCTGGATTCGCCTTCATCACTTCTCCTGAACTGATTGCTCTGGCGGCAGGCGAGACCGTCGCCCCTCGTCGCAATATCCCCAAGGCAGCAGGACGATTCGTCTACCGGTTGGCAATCTTCTACGGCTTCGGATCCTTCATCATCGGTATCATCGTTCCCTACAATGACGACCGCCTCCTTACACCCGAGTCCAACGCTTCATCGTCTCCGTTTGTCATCGGCATTCAGCGCGCTGGTATCCGCGGCCTGAACCACGTCATCAACGCAGCCGTCCTGACGTCGGCCTGGTCCGCAGGCAACGCCTTCCTCTACTCCGGCTCCCGCGTCCTCTACGGCATGGCCCTCAGCGGGGACGCACCCAAGATCTTCGCAAGAACAAGTCGCACGGGTGTACCGTACGCCGCCGTCCTAGCGACATGGACAATCGGCCTTCTATCGTTCCTCAACGTCTCCAACACGGGCGCTCAAGTCTTCACCTGGCTCTCCAACATCAGCACCATCTCGGGCTTCCTCGCGTGGATCGTCTGCATGATCACCTACATCCGCTTCCGCAAGGCCCTCACCCTCCAGAACCTCCTCCACACGCTCCCCTACCGCACCCCGTTCCAGCCGTATCTCGTCTACTTCATCCTGGGCCTCGTCATCCTTCTCACCCTGACCAACGGCTTCCAGGTCTTCTTCCCCAAGAACTGGTCCGCAGCCAACTTCCTCGCGGCGTACATCACGTTGCCCATCTTCCTGGTGCTGTACATCGGGCACAAGGTCTGGTTCCGGACGCCGTTTGCTATCAAGCTGGAGGATGTCGATCTCGTGACGGGGAAGAAGGAGATGGATGAGCTGTGTGCGGCGGATGTGGAGCCCGTGCCCAAGAATTGGGTGCAGAGGATATGGTATTGGATTGCTTAGGGGGGTTTGTTCTGAGTTTTGCATGGCGTTGTGATTCTTTGATTATATGGGCATGCGGAGGGGTGGAGATATAGTGGTGCGCTGCATGTTGGATTGTCCAAGATAAGATAGACTCTTTATCTGTAGTCATCTATTGGGAGAGGTCTTGTAGGTGTTGTGTATCAACCTGAATGAGAGTCTGAGGACAACATAGTTTCCCGTTCGGTGGTTGCGTCTCTGAACTCCTGTCCTTTGATTTTCAAACGATGTTGGTTTGCAAGCCGCGCCCCGTAGGTGTATGGAACCGTCCCCATTGTGACACATCCATCAATAAACCGAGCTTATCACACAGTGCATCCCGAAACGTCAGCTACACAATCTGCCTCAGTGAGCTTGCAATGCGCTTATCTTCCGTTTATTATCGGGTTAGGAAGACCGGCAGGAGCGTTGTTGTCGTTTTGAGGATTTGGAGTCCACTTCCACTCCGTGCGCGCGTTTTGTCTCACCAGGCGGGATCGGCGCACGATAGAGAGGACGTTTGATCTGCGGTGTTCTCCAATCTTGCTTTCCATCAAGTAGAACTTCTACTGGGACGGTATTTTTGACTGCTCGGTCGTTCGAAGCAGAATTTGGTTCAGCTGACTCATATGTCACTGACAAGGGTAGTTGGTTGGGAGGTGGACAGAGAGCATGGAGTCTGTGCCACCACCATTCGAGATGCATACATAGTACTTGGCTACGGGATAAAGTAACATGGAATATCAAAAAGAAGGATAGATAAACATGAACGGAAACAAACACAGGATTAGTGACTGATAACGGTAAGTTGGAGAACGTAAATACATAAACATAGCAGACAGGAATCGAGTAAGACAGGCAATGTAAGCATATTCGTACAACGGATACAGAAGAGTGGATAGGCCTCGAGTTGGCGTGCAGACAGGCATAGGTTTCCCCTGTGGCCTCTTTGCGTACCTGACCCACTTCGCATTACAGTCTCAACGGCAACAACGACAACAAACAAACAAACAACAAACTCATCTCCATAACTGCGCTATACACACACACCTATCACAACACTCTCACCCTCCCAACTCCCTCACAACAATCCTGGATTAACACCAACCACACACGTCTTCTTCTCCCTCCGAACCCCAGAGCCTAGACCCCAGCGTCCACCGCCATCATTTAAGCCAAAGCCTCACTGCAGCCAAAGCTCTGCTCAACGCCATACTCACCAGGGTTCTTCCAGTAATCATCCTGGTAGCTGAACAGGATCGACTCCTTGCCCACCTTGCCCAGGATATCCTTAATAGCAGTCTTCTGCTGCTCGACACCAGGCTGCGCCGCACCGTTGGCGCGACCCGCCTTGGGCCACCCAATCTCCGTGATGTACTTGCCCCTAGAAGCGGCCTCAGGGCAGACCTTGGCCGCCTGCTCGAGCTGCTGGGCCGCGAAGCTGCCAGCTTCGGACGCGCTGACGGAACTGGTGAAGTACGGGTGGATCTGGACGGCGAAGACGTCAATGGCGCCGCACAGGGCCTTGCCCTTCTGCTCCCACGTGCCGACGGGCTCGGTCGTGGTGACGGCGATGTCGCTGGGGAACCCGGCGCCGGTGAGCTGCTGCTTGACGTGGGTGATGTAAGAAGCGAGTTCCTGGGGGGTGGCGTAGTTGTTGAAGAGGGCCTCGTTGCCGACGATGATCATGGCGACGCTGTCCTTGGGCGCCTTCTGGATGATCTCGTTGAGCTGGTTGTTGGCGTAGCTCGAGAAGGCGCCCCGGCCGCCGCTGCCGCCGCCCTCGAGGAAGATGCCGTAGATGACCTTGATGCCGTGCTTCTGGCATTCGGGCACCACGTTTTCGAACACGCCGCAATCGGTGCTGTAGCTGCGGATCGTCGTGAAGCCGAGGCGTGCGATGTTGGCGATGTCCTCCTTGACCTGGGCGGGGGAGCGGCACTGGCCGTCACGCGTGTAAGGGGTGTAGGTCATGGCCCACTTGTTGCCGTTGGTCACGATGCGGCCGCCGCCGTGGTAGCTGGGAGGAGGAGTGGCGGGGGAGCTGGGCTTGGGCTGCTCCTGGGCAGGCTTAGACGGCTTGGGTTGCTCCTGAGCGGGCTTGGATGGCTTGGGCTGCTCAGCTGGAGGGGGAGGAGGAGGACCGGCAACATAGGTCTCCTTGGGAGGTTCGGGAGCCGGTGCTGGAGGAGACTGGGCAGGATACTCCGCAGGGGGAGCGGGAGCCGGAGTCTCCTTCTCGGTGCAAGTGCTGCTCGAGGAGGTTTCCACCACGGGAGTAGGGGAAACGAGGACCGTGGTGTTGACTACGGGGGTGGGAACCTCTGTGGAGCATATGTTAGCGGTCAAGAGCGCCTTTGTTTGCTTTCCACTCCGTCATATCAAAACATACCGGTCGGGGACACATAGATAGTGGTGTACACCGTGCAGACCTCCGGAGTTGCGTGCCTGCGAAGGTGGAACGCAGCATGATTGTTGTGTGCAGCGGCGGCGGCAGATGCCACAAGAGCCACCGAAGCGGCAGCGATAGCGCCCTTCATTGTGACGACCACGAAGGACAGGACAGAGAGATATTAGTTCAAAGAAAAGCCCGCTGAATGAGTGAAGCGGGAGATATTATCGTTATAGTAGTATAAACAAAAGAGCGACGAGGCACGAAGGCCGGGGCTGGGACTTGAGAGAGGATCAGGAAGCCTTGCAAGCAGAGAGGAAAGGGTTGCTGCGTGGGCAGCAGGGCGGTTTTGATGAGCCTGCTCTGACCACCTCATCTGGCCCTCTGACACGGGCTGACCGCCCCATGCCTCGTTGGATAGGGGCCCTGGGAAAATTAGCTCGCAGATGCGTATTCCAAAACGGTATAACACTGTGAAGGACGGCGAGTCTAGTGCTCAAAGGGGGAAGAAGGCATGGTGTGGCTAAGGCGGGAAATGAGAGACCTGGGGTAATACGGGTAAGCGCCGAATCGGTTGATGTCAGTTGCTCGAGAAGGACGAGCCCCTGGAACAACGACAGCATAAAGAGGTCGACGGCTGTCATAAAGACGCTGTTAGCACACCAGAGGGAGCAGCAGATTGGCGATGCTTGGGTGCATGCAATGCAATGGCCTCCTCGAGAGCCTCGAATTCGAAAGACACAGGAACGCGATGTGGCCCGTCGCTGTTGTTGACAATCTCCCGTCCGCCGGGGATACTCCGTACAGGAGTTGGCTCTGTTCCTTGGGGCCACAAACAGTGGAGTATATTGAATGTCTCCATGGAAATTGAAATCGCTTTTCGTACCTTGAACGATCCAATATTTTCCGGCGATCATGTGGCTGAAGCTCCAAGAGAGCAATTGCTCTCTGATGAGAAGCCTCGCCGGAACACAAGATCGATGAATTGTTTCTCCCCTAACGGTTCACCGTTCTGTTTCCTGCAGAAACCAAGACGTCCGTGCCCAGGGGCTCCCGCATCTCGTCCCTGCGCCAAATCAACCCAGCCGGACATTTCATTGGGCGCAATTCTATCTTTAACCAGCTGTGATCATTTCGCGGGGCGTGCGCGGTTGTGCGAATTGGAAATGACACCAATGTTGGCCCGTTCGTGCCCCCTGTTTTGACGTCGCGATGCACCGCTAGAGACTCCACCTCCTCCTGACGGCGACGAAGAAAAGGGGAGTGACTCCACTCCCTCTGGTCCTCTGCGTCGTTGTGCGTTATGCTGCGTGCTCCTATGCTGGAAAGAGGCGTTCTCTCCAGCACGTGTGCAACCCCTGAGAACGGCGGTGCAACCTCGCACCGCTGCGCCCGATTCCCCCGATCCTGCAAGCAACAAAAGTCCGCCGTCTGACGTGGGCTTTGGTGATGTTGGCGGACAACAGTGGTGTTGCGTGCTCATCGTCAAGGCCATGTAAGTCTTGTAACTCGAGGGCAGAACCGGGCAAACAAGGGTGGTGAGTTCCCATGGAACGATGCGGACGTAGTCGTCACAAGGTGTTGATGTTCGAGCTGAAAAATCAGGGGCTCCGTCCAATCACCGTTCGTATACTCCGTATTGGCGTCCCTTAACACAGTACAATCTGGAGACTGAAAGCACCCCAATACGTGCCCTCATGATGAAGAGAACATGTAGTCCGTAATATAATTAGGCCAACTGTCCAACAAGAGGGAATGACGCCTCTCCACTACTAAGACTATGAGCGCTTAGAAGAACAACATCCATCCTTTCACTACTTTCGCATGAGATCGCAACGGAAATAATTCCATCAAAGTCCTCACCTGAACGCCTCCCAAATGCCAAAAGCAACACCCCCTATAACTGCCCCCTACGGATAGACCCACCCCTCCTTTTCCCCAACCCCAAAATCGACCTTCTGATCCAACCCCTCCAACCAATCCCCCTCGACCCCCTTCCCCTTCAAAATCCTCAACGTCTCCTCACTCTTCTCACACTTCCTATACCACTGCCTCTCAAAATTCACCGTCTCGTCCCCATCCTGCAGAATCACCCACTCAGGCAGCGTCCTCCCCGCACCTGCCTGCCTCGTCCACCAAAACCTGCCCTTACCGGTTGCATCTCCGGGCGTCGGCTCAAACGTGCGTGTGAAGTCTTTTAGCGGGGAATTCTTCTCCAGACCACGGACGAGGAGCCGGTAGTGGCAGATGGGGTGGATGTACTCGTTCGTCTGGCCGTACCCGTTGATATCGGTGAGCTTCAATTCCTTACTCTCCTCGTCGTAGATCTCCAGCTCGCAGTGTCCCGGTAGGCGCGTCACGCTGCCGTTCAAGTGATACATCCCCGTGTAGCTATCCACGATAGGGCCTGTGCCGTATCCGTAGTCAAAGTCCAGATGCTGGTGCGGAGGGCTGCGTTTCGGGGGTGCCAGGGAGTCTTCTCTTGGGTTGATGAGGGGGATGTTGGGGACTTTGGATTTGGCCCAGGTGAGCCAGGTAGGGTGCACAGTGGTGCAGGCGTAGCGGATGCTGTTCAGCCACCGTAGATAGCGGGACATGGAGGCATCGAAGGCAACGGGGTCGATGGTGAGATAGGGGGCGATGCATTGGAGCATCCAGCAGAAGGTTGCCATTGATAGATCTAGGAATGTCAGAACGGAGCGAATTGGGAGACAAGTTTGCAAAAGCACATACGTTCTAGGTCGCCTTTCATGTCGGTTATAGCGTCGTCTGAGCCGCCTCCTGCAAGTTCCTCGTTAGTGATGAAGATCAGGCTTAACGTTGTACTATGGCAACTCGTACCGCAGTTGATATGCACGCCTGGGAACCACACCTGCTTCAACTCAGGCACCGGCTTGCCCGAATCAACCAGCTCCTTGGGGATATACCACAGCGTCGGTCTAAACGCCTTCCTCCGCTCATCCAACGCCAACGCATGAAACGCATGCTCATAATCTACTCGGGCATCAGCAATCTACCCATCTCTCTCCTCTTCCCAGCTCACTTCAACAAACAAGGACTTACGTTCATTCAACCTCACATTATGGAACCCGTACTTAGTCCTCTCCTTCTCGAAACTCAAAAACGCCACGTCCGGAATCCCCAAACTGCCCACCGTATCCCACACCCCGACGACCTTGACCTTCCTGCTCTCCTGCGAGACTGCCAAATCGCCATGCGGATGGATCTCCCAGCTCTGCGCGCGCTCCCTTGCCCCCTCATCGCGCCCCGACTCCCCCAGCTCTTCCCCTCGCTTGCTCAGCTTCCCATACACAAAGTCCTTCCAGGCCTGCGTTTGGCGAAACGGCAAGCCCTCGTCGTTGGTCATGTAGGCGCGGTAGATTTGCGGAAACACCTGCATGTCGACGGGATTGATGACGCCGATATCAGTGACGAGGCCTGCGACGGCGCGCGCCGTGTACGCGCCCCGCGAGAACCCGAAGCAGAATATCTCGTCGCCCGGTGCGTAGTTCAGGACAATGAAGTTGTACGCCTCGATGACGTTTTCCGTCAGGCCGGCGCCGATGCCGCCTTGTCGGCGGCGCTCCGACGAGGAGAGGTTGCCTGTGCCGATGCCGGAGTCGTAGTATACAATCTGAGATTTGTACCCGTTAGATGGAGCGGAGGGGTGTAGTGGTGACTGGAGAGCGAGACCTGATTGAATTTCTTGGTGGGATCTTTACGGTCGGTGCCGATGCGCGCAATGTGCCGACATAGTCTGGTGACGTTGGATGGGACGTTGTCGGTTGAGGATACGCTGCTTTGCCATGTCCTTTGCTATATTACTATTTTGCTGTCCAGAGGGAGAAGGGAATCGTAAGTAAGGGACGTACCCGTCACAGCAGATGACGATCCTACGGTGCCAGGGTTTATCGTCACTCATGATGTGTTGCTACAAAGAAGGCTGAACACTGCGCAAAATCCTAGGAGAGAAGATGAATTGAGAAAGTCGACTACGGGGATCACGAGGAAATAAATCGAAGGTAAGGCCGCCACGCAGCTGTTGCGCAAGCATAAGCAGACTATTGGTAGTCTCCGAACTTTCCAATTGAGGCTTCCACTTGTGGGGTGGCAACAAGGCAACCTGAACCCCCCCCTCTTTCCCATTAGGCGCATGCAGTGCTTCCGGCCGGAGCCTTCAGAAGCAGAAAGAATAATGATCACCATCCTCAGCTACGGAGTTCGACCCCACCAATACACCATTTGTGGCGAGCTGAGAAGGCCGCTAACGCGCCGTACTCCCTTTCCTGGTGTAGCTCCGTAGATCGTGCCGGATAGAGCGGTGTGAGCGCTACAAAGCTGCAAGGTGATCGGGTTTTCCCGAGTTCATGGCTGGTATGGTCGCCTTATGTCGCTGATGTGTGGTGAGCTGACAAAATAAGATTCATTGTTATGTGCGGCTGGGCGCGGTGTACTGCAGGCGACACTAGCGTCGGGGTTTCCAGGCGTTCCGTGGGACAGAATCTACAATGCATATTGGATGGGTCTCTTCGAGGGCTGTGTTTAGTTGAACAGTTCGCGCTAACCGAATCCGGGACTACAAGTATCCGAGACTTACAGGCTCCGTGCCCATAGAATACACCACGTTCTCCGCCTGCCATACTCAGCCGAAAAAGGCATCGTGTGCAAACAACTGACATGATGTCTCTTCAACTACTTGAATACTGCATACGGAGTACATTCGAAAAGCAAATGAGCAGACCCTTCAGGAGTCGTCATCACAATTGGAAACATCTTCCAATGGTTGCCAAGAAGACGTATTCTTGCGCCTGGCCGTGATAACGCCTCCCCTACCCGATGGTACCAAGATATGCTATGCATCCATAAATCCTAACCATACTCCATCCTCCTAACCATGCAAAAGATTACCCATGTAAGAGAGATAGTATCACGGCCGCATGAGATTGACGAAGATGAGGCACTTTTCGATCTCGACTTGATCTTTGGGATCTTTGCTGTCGACTTTGCCCTTCTTCTCAGCGATGACTTCAATCTCGATCCGATTCACGCCAGGAAGCAACTTGGCATCATAGAGGGGCTCGCCCTTCTTCTTGCCTCCTTCGTAACTCGTAGGAGCGCCGTTGACGGCGGGAGCTGCGAGCATGCGAGGGGTTTCGGAGTACTGTTTTCCATTCACGATGTAGAATGTTCGGTATGGGCGTCCGTCCAGTGCCACAGGAAGATAAGGAACGATTTGCAAGTGCGAATGTGAGGGTGGCAAGTTCAGCGTCACGCTCTGTACCGTCCTATACTTGTTCGCTTGCACCACGGTCTTGAACGGTTTTGGTAAGTTCAATGAAGGCGCTGTGGTGATGGTGATCTTGGGGATCAGAGCTTCGCTCGTATCTAAGAGCTTGTTAGTGCGAGCGGTAGTGACGACGCAAGGAACGTACTCTTGAGCGGAGTCTTCCTAAATGCCCCCGGTTGAGCCGTTACTGGCGGAGCATAGTGAGTAGGAGGATGATATTGTCCGGGATAGCCGCCTGGCTGTTGGCCAACCAGCCCGTTGGGATGAGGGCTACCGCTTGCAGGGCGCGAAACCATCTGAGGAGGAGGCATCGAGGGATGCGGTGTCTGGGCTGGCACACTTGGCCGCTGACCATCGGACACAGTACTCGCTTGCCTGATGGAACTGAGCGCAGGGGATCCCACATCATTCTTGATCCCATTCGTTGCGGGAGGAGAGCCTGATGGAGGATACGTGGAAGTAGACCGAGGAACAGAAGGCGGGGCGGAGGCAAGCGGTGTTTGTGCCTTAGATGACGGTGGCTGCGAACCTCGCTGGGCATTCATGCTATCCTGGACGTGACGCTGCTGCCTAAGCAACGCATCATTGTCGATTGTTACTCCTGGTGTGGCTGAACTGCGTACGGCAGGGGATTCGGCACCAGAGACAGGCGATTGACGGAGTTTCAACTTGAGTTGCTGCTTGGGGACAGCTGCTGGGGCAGCCGACATGTTGATCTTGAGTTTAGGTTGCGGAGGCTCCTCAACTTTGGCTTTCGCATTCGCAAGCTTTTCCTTGAACATTTTCTAAGACGGTCAGCAGAAAGCAGGATGCACATTGGCGGTTCAGCATTACCTCTAATTGTACGGAAAGGTCGTATATCTCGCTCCCGTCCTCATTATACTCCCTGGCGTTTTTCCAGATGAGGCTGACTTGTTCCTCGAACTCATTCCAGCTCTTCAAGAGAGTGATACCAGTGGGTGGATCCCGACCCTTCACGCCACGGACCCTCTTCTGCACTCCGCTTAACGACATGGGATTCTTGATCAACTGGTAGTAGTCTTTGAGTGACCTGGAAGGCAAGTTCACGAAGGGCTGAAATATCTGCAATTCACTCCTAAACGGGGTTAGTGGCACTCTATAACGTGAAGAAGGTATGTCTACGAACTCAGGATCAATGTACTCTATCAGCTCGGAGATAATCTGCTCCTGCGCCTGCTGGAAACTCTTCCCGTCATAAGCCTTGCTGTCCCCTGCTTCGGTCGTATGAATAGGCAAAGAGTGCCTGAGCTTCGACGGCGCGGGCGTGGCGGACGGAGGGGCTGCAGCCCGCCGTGGGCGATCGGTCGTGTCTGGAGTAGGAGGGATTGGTTTGGGTGTAGACACGGGACGTGGCGCAGGCCGAGCGGGGGTCGCAGCGTCCTCGCCAGGCACAGGCGTAGCCACTGCTTGATAGTTGCGGATCAGCTTGTAGGCAGGGTTGTTTTTGGTCATCCAGTTCGAAGCTGTCTTCCGCAATCGTTCGGCGTCTTCGAATGTGTTTTCACCCCTTGTAAAATACGACTTGGCATTGGTGACCATCCGCTTGCAGTCGGCCTCGAGCTGGGCCAGTGTAGCATATTCACCAGCTCTGAGCTTGTCCTGTGCATACAACGTCAGCGCCATCGCTTGACCTGTCTCGGAAGCATCCCCGTACCTCCATTGTCTGTATGGAAATTGGCAGTTTGACAAGATCATAGTATGGTCCCTTGTCTCTCTTCAGGGTTGGGTTCTGTGGATCGTCAGTGGATCGTTCGGTGGAGGAATGCGGAGATCGTACGCCGGAGGGAAGTTGGAGGAAGTCTGTTGCAATAGGGCGGCCGCTGCAATCCAATCAGACCTGCACACAAGTGACATCCGTAGACACATACTGTTTGTCCTTCGCATTGCGCAAGCTTTCAAGGAATCTCAGACCATTGGTCGTGGTAGACTCCACAGTCTCTCCCGTTATTGGATCCGCACCAGACTCGGCCTGCATCAATTCCCAAGTTAGCCATATTTATTCCCCTACGCGAAGCCAGCGCGACCAGGCGGGTCAAAGGTGATTAAGGGGTGCTGCGGTGCGGCGCCGCGCGAAGATGAAGGGGTGATTGAGGGGTGATGTGAGAAGTCGTGGTGGTGAAGAGCAGGTAGACCATGGCGTTGCCCGTTAACTTGTCCGGGACCATGTCGCGGCGCTCCCCCGTCGCCTCTACATCACCTCCAGAATGTCCACCGCAGCGCAGCGCACCGCTTCTTGACAATGGTACTGCATTCGCTGGACGCTGGACTTACTGGACCTTTCTGACGCTTTGCTGGGCGCGCATCGTTTTCGGCCGCTGCCGCACTGGCAGCTTTGCGCTTCGCTGCGCTCTCCATCTGGCCGGGCAGGAATCGCCTCTTCCGTTCAAAACTACCTCAAGAATTCGTAACAGAAGTATCGAAAGGTGGGTGCAGCAAGGTGCGAAGGGTGCATCGTCGTCGTCGTCGCGCGCGCTGCAGGGGATCGTCCGTCCGCAGAACCATAGCGAACGCTCGGACCTCACCATCACGTGCGAAACATGAATCCTTGGCGATGAATATGTGGACAAACATATCAATCGAATCCAGGAAACATTCGCATACAAGTAAAGTATATGAGTTTCTGCGCGAATCCCAAATATCGCTAGTAAAACCTGTCAAATGTATCCGTACTATAGTCCCAGCTACCACGCAGACCCCAATCACTCAGGGTATCAACTCGCGAACTCTGGTCCATTATTTTGCATAGATATGCTTCCTAGACCACGGCCGTTCAAGACGCTTTCGAGCTCTCGGCCGCCGTCTTCTCAAACTCTTTCTGCTTCTCAGCTTCCTTCATCTCCCGTACTTTCGCCAGCACGACCTCCCTGAAGATGGCGCCCTTTGCGAGTCTGCTGAGGCTCCGTTTACCTCCTGGTGCAGGGTTTTCTGACGTGGCGCCAGTTTGTGCCGGTTGGTGAGCATCTATAGCTTCCCCTGCAGCCTTATGGACATTGTCAGGAACGTCTGACTCTTCAGGTGTTTCGCCCTCTTCCTCTTCCTGCATTTTCAAAGCCTCGATGCGATTTGCAAGCTTGACAAGCTCGATACCACGCCTGAGCCGTGCTTTCGCAACGTATGCGCGGATCTCTGGCAGCAGATTGTGGTCAGAGGCAGTCTTGCCAGTCAACCAGACGTGTTGCAGTGCAGCCTGCGCATGGTTAATATTGTGTTGGTTTAAGAGAAATTGATAGCAACCTACCTCGCTAGTCGGTCTCTTACTGGGGTCGGGTTGCAGCAACTGTGTGATAAACTCCTTTGCATCTTTGCTCACATCCTTCCAGTATCGTTCGTGGAATATTACCCGGCCATTCTTGCACTCCTCAATCAGATCTGCCAGATTCTCAGATCGGAATGGCGAGTAGCCGCACAGCAATGTGTAGGTGATGACGCCCAGGGACCACATATCCACTGGCTTTCCGTGCCCCTTCTTCATCATCACCTCAGGTGCCGCGTACCCAAAGGAGCCAGCCATGGTCGTCAGGACCTCGTTCTTGGAATCGAGCATTTTGGCAATACCAAAGTCGGCCAGCACGAGTGAGGAATTAGGGTCTGGAGTGAGGTAGAGGAGGTTTTCAGGTTTGAGGTCTGCAAGAATCAGCATAGGCGCGTCGCAAATGGACAAATGAGCGCTACCTCTGTGAACGACATTGTTGTGGTGGAGGTAATTGACGGCATCGAGCACCTGCCGAATGGTCTCTGCTGCGTCCTTCTCTGTGAATTTTCCCTTTTCGCAGATTCGATCGAAAAGCTCGCCGCCTGTCGCCAGCTGAGTGACAATGTAGTATTTGTCCTGCAGAGATCGGGTCAGCGATAGGACTGCAGCCGTAATAGAAAGTGTATCTCCTACCCTGGACTCGAACCAATCGTGGAACTTGACAATGTGCGGGTGCTTCATCCTCTGCAGCATTTCCAGCTCATCGTACACCATCTGCTCATTTCCTCGCACGTTCTTCTTCAGGATGATCTTGACTGCTACCTTGCCCTCAGGGCAATCTGCTTCGCGCACGATTCCATAGGTCCCCGCACCTAGGGTCCTTCCGAATCGGTATCTTGACCTGCACTAGCTGTTCAGTTTGTTATCAGTCAGGGTATGTCGAAGGTCGAACCCACTTCCGATCGTAGGACTCTGGCTGTCCGTGCAGCTTGTTCAGCATTCCAGAGACTGCAATTGAATCAGCGCCAGTGCGTCCGCGCTATGCGAAGTACTCACAACTCATTTTGGCGGTTTCTCGCGACAATCAAAGTAGGCGCCCCCAAGGCTGAGGGTGAAGTAGCTGCCTTAGAGGCGAAGCACGCTGTCTTGGTGCGGGGTGGGGATAATGATATGAGGGGTAATCGAGCTGTGGCTTGACGCGTCGTATGGCCGAGAAGGTAACAACGGTGGGAGTTAAAGAGAAATGGTAGATGATCGTGTCTTGAAAGGAGAAAGAGATGTTGAGGCGTCGACAGTCAGCATTTGAGTGAGTTGTCCTCCTTCACATGGGGCTGGTGGAGCTAAAGGGGGGTCCGTTTGCGCCTTCTCGTGAGGCTGAGCTGCGAGGCAGACCAGCTGCGCCTTGCCTGATTGGCCAACATCCACCTGTCATGTTGTGTGCTACACAAGGTCAGAGAGGCAGAATCGTCATCGCATAAAAGCATAATCGATCTCGACAATACTGTGTAGACAACAATGCGTTGTCTCCGCTACGTCCAAAAAGAACCAAGTTGGCGGGACTTTTGAAAGCAAGTACATAAGTAGGGTTGGGTGGGGACTGGGGTGCTAGATTAGGCAACGTACTTGTGGCTCAACGGCGATCTGATGTCATGGTCTTTACAACTTCACCGTTACTAGTGACACTATATAAAACCTGATTTACCATCTTCACTCGTTTCGTTTTCCGCGCCATTCAGCTGCTCACGTCTCATAAAGCTGCGCGATTCTGTTTCATCCTCCAGGATTCAAAACATATTTCAATATGGCATCGACACAACTCCTCACTATTCTCACCGGTGTACTCGCCGTTATCGCTCTTGGAATTTACTTGTTCGGCATTCCTTCCGAGTGGAAACGCGAGCTCGAGAGGCAGGCTTTGAAAGCAATGGGCGAGAACAAGATGTCGTACGTTGCGAAAGGTAGGGCTGGTCCTAGATCACCCCGTTTCTTGATATGATCGCTTACGTTCGACAGACCAGGTCAACAGAATTCCCGACTCCGACCAGAAGAATATCCAGGACGTCAAGGGAGGAGTTGGAAATGTCGTCGGAGGCGTCACCAACAACCCTCTCGGGGAAGCCACAGGCGAGGCTGCAGATAGCCTGACCAGTCCGCTCACAGGTCGTTGATTGCTTCTGATTTTGGCACACCAAGTGCAGTTGGGGGTTCGGATTATTGGACGACGAAGCCTTCGTAGTCCGACTGCGTATAGCGGCACTTGAATAGAGGACTCCGGTCCAGCTGGTCGGACGATTGCGTTTTTCCGTGTTCTTCGTCGGCCTCTATGTTGTCTGAGCCTCGCTTTGCTGATCTTCTTGGTGTTTTCGGTTACGGGTCCTCCTCTGTTGATGTTGATATCGTTCCCTGCTCGCCCTTTTTGATCCTCTGGCTCTTAATATACGATATCCTGTCTCCTCAATACCAGAATCAATCGTCCGAGCATCTCTTTCGTCCAACTCGACGTACTTCACGCCAACCCACCCCCGGCCTCAACCCCCAGCACTCGCAACAACCCACCAAAACCCCTGCCACCCGACCACAATCCCCCAGAACACAACCATGAACCCCGTCTTCCTCGTCTTATGCTGGAAATAATGCTGTCCCACAAGCGCTCCCGGCCACCCCCCTGCCAACTCCAACATATGCAACGTCGTCTCTTTAACTCTCCACTCTAGATTCCTCGCCTGCATCTTGTCGTACCCGTAGAACAGAAACGTGACTCCACTGATCAAGCAGGTGTAAATGAGGGGAAGGAGTGATCCAGTGCGCAAGTACAACCGGAACAAACAGAAGGCGGAGCATAGGATGGAGATTAAGCCTGCGGCAGTTGAGAGGGTTAGGGGACGTTTGCGGCGAGGGGTGCGAGGAGCCATTGCCGCTTCTGGCGGTGCAATGATGTTGAAATAGAGTTTTCCTTCGTTCTAACTAGAACGACGGAGGAATGAACGATACCCGGGAATCTGATGTGGTGTTGACGCTTCGCGGACCCTGAGATTGCCGATATGCGGCTAGGTGTCGATCTTCCGATGGCGCTAACGGGATGGGGTTAGTGATTCTGTTCACTTCACTTCATCGCGAGGTGTAGAAGAGCATTCAGACATACCAGATAGATTGTCCAGTGATACAGAGGATCACTGTATTAGATGAATGTAGTTGGTATGTTATAGGTAAAAATATAGGTCCACCTCTTCTGCCAGTCGAAGTATGCTAACAGTAACAAGTAAAAAGGACGGAAAGGAAAGTATTAATCCTCCCCGCTGCAGAACGCTCTCGCATATTGGTCCCCGTCATATAGTCCGTTCCGCATCAAAGAACCAAGCCCAGGCCGTGTGGTCACTCCTCTGATCCACCCACACCTCCTCCATAAGCTCAGCAGCGCCATATCCTCACGATAACGACCTTCACTGCATCTTCTCCAATAACATCCATTCATGATCCATAACACGGCCTTTCTTACCGTGAGTATCTGCACAACAGGTGCATCTCCAGAGTCACAGAATATGTCCCCTCCACATCTCACTCTTTCTCCCCCTCCAACCCATCGATCCGACCCTGAAAGGCTCTCGCCTTCCCAGTCAACACAATCCTCACAGTACCATCTTGTATATTAACTTCCGTGTGCGTCTTATGAATGGCCTCCATGTTGAACCAGTCATCTGTGCGGACAACGATCCCGCCGTTCCCGAGCCAAGATTTCACCTCCGGTGTGAAGACGTTGTTGAGTTTGTACGAGGTTTCGGGGTTGAGTAGGTTTCCGATCGAACCCGGCATTGTTTGATAGTCAATGGGAGGAATACTGTAGTGTGACAGGTACTCCATGGCAGGAGCAGATTGACTGCGGTATGTCGTCATGGCTTGACCATACACCGCATCTGCGGTTGGGTCTTCTATCATTGGCGTAGTGGAAGGGGGAGCGCTGAATCGGCGCTGGTAAATCATAGCACGGCTGGGCTGGTTGTAGTTCATTGGAAAGGCTTGATTGCCCTGGAAATATTCGGCCATGTAGGAAGGTATTCCCGATACTTGCGAGAAGGCCACGGGTTGCTGAAGAAGGAGACGCTGATTACGAGGACTCTCAAGTCCTGGACCTAGCGGGCCGAGGAAGAAACGTGGGCTATGCCGCAGGATCTCATGCTGCGGTGTACATGGCGAGGTCTGAAATGGCACTCTGAGCGGGTTACCATAACGGTTCGCAACTCTATGCGAGGCGTTCGGAGGCATCTTCGATACGAACTTAGCAGGCGACTCGGCAGCGCCGGCGCGAGTCTTCGCAGCAGGCTGCTTCTTCTTGGTGATTTTGTACGGCCGCTTCACTGGGTTCGACTCATTCGTCACGCCATAGGGCATTCCGGTTAGTCGCACGGCTTCCTCCGGTGTCGCATCGATCGGTATCTTGACATGGTAGGGACGCGGCCGAGTTCTATCCCAAGGTCTAATAGTCGGAATTACCGCGCCGGACCCGTTGGTAGGTGGAGCTGCTAGAGCCTCCGGGTCAGTGCTCAGTGTCTGTAGCCAGGATGCGACGAACGAGTATTGAAGTGACGGCTTACTATTGTGAGCTGATGGCGTTCCGTGGCGAGACTGCATTTCGGTATGTATGTTACGGAGTTAATAATGCCCGTGAGAGTATGCAATCAATACGAAGCGGCGGTTGGTTGCAGGTTGAGGTGGTTGAGGCGGTTGAGCCGGAGGGCGAGGGTGAGGCAACCACCGTGTTCATGTAGGTAAAACGGTAAAAAAACAGAGGACAAGGCAGAAGAGGCTCATGTACGATCACGCGTCTGAGCGATGAATGTTAAGGGTCCGCCTTCACCGCTGGTCGGCGTACCAGACCTTTCACCGGGCACTGACACAAATCGCTCAGTCACCCACAACAACAAAACAAAACACGCTACGTCATCGCCGCGCTGCCGGGCACCCTCATCACCACCGTTGATACCTCAAGTAACCCTCATATCTGCGAAATACTTCTTATTGCCCTATATAAACAGCAAACTTTTTCCATTCTATCGGGGTAAAATCGAGCTCGAGAGTGGTGTGGTCTATTCCCATACAATTCGCACGGACGACGACCACATTTACAAGGACCGGGTTCGTTCGATTCCCACGAGGTGCTGTGCGTCACCTCATTTGTAGAAAAAAACCCTGGGACGCTGAGGTTTTCTGCGGGCCGGGCCCGGCCCGTAGTTTTTTGCCATTTTGGCAGGCAGCGCCTATGCCTATGGAAATTTTTTTTTGGCTTTCCTTCTCCCCATGTAGGACCTCAAATAATGTGCGTGAGATATATAGTTAGTTGCTGCTTGAATTCGTCTGGTTTGAGTAGGTTAAGTTGTTCGGGCTGCGTCTTGAGCCTGGGCCATGCACCAGACGAGTGAGATAGGAGAAGCGCTTGCTAAAAGTGCTCTGCCTAGTGATTTGTACGTATATAAGAAAGCGATTAGGTAGAGTATAACTTGAACACGGTAGTTTTCGCAGTAAAAGCGGTCGTGGTGTCAATTACTGGTAGTAGTGAGTAACAAATGCACCCAAGGCAAACATACCTTACCCCCATCCACAAAGCAGCACCTAGCCATGAAACCAAGTCAAGCAGAAGCCAAATCCCTCTGTCGACATCTCCTCCACTACACCCAACCAGATCCACCGATCACCGTCCCTCCTCCCTCCTCCATCTCTCTTCCTCCCTTCTCCAGCTCTCTTCCTCCCTCCTCCATCTCTCCTCCTCCCTCCTCCTCTCCTCCTCCCTCCTCGCCATTTCCAACCTCCCAGCAACTATCCTCTCCACCATCCGCAACTCAGCTTCCCGCCTCTCCGCCGTCACCACAGCCTCATTCCGCCGGGAGTCGCGATTTCGCGTCCCTGTATGCGGACCTGAACCCCCTCCAATGCGTGGATACTCCCTAGCGTTTCCGGAGCTTTGATGTCTTTCTCGCTGCGTATGCTGTGTGTATGTTGGATCTTGCTGCTGCTGCTGCTGTTGATGTTGGTATTGACGTTGCTGCCGTTGATCCCGCTCATCATGACCTGGATCAAATGGAAAGCCTTCAAGAACACGAACATTCCGACCGCGAATGAAGTTCCAGAAATCCTTCAAGGCATCGCCGTGCCTACCCATGCTTACCCTGCCCGGAAAAAAGGTTTCCTGTAAAAGTATGTGTCTCTTAAGTCCCGGCTGCTGTTAATCAAGGCAATGTATTTGCGAACTCTGCTTCTACCATAGGGTAGAGAAAGGAGCAGGGGATACGGCAGCAGAAGATTTTATACCACGCACGTAGACACTTCGAGACGTGACGGTCTACAGCACACATGTTGGACACTAGACGTGACAGCATCATATGGGGGGCGTCGCGCGGTTTGTTGTCACTGACTGCGTGTTGGAGGGGATGCACGTGGGTACTACGCATGTGTGGTAGCAACCAAGACGCTGAATTGCTCTGGCGCAAGACTAGGACGAGAAATTGAGGATGTTGAGGTGTATGTATTTAAGTACGTGGTGGCTTATATCCAAAACCAGAGGGGCGGCGTTGGCAAGATCGTTGCGGCGAAGACATAGGACGTACGTACTGTGGCAGTATGCCTACAAACGCCGCTCGATTGCATGCGTATAGTGCGACAGAGACTGCCACTCGTCACATACAAATTCTACATTGCCATGGACTTGAGTATCCCACACACGTATCCCACAGCAGATCAAACCACCTTCCACATCACGGCCCTGTACACCCTCCCCCGGGCAAACGCACGCACAGAAACAAAGCTGAGCGAACTTGATATCAGCATCTTACGCGATTCCAATACACCCCCACCTACTTCCCCTCCTCCGTCCTCCCAAACCCCCTAAACCCAACATCCCTCCTAAAGAACTTGCCAATATTCTTCAAATTCTCATTCAAATTCCCCCTCTCCTGTCCGGCCTCCGCAACCTGTGCCCCCGGCGCCGGGCTCCCAAACCGATCAACACCATCCCTCGCCGCATTCATAAGCGCGTTTCCAAAGCCCGCGGGATCAAATCGCCCACTACCCAGACTAGGCGTCCCGCCCATGGCACTGGCTGCGATGCTCGTGCCGATATGCGCGGATTGTACTTGCAAAGGAGTCAGCAGCGGGCTGTTTTGTACCAGGTTCTCGTGATTCGGGGAGGCGCGGAAGGCGGCGAAGAGATCGAGGAGGTGGCCTTGTTCGGCTTTGCGGATGCCCTTGAGGTCGAGGATTTTGCGGAAATTGGTATCGGATTTGTCGGCGATGTGGATGAGGTACGCTTGGACGAGGGCTTCGGGAGGTGAGGGCCGGACTTGGAGGGTTTTTAGGAGGGGATCTATCTTGCTCATCGACTGATTTACGCGTTTCACGAAGCTGGGATTCATTAGCACGGATCGTATGGAAGAGGTTGAAACAGAAGGAAATTTACCTTGCTGGTGGAGCGGTACCCGGCTCTTCATTCAACACAGGTAACTCGGTGAAGCCTTTCTTCAACACATAGGAATCCAGGAGCATCTGTTCCGCACCAACTTCGGAGATGGGCTTGCTCTGGACGATGTTTGCAACATACGTCGTGGCCAATATATCCACCAAGTTATCGCAGAACGCTCTTGCGTATTGCTGCTTGTGTAGGTATTTGAGCACTTCTGCAGAACCTTCCTTGACGTGGTGCAGCAGCTCGGTCACGTAAGTGCTATGATCACCAACATTCTCCAGTTTGCTCCACGGTGTATTGCGCATCTCTCTCCAACTGGGCTCGCACGCAAGCTCAACCTTCCTCACGAGCACCCGCACGGTAGCACTGGCGATTCCCATAAATGCATCGGCTTGGCTTTGCAAATCGACCTTTTCGCGAAGGTCATCGTCAATGCGGCTTCTGATCTTGTCTTCCAACTGATTGCAGGTTTGGTAACAATAATCAGCCGTGTTGAGGATAAGAACGGCATCTTCCACAGATGGTCCTTGTGGCCCAGGCTTCTCGCTGAGGAAGTAATACAGAACCTGTTGGCCATATTGATCGAGATACTTGGCAAAAGTACGAGAAAGTTCCAGTAACCTGGTCCCTGTTGATAGTTTGGCACATTGTGCGAGAGTAAGACGGTAAAAGTGAAACAATTCCGTGGAAGACGGGATGACGGCTTGTGCGGAGAACTCCTCTTCTGCATTGCGGAGTGGCTGTTGGCGATATTTGGGAATAAGAGTAGCCAATTGCCTAACTTGGTTAGCACGGTTCGTTCATGCAGCCATATCACACCACATACTTGTCTTGCGACTCCACCCATAGGCTCATATACGGCTCAAACGCCTCGGAGATCGCTTGATTAAAACCTTGAGGTCGATCTTCCTTACTTGCCATTGTATCCAGCGAAGACCGTGGCTATGTCGCGTGAGCAAGCCGCCAGGGCGCGGAGTATGGATAAAACTCACCTCGGTGGAAAAGCGGCGCTCAAGGCTGTGCTCAAAATTGAGTGTTTCTTGCAGACACGAGAGGAGGAGATCCACATCCAAGGTCTGGCCATCGCCTCTACGCATATACCGCTGCAAGATTGCCTTGAAATCGTCCCGTGTGCCTTCACAGAATGAGTTGGCAAGCATCTCGTTTACCCTCCAATGAGAGGGGAAAATAGCGGCATGTTCCAGGTCGTATGTCTTCATCATTCGATTGAACCAAGAATATCTTCTTGATATATTGTCCAGAGAAGCAGCCTACTGTAGTCAGTGACGACGTTATAGTGTTCACAGAAAGCGGGGTATCACCTCGTCATTCCCACGAAACACTTGTCTGTATTCGCGCAGCTGGGTGTTGCAATACCAGTTGACAAGGCGAATCCTTGCATGATCCCCTAGCGCATCCATAACCAAGCATGCTTCTGTCAACATGGCCTTGCGCTGGGCGACTTCATCTTTCGCAAAGGCGACCTCGAAATCCTCACATATCTGTTCCAGAAGCTCGCTCTGCAAGTCGGCAACGTTGCGGCTCAGGGTTGCGATTTGGTCTATTGACCGATAGCTCTTGAAATGTGCCACGAGTTGGACGACAGCCTGCAGCAGCTGAGCGCATTCTCGGTATTGACGAGATTTGCTCAAGCTCCGTAGCTGCTCATATGCCGTTGTCAGCATTTGCAAACGCTTCAATGCGGTCATTGACAGTGTCAAGTTGCGCTTCGTGTTGTCCAAACGCTTGATATCGGCGGTCATATCTGTGATGGTTCGTTCCGTCTGTAGGGCCCGCGATCGCACGCTTTCGATCTTGCTGAACAGGTCGGCGAGCTCTGCCTTCGCGGCTTGTATTCTAGCAACGCTATCTGCGTCTGAGGCCGCCTGCGCCGCAACAAAGGCGGCGATGTCCTCATCCAGATCATCTTGATAGCTGCGGAGAGTCTCGGAGGTGGCTTGTATGGAGTCTAGGGCTGCAGGATGGGAAAATATAAGGTTCAAGTGATCGATAGGGTCATATTCATCTAACGCAGCCGTCAGTAGCTGTTACTATCCCGTAGCTGGGACCTGAACGGCGATCTCATACCGGAGTCGAGAGAGGGTGAAGCTGCAGGCATGAAGTCCAGTTAGGCCTGCATGGGCCCGGATGACGTGGTAGACCGCAGCTGACGTGCGAAAGGAAACCCCCAACAAGTAGGAAAGGCAGGGAGGTGTCGAAAATGCGGCGCTTGTCTGCTCGCTTTGCAATTATTGAAATATTGATTTGAGAAGACGTTCATGCTTTGCTGCGGTGGTGGCTGGTGCGGTGTTCCTCCTGCGAACGGACCAGGTAACCCCGGCAGAAATCAGTCAGGGGTCATCTCTCCCCGCAACGCCACAATTGCAACCAACCCCCACGTACGGAGTATCCCCATGCATCTTCATAAACTTTGACAATTTGAAAAAGTGTCCTCATGCCGGCGCAATAGAGTAATTTAACATGTCAAGCTGATTGGGGCTGAGATGCACTCAAATTGTTGCTCACTCAGGAATCTCGTATTCACCATGGCCCGTCATGCGAAGTATTGAGGAATCGATGACTACTAGATTTGAAGCACAAGTAGCTGGCACATGAGATCATAATCCGGAAACTGGATACAGACCTCACAGCTGCATTGACACAATGTTGCGAAACAGTGTGAAATCGAGCCATCGAATAAGAACATCCGTCCAACTGCTTCGCCACGACCCGTTTATGTCCGCTGCAGGAACGAAGTGAAGCGGTCTGTGAATCGTGCATAAGAAGCTTGCACTTCAGAAGCTAAATAGGTTGCATTTGAAGTAACGTTATATGCAATATTCTTCCCTCCCACTAGCTGTGTGGTGCAGTCCGTCCACGCTGAGTAATGGAGTATAATCCCAAACCGGCCTCTCGACTATTGCGGAAACAATCCCAAGAATCCATTGTAAACCAGGCTCCTGTCTTTCTGCGTATGAGCACTTGCATCGCCGGTGCCCGTCCAATAGAAGAGACCGCCGAGTCCATTGTGCCGCACATATCGTGCCTTCATCTGAACGGTCTGGGGATTGTCGTAGGTAATGAAGCCGCCGTCTTCTCCAATGCAGTAAGCCGCACCGACGTGCTCGTCGACCATCTCCTGTGAGCCCGGTCTAGGTAGGTCTTTGTATTCAAAGGTGCCTTCCTCTCCTGCACATCCTGAATAGGCGCAGCCCACACCCTGCGTGTTGAGAAAGGACCGACCGTAAGCCGGCACTCCCAATATAATCTTGTTTGCAGGGACGCCATGCCGGACCATGTAGGTAACGGCGGAATGACATGAGATAGCGGCCTCAGTACTATGCGGAATCTGAGGCGTGTAGAGCTGGGCCTGATGTCCGCACTTGGGTGTCCAGGGACCGGAGAAGTCATATGACATCAGGTTGACCATGTCCAGATAGTGCGCAGCATTGGCCAGATTGATATGTTGAAGGGCCCACTGACCAGCTGGAAGTGCAGCGGATAGCGTGTACTGGGGTCCCGGTAAGTAAGCTCGCAAAATCGCGAGCAGTGCGACAAAATCCCCTCCTTGACGTGAATCTGCGGGGTGTTCCCAATCAACTGCGAACATGATTAGCATAAAATTTGGTGATAGTGGGGGAAGGGCGCTGAGCCTACTGTCGATTCCGTCGATGCCGAACTGCTGGATGAGACCCAGAGCCGTTCGAGCAAAGGTCTCGCGGGAAGCTGGATTGCGAGCAACCTCAGCGAAAGTCTCGCTGCCTTTGCCCCCACCACCAACAGAGAGTACAACTCTGAGCTTGCTGTACTTCTGTTTGATTAGAGCGAAGGAGTTCAGACATCCGTTTGCCTCTGGAATGTCCCCTGAGCCAGGGACTTTGATCTGGGCATCGGCCCACTCATCGCTGAGCTGCGTTTGTTAGCCATCTCGCAAAAGCATAAACCCAGTGAGCTTTACGTAGACGGTGCCATCCGGCTTTACCCTGCCTAGAATTTAGTTGCAACTCTAGATCTCACTTCCTCCTCGATCAACTGCACTCACCAGGCAAAGGCGTAGAAGACGTGAGAGACGACGTCAAAATTGAGGGAAATGGGCGGCTGATCCCTGTACACACGCCAATTGGGATAGTAGACTGCGTTCCAATACATGCTTTCGAATGGTGTTGGGGAGGGAGCGTCGTCTCCATAGTATGCATATGGTGGGGGAGAAGTTCGGCTCATAACCGGTTGGTCTAAGCGTTATTGGCTGCGTTGGGGTGCTGCACCTAAGTCGGAATACGCAAGTGAAACTGCCGATTCGACTAATGGTAAAGGGAAGAACGAGGGAAATATAAAAGGCGGAGGTGTCAATAACGCAGAACGCAATTGCTGATGGACCAGGGGTAGCAGTGAATGGCGATGATGGGCTCGAGACATTCGGGTCACCCCATCTACTGCATGCCCTGCCACCCAGGATTGTACTACTGAGCAGTGCGCAAGGGGAAGTGTAAGGACGGCAGCTGCAGTCTCGCCGTATTTGAAATCGCAGGCCGCAATTCATGTGGCGGCCAGATGCGTGCCAGCGATACGTCCAAGGCGAACATCCGAAGCTAGTATCATGAAAGAGATTTCAAAAGCGGAAAGGGTCTCCAAGGACTTCAAGAGTATGTGGAGGCGGTACTCTCGGCCGGATCGTTTCGAGGCAGGGCGGACTAGTACGATACAAGCTTGGTATTCGTATAAAGAGATCCCTGGCACGCATAGTACTCAGGTGGGCAAGATTGATTGCCGTCACCGTTGTCGGCTCGCGTAATTCAGTCACCACAGCAGGTCCTCACGATCTGGGTGCCGCCGTGGTCGACACTAGTTGGAAACGTCAATGCAGGCCGTAGCTTGCTCTTACGATTGTAGAACCGAACCCTGGTACCAGGAGGTCATGCAACAGAACTGGCCTGTGAAGACACAGCATGGTTGCATGGTCAATGCGTAACGCAGACGGAAGAGGAACGCCATGCTCGAGCAGCAGTGCCAAACGATCCATCAGCGCCAGGTATAGGTAGATAGAGAGCTGAATCCATGGCCAGATGATTTGATTTTGCGCGGAACGCCATCTTGCGGGATACAGGTCAAAACCAGTCAAGTGTGATCGATGGCGCAGGCGGGAGAGCTTTCCGGCGCAGCACGGTAAAGGGTTGCCTCAAACGTATCTAGCGCAGCCGTCACGTCCACTACTACTGAATATCAGTAAATGAGAGAGTTCAGACCGAGAGTGTTCCAAGGTTGCTCCAGCCACGTGTGAAGGGTGATCGGTGAGGGACGGGATGGTTGCAATTGCTTGCAGCTGCGCATGCGGATGCTTTATGACAAACATCTGTCTTGGCGTGCACGGGCCATAGTCCTGCGGGTACGATAACCTCCAACAGCTTGAGCTCACCACCAACAAGCTGACGTCGGAATCTTCCGCACCCCCATCTTTCAGGAAATCGGTCAGTTCTTGCCGGAGAGCCGGCCAGCCATTCCAACACGAGCGTCGTGAAAGCTCCCGTCCCACTCGTTACCCGATACATATCCGCAACTGGAGACATTCTTTCGCCTCACCTATCATTTGAAGAGGAGTTTGATTCACGCGGGCGCAAGATGACAGCAGACGTGCAGGGCGCGGTGGGCGCTGGAACGCAGACTTCTCCCGACGCACCACACGCGCCGTATCAGTTCAACTTTAGCGACTTCCTGCGCCGCGAATATCGCTTCGGCCTCGATCCAAATCGTCCCGCGTGCAAGGCGTTTATGCAAGGCCACTGCCCTCTTGGTAGTAACTGTCCCGACAAGCACAATGTGTCCACATCCTACAACAAGTATGTCGCCCTACCATACATGCTATGACCACTCTCAAGTGCTAACTGCCTGTACACAGCCTTGTCTGCAAGCATTGGCTGCGTGGTCTTTGCAAGAAGGGCGAGACTTGCGAGTTCTTACATGAATACAATCTTCGCCGAATGCCCGAATGCTCTTACTACGCCCGCACCCTCACATGTTCCAACGGCGACGACTGTTTATATCTCCACATAGACCCTGAATCCAAGCGACCGGCCTGCCCTCACTATGACCGCGGATTCTGTCCTCTTGGGCCACATTGCGCCCTGAAACACAATAAGAAGGACAAGATATGTCCATTTTATCTGGCGGGCTTCTGTCCAGAGGGGAAGGCATGCAAGAATGGAGCCCACCCAAGGTTTCCTACCGACCTCAAGAAACCCGAAGTGCGTGTTGAGAAGACGAAGGAAGAACTTGAGCAGGAAAGATTGGAACGAGAGTTACAGCGTGAAAAAGAAGAAGAACAAGAGCGAGAGCGCGATGATCGCGGTATTCACTCTGGTGCTGCACACAAGTTCCGAGGCAACTGGGGTGATCGCAAGAAGAGGGGTGGCAGAAGACATCGCGGTCGCGGAGGCTTTTGAGGACCTGCGTACTCCCTCATGCGCTGCGGAGACCCTATCCCAAGTCCAAGATTTGACGGAAGAACAGCTGGCGGCAAAAATGCCGCTACACAAGCGAAGCAACTGCTTCTCAAGGAGTTGTTTTGCCATTCCCGAACGAGAACGGCGACCACTGCGCGCTTACTGTTTCAAGAAACAGATGCCTATCTTCTTAGAGCTTAGAGTGGTACCCGTTCGGTATTCCCCAACAAAGCGGCTTTCGGCCCGGTGGCCCTCCTCGCACAACAGTTGAAGCTACCTTGCTTAACTGAATAGTGACGGTGATCGTTCATCTTCGATAAGCCTACTTAACGAAGCATGCTATCGACTCCTGACGACCTCGTAAGCGTTGTCCTCCGCTTATCAATATTCCCAAGTCCGGTCCGGTCATCGCCACCTCCCAACCTCGAGCATGTGACACTGTCAGTGAGCTCCTAGGTATAACCGGCATTCATCATCTCGAAACTCGCTTTGAGCATCAAAGGTACCCTGCACCCATCCCGTCGTGGCACCTGTTTCCCGGAACACGTCCGCTCACTGCGCAGGAGTACGCGGTTTTCTCCTTCATTCGCACCCGTATGCTGGAACGGGGTGGAAAGGCATACCCTACTATAGTCGACGCTTCTGATATACTGAGCGCTTTTGTCACCCCAGGAGGGGACACATTTGTCCCTGTGCGTCTCAATCGATAATAATATGTCTATTATTATGATAATAAAGTTGGATATAGCTGTGACCTTTCGTGGTACCTGCAGCACCATGACATATATTTCTTGGGCCGAGATGGAAATCTTCTCGAATGAACCGCGTTGGATGGATCTCGTATGCATGCTGTATGATAGATGGATTTTTTCGAAATAGGTGTATCGGCAATGCAAACTCCCGTCCAGTCCCGTATTAACTTAGATCACGTGTTGTCATGCTCCCGAAGTCCCTACCTTATCCCATCGACTCTCGCCTTCATTGACACTGTCTTCGCTTTGAAAGGCATCATTTCTTTGATTGCAAGGTTTACTTCCATTTGTCCCACGGTCATACCTTCCTGGGCTGTCCTCCCCACGCCCTAACTAGATCAGGAGTGGCGCTGGGTGACAGCAAGGAATCCATGCTATGCGGTAGAGTTTAATTCAACGTCTTCAACGTCATCTTTCTTCCACTGTCTTCCCTAATGACTCCGTTTAACTGTGAAGGAACTCACCAAAAGTTGCCATGGCGTTGGAACTGGGAAATGGTTTATCTGTACGGTCCCGTACCTCTCGTACATTGCTGCTGAGGTGAGCTATTCAACTTCCCCGACGGTCCTCCAGTTTCTCGTTTGTGGTCGACAAATCACTGACTTCGCATCTGCATTGGTGAGCTGAATCGGTAGGGGGGCTGCGGTTCACTCTGGAATCTCACCGGCCAATCTTGCGCTCTCCAGAACACCACCAGGTACATGTGAGACCTAACACTTTGTTATGCTGTAAAGAGAGTTGCTAATAACTGGCAGTCTGTTCTTGTTGCCTCTGCTAGGCGCTACTCTGCTCTTTGCAGCTATTTCTAGTACCCACGCAAATTGATCGCTGCTAGAAATAGCAACGTTATATATATTGATTATAGCGTTATCTGCATCGATTCGCCTTTGTTAAAGTCCGGATGTCGTACAACACAAACGAGAGCTCTGAGAGGCAGCCGAGTTCCGTCACTTTCACACATTGTCGTCGCTTCCAGAGGAGGTATCAGTGAACGTTGACCGGAGAACGTCCTCTTCTATATTTGATTCTTACCACACCCCGCCGTGAAAGGGATACTGGATTCCAATCGCCACCATCCATCAGCCTTGATATATCAGCGGGTAAGCTACGCCACAACGGCAGCCCAGTTCTCCGGACTCAGCTTGAGTCACAACGGAGAATGCCAAACTGTGACGCTTGCGTTTTCATATCGTCCTCCGCGGCTATAGGCAAAGGACGATAGGTTCACGGTCAGGTGCAGATGTTTTCACCATGGAAGCCCAAAGCAGCAATCGGTGTTCGTATGCGAACCGGTGGGAGGGAGGGGTGTTCGCCCCCGCACGAAACTTCCAGGGATCAAATCAAAAAGATTTCCTGCAAGAGAGCAGCCACACCACGCCCGGCGAATGCGTAATCTTTTACGGACATTCCATCGAGGTTTTCACCCGTTTTCGGCCCGAGCCTGTGTTCGTTTCTCGAATTTGGAGACGAAACGGTGTGTTTCACAGTTTCCAAGCGCGGCTATTCTACTCACTGCCGTACCGCCGTTGCTTCCGAACCGGAGGCTTTGCAATTACTATTTAACTCTGGAGGGACGCTGGTGGAAAACTAAAGATCAACTTCGAAACCGCTCAAGTCCCCGGGCACAGTATATGTCTCATACTTTACCTCAGTACGAAGAAAAGCACCGCAATCGTGGCCAATGGCGAATTCCACTTACGGAACTCCGGCTTCGGACATGCCGCTAAACCCTGCTGATGAGCCCGAGTTCTACGAGAAAGGTTATCCTTCGCTCGCGTACTTTTTCTCCAACAATCCTCGTTATCTTCATTTGCGACGATTCTCCGGTCTATCAATCCGCCTTCTGCTATATCGCCAGTGCGAGCTTGTTCATCTTGAGAAGCAACTGCTGGGGATGGACAAATCCAATATTTCAAGCATCGAAGGAAGGAGATCTAGATACCATATCGACTATGCTGCCACACTCACAGATCCACATGGTAGCAAGTTCCGCAATTTGGTAACGGATATAAGAAATAGATTGAAAGAGTATGGTACGTTGATGTCATACGCTTCGAGTTTCACTTCAACTAAGTTGAGCACAGAAGAAGATCTCATCCGATTCGAGAAACTGGGCCTCAAAGGTTTTGATATGGCCAAAGTCAAAGTCGTACAGGATTGGCTTGATCATCCCGAACTCGGCGCCTTGATACTGGATGGACAAGATCGGGACATTTGGGGGACTGGTGCGAAACCGGATGGTCATGCGCTTGACATCATCCAGGTTGTAAAGGAGTCGGAATCGAGTCCGGCAAGCAAGTATCTGCAAGATGGCCTTTCTCGCTGGTCATCTTGGACAGGGAAGTGGCTAACATTGTTTTCCACCTGGCAAATGAAGAAACCAGACAAACACAATTGGCACATTCAAAGTCGGTCGTCATTCCAAGGACTCTCGCTCACCATCGGATCTGTGCTCACCTCCGTGCTTGTTTATGGCGCGATTATTTCCCTGAATTTTGTTTCCGGAAAGGCGTTCAATATCGTCGTCGCCATTCTTGTTCCACTCCTGATATCACTCTGTGGGTTAGGCTTCGTCAACCAGAAATCCATTGCCACCTGGAGCATGCTTGGAACGTAGGTTTCCTCCTCTACCCTCTGCTGAGTATGTCTTCTCGCTAATATTCATATTTGAAAGTATCTGCGCAGTGCTGGTCACCCTGTCCGCGAACAATAACGAGAAGACACAATGCCAAACTTGTAGGACAGTCTGATTGTCCGGGTCTGTGTTACATAATCATCAAGGGGTTGGAAGTCGGCAGGAACCCCATGACTCGGACGCCGGAGAAACCCTCACCGGGGAGTGTGGGCCTGCCCAGTGGTCTGTTCGTTTCCTCTGTAAAGGATTGCTCCGTTGCACAAGGCATATTCGCGATATGTCCATTGCTTTGGTATTATGAGTGATTGGGCACATCGCTCGGGCCTTTGGCATCCCGGCGAGCTCGTGCGCAATGGACCCTTCACGGCAAGATGACGAACACAAGACCGACATGAAGAGAATGTCCAGCCCTTGCGGCTCATCAAAATCCGATAATGATCGACATACTCAGCGAGCGATGTCGCATACCTACCCCGGGCCAGGAACCTGGAATACGCCTGCTGGCGCACAATGGTCTGCGAGCTGTCCGCACTGAAACATGACAGTCTTGAAGAGGAACTCCAAAAGTGGGCCCTGTCAATATGCTTGGGCATGTAGCTCATCAAATGCACACTGCCGTCAAAAAGGCCTCGCATGAGTCGCATCAGGTCAAAACGGGCCATGCAACTGCATGCTCGACCCCTGTGCCCTACATGGACGTTTGCAGGATACAGTCTCCATGAGTGGAGATCTCGCGATTCCATTATAAGGAGTGGAACCCCAGTTACGACCATCACAGCGCCTAGGTTTTCTGCGTACAAGAACGATACCACAAAGCTTTTATTTAAACCAAGCCAGTCGCACCCACTGCCAGGAAACCACCGTTTAAGACCATCAAGCTTCTCCATTGTATCGAATACTGGGATGGATCGAAGTGTTCAGCCTCGAGATCGCCTTCTTCAGCCACCGAACGAAGAGTTGAGAGGTACAACTGCAATCAAGTACAAGATCGCTCACATGTTGACAGTCCTATCCAGAGTACAGAAAATCTCCACAGTACCAAAATGCCCTTAGGCAGAGGTCCTCGAATGTCTTGTCTGTTGTACTGGTGAACGGGGTCTGGAAAGACAAGGAGACCACACAAGCCGCCGCCCCTCAAGGCGCAACCACACCCGCCACTCAACCGGCCATCGAAACTGCGCCGCGAACTACTCGAACGAATGCTCGGTCTGCTCCTCAGACCACCCCCAATGTGTCCATTCACGAGCTTGAAAGCATTTCTATCGATATACAGACGTCTCCGGGAACTGGGACAGCCTGCGTGCAATTTTGCGCTCAAAACTCGCACCACAAACCCCTCGCCAATTCAGCTGCGGGTCCCAGCACACAGCCTTAAATTGGTACAGGCGCGACCGATATGGCAACCGATCTGGAAAATTTAAGTTTCCTGTCTGCATCTACGCTCGTTGGAACCTATCAGTGGGCTCTGTCCTTTCTGACTCCTGAGTCACCCCATGCGAGCCGAAACAAAAAGTCTTTTGTACTGTTTGGAGAGATTGTGACTGGATTTTGGCACGGACGCACTGTTCTGACGAGTGCCGGCCACCGCGTCAACTACACCTTTTGCTCTGTTTTAGAACGGACAGTGCTTGCTCTGTCAAGAATGCTATCTACCATTTTGACCCCAAGACGCTTGATGGTCCAGCTGTGGAACGCAATGGTCGCATCATGCAGAGTCGCTCATGTGTTTCAAAAAGAAGTTTTGTTCGGCCACCCAAGCAAGGGTACCACGGCTTGGAGGTGTCTTCACTCCTCAGAGCGTGCGTGAGCGTGCAGTGAGGCTGGGACCGTTGGATTCAGGCGGGATCGAAACGACGCCCACCAACCGACCAAGCTCCAGTGCTAGTAGGACCCGCTCTAATTTCCGCTTTCTTCTGGTCGGAGCCGTCATCAGTCTATTTGGCTGTGGCTACGGACGATTTGGGTGCGCCCCTGAACCCCTTCCTGTCCCCTCCCGGCTAGAGGTGGCCATCGCACGAAGTGGACTTCAAAAAACAAAATCAACGCCCACATGAGCGATTCCGGGATCCTGGCAATGGGTCATTACTCCCGACCCGCCACAGCGACGAGATCTCACACTCGTTTGCACGTTGGGGCGGTGAGTGGTTTCGCGTACAACCACAGCCTTCCGCGCTGCCATGTTCATGCCTGCGTATGAATGACATAGCGCGTCTGCAACGTTGAGGCTCTGTCCATCCAATTGGCGTCACTCCCGGGCCTATCTCTCTGTGCCGTGTCACGCTTTGTTACAAGAATCAACACAATCGATTGGCTAACATTCGACTTTGGGGCAGTGTACTCGAAGGTTCAGAGGTCAGGGCGAGTAGTGGAGTGCAGAAAACCGGTCAATCGCCAGCCACCGAACATCTTTTTTGTTTATGTTGACACGGGAACCGGCAGACTCTCTTGTCGACAGACGCCATCCAGTAGTAGCGGTCCCTGCTCAACCAGCAGTGAAGATTTGATCTTTCTCGCACATTCCACTGGTGCGGCAGATATGGCCTCTTCCACGCGCGAAACCATGAGACGGGATTCCCTGTAGGTGAGGGTACGGCTGGGACAGTGCGGGATCTCAAGCAGGGAGGCGGTGCTACTCGGATAAGGCCCGGGAATCGCGACCTTACTGAGGGCGGGACGCCCACCGCAAAATTTTTCAGTTCGCGGACGGGTAGGTGACGCGTCCACTCACTCTTTTCCTCCCTTCCCGTTCAAGGCCGTATCCTTCAGATGCTATTTCGATCTCTGCTGCGCACCTGGGCCGGAAAACTTGGCTCCGGCGCCGCCCAGCTCACGTTGGTCCTCCATGAGGGTCTGAGCCTACGCCAGGGCCATTCGAAGTAGTGGGCGGCCTCAAGTGGAGCCTGGTGGCTTGTAACTTGGGACGACGCGAAAATGAACTTATCTGCTCGCAGGGATGCGGATCGCAGTCCACAAATTGAACTCTATGCCTCGCTTTCGCAGGACTGACCCTTCAAGGGATGAAAATTTATCTTAATGAGCATTGTCAAAAACGTGAGCATGCGTATGTCTATCCGATTATACCACCCTACGGCTCCTGCTAACAAAACAAGAAATTCGTCGTTCTCGAATAAGAAGCTAAGATCAACGATTCGTTTCGATGACGAATGAAACAAGGTTAAGATGCGAATTCGACAGTGGCAGGTCGTGTTTCGCGGCGCATGCTTCAAGTACGCGAGATCCGAGGCGTGATACGCAGTGTTTGACTTCCCATCCTTCAATGGCGAGAGATTGTATATGAAAGTATTTCGATATTTCACGAGGCTGCACCTAGCACAATAGTTTCAGAGTAGCTTAGACATCTTCTAATAAGAACATTTGATAGCAGCACTAGAAGTCTATGATTCTTGCTTGAAGAAGCCTTCTTCAGCATGGAGGTGGGCCCAGTGGTACTTTCTGGATGACGTTCCAGCAGGGAAGGGGAGTTTCGACGTATCTGCAGAACTTCGAGATACACGAAAGTGGAAGGACAGTTTCATGAATTCACGAAAATAAACCCTGCTTTACTGCGAATGACTGTCATTTAAGGTGCTTTTATATCGCACGGGTAGATCGCATATCCCACAGAATAATATTCTTCAGTGTACCTTTCCCAGTCTGCATGTTGCTATCGGGAGCATGACGAAGGGAAGGTATCGCCTTTGCGAACGCGGATACTCTAGCTCTTTTGCGACATGTTTCCTCGTGGAGAGTTATGGTCAATAGCTAGGTGAGAGTATTAGAATGTATCTTATTTCTGTAGCGTTTCTCCACTTCTTATCTTCTCCAACTTTATGTACAGGTGCGTTTTGTCCGCCTTTGACAGCGCCAATGTCAGACCGAAGCAGACGAGGAAATACCGACCGTTAAGGTCAACCGGTATGGCACTCTATTCTGAATCCAGGACCGTTATCGGAAGGCCCTCTGCTCTAGGGTATCTATCGTTACTCTTTTATGTATGCTAACGTAGTGTGGCGTACGAAATATCGCGAACCACTGCGCGCTACGTGCGATTAGGCAAATAGCACTCGTCTGCGCCTATACCGTGGTCCCAGCCTGTGAGTCGCATCCGAGCGTATTTTGAGTCGTTAATAGGACGAGTAATACTGCCGAAGTGTGGATTCCGCTTGTGTAAGGCGCGCGTTTGGACTGATCGGAGTGCTTGAGGGCGCTATATAAGCGGACGCGGTGTGTGATTGGGGCCGTAGGGGACATGGACTAAAATCTTTGTTAGCGCGCTCTCCTAAAAAAACTGGAATATCACTTGCTTCGGGGTATAGGACTTCAGGACTCTCGCTGCTGAGTTAAGAGTATGTCGTTCGACAGTCCACTCATCAGAGTAAGGCTCAGTGTTCCCAGGCGGAACCACGAAGATAAAAGAGATCGTTGCCAGAGTGTGACGCCCAACACCGCCACAGTCTTCTTACCTCTCGAATGGATTATCCCCTTGTCAACCGCTTCTGCTGGGAGGCAGCCCTGCAGTAGGTCGCGCCCACGGTCGAACACGCCATCGATGAAACCTGACAGGGGGTCAAAAATCCCAGAGTCAGCTACGCCGCAGAAGCAGAGGCCAGTCCGCTGGTTACACGAGGCCTTGAATGACACAAAACAATAAAGGCGACAGATTGTTCGACCCCTCAAAAAAGACCATTGCCAAGAGGTAGCATACCTTATGAAGAAGACTCACCAAAATGCTTGGAAGACGCGTCTAGATGACACCATGCAAAGTGCACTTCACTCTCCTTCCTATCCCACCTCTGTCTTGACAGTTTAACAACACGTATTTTAAGCTCACCGCCTGTGTTTTTGTGACTTCTCCGGCCCAGAGGAGCGGGAAAATTGAGAGTGATGTCTCACCCTTCCTGGACCTTGCACCAGGCCACGTCCCACGTTTCTCCACAACGGACCCTGCCACCTGCATCCCCGGTACCTGTCCAGCTGGTGGACCGTTGAAAAATATTGTTTTTTTTTTCAACGGGGAGAGATCAGTCTGCTAGGTATCCCGTATGCCAACAGTTGACATTAGCCCCAGCACAGGGCGCTCATCTATACCTCGCTATGCGAGCCTTCCGGCTTCCGCGACCTGCATGTTGTGACTGTTTTGGAAAACCCCCTGCATTATCTCTACCTACATAGTAGCCGGGCGGAAACGCCTTGTCGCCTCGATCGTCTTGCACATGCAACCCCTGAGAAGCCTCCCCCATTCTCCAGGGATACTCAGTAAGTATTTTGCATTGGGAAACCATGCCACCTCACCGGTCCAGTGCCCACACGTTCGAACCAGTCCCACCAAAACGCTCCTTGCATTATACCTATCGAATCTCTGCTTCGGCTACGCTCGGCCGCTTCCACGGGAGGGGGAAACCATGCAGTCATCTCTGATCCAGGTAGTGCATCGACAATCCCAAGGTGCGCGTGGCATGGTTTTATCCTCCGCAGGAAACACGAGGAGGACTCTCAGAAGGATTGACATGAACAACCCCGTGTCACTTGAGTCCTAACCTCAACGAAAGAGCGGTCAAGGACACAGTGCGTTCAACCACCCCTTGGCGACAGCAAAAGTGGTGACTTCTTAGGAAAAGGAAAAGAAAGGGGAAAAAAGAGGAGGCTGAAATTAAGTGGCTGTCCGAGCGTAGTCCCTCAGGCTTGGACCCACGCAGGGACCAGCCCCAATGTGATGGAAAGATCCGCGACCTAGCACGTACCATACATGTCCGTAAAAGTCATTTGGGAAATCCACATGTGTATGGACATCTTTCAGAGGCGATGCCTCAATGTCGAAAAATTCTTTTCGACTCTTCAAACCCTGCGTTGCGCGGCATAGTATGACAGACACTACAAGCAATCTATGAGATACCGATACCCTGCGGAACTCTATGGGCTAAAGCAAAAGAAGCGCCAGAGATAAATTCTCTTCACTAACATGTGACTTTTTCTATATTCCCATCTTGAATTCTTATCTGAAGTGTTAAACGGAAATAGACTGGATTTTTCATATCTCCAATGGCGCTGATTGCGAGTAATGGCACCCTACGTGTGAACCTTGTACACATCTGAAACATCGTTGAAAACCGTAGGGAACTTGACAAGTATTTCGGGCAAGCGTTTGGGTCCTCAACTGAATGTAATAGAAATGTCGATTTACAATGAAAGGATACTATTTACTCCTACAAGATATGTGGCAACGCCTCGGGAATACACACCTTATAGCCCTCTTCCCTATGTAGTGTAGATCGTTGCAGATCCCTAAGTCACTAAAGCCTCACTACCAAAGAGCCATGACAGACGAAAGGTCCATATCCTGTGACGGTACGGGTAGTCAAAATTTGACCTTCTTTTCCCAAAGTCTGCAAAACATAATCTATTGCATGACGGAAAGCATCGTGTATGACCCATCCATCGCTATATGTGCTTCCAAGATCTATCCAGACACTCATTAGAATCCTAGAGATCTTTTAGGGCTGTAGCCCTACACCTGAAAACCGGAAAAAGGAAATTAGCGTACCGAAAGCAATGTCACTCCCCATGCCCAAACTCAGTGATCTTCCTTCTTCCTCCTCAAGCTCCCAAGCCCCCTCTTTATTGCACTACCGACGCTCTTTATGCTCGAATCCCCCTGGGCATGGCTATCTTCAAACGGGTTCATAAGCTCCCTGCTCTCGGGCTCGTTGAGTTTTCCTAAGCTGTGACCACGACGGCGAGGAGTTTTCATTTCAACGCCAGAATCGCCAAACTTCTTGTGCTCCTTCCGAGACTTGTCCTCAGAAAACGAGGGTTCGCCTTTGCCTTTCAAGTCATCAGGTTTATATTCCTAAAACATCAGTATGCTTCTCTCCGAATAATTCCTCCATAGAACTTACAATTCCAGGCCAACGCCTATAATCCGCACCGGGTTCGCGCATCAGATCCGCTCCTTCCTCATAATCCAATACTCTCCCAAACCGATCCGGCATGCCAGGAGGGATATTGGCTGTGCCTTCAAGCGGCCTATGCTTTGTCACGGCATCAATAATATTCTCTCTTGGCGTAGCTCTCAGAGCTTCCTCGTTCGATTTCTGAACCGCCGCAAGGGGACTATGTCCGGGGTCCACATTACGTGCTCGACTAGCCGCATCATACGGTCCCTCATGATGATACTGTGCGGTACTATCCAGACGGTCAATGACGTCAGCACCTTGGAAGTTCTTCTTTCGCAGATGGTGAGCACGGTAGGCGGCCTTGTTTTCCTTGCGGAGCATATCTAGTGGGCGGTTCGACTCATCGCCTGGATAACGTTCCCTCAATGACGAAGATCGCGAGACGCCAGAAATGGTCCTCTCTTGCGGTTGGGATGATCCCTCCGTGGAGCGCCGGCTCCGGCCCGGGTAGGAGGGTGCATAATTATCGGCGTAGTTGCCAAAGTTGTCTCGACGGGGACTCGCTGAGCCTGGCGGGGAAGGATAGCCGGTGACGGCGGGAAATCGCTCTGCATGGTTGGCGTGCGAGGGAGACTTGTACGAAGACGACGTAGCCAAAGAACCAGATCTGGAACTTGCAGCATTCCTAAAAGGATTCGTCTCTCTGGAAGTATCGCTCTTTTGATGAGGAGGAGTGATAGGAGCGCCCCCGACCGGGCTCTCGCGCGGTGCGAACGTTGAAGTGAAATGGCTGTTCAGACCGGTTTCATCACTGGGATCGGGCTCGATAAGAGGATCGATGAGGGCATGCTGAGCCTGAGATTGTCAGTCTTCGCATGGAGGAACGCAAGGGGGAGACGCATACTGCCATGACATCCTTGTCTGGCATGGTGGTTGAGATATCACTGCAGACTTTTGAGCCAATCACTGAGTGTGAAATCACTCTATCGACGTAGGTCTTGGCCTGGCACAGACGTATAAATGCAGCAGTGAGGCGAAAGAGAATGCAGAGGCAGTGAGGTGAAAGAGGATGGAGATGTAGTCAGGTGAAGAAAGCTGAAGAGGGAGTCCAAAAATAAAGGCCGCGCACGATAAGCACCATAGCAGGCAGGTACGCGCGTCACACAGTCGCTCGCGCCTTCCCACTCTGAGTCCTGACCATAGTCTACGTCATAGCCTCGAACCCTGCTCCAAGCGGTGATCTGGCCCGGCTCGCACGGTTCGTTTAGCGGCCCGCGTTGCCGCAACCAGGGTCCAACCGGAAACGGCAACCACCCACTCTCAACCTCACCTCGTGGGAATGGGAGGAACTGCGGAAAAGAGCATGTCGCCGAATCCGTTGGTATCGTATTCCGATTCGGAATCCGACCACGAGGAGAAGGGGACAAAGGAGCCAAGGAATGAACTTCCACCCCTTCCAGCCTCATTCCATGATCTCTATTCAGCCAACGCGCGTACTTCCACCACCGACGACCCCAGTCTCCATGGCGGCCGAAAACGAGCTATACCGCACATCGAGGGCAACTGGCCTAGTCATGTATACCTGGAGTGTAAGCTTCCTCACATACGGAATGCTTTATATTAGCCAATGTGGACATTGACTAATTTGACCGAGGGATTCCGTCGCAAACAGAGTCAGAGCAACTGCACCAACTTATAGAGACCGTGAAGGAAGCAATCGAAAAACTTAACAAGGAGAGGATAAAACCTCTGCCTATACCGGACATTACACCTTCTCTACGGTCTCCGCTTGGGGCATCATTGCCCCTGCATATCTCACTTTCCCGGACCCTGCACATCAAAACTGATGATCGAGAGGCGTTCCTGGAAACCCTCAGAGGAAGGATACGAAAGTCAAGCGTGCACCCTTTCGAGATCCGTTTTGCGAACTTGAAGTGGGTGCCTAACTATGAGCGGAATCGGTGGTTCCTCTTGCTTGGGATCGAGAAGCCGCCAGGCGATGAGCTGAACAGGTTGTTAGAAGCTTGCAATGCAGCATGTTCGGATTATAGATACCCGGAACTCTATGTCGGTGGGAAGGGTGATGGGCCGATGGAAGATGATATAAACGAGGACGGGAGCAGAGCGAAGAGGAGGAGAATGAGCAGCACCACTAAGCCAAACGGTTCTAAGGAAGCAAGTGTTCCTATGTCAACCGATCGAAGCGAATATTTTCACATCAGCATAGCTTGGAACCTCGTCGAGCCCGCACCTGAGTACGTCGAGCTGGTACGAGATATCGCCATCGCAGAAACAGTACAGGTTCCTCCTATATCATTCACGGCGGTCAAAGCAAGGATCGGAAACACTGTGCATAATATTCGTTTAGGTAAAGCAGCCAGTGCTGACAGAAGAGCTGGCATATTAGGGCTAGGATGAGGGAGAGGAAATCAGTTCTAAGGACGTGGATTCGCGTCTTAAACTTACAAGGATTGTGTTTTTTTTAAAAGCAGCTCACTGGCCGTGACCTAGATAATATCCGAGGCTGTCGGCGTTGGGGAAGAAAGTATGAGTGAAATGGGTGTCGGAATAGGGGACGCAGCGCTATCGATCATGATGCTAGAAGCTGTTCTGATACTTCGTGTGGGAGGGTTGGTGCCGTGGTAAGATATGAATATTGGAGGAGAAAAGGATATATTGGTCTTGATGTAATAGTGTGTGAGAATCTGGTGAAGGCATAGTTGAATGATCATGCGATGGTGGTGGGGTAGTGACGCTGGACGCCGAGACGAGAGCAAGTGACGGCCGTGTGAGTTGTCATCCACAATCTCATGGCTACGACGAGTTGCTTCAGAGTTCGGAGTCATTACCGTGAAAAGCGGAGTTCGGTGCTCGTCAGGGGTGCCGTCTGTTACTCAAGAGTGGAGCACATTGTACACTGTGGAAGGGAACGAACTAAGAGGACCGTGGCACGAAGGTGCGCCTGGACTTTGTTGTGGTTTCGTATCAGCGTCGTCGATATGGTTGCATGGGGGAAAAGAAGTCATCGTGCCGGGCTTGGATACTGCCTATAAGGTAAAGGTTAGGCGTTGCTTCGTGGAGGTCAGGTCTACTGTGATAGGTCCCATATGGAGCAGTCACATGGTCATCAGCGTAAACATCCAGCAAGTGGGTGGGTAAGTGACTGGTTTTATACTTGTTGCAGGCTCGCATCCAATGCAGCAGGCATGAGATGCTTCAGTGACTATTGTGCCGGCCAAATACATCACTCAAATGTCACAATCCTGCTAAATGGCAAAACTAGTTTAGGTCTAGTGCAGCATAGTAAATATTCATCTGGGTATCATGCAAATATAAAGAGTAGCGCCGTCGGTGTCGCAAACGACTCTTATGCGCCTTATCCCGTCTTCCTACACGGCGCAACGGCGCTAGAAATAATGTTGGGTGATTGCCAATCAGGGGTCGCCTCGAGACGAGTAGAGACTGAAGCTAGGCTCTGCTCCATCAACAATTACTCTCACGAAAACGTTCTTCTTTGGATCATAGTGGCCTGTGACAAGCGCCACGGCACTCCCTCGACTCCCCCTGATTTCAATTTCGCCCTTTACTACTACCGCTCCTCTTTGCGGTTCCCTTGAGAAGCCGTGCTTGAACTGATGCCGGGCGTTTTCATTCCTGAACGCCCGATGGAATTGGCCGAGGTCGAGTCTAGGGATTTCAGCCAGGGGGATTAGAAGTTTGCGTGTGGGAGTGTCTCCCTGTGAACTCGCCTCTATTGACTCAGAGGATGGAGGGGACACGGCTGAATGTCCCGAGGAGGCGGCTGGAGAACCCGTTGGCGGGTCTCTTGCCAAGCGGGGTTTTGACGGAATGAGAGCAGCCGAGCCAGGCAAGCCTGAAGACATGGCTTCTTTCGAGTGGAGATCATCTTGTGCCGACCAACCCAGGCAAGACCGGATCCCATCCCACACCCTTGCAGCCGTCCCTTTGATATGGGCGTACAGTCCCTGGGCAGACGGGACAGGACGAAGAAGGGCGGCCAATCGATGGTGATGAGCCTCTTCAACCGGTCGGGTGGATCGTTGAACCGACAAGTCCTCCAATATTTCGATGCCTGGACGTTCGTATTCGATGGGTGGTTGATGAGGATACCTGAGATGCAATAGGAAACTTCCAGCACGTGGGTCAACATCTCCGATTGGAGATCTAGTACCCCAGGAACGGAGAAAAAATGTGCGAATCATTACCACAAAATCCTCTGTGTCATGAAATTGTTAGCTTGCCTGGATCGAAAGACCAAAGCTGGCAGAATAATGGGATATTGGGCAGGTGGGAGCGATACATCGCCCTGAACGGGAAGTATGGCTTACCTTGCATGCGTCGTATCCGTTGCGGGTCATTGGCTAGACGCACGTACTCTTGCCATTCGGGATCCGACGCTTTATATCGAGTTCTTGGTTTTGGTCTTGAAAACCCCGTTGGAATGAATAGTATAGCTTCCAACTCCTCTTCGTCGTATGGGTCATCGGCCAGATCTTCGCTTTCAGACCGTATGTCTCTTTCTCTCTTCTGCGGCACTGTTTGCCATTCTTGGTCCTCGTCCTCATCCTCCGCATCCTCCTCCTCCTCCTCATCGTCCTCAAGGTCATCGAGCAATTGATCTAACCAGTGAAGAGCAGCGTAGGCCGTTGTAGCAGTGACAGTGAAACCGATTATTCGACTGTGTACATGTTAGAATTAGGCATATAGACTTCTCCCCACCTCGAATGGGCAGCACAGAGGTTGCAAAGGAGTGGGACCACTTGCCTTCGCGTGAAGAACGGTCTTCTTATGCGTACGGGTTGTATTTGTATAGTTTGGTGTCCATTACGAGCCGCGGAGCGGACTACCCCAGACGTAGTCGTTCCCCTCCAAATGGAAAACCCTCTCCTCAAGACCTGACTTCTGAACATCCTCGACGGCTTTAAAGCAGCACGCCGGGTAGACTCAAGCTAGCGGATTCGACGCGCAACGAGAAGAGAACTAATCATCAGAGAAAGTGGGTTTAAGAGCTGTAAGACAGGTGGGCGCTAAATATCTTGAAGGTAAATCTATGCCTAGGTACGGAGATGTACAAGGGAGGAGCAACACTGGAGCGTAGCGAAGCCGGGATTTCTTGGCAACAGCGGGCGCCACAGCACTGATGCTACACCTAGGTATCTATCCAGAGATCACACACTGCTCCACATTCCCAGCTGCGCGTCACACCCACCGCGATGAAGACGATGAAGCTATCTGCGGGCATCCTGTTCCCGTCGCTCTTTTGCTCCGCTGCGGCAGGACCCTTGGGGCATGTCTTCATCTTCGACCCTCACGTCACCAATCCCGAGGCCCGACCGCCATCATTAGTGAGCCCGCAAACAGCGCGACTCATACTATCGCAACGCCTGGGAGTTTCCAGATACCACTCGATTTCAGATTCGAAGGATCCAGAGCTACTCAACCTTTTGAACACCTACGGAGGAGCATGGCAGGATCCCTTCACGGACTCGAGGATGAAGGATGCCTCGTCTGCGCAAGTGTTTGTGTGGTTAGACAATGTGGACGACGTTGAAGGTGTGTCATCTTATCGTCTCCGGCACCCCATTCCCTACTAATTCTTGTCTTCAGCAGTAATACCAAATTCGGGGGCATATTCCGCCTCATTCTCCATAACAAACCCTCCGAGCCCTTTGGATAACCATCGCCTATATGAAGACCTAATCCAGCAAGTAGAGGCGCTCCCAAGACCCAGCAATCCCTATGCGAATCTCGACGCCGAAATAGAGGCTCAACTTTCCTTCCAAGATGTCGGTGAAACCACAACGCATAATGATTACCTCAATGCTTTCTATTCAAGCAACTCGAGCAAAGGGCCGGCTGGCAGCGTGTCCAAGGCTCTTCAGACGCTCCTGCAGAAAGTATCTGCCGCAAAAGAGAAAGGGTGGCCTGTGACAATTGTGGTCATGCCCCCGTCAGGCAATGTTCGAAGCGCTCATCCTTATGGGGTATATCGCATGCCGTCTTCAATCAAGGCTCGTCGCGAAAGGCCTGAAGCAGTCCTCTCCCCCTCCACATCTCAACCGTCTAGTGGGCCGCAATCCGCCGACCTCTCCGATCTGGAGACATTTCCCAGGATCCAGAAAGCCAAAGAACACCCGCCTGTGCTCGGCATCCTTCCGCAATATTTCCCCTCGTTAGAAGCCTGCCAGCGTACGACACATAACTGCAGTGGGCACGGAGAATGCGGGCTTTTGCATAAGGGAGATAAAGATTCCGGAAAGAGAGATCGCTACGGATGCACCTGCAAGCCCACGATCGTTGAGGTGGGCCATGATGGCATGGAGAGCAAGCGTAAAGTGACGTACTGGGGTGGACCTGCTTGTCAAAAGAAGGACGTCTCGCAACCATTTTGGCTTTTCGTTGGCACTGGACTCGTCCTTGCCTTCTTGATCAGCGCAGGTATCGGTTTGCTGTATTCGATGGGCAACGAGGAGCTGCCCAGTGTCATCGGTGCAGGGGTGAGCGGGCCTACGAGAAAGTGATGCTCCTTTTCATTTATCCAGATGTACGAGATTCTTTCGACGCATAAGAGGGCTTTGTCGTTGGTTCTTTTGGTGTTTAGGTTTCTCTGGAGTCAATTGGAATTGTATATTAAACGAGGAAGAAGTCTTGGTATTGAATGGGTGAATCGAAATGATCATACAGACGCTCGGGCACTCCGTGCGATACACCACACATCCGCCATCTGCATGTATGAACTCCGTAACGCCGGCTATGCAATGCCTCAGAACCATATACTCCGCCAGTCGCTCGCGGAGATTTCTCAATGACTAAAAGATCCCCCCACCACGCATCCCTGACGGTTTAAACATGACCCCTCTCCCCGCTCGCGCAGTTGAGGCCGACAGAAATCCTTCGAGCACTTCAGTGTTTTCCTTTCTTCTTCTTCGCTTTTGCACCCTTGTCAGCTGGGCCCCCGCTTTCGACGAGAACAGCTTCATCATCGCTCCCCTTTGAGACGCTCGCGTCGATTATGGGTACCTTCTTCTCCTCGGATTTCTTTTCCTCGTCCAGCTCCTTGAGCAGCTCATCTTGGAGAGTCGCTCTCCTTTGATCCCACCACTCCCGCTCTGATTTTGCAGTGGACAGGATCTCGCTTAGGTGCTCACGGAGGTTTGCATTCTGAGCCATTTCGGAGGCGCTCTGGAAGATGACCTGGCCCCAGTTGGGGACAAAGGCATTGGCCTAAGAAAACGATAAGCATGTCATACTAATGCCAGTCGAATATATGGGCCATGTCGTACCTCAGTCACGACATCTCGAAGTTCCTCCTCTATCTCTTTCTCCGCGCGCTGGAATCTCTGCCAGAGATCATCCCCCACACTGCCTCTCTGCAATAAAGTCTGCAATGCCTGCTTCGCATTCCTGATCTGTACAATACGGCGCACGTCTTCTGTAGCCCTCCTCAGAAGCGCCGCTTTGAGAATGCTGTCTGGGACTTTCGGATGTTCCATATGGAGCAAGGTCAAGTAGACATCACGCTGGATGTGTTGAGGGAACCATGGTGCCAGGGACGCCGCCTTCGCGGCTTTGCGCTTGCGGTAGAGACTCGAAAAGACGGCTAGCGATCCGACAAGAATGAAGAGGTAGGCGAAGGGTATTGAGAGAGTGAGCCAGTCGACAGCGTCAAATGGCCACATGGTTGGGATCTAAATTCTTGAAAAGGGGCGTGGAGGGCCTAAATGAGCGGCAATAACATGGGGAGGCGCGGCTAGAGGTGTGTGTGGAATTGGGAACACTGAGGTCGTGAGTGCGACCAATTCAGCAATGCGCGCAATGAGTGGCCTTTTGTCATTGCTCAATGTCTACCAAATATCTGTCCTCATGGGTATTCGCCAAGGCCGAAGGCGGTGAGAAGCGGAGGAAGGTTCTGCCGCCGCCTGGATACATCGTCATCACTTCGGCAGCCTTCTGGTACCGCCCATTTGAAATGCCCTCGCACAATCGCGGGCCTTTACCTTTTCTTTTTTGTTTCGGGCAACGTCGCTTTCTCCTTAACACGCATTCCAGTTTCCAAAGGTTCACCTGGCCACTTACCTACCGTACCTGTGTAGAGCGACGTTCTTAAGCTCCGCCCTCGACAGGGCAAGCTATCCTCCGTACCCTGGGCTTCATAATAAGAGAATAAGCTGTTCTTATCCTACCACCGTTCTCGAATATAAGCAAGCTGCAACCCAGACATCAACATGATACTTCGCTTTCAGAGCAAGGAGGGACAATTTCGCCTCAACGTCGACCCCGCCACCACGTTTCCCGAAATACTACCCCAGATCGCGGAAAAGCTACCCAAGACTACTGATCTCGCAACTCTCACTGTGAGCAACAGGCCACATGGAGGGGATGCAAGGCTAATACAATCATTACGAGGGGTTTCGTTCCGGCAGGTCGGCTTAACGTGAGTGAGAAGCTACAGCTTCTCGAGTTATGCTAACAGCTGTGTAGCCATGGAGCGCAGCTCTTTCTCGATTTCAAAGAGCAAACCGACGTCACTAATGGCAGTGCTGCATCGACATCAGGCGCGGTCCGTCTCAACGGGCGTCCTGTATCTCCGACCGAACATCCCAGCGTACCCCTCGGTCCTGCCGCTCAGCACATCAAGAACCCATGGGAAGTTGTGAAGCAGTCCGCACTGGACGACCGGCTCGACAAGCTCGATGGGAAGATACCACGGAAGTTGGATCAGAAGATGTGTAGGCACGGTCCAAAAGGCATGTGCGACTACTGCATGCCACTCGAGCCGTATGATCCGGGATACCTTGCGGAAAAGAAGATCAAGCACCTGTCGTTTCACTCGTATCTGAGGAAGGTTAATGCCGGAAAAAATAAACCCGAGACCGGGACCTCGTACATGCCACCATTGACTGAACCGTACTATCGCGTCAGACCCGACTGTCCCTCTGGACATAAACCGTTTCCCGAAGGCATCTGCACGAAGTGCCAACCGAGCGCTATCTCACTACAACCGCAAGAGTACCGTATGGTGGACCATGTTGAGTTTGCCTCTGTGGGCGTAGTCGACGACTTCATCCAATTCTGGAGACAAACTGGTACGCAGAGGCTAGGCTTCCTTTACGGGACTTACCAGGAGTACGAGGAAGTGCCGTTAGGCACAAAGGCTGTTGTGGAAGCTATCTACGAACCACCCCAGGTTGGCGAAACTGATGGGATTTCGCTGCTGGAGTGGGAAAATGAGCACGAGATCGACGAGCTTGCACGCCAGTGCGGGCTGGAGAGAGTTGGTGTCATCTTCACTGATCTGGTGGATGCTGGTGCTGGTGACGGCTCGGTGATCTGCAAACGGCATGTTGATTCGTACTACCTCTCTTCGCTGGAAATCGTCTTCGCCGCAAGATATCAAGCCAAGTACCCCCGACCCAGCAAATGGAGTGAAACGGGCCGTTTCGGATCCAACTTCGTCACCTGTGTAATAAGCGGTGATGACCAAGGCGCTATCGGTATTTCCTCTTATCAGGCCTCCAACACTGCCGTTGAAATGGTCCGTGCAGATATCATAGAGCCATCGGCGGAGCCTTCCGTGATGTTGGTGCAGTCGGAAGACGACAACGACGCATTGAACCGGGCTCGGTACATTCCGGAAGTTTTCTATAGGAGGAAGAACGAATACGGCGCAAACGTGCAGGAGAACGCGAAACCCGCCTTCCCAGTGGATTATCTGCTCGTGACATTGACACACGGATTCCCCAATGAGCCCAATCCTCTATTCACGGGGCCGAAGTTCCCCATTGAAAACCGAGAGCACATCGGAGAGACGCAAGAGATCTCATCACTTACGAAGGCACTCAATGCAAAAGCGAACGGCCTGGCTCTCAATACCAAGAGCGGAATCACAACCATATCGAACTTTCATCTCCTCACTTTCCTCCATACGCTTGGCATACTTGGAAAGGTAAGTGTGAAATATAGGAATAGTATCATAACAATTCTGACCCAGGTGTATCAGGATGAGGAAGCCCTCCTTTGTAGGGTTGCCACCGATCGCGACGTGTCCGAAGGATTCAAGCTACAGCAGTCGCCTGGGTGGGCAACGTTACTGGCGATCCTCAAAGAATCTGGTGAGCGACCCCCAAAACGTCCCCGTTCCGGTTCCATGGCAAATCGGGTAAGGGAGGGTGTAAATGGAGAACATCCTCCTCACCGACAAACCCCGAATGGATCCGACTCAGAATCAGCACAGTTGGCTAAGAGAATCAAGGGGGTTAGCTTGAAGGGAAGATAGACTCGTCTGTTTCCTGGATACATTCCCCCAGCTAGGTTCGATCGACGGAGTGATCTTACGCACAGTGTGGTCCGCTCCAGGGCTCACATATACTTCGAGGGTAGGGGTGGTCACATGGCTTGGCGCAAACTAAAGGAGACCATGACGGATAATCATATGTAAACAAACATAGATGGATCGCATATTGCCAGATATTTGACCTACAAGTGGGTACTCTTTCCTAAACAATTGAGAAGTCTGAGTATCGACATTTGAACCTCACGTGACGTGGCGCGAGTGCACGGGCGCAGGTGCGCGGATGGGCGCGTTTCTCTCATCCACGCGTAGCTCGCCTGCACTTCAACTTTCACTCGCCTCACCCTCCACACGTATAAGACATGGCGGACTTCTTCAATATAAAAGCAAGACAAGCTGCTGCCGCGCAAGCAAGCTCATCCAAGGCTCCGACGACAAAACAGGAGCCAAATCGACTGCAGCCATGGGTCGAGAAGTAGTACGTCTTCCTCAGCTCCAATGAATGTCAAGCTTGCGATCATCCACGAGCGCTGCTACGCCGATATAGAGGCTGACTCTACTACAGTCGTCCAAAAACCCTCTCCGAAGTCACTGCGCAGGACCACACGATTCAAGTCCTCTCCCGCACGCTCCAGTCCTCAAACCTCCCTCACATGCTCTTCTATGGACCGCCCGGAACCGGAAAGACGTCTACGATTCTCGCGCTCGCAAAACAGCTCTACGGCCCCGAGCTGATGAAGTCCCGCGTCCTCGAATTGAACGCATCAGACGAACGCGGCATCTCCATTGTGCGAGCGAAGGTGAAAGATTTCGCTCGCCAACAACTTTCCGCAGCACCCAGTTACAATGTGATGGTGGAGGACAAGGACGCAGAAGGCGGGGTGAAGCAGGTCAAGTACAGAGACAAGTACCCCTGCCCACCGTTCAAGATTGTGGTTCTGGACGAGGCCGATTCGATGACGCAAGATGCGCAGTCTGCGTTGCGCCGCACCATGGAGACGTATTCCAAGATGACGAGGTTCTGCCTCGTCTGCAACTATGTCACGCGCATTATCGACCCTCTGGCTTCGCGCTGCAGCAAGTTCAGGTTCAAGAGCTTGGATCAAGGGAGTGCGGTCACTAGAGTGGAGGATATCGCGAAACTGGAAGGTGTGAGGCTAGCGCCGGGCGTGAGCGAGGAATTGGTTAGGATTGCGGACGGAGATCTGAGAAAGGCGATCACATTCTTGCAGTCTGCGGCACGGTTGGTGGGAAACAATAAACCTGCCAAAGGAAAGAAGAGAAAGGTTGTCGAGGACGAGGAAGAAGAAGACGACAGAATGGATGTCGATTCAGCGCCTGCAGATTCAGATGTCGTCACTCTCAAAACCGTACAGGACATCGCTGGCGTCATTCCTGAACGGACAATGGACGACCTTGAGAACGCCGTGCTATCCTCACGCAACAAGAAAAACATCCCTTATGCTGCTATAGCAAACGTCGTTCAAGAGATGATCGCAGAAGGGTGGAGTGCGGCACAGACGGTCGGGCAACTCTTCGAGAGGATTATGTTTGATGAGCGTGTGAACGACGTGCAGAAGATGAAGATAGTGGGGTATTTCAGTGAAACGGACAAGAGGCTCGTGGACGGTGCCGACGAGCATCTCGCGATTCTGGACCTGGGATTGCGGATATCTGGGGTACTCTGTCAAGGATGAGAGGGTGGTTCGGACATGGTCGTTGAAGATCATTGGGACTACAGTGTGCACAGTACGTGTTACATCCCTCGTGAAAGGATAGACGTTACCTGTCACATGAAGAGCTCGGGATCTTTGACGCTCTCAGCAGAGCGCGCGAAAGTTACCTCACACAGTGCAACCCCATATCCTTTACCTCTGCAATTCCTCGGTCTGTTCTGCTGCCCTGGCGTGCCTGGCTAAGCCACTTTTGTGCCTGTTCTCCACGCTACGGCTCGTCCCAGCTGCCTTGGCAATCCAGGATTCCCCACCATGATTTCCCCCATAGTATCCCGAAACGGAAGTACCTAGGTAAACAGGTGTAAGCAGCTTCACATGCATCCCAGGCCCAACACCGACCGACAGTGTACATATTAAACACTTGTGTCTTCCAATATTTCCCCTACAACTTATCCAAACTCTCTCATTCCCTGGACATTTCCACCCTCCTTTATCGCCCTATCCCTCGCTTCAAGCAACACATTTGCAAAAATGGCTGCCCCGCCTTCCAAGACGATGAAGTCGTTCGATGGAAAGTGGCAGATGGTACGCTGCCCCTCAAAGTTACACACAAACGGAGACCGTCACTCATACCAATTCCCTTCTCACTAACACCCCCACGCAGAACAAGACCCTCGGCGATAACCCGGACCCCGTGCTCTCCCTCCAAGGCATCGGCTGGATCCTCCGCAAGACCATCGGCAGCGCAACCATCACCCAACACATCAAGACCTCGACCACTCCCTCGGGCGCCACGCACATCCAGATCGACCAAACCCTCACCGCGGGCCTCAAGGGCACGAGCGAGAGCCGCGAGCTCGACTGGACGTACCGCCCGCACTCGGACTGGCTCTTCGGCGACGTCAAGGGCCGCTCGCGCTGGTCCTCGCTGAGCAAAGTCGTCGAGGAGGCGGCGACGACGGGTAAAGGGGAGGCGGCTGATCTCGAGGCCGATGCGAAGTTCCTCGTCGAGGGGTGGTTACCTGAGTCTGCCGAGGGCGAGAATGTGGTTGAGAGTTTTGTCGAGAATGAGGCTGCGGGGTGGACGGCGTGGCAGGTGTGGGGGTTTGCCGATGTGGATGGCAAGGGCAGGTTTCATGTTAGGAGGGTGGTTGTCCGGAAGGGGAGTAAGGTGGAGAGGATTAGGTTGGTGTATGACTACGTTGGCGAGCTGGAGGGTTAGGTGGTGGGTGTTTGGAACGGGGGATCTGAGCTGAGATGTTTGTTTTGGGTACACAGTGGAGTGGTTTGCTTGAGTGCGAGTATATCCAGTGAGCATGTACTGTTGTTGATTTTGGAGCGAAATCAATTAACTTTCTTCATACGTGAGCCTTCCTCTACTAGAACGGAGTGTGTACTGTGCCAGAGATAGTCGGTTCATGGTCTCAATTCTCTTCAAACGGAGAGCTTCTGAAAAGGGATCTGCACGTGACTCACGTGCAGATTAACAGCAACTACTGCGTAGCAGGACTCCGGACCCTTTCCAAATCTTTCCAAACATGATCCGAAAAGCTTGACAATGAAAGGACGACACTTGGTGATAGCGGCGTCCGGAAGGTTCAAGTCATTATCATCAATCCCAACATGATTGCACCCCCTCATACTGTACGACTTCGAAATCGCCAGGCTCCAAATCCCCAACCGCCGCCTTCAGTTTCTCCCTCAGGCCATCAAGTTCACAGGCAAATCATACCTCCTGCACGACCGAACCAACACCCGCACGTTGTGGGCTCGCCCTTCCCGAATGCGCTGCGTCGTTTTACCAACCCAGTCAACCCCCAGTGACTCCAAAGAGTATCCCATCGAACAGGTAAAATACGTAATGGACGCTACGCCTGGAAACGTCTTGCGGATAGCAGGAAGCTTATTCCTCGACACAGACCGAACACTCACACGCGAAATGGCGCTCCTCTGCTGTTCCGTAAAAGACTTCAACGGCCGCACCGACTGCGGTTGTAGATAATAGTGCACAGGACCCATTTCCAGGACAAAGTTCGTCTGTGCGTAGAGCAGCAGATGCGTCTCGAGGTGGATTTGACGACAGACGCGCGGCAGTTGGAACGTATGTCGAGCCTGGTTCCGCAAGAATAAGGATTTTGCGCTTGGGGGGTACCAACGCCCGCCAGGGAGGGTGATTCCCTTTATTCCTGTGATGCCGATTTCCAGGCCGTGCGTGATATATGTCCAGATGTGGTTTCTAATTTCTCCGGGCAAGCGCAGGAGAGGGGACTTGGCGGAATTTCGCTGCACTCTGTACGCCTGTTAGAATTGGGACTTGGTATGTAGACGGGCTGGTCGGGAGTTGACTTACACTGTCCTAAGATACTCTGGGATATTCGAAATATCCAAATTCCCGCTTTTGGGGACGGAGCGCTGCGAGGAAGGCTCATTCATTGTGCTTCTTTTCGCCTAACGGCGTGAGGTGTGGTGTGCTCGTGAGGGATTTGAATTTGACTTCGTAGGAGGAGCGATACGAATAAAAAAGGTCCGTCAGTGTGAGTCCACTACCGCTGTTTGCACCCAAACAGAAGCGCACGGGCTCACATGAAAATTGAAAACCTGAGACTTACTCAGGTTCCAACTTGAACCAATGCACATAAGCAAACTTACTCATTAGAAAGTATCCCAGCAATCCGTCAAAGGCGCATGTGGGTGGTGTCACTGATTTTCATTTTGACATGAAGAAGGGTGTAAGGTAGCAAACACAATATCAGTATCTCAGAATCTGAGACAACTACCCCGGCCCAAGAACATAGACGCAAACTCTGTTGGTCAGAGATGAAACATCGATTGTACACAGCAAACTCACCTGTTCTGGTCTTTCCACAATATCGGTCCAACAAAATCATGTCGTTCATGTCTAACAGTGTCCGTAGCACAAGGTCTGAAGCCGCATCAAGCCAGTGACGGTCCTGGTTTTCGACTTGTACCACCCAAGAAACCCGTCACTGCTGTTGAGATGGCATGGTCGCTCGCTGAGACCCACGTAATCAGTCTCACAGAAGTCTTTCCACACTTTAGAAGGCGAGAAAAGCAGCAGCCCTAATAGAAGTCAATAGACCTTCAGAGCTGACCTGCCTCAATGAGTGCCACTATTGATACACCGCTATCAATCGCCAAACTACACCCTCGACCCAAACACACCCCTCCCACTCAACACCTCCCTCTCTGCCCTGAACACCCACTCCTCAGCCCCAACCTTCGTCAGACCCTCCCTCCTCCTCTGCTCACCCAGCTCACCCCACCTCATGAGCAGATTACCGTCCAATACACCCTTACTGCCGCCTGCAACCCCAAGCTCATTTTCCACAGCCCTATACGCTCTCAGATTCAACCCGCAGGTCGGCTCCAGCGCAGTGGCCAGGAAAGTCGCCAGACCGGAGAGTTTGCGGTATGAGGACTCCGAGAGCGGGGTGATGAGTGCTATTGTGCCGGATTGCGAAGTGTGCAGGATCTGATGAAGGGGCCCTGCGTCCTCGGAATCGACGTCCATGGGACCATCCGAGGTTCCTATGATGTCTGAGGTATTCGGCATTTTCATCGGTGAGTGTACTAGGTGCATTGTTGAAGGGAAGTGGCCGGTGTGGAACGTGGATTTGTGCAGAAGGCGGAGACCACCCATGGAATTGGGATCTGGCGAATATCGTTAGTAGAATGCGATGGAGAGATGGAGACAAGTGGCGCTGACTTTCTGGGTCAAATTGTAGGACTTGCAGGTTCATGTCCGCGTCCGCAACTATGATGTGCAATTGCTTTTCGAAGGGAAGGAACTCGGCTGCTAGGACTTCTAGACGGTTACGACTCCGCCCGAAGAGCATCATTTTATAAGGTTCTTCCTGCGAACACTGTGTTAGCATTCATTGACATCGACGGGGAGTAAGACGGATAGTACGTACGGTGTACCCAGAGAACCAAACTCCTTTGAACGCATCACCCATTAAAAGCATGCCGGTGCCCGGCAGTGATTTCAGCACAGTGACGTAGCACTGCATGTCCATGAAAGCCACTGGGAGCAATGTTCCGTCCTCTTTAAGACCGCGGACCATGCACTTCTGCCCTTGCGCCATTATCAGGAATCCCTGAGTACCCAGCTCCGAGATAGCGGATACGGCTCCTTTGACTTCATCTTTCACAATCAGTCTCATTCGTCTGTTAGTCTCAGGTCGACCAGGCTCTGGTACGACGGTGATGACCTCGAAGATGCGTATGTTGCCCTTTGTTGCCAGGTCTTCCCCATGGACTATGGAAGTACCAACTGCTACCAAAGCTCTGCGTTCATGAGTGGTTTCGGAATATTCTAACTTGAGAGTTTTGATGCATAATATAACTTCTTGCGGCTCAAGGATATGTCTAGCAACCCTTGTCAATATCCGGTACGTCGCGCGGGATCTCCCAAACTTACGTATCAATAAGGGTCCACGTCTTCGCATCGTACACCTTAATGACCCCTCGCTCGACACGAGGAAAGAATTTGATATCTTCCACGAATGTCAGTGGAACAAAGTCATGATTGGCCTTGTCCTTACCTTCGGGTTTCCATTCGTAATGATACGTATCATCTGGCAGCATGTACTCCTCCGTCTGCCCTGTGCCAACAATGTAAACATCTCTCGGGTGATAGGCAAGTGCGCAAATCTCTGATGCCATCGGGTAACGCCGGACCGCCCAACCGAGATGACCGAAGTGTGTCTCAGCTGGCAATTGTGATATGCGGAAGTTGTCCTAATATTCTTAGTAGCTTCTTCACACATACCCAGAGCAATACTTACGTCTGCATCGATAAATGCAAACCCTCTTTGGCAGCTCGACGTGTGGAATCTGGTAAGACCTTTCACTGGTTTGCTAGCGACACTGATGACGCGTGGAGCGCTCGAAGCTTCCTTGAGAATAAATGAAGGAGACGTTCCGCGCTGGAAAACGGTACTATATCCACAGACATTGCTGAGCGCAACAAGCGTACTCTCCCTTCCTGCGTCCTCTGCTTCCATGGCGGGTTCTTCGCTATACCTAGGCAGACGTGGTTGGGAAAGCTTCTGCCACCGCAGATTCTTCGTCCACGGGTCAGAGGCGGCCTTATGAGGATAGTGGAATGCCTTGTAAATGACGAGGTCGTCTGTCGAAGTGCGGACCTAGACAGTCAGCAGTGAAATACGCCTTAGTTGGGCAAACTCACTATGAGATGAGGAGACTTAGATACAGTATCACCCAAGTCAGCTGCAAGTATTTCGGTAATAGCAGCTTTTCCAGCATTCTTCCGGCTGGTGTAATCAGCTGTGAGTAGCGGGGGAAGGAAAGTGAGCCCTTCTGCGACGAAGCCGGGTTGGTCCAAATCAGACATTGAGAATATCTGGAATTGATTACTAGACGACCTCTCACTGCAGACTGAAGCAACATACCTTTAGAGCTCCTTCGGGTGTCAAGAGAAAGGCGAAGATACCAGTGATGAGATTAGACTTGTAAAGAGACGCTGACAGCCATTTTACTGACGTCAAATTACTGCATTCGACTTCTTCTACTTCGCCACCACTGCCTGCTTTGAAAATCTTGATACTAGAGTTTTCGAGGAGAAGTAGCAGATACGGGTCGGCAAAGTTGGCACTGATGATTCTAAGCTCGGTGCCAGTTTCCTCGTCCTCTATTGGGATGATTTCGTCCATGTTAAGCTCTAGTCATTGACCGTCAGTGTTACGTCTTCGAAGCGGACAGATCGAACCGACCGGAATCATAGGTTCTAAGCTCACTACGCATGACCTGGACCACCTTGGTACCGCCAGCAAGCGTCCCAACGTTCATAGTTGATGCTTCCTCGCGCTGGAACTCTCCCTTCGAGGTTTCCTTAATATCAGTCCCGTTAACCTCGTAAACAACAGTATCTTCTGTGCCGCTCGAGCCAGCACGGCAGACGACGAGATACTGATCGTAATCAACATCAGAAGATATGTTCGCTTCCATGTCCTGTCCGATATCGGCGACTACACCACTAGGCGCCTGTTTCTTTGCATGGACTGCCCAAAGCCCTCGTGCTGATTTGAGTACAGATTGACCTAGATCTGTAGGGATTATATCTTGTTCAAGCTTCGTTATGGCGCCGGCACGCCCTCTCCCTGTGGCAAGAAGGAGGTCACCAGGCATGTGGCTCGAATTGGGGATGTCTATTCTCCTCGCGTCGGCCCTTGAGCTCAACACAACATCCTTGATGGGTGCGAGACTAGGAAGTACATCGTGAATCCTAAATGCGTACGTCCCTTCCGGCGTCGGCTCTGCCGAGACTATTGTGACTTTCTTGACTGGAGCAGTGTCATTGTAGAGATCATCGTCAAGATCATCCTCTTCCATCTCGTCCGCTGACATTGCTTCTTCGTCTGCGTTGGCGTCGGCTTGGCCTCGTTTGCTTGCGCCAGAGGCGAAGCGATGGCTCCAGCCCAGAAGCACAGAGTCGGCGTCCTCGCTTGCAATGAAAAGCCTTCCCCGGCCCAGATTGACGGCACAGGATGATCGGCAATTGAGAACCTTTCCACCGTGATCTTGAGCGACCGGCTGCAAGGTCAACCCTGACACTGACCTTCCATCCAGAGTGAAAGTGAGAGTGAAAATAGAGCCATCATTAAGGATAAGAAGGACGTCACCGTTATCCGGATTTAGAATTTCGGTAGTGGAACCCTCGAGCCTCAAGGAAAGGTCCGATTGATCTGATAGAGGGAAGGAGGTGCTCAGTTTAGCCAGCTCGTTGACGGCCACTCCATTCGCCTTTCCTGCCTGGCTCACATGTATGATTTCATTTCCTCCAACCAATAATGCCCCACCAATTGGGAGCGGTAGAGGAACGACTTGGAAAATGTCGTAAGGCAATCCTTGCACAGATAAAAGCGTCGTAGAGGCCTTCTGCTCTAGATCCAACGTAAAAACAGTATATGTCAAGACATCTTTCCGCTCAGCTAGCAAAGACGGAGCCGCAGCACGAGACGCCGCCACGATGCCGAAAGTTGGTTCGCGGTACTCATGCAAGAAAGCCAAATGGACAGGATGAGTCAAAGCAGGATCAAGGTGCGTCAGGGGAAGCACAAAAGACGGTAGATACGGGACGCTTTCCCCGTTGCTCCCGTCCCCTGCGCCGGCGCGTTCTGCTCGTTGCTGGTCCAAATCTGAGTCGTAATCCTCCTCGGCCAGCCCTTGCTGTTTGAAGGGCAAGATGGCGAAATTGTGCGTCCCAAACTTGAGTGCGGCACATCTGCTGCCGGGATCCACTGCCAGAAAGTTGTAAGTGTCTTTCAGTTCCGCATCCCATGGTGCACCCGCCAAGTCTGGGTTTTCATAGAAGTGTATTGATATGGTATTGAGGTTGAAGGCCTCTGGATCCCACTCCACCAAGCTCAGCTTTGCATCCCGAAAAGCCACCAGCAGTGCCTCGCCCCTTGACTTGGTATTTAGTGCCTTTATCCGCCCAAGCGATATCACAGTGCCAGCAAGAGGGAACTCTGCTATCAACACGAGTTTTGCTGTGTTTTCGGTGCGCTGTAGAGGCACGTCCGCTGCCTCCATATCCACGTTTGGGGACACGTTGTCTGCGAATTCGCCGCCATTTTGAGGGACTTCGGTGACGGTCGATTTGAACTCGAATATCTGCAGCAAGGAGTTCTTCGCGACGACTAGATTGTTGGCCTTCGAAGAGAGGAAAGGAAGGTGCACTGCGTGGCTGACGGCTGTCGGAGGAGCCAATTCAGTGTAGCACTGCATGATAATAGAGGGTATCAAGATCAGCGCTGCCGGTCATATTCCGCATTGACGGTTGAGGCAGCGTGCAATTCGGATTTGGGCGACGGTGTCCACCAAGATGGAGTTGAGGTTTGCGACGCGTTGAAAGACCGCACGTGCCAAGGCGCTAGCGGGAGCTCGGTCACCAGTGTCGTCATTGAGATAGATCACCGCGCCTCTCCTCCAACTTCTGTTTCACTCCTTGACCCCAGACCGTTTCTTTGAGGAGCAGCGAGCGATACCATGGCTCTCATACAGACGAGTCTGATTTGGGTGGCATACATTGCCGCGGTTGTCCTTCTCCTTGCCATTGCCGGCATCTTCGTCTTCACCTACCAAACCCCCCGAGACCGCGCCGCATCGGTCACCACCGTGTGCATCATAACCACCACCGCCCTTCTTGCTACAGTCCTTCTACTTCCAGTCGATGTAGCATTAGTGTCATCAACCTCTCTCTCGAGCCAGGGCCGTAAAAAGGCCTGGGCGACTCCAGATCGCGTCGACAGCATCGTATACACTCTACGAGTCGTTTACTATACGCTTTATTCCCTTGACGCTGTACTCTGCCTGCTTGTCATTCCGTTCACCTACTTCTGGTACGAAGAATATGATGAAGATGCTGCGGAGCACGGAGAGCAAACCTTCGGGCAAAGATTTTGGGGCGCTCTCAAGTACACCGTATCCTTCATCTTCTTTGTTATTATCATCTTCCTCGTAGGGTTTTTCGTTCCGTTTGCGAAGCAAGCGAAACGCGATGACCGTTTAGATTTGGATTACTTCAGGCACCTACTACAAGAGAACCGTGAGTTCCAGTTCATCCATGTAGCAGCAACGACTAATAGTTTCCAGACGGAGAGAGAGCCTTGTCCTTTGCCCTTGGCCTCTTGAGTGTGGTCGGTACATTGATTTATATCCTCTACACCGGCGCCGGGCTCGCGTTGCTTCCCGTTGCGCTCATCAAATCTGCTCCTTCCATCTCAGGGCCCGCCCTGGCCGCGAATACCGCTTCACAACTCGAGCAGAACAGGGAGCGTCAGCGTCAGCTGGAGGGACGCAATCTGGGCCGGCAAGGAGGTCTAGATTCCCGTGATAGACGCGAACTGGAAGCGCTTATTCGCGAGGAACGAACTCTGATCCGACGGGAGCGCCTAGCGGCCGAATCCACAGGCGAACGCCATTTCTTGGTCAAGGCTTGGAATAAGATTGAAGCTGTATTCAGGCCTTTGAAACTTCTCGGAGGCCTGATACTGGTCATAGTTGCTCTGATCATATTTGCCAGCATGCTCATTACTGGAATCGATAAGGCAAAGAATTCGATCTGCAAGTCGGGGTGTGGATACATCCTCGGCCACATCAATATCTTCCAACCTATCAACTGGATCCTGGTAACATCCTCCAAGGTATTCCCGATTGACTATATTCTCTTCCTCCTCCTCGTTATGTTCTTCTTTTCCGCTTCCATTGTCGGGATCGCTACGGTGGGAATCCGCTTTCTCTGGGTCACTCTGTTCAAGATTCGCAAAGGTCGCACGTCCCCTCAAGCTCTCCTCATGGCCACGGTCATGCTCACACTCATCGTGCTGGCTATCAACTACTCTGTAGCCATGGTAGTGGCACCGCAATATGCCACCTTCGGTCCTCAGACGTTCTGCGATTTGGAACCTCGCCATCCTGGAGAGCAACCTGATTGCAGAGAGCACCGCAGCGCAATCAAGCCATGCACTGAGCTTGCTGAGAATCCCGTTGCTAAGGAAGTTTGTACACCTAGTGTACTCAGCACCTTCATCAACCGTATCACCATCAACTTTCCGTTCTTCGGTATCATTCTCTTCTGGGCGCAGTTTGCTTTCTTGGGCGTATACCTCATTGTGTTTGTAACTACACTCGTCAAAACTCCCAAGCTGGACCAAGAACAGATTGACCGTGATTTGGAGGAAGATGAAGAGGAGGGCTTGCTGGCTAGCACTGGCAGGAGACTCGGGGCGACGTGGCAAGATATCACCGGCCGAGTGCGGAAGACGAGTGAATACGGTGCGACAAACACTGAGGGCGAACGCAGTTGAGCCTGGAGATGCTTCTTCGCGCGAATACTTATGGAGAGAGGACACTTCGAATATCTCTCCTTATGAAGGACGACCATGATCAGGGTGAAGTTTCATGTATTTGTACACGCAGAAATCGGGTTTAGTTTTTCAGCGTGATACCACTCGGGTTGGCGCATGGCGTTCATGTCTTTCTCTGCAAACGGGGGCATAGGCTTTGCCGATGTGGGGAGTTGAATTTGAACATGGGACTTATAGCTTTAAGCATGGTGTGAGAAACTCGAACTGTAATCGTGTTATTCGGCATCTGGGCCTGCCTACCGTGTCTATGCCAATGAGTGTCATGGATGGGAGGAAGATGGCTGTTAATCTGACGTTCGCAGGAAGGCATATGACGATGAGAAGTTGTTGAGTTTTGCGTGGGCTGATGAACCAAGGAGTAAAGGGTGTTTACCCTCTTTTTGACACCGGCATTGGGATCAGGGATGGTGAGTTCGGGCGGGGGAGGGGGAGCCAGTCATCGCCTTTAGACGGTGTTAGACGGTGAGTTCTCGGTAAAGCTTAACTTGTCCGGACAAATCAGGCCTTGAGTCAATGCCTTTTTGGACGAACAACAGGCTTGGCTTCTCTGAGAGATAGGAGCTTGGGCACTATATTGACGAGTAGACTCGCTCCAACACGGCTTGCCGTTATCCTCACCAGCTCCCGTAGCCGTGCACTTTGGTCCTTGTCCTTGCTAGGTCGCCATGTGCCACTACACGAACGAATTTCGTTTGGGCTTTTGTATCGTAAGGCTAGTATAACACCTCATCGGAGTATGTCCCTCTGGATGCAAGGCCATTGATCGTTGCTGCGCACCAGTTAGGAATCCTTGTTTTAGGTTGAATTCAGCCGTCAAAATATCTGAACAGGCGTTCATATAACAGACTCTTGATCTGGGATAGACAGCATGTGGCGTTTGAGTCTGATATTGCACTGAACATGCGGTCATGACTCAAGTGGACGTCGGTTAGCGTTCTTTTGCGATAATTGTTTCGCCAGACTTCCAAACTACGTTGACATGAACAATATAATTCTACGGTTTCCTTGACCGTCACCCTCTTCATCTCTCTACAGGCTACAAGAGCTAGAATCAGGTCTCATTGCTTGGGGCAGACCAAACACTGACTGATTGGTGTCACGTTCACAGGGGGTCTGAACTGCGAGCTGGCCGAATCTTGGTTATTCAATGTGGAGTTCCGCTGCATTCCACTGAGAGATACAAAGCCATTAACCACTCGAAAATAGCTCCGAATGCATAGCATAGCGACGGCTTCATAGACTCGCAGCCTATTGAGTAAGAAATGGGCATTAAGCAGTGACTATCTATACTCTCTCTTCGCGATCTCCAATATTGCGCATGTAGAAATTTTAATTGTGCGATGCCATAAAATTCAGTAGGGATCCTCTAGCACCTCGCTACTGTATACCTTGTTCTATCCCTGTCCCAGGAATGCTACCCTGTGCCCCTTTTGGTACAGTGCTCCAAGAGGAAAAAGCAAGCACCGTCAAAGAGGATCACCACGTGGACGCCTGCCGGATTACTCCGATTGGGCGTCCCCTTTGCTGGATTGCTCGGCTGACATGGTTGTCCTGAGCGTGATATTCAGTCTGACGGCGATCTCTTTTTCTTGGGCCGGGACGAAGTGGGAGGCACTGGATCTTCCACACTTCGCGACCAGTTAGCTTCCTCGTGGTCGTTCAGGGAAAATACCCTAGGGTATGGATCACGGAGACTCTGGCCTGCCGTTGTTCCCCTGAGTTAACACATTTGCTTACTTCCATGGCGTTCATGAAAATCGTCTCACTGCTTACACAATGGATGATCCATGATAGAAACTTGCGGTGTGCAAGCTGGCCTCACGTGCGTTCGCGCGGTGAAAATGGAAGTGGGCAACAAACGGTTATGGTACACGCAGCGGTCGTGTGTGCCATAATTCGAGTGATTAGGGGGTCATACCTCTCATCCTTATCAGGGAGATCGTTCATTGCGGTACGATGCCATTCATGCGGCTGGTGCTCCCCGGAGATTTGGAGATTGCCGGATGGGAGGTACCCAGTCTTGATGTCATCCTATACAAACATCTGGAACCTTACTAAAACTCTAAGATCTTCTATTCTTTCTCAGGTTGCGAACACTCAGGCAGCCGAACAAGCAAGTCGTTACCCTTATCGAGCGTGAAGATCAGATTTAAGAACATGTCGGTCCGTCAGTGTGTAGGGAGTCGTTTTTGAAGACGCTAGTAAGGAGTTCAGATTAATATATACACGCCTTGTGCGCTTCCAAAACGACCGGATGTCAGACACTCATGTTCCCCCTGAATAAAGCCTCAGAAAAGGGCGAGAGTGCGGAATAATTACACAGTGAGCGCTGCATATAACCCGAGAATGCCGTGTTTTCCCCTAGAATGGAAATCCGAGTACGGAACGACCGGAAGAGATTTTCGGTTCGCTTGCTTTTGTCCCGAGACACAAAAAAAAGAAACATGAAAGTAGCCTCCATCAACGCCTGAAATGCAGAGACGTTCAAACGCCTTACAAAAATGCTCGATCATGCACCATGCATGGTTAGAAAAGCTGGAACTGTCCTTTTGTGGCCGAAACTTGCCACGTTGAGGCACAGGGCTGCGCTCAGTGCAGTTGAGCGGACTTCCCTAGAGCAGATGACGGTCGGAACAGTTCGATGCTGTGGAGTGACTCTTCATTGCAGCTGATTCTCCAGTGTAACCAGCTCTTGAAAAGCCTCGCGCCATCTGACCATTTCCTCCTTGTTCGGCTTGGGAAGGGGCTTGCGGCAATAACCTCCGTAACCAAAGTGAGCCATCAAAGCGGCTTTAGTGGCAATGACACCGCCTTGAATCGAGGCCCAGTCGCCGCGAGCCACGATGGCCTGCAACCGGCGAGCTTCCGCGAATTTGCCCTCTTCAAACAATTCCAGCAGCTTCACGCAGGCTCTGGGCGCAATGTTTGCCGTCCCACCGATGATACCGGATCCTCCACCGATCAACGTCTGCAGAGTGAAATCGACCGATCCACCCATGCACATGAAACCGGAGCCGGGATCGGACAGCGTCGCCGCACGCGTCGCAGCCGCTATGCGGTTGAGCTTTCCGGTGTTTCCGCAAGTGAGCTTGCAGCCGACGATCTTCTCATGCTGTGCTAGCTCGATGATTGTGTCAGAGCTGAGGTCCATTCCAGAGACGGCACCGGGATAGTTGTAGATGAGAATCGGTATAGGCGAAGCAGTTGCGACATCCCGAAAGAAGTCCTTGACGGTTTCCTTGGAGAAGAGGCCTTGGTAATATGCCGGGGGAAGCACCAATGCGTAGTCTCCGCCCGATTCGGCAGCTTCCTCGCAAAGCTCAATGGCCTCCCTCGTCGACTGAGCGCCACAGCCAACGATCACAGGTAGGTACCCGTATCCAGCATCGTCGAGTGCTTTACGGGTTGTCCTCGTGATAAGGTTCCTTTCTTTATGAGACAGGTGGACGGCCTCCCCATTGGATCCTTGGGTGGTGATTCCTGCCACGCCAGCCTTCGCCAAACGGACGGCGTGTTTGGCAGTGGCCTCAACATCCACATTCTCAGAGTGTGGTTCGAAGAATGCCACAGTAGGGACATAGATCCCAGGAACCAACGATCGACGAATGCCTACATCGTTGGACTCCACGGAGCTCGTCTCAAATCTGTCTTGATAGTGGGACATGTCGTAGACTGAACGAACAGGATGAGAATTGATTGAATAGGGAGTGCTGGAAGTGAAGCCGTTTGGTGGAGAGGGGGCGTCGTGATGTGGTGCCATGGTGGAGAAGGGCGATGAAGCGTTTTTATATTGACAAAGGGGTTCGAGCAACGAGGAGACAGCGGAAGTTGTGACAAAGAACAACGGGATTGGGGAAAGCCAAACTAGTACGAACGCTACGAACACGTCAAGGATGATTCAAGAAATACCTACGGAGTACCGAGGATGACGATGTCTTAAATAGTTCTGGGCCAGAGGGGCAACCAGCTAGTAGACCCATAAGGAGTGTGGGGGTCCAGCTGACAGTCTGGAGGGAGGATGGGAATCGGTCAACATCCAGGGCACACAAAAACGACACGGCCGTAGAAGGACGACTAGGCAAAGCTGTGACGACGCCCAACGGCAAGGGGCGGTGAATCTGGAGACGCTGTCCTGACTGTTACCGATGTCAGGCACGCGTGTTTGCGGCTTGGCCTCATGCTCTGCGTTACAGCCAATGATGCGACGAAATGGTGGTCCCCGAACGCGTTGCTTTTTCTCCTCACGTTGTGATGCAGCTGGGAATCAGAAAGAGGCGTCGTCGTCGGAACCTTGGCCGGAGGTGTTGGGCAAGGGGGCAAAGCCTTGTGACGATCTCTCCAAGCGCATAGCGGTCGATGATTGGGCAGACATCACCACCATCACACCCTTGCAACTGCCTCTGGACTGGGTTAGCAATGCTTCTCTTCGGGGCAATCTTAGTGTGGGGGTGGAGAGGCTGGCCGCCATGGACAGACCCAACTGCGGCTCCGTCCTTCATCATCTGATAGTCGTGACGGCGACCCTGGATCGGTCTGCCGTCGGTCGTGGTCCCAGTCGCCATGGCTCCTCAAAATGCAGCGAGGGCAAAAGAAGGGAGGTTTGTAAAAGACGCAAAACGTGGCCAGCCCTCAGCTGGCAAGCAACCGAGATGCCTCGTCACAAGATCAGACATGCATCAGCACAGCGAACGGCAATCAAGCACAGTCTTCAGTAATTCACCGTTGCTGTCTCATCATCGTGGAGTCAGGATCGTAGAGGGTGGAGTCTGTGGAACTTCAACCCCCACGCCATGTTGTTTTAAGTGGCGCATGATGGGCCGAGAGCCTTTTGGGGCTGCGCCGCTTGTTGCACAGAAGACGAGGCCCAAAAGTACTCTACACAATAATAAAAGGTACGGAGTACGGTAAGTGGGACTGGGTACCCCTCTTCAACTTATTGCGCATCGTTGGCATTCACGAGTCGGGTTCGCCGCCCCTCACGGCGGCTGGTCCAGAGAGGCTTACTTCATAACCAGGAATCAGTACACGATTTTCGCGACTATGATCTGAAATAGCAGGTCACAGGACACATGCCGCAGAATCAGCACCACACTGCATCGCGCATAGATCTTCGGCAGTCACGAAGAGAGGTGGACCCAGAGGCATGGAAAGCTCATCAGCCTCCCATTGCTTTTGGCTCCCAAGTCAAAGGCTCGGATTGTTGGAATAAGGTTGTGGTTCCGTGGTTCCTGAGCCCCTGGGAAACTGATGCGCTCATCCCCTATGCTGCACCGAGAGACAAATGACTGGCGGAAAAAAGGAGACATCCAAATTCCGACGGAAAGTCATAGTTGACAAGATTTCTCGTGATCTCAACATCTCAAAGGCGTTGTTTCTCACCCCTCCACGCGCAAGGACCGGGTTCCCCACAGGAATTGCCGTACCCCGGGCAGGCAATAAAGGCACCAGGGTTAAAACTTTTACCATGCAGATGCCATTACTGGACATATGCAACGTCTCGTAACAGGAATCCAAGTCAGCATTCTTGCGTGTCTCTGAATGGAGGGCATGCACAATGTGTTGTTTGACATAGGCACAGCCTCGTAAGAAGCGAAGCCGAAGGAGGACCGACGGCGACCTCTTTACCCCACAATTCACCGAACCAAGCACGCACGGCATCCCCGCTTTCTTACCACGTTGAACTCTGGTCGCATGGGCCCCGACACGAGATCGGCTCTCTGACTTGCATGACGCCCCGTCTTCTTGCTCTTCGGACGGGAAACCTTTGCAGTTTCGGCACGGCATCCACATCAGTTGAGGAAATTGAGGAAACTTGGGTTATGGGTTCTCCACTCGCTTTCAACGTGTCTAACAATCACAAGATCAGACACCCTTAGCAAATGTTAAGCTACATGCGCCTCATTGTTAGCGTCTGCTCTCCACTGCAACCTACCTTGGCAACCATGCTGGGGGGAATGACCGATAGGCCTGGGTTTTCAACGTTGAAATTCGTTTTTAACAGTTTTTCAACCCTAACCGTTTATAACCTACAAAACCGTCTTTAACAGCTAGCCACACCAAGTTAGTCTTTCTTACAGCACTAAGCCTATAGTAGCTCTGACAATGAGGGTATATTCAGTGACCCTATTGGGTAGAGTCATTTCCTAAGGTTCCGCGTGCGAGCCAGAGGTAGGTAGGGTGGAATATCGGGAGGTTGGTGGGCTACCTACTTACGGGAAGAGAGAGAGAGAGATATATATATAACACAATAGGCACTGTAATATATCTATTATAGGACTAGCCTATTTGCCAAGCACTTGTTTGTAACAGTTGAAAACACAATTATCTATATAAACACGTTTTGAACCTGTTAGGTTGATAACATACAAACGTTTATATAAACCCGACCCAGGCCTAATGACCGAAGAGCTTGTTGGATGTATTCGGTTGCGCTTAGATGGCGATGGATGGAACAGCTGCCTCGGAGCTCTCGATCTCCTTGTACCAAACTCGCAGTTGTCTGAAAGAGGCTACCTCGGCAATTCAACACTAGGATTGAAGACCGCAAGGGGCACGGTGGCACCACTGTGCGTGGGATGGATTTGTCACACGCCACCCAGGTTCGCACTTCGAAAGAAGAGCAGCCCAGCCTGTGGCTGCTGGAATAATGCACGGAAGCATATCGGGTTTTACGACCAGATCCATGGACTCAGAAACCCCCCGCATCATCCCGCTGAACTCACACCGATCAATCCTCGCACAGGTACACCACTGGCAGGCCCTGTCGGATATCTTACATGTGTAGTGTTTCTTGCACTAGGCATGCCCATCCTTACCATCGTAGGCTTTGGTTCTCGTCGAAGCAGATGAAAATCCGGCATCACTCCGCCTACGTTCGTATTCTCAGTTCATCTAGTTTGTCGAAGCAAAAGGGCCTGGCCGGAAACCCTGATGGCCCACGGAAGTGTTTCCGAAATTCGCTTTGTTATCCCACGCTACATCCATAGGTACTCTGGACCCCGGATAATTCTGCTCTTCAAGGGTATCCTCTGAAAAAAGCTCTCAGCTGCCGATCCTGTTTCACGAAGCTTCTTACATCGAATTTCCTTTCACAATGATAGAATACCATCATAACATTTCCAATTGAACTGGCAGGTCGACAGAGCATTTGTGAAACAGGACGAAGCTTAGCAAAAATTTTTGCATCTGAGAAGGAGCCTGCGGCATACGTCTGTGGCTCTCTTCGAAGAGCTTCTGATTCATGTGAAGTCGATCAACAACCTGGGCATGCGCTCACTTTCCGTAACGGTACGAAGCGTGGGATGCCAAGGCTACCTCTTTGACTACAGTTCAATATCCTCATTACGGCGACGTCTAGACTCTTGAAAATTTCTCAACAGTTCTCAATTTCTCTTGCGGTTCAGCCTGGGTCGGTGATTCCCAAGGTTCCAGCTTCCTTTATGTCCCGGTCTGGTTTCTGGCTTTGAGGACACACTTTGAGACGGGAATATTGCCTTGACATGCGACGGGAAACTCTCGGATGTATTGAATGGAGCGGGTGGGCTTCAGAGTACTCATAACCATGGCCACTTGTTCAGGATTTCGATTACCCTTTCAAAACCTCCCTGATGGCAATGCCACCACACGTCAGCCGCACATGACATCGGACGACTACATATGTACATGTGCTCCTCTCCAGCGATACTTTCCGCTCGGTCATGCACCATTGTATACGATGTGTGGACCGGCGGAAGCGGGGTTGGTGTGCGGAATTTGTATGCAGAGGCGGAGTAGCGCGCTGACAGTCGAAAGTACCCTAGGGTAAGGGCCCCCGGGGACTTCGCCTTCAGCGACCTATTCGAACCCAATATGGAAAGCCAAATATGAATACCAGCGGCGCCGGATCAATCGTCGACGAACTTTATTACCCAGTATATCGTTCGACTAGTTGGCAACCCCGCATCTGAACGGACTTATTATTGCCAAGCATGCATACCATCTAACATGTCAATAGGTGCGCCTACGTCCGCGGACAGCAAACACTCAAATACACGATAGGTCATGTACGGGAAATTCGTCTCCGACCGTGTTATGCACCAGATTCATTGAAAAATCGCTCAAAACCATATGTAGGCACAGTCTTGCATTGACACTAATGCAGATGACGTTGACCACAGTATTGAACTGGATAATGGTGAGGACTGTTGTAGCTGGCTGGGCATGCACTATACCGCAATCGATCTGCACATCCATGCCCAAAGAAATGAGGGGTTTAGGTCACAAGGCGACGGCTTAAGTTAGGCCGCCTGCCTCCTGCACAAGACAATAACCTGCCACGGGCGCTGGGCGTCCAGTTACCCATTCTACCACGGCCATCCAGTTTGACAACATACCGTTCAGTGTGGAACTTCTGCCATATCGTTACAATATACTGACGGTGAGTATAGTCTGTTGGATTCCCAGTGCCAGCATCCCCAATTTTGTACATCCGTATGAAACGCTAGCTTACCGTAGTGTACCGTTGGAATGCCTTTAGAAACCGTTTGAATGCCTTTAGAAACCGTTTGAATGCCTTTAGAAACCGATCCTCTTAGGGAAAGCCCCCGTCTCAACCATAGTGCACGTAGGCTCTATCATACTCACGTTGTGAGACGAGAGTGTATAGACGTCAGGCCAACAAGAACTCGTGCGGAGTATACCGATTCTCACTGCGCTTCGGATGGTACAATTGGCTTCCGGTGCGACCATGGTTTTCGGCCATTAATATTGTTGTGGATACTGGAATTCCTCCACCTCACCTTGCAACTAGCAGCTTCAAAATTTCGCACTTAGGCATTGGGGAGGCGGTTCATTGTGATATGGGCTTATTTCCTCTGCTGTTACGTGCTAAACTTCATTTTCACTTCTTCCAGCCTATTCCAACTTTTTCCTGCCTGAATTGATTAACCCACTAACGATGTCAATTCTGCGTAGAGTTGTTACCGGCCTTTCTCTCCGGTCAGACTTATTCTTCAACTTCCAGCGTCGCAAGGACTTACACATATTCATTCGATCCTAGTGAGGATACCGCAACTCGAGGCGACACCAAGCCATCCCAACGCAAGCTCGCCTGCGGAAACGGGACTTTCGCTCCACAAGGCTTATTTCTACTCTGACCAACTCCCCGGGTATCCGTTACAAATCGTGGGGTTATGCAGCGGTGGCGCCGCGAGAGGAGCTATCGACGGCTGCCGTCTCATCAGCCTTTCTGTGGCTCGTGCTGATTCACCGGCCCTGTTCAGATTGTCGTTTGATCTTCGAACTTTGTGGCGCTGGACGTTATCAAACGAACGGACCTCCGGTGAGACTCCGACACCGGTGCTGGGAATAGAAAAGGTGACCGGCGATGGACCTGCTCAGACTCGTTTCACACCGCTTTCGTCTCATCGAGAAGTCGTTATCGTATCTTTGCCTATCTCAACAGCCTCAAAATCTGTGCTTTTCGCCAGCCTCTCCGCAAGTATGACGACCCCATCCTCCGCAAGCACGCAACCGCACCGCGAAAGTCTCGACTTCTTTCACAGCATACACGTGGCCCAGCATCACTCACATTATTTGGCAGCATTGCAGGAAGTCGGTCAATCCAACTTCCCCGAAATCTTTGCAATTCCCACGTTTTCCCGCCAAGGCGGGAGGCAGGCGAGCTATGCTTTCTTTTTCCACCACGTCCAAGATCCCCAGTGGCTGGCGCCGTAGCCGTCTCTTGATCTTCAGATCGTGGCTGCCTCCAGCCTTAGGCGGTGGGCGGACACCGTCGGGCTCGCCTGTGTCTCCTGGGTCGGAAGATAGCGACCATATCTTTGCTTTTGGGCACCAGGATTTCTCAACTGGACGAATGTCCGGTACCTCCAATGATGAAGTGGTCCAGATTAGTACTGCGTACTACCAACCTGTACCAGGTCACTTGGGTAGTAGTTATTGCAGTGAAGCTGAGGATCCTGGGTGTATCGATGCAGTCGGATAATACCGTGGTACCTGATCATCTCTGGCTCACACGATACCTCTCGAATCAGCTACAGTTGTGGCATGACTCGCTTGGAACACAATTCCGAGTATAGAAAGGTCTAACTGGCTTCTGTAAGATATGCAGTACTTCCGTACTTCGCAAAAATTAGCATTTGCCACGCGTTGATGGATGGCTCGGGTTCGCGCCTCTGACTACTTTGCGGAGCTCCTATCAGATTGGATAATTCGGGGCGAGCATAGTAAACAGCCCTGGAGATCGCAGATACATTTGTAATGCAGCTTTGCCGTGCCGCGCAGGCATTTATCTAAGTACTCATAGTATTCAGAGGTGAAAGGGGTCGCCGCTCCTTTTGGTGTGTCCGAGACTGCGCCTCCTGTCAAATGGTCCTTAGAATTGACGTAGGATTGACGACTTCATGAACGTTAATCCCACCCACTACTTCAGTATAACGTCTTCTAAGAAAAAAGGATGTCAAGGCGCATCATCGCCCTATCAATCATTTCCGTTGCCTTGAGCAGGAGATTCCACTGCTGCGTTAGACATGGCCATCATCGTATAAGGATGGTATTAATACCCTAGTTTGTCTAGTAATCGACATTAACATAGAACTCTGACCCCCATATACGAAGCTTTTTACTTGGCAGAGATTGATACTACTATATTACCAGAGGCTTATGGGATGAAACAGTCCGTAATTCACATTATCCAATCACCATTACGTTAGTAGGCCCTGACACTATGGATGCAACTAAGCAATTAATATCGTGAATCCAATACAATGACAGAAACCCCACCAAACCAAACCGTCGCTGTAAACGCAACCGTAGAACCCGCACAATAGTCCCAGCGCATTCTACTACCCCATTCATCGCAGCAATTAACTCTTTGCGGAGCGCGTGGCAATTGCAGGAATAACTATCGGGGGCCTCCACGAGACACTAGCCTAAGCGACAAGGCCATTGACCAGACGGGCGTCTATATAGGAGATATATCGACTAGACCATACGGTACAAGACTAGCTCTAGGTCTTGTATTTTATTATTTAATTATACTAACCAATATTCAGATATATTTGTTCAAAGTTTGTTCAGATACTTTAAGCGATACACTTTCTACACTTTCTATGTATCTAGAAGTTTGTGCTAGCCTATCCAGAATCCTCATCGTTCAATGAACACACAAACTAATGAGCTCCTATACGTTCTGAGCACAGTCCTGTACTGTCACATAAGTTGTCTTATCGCAACCCCTTCTAAAAACAGAAGGCAGCACTCTTCTGCAGCGCTGACAAAGCTTGATGCATTAACGTGTTTCACCACTCACCGGCGAACACCAGTCACCGGCGTGCCCCACCAAAATCAAGACGTGTCTTCAATTCAAACCATGGCATCAACATACAATGTTCAGAACCTTCAAAAAGAAGGTAGATTAGATCTTTCAAAAAAGTCTATTCAAGATAATCTTGTTTCAAGTGTTTATAAAGCAGCAAAACTGTACGACGTCCCTGAAACCACTCTTCGGCATCGCATCCAGGGCTCAGTGCCAATCGTGCAATCAAATGCCAAAAAACAAAAGTTACAGCCTTCAGAGGAGCAGATACTCATTCAATGGATCCTAGACCTCGACCGATGTGGATTTCCACCTCAGATTATCGATGTACGACGAATGGCAGACCATTTACTCACGGCACGTGGCCAGAATTCTCCTCTCCCACCCATCGGCAAGAACTGGGTATGCCGCTTTGTCAACAACCAGCCAGACCTGCAGACAAAATGGAATAGGAAATTCCATTCCCAACACGTGAAATGCGAAGATCGAGACACATTTCGTGAATGGTACGTGCTCGTAGATGAGACATGCCAGACATATAGCATACTTGACGAAGATACCTGGAATTTTGATGAGACTGGATTCATGATGGGTGTGTCTACGACATCGAAAGTCATTACAAGCTCCGATACTGTAGGCCGAGCCATTCTCATACAACCAGGCAATCGTGAATGGGTGACAGCGATTGAGTACGTCAACACGGCCGGGTGGGTGATCCCACCCTTCATCATCCTTGCAGGAAAGCTCCACCAGTCAGGCTGGTATCGAGGCCTACCTGGTGACTGGATGCTCGCTGTAAGCGACAATGGCTGGACAATAGATGAACTGGGATTCGAATGGATTAAGCACTTTGACAATTATACAAAGTCCTGTACGAAGGGAGTCTACCGGCTACTCATACTTGATGGCCATGGTAGCTACGCAATGCCTGAATTCGACCAATACTGTACAGAAAACAAGATTAAAATGATCTGCATGCTATCACATACATCACATCGTCTCCAGCCGCTTGATGTGAGCTGTTACTCTCCTCTAAAGATCTTGTATGGTCATGAGGTTCAAGAGCTCGCCTATTATGGAGTCTACCATATTGATAAGGAAGACTTCCTGGAAATATATACTAAGGTGCAATCATCTGTCTTTACAGATCAGAATATCAGAAGTGGATTTCTTGCTATGGGTCTAGTGCCATATGACCCTGAGCGTATCATATTGTCGCTTCCGATCATGAAGACTCCGACTCCACCAGGTACTGCAGATGGACCGGTACCTCAATGGACTTCAGAAACGCCATATACTACTGCCCAGCTAGAGCAGCAGGCAAGGCTCATACGGGACATCCTTCAGCGCCAGTCACAGAGCCCTACTAGCCAAGCAATCAATCAACTTGTTAAAGGATGCCAGATGGTGATGCATTCCGCTGCCATACTTGCAAAGGAAAATTCGGAGCTTCGTACGGCAAATCAACGTCAAAAGCAGAAGCAGCAACACCGCCGAAGGTATATCGCCCATGGAGGTGCTCTACAGGCTGGGCAGGCCCAGCTCACGGTTGCGGAGTTGGAAAATGCGGAGCAGGAGGCTGACCAGAACTGGGCTGGTCAGACGCGACAGCAAGCACCACCAACATGCTCCAATTGCCATATCCAAGGCCATACAAGGCGTCAATGTACTAGTATCTCAAGAAGCTCCTAAGCATAATTTTATTTGAATATACTTTGTTGTGGTGGAGTAGTCGTACGAAGACGCATCTTGATTTTGGTGGGGCACGCCGGTGACTGGTGTTCGCCGGTGAGTGGTGAAACACGTTAACAGACCTATGACCCTCTAGACCCTTAGTTAACTAGGCAAATATTTCCTTATCTTGCAAATCTAACGCGCAACAGATTTGAACACGAGGAAGCTTCAGCTGTACTCTCTTATCGCTAAACTAACTCACCTGCACTTTGGGTCCCCGTCGAGTACCGCGGCACAAGCGAGTTGAGGGGAATACGGAAACGGAAATCGAATCAGCCCACCTGCACCTCACAGCCCTATTTAATAATCTGCGCTCCTTCACATTCTCTGGTGCGTCCAAGCCGCTGTCACACCGACTTCAACACCCTCTTCATGCCCAGCTGGTTCGAATCACAAGGACATGCTCCATAATGCCTCCATATAAACATACCCCCCTTCACCAAGCCCCAGATCCTTCGGATGTGACCATCCGCCTCCTCGACCTACCACCGGGGGACAAAACAGGTCTGATATCCTGCCACCTTTTCACAACGCCTCTGTCACAGGCGCCAGAGTACGAGGCTGTGTCCTATTGCTGGGGTGTAGAGAGAGGCGTGATATTCATCGACACCAATCCGGCACCCTTCCCAGATGCCTCCGATGCCCCAACACCATCCCAACCCCCAGCTTCGCAAGACATTCTCCCAACCTGGCACCCCCTCGTAGTTCCCGCGTCACTCATTTCCTTTCTTTACCGGACCCGCGCCAAAAACGGCCAGACACGCACCCTCTGGGTCGACAGCATATGTATCGATCAAACGAACATCGCCGAGAGAGATGCACAGGTTCCCCACATGCGCGACATCTATATGCGCGCCAAACGCACTCTTATATGGCTTGGACCTGCTGCGGACCGCAGCGAGGAGGCACTCCAATATGCGTTTGACCTAACGCAGAAATTGCGCCATGAAATCGCCCAGCCTGGAGAGGCGCTGGTGTTGCCTCCGTCAGCGAAAGCCGTTTCGCAAACACGCATAGAGGTCGGGCACCCGGGTCTTGCCGCGCTGATCAAGGTGCTAGACAGGCCATATTTCGAGCGTGCATGGATAGTGCAGGAGGTGGTTGTTTCGCAGGAAGCGCATGTCATCATCGGTGACAACTCTTTGCATTGGCTATGGTTCCTTGGCGGGTTCTTGCATCTAATGGACAAGCATGCCTGGGTATTTGAGTTCTATCCGGGTCATCGCTTGGGATTGTTGATGGAACTGAGAGTCAGTGGGAAGGAGTGGGAGGATAAGGTCGATGGAGAGTGGTTCCGTTTGCTCTCCAGGCATAGGAGTGTTAAGGCTGGGGACGCACGGGACAAGGTGTTTGCGTTTTGGGGATTAACATCCAAGGAGGAGTTCGAGCAGATGGGAGTGATGCCCGAGTATGGAATCAGTGTTGCGCAGGTGTATTGGAAGTTGGCAGCTGCGGCCTTAAGACGGGGGCATGTTGAGGTTTTGAGCGTGCCTAGGATTGTCCTGGAAGAATTTGACGATGACATCGGTGATCCCGACGTCGAAAGCAGCCAGCCAGTAAGTTCCTAAGTGAAAGGTGGGAAATGAACCTAACTTGGCCAGCACGGCTTCGGCGCTTTGGATATGCCTTCCTGGGTCCCAGACTGGCGCTACACCGACCGCACCCCTGAAAGCCTTCTCCGCTTCGAGCTTCCTGGAAATAACTGGAGACCACCGTACGCGGCGTCCTCCAATTCATCCTTCCCAGAGCCCTTTGATACATCTTCTGATGACAGCATGTATCCCAAAGAACTCCGGCTCAAGGGATTCTCCATAGCACGAATAACGCAGCTCAATCCTCGCCCATGGAAAATAAACATGCTCTCCGGAAATCCAACGTTCTACAACCAGGCACGCACCATTCGCTTTAACCAGCGCCAGATTGTTGACTGGGAGAAAATCATCCGACTACCAGGAGCCTCGCGGACCGTATATCACCCCACGGGCGAAACCGTGCTCGAAGCCTGCTACAAAACAATCACGGCCGGTCTATACCTGCACGGTTCTGTTTCCCTAACGAAAAAGGCCATCGATGCATTTGAATCCCGCCAGCGCATTCTCCGCTTCTTCGTGTTTCTTGGTATCCAAAACTGGTTGTGGCCTTATGTCGTCGTAGTCGCAATCGCCCACTTCCTCCGCTTTTTGGGGGTCGAGAATCCCGAGTGGAAATTCCGCATGCTGGTCCCGGCTATGACGAATCGCAAGGCGGCGAGGCTGATAGCGGAGGATGGGAAGACGATGTTTCTGGGACTGGTTCCTGGATTGAGTCGGGTTGGAGATGTGGCGGTGTTGTGTGCGGGAGTGAAGGTTCCGCTGGTGCTGAGGAAGAGGGAGGGGTTCGACGGTGGCGAAAGGTGGGAGCTTGTGGGAGATGCATATGTACATGGGGTAATGAATGGAGAGAGGTGGGTGGATGATCGAACCCAGTGGGAGATTTTCCATGTTGTGTAATGATGCCGCCCAGAGGCGTTTCATCCCAGTGAGGTAGATCCTCTCCAAACCGCACTAGCCATCGACTATAAAGCCCCAGCATGCGCTGAACCTAGATGTATCGTTGAGCCACGGAATTAGAATTCGATATTTGACTCCTGGTATTGAGACTCCCTTGTGGTGAGACCCTGATATTCACTCCTTAGCCAGACTGTTTTATACCCGCGAAAGTTCCCTACTAAACCATCGATCTAGTTCTTACAAGACATGTACCCAGACACGTTGATTACTCCATGGGATGCGCGCGCATGCATCGCTTCGCAGGTTAGATGTACTGTCGCCACTACTAGTTTGTCAAAGGTGTGAATGCACCATTAGTGAAGTGCCCCAGCTCCATACTGGAGTAAACGCTCCACAAGATGATTCTTACTCATGTTGGTATAGGTTGAGTGTCGGACTACGGATCGGGAACGCGAGCTTCATGGTTCGCTCTCCCAAATGATAGCAACCGAACCCAACCTTCACTCATGCACTACCGGCACCTTACACTTCGCTATAGACTCCTATATATATGCGGGAAGGCTCTCAAACTCATTCTGAAATATGAATCTATATGTTTCTGGCAATTCGTTTACTCTTTCTGTTGCACCGTATTGAAGTACCCTCTGCTATTCACGTCCTGTCTTGAAAACACAGCTTGCCACGCTATGCTATGTGTATGATGCGAGTGACCAAGATGTAGCGCTGAAAGCGGGTACAACTCACTCGACGGGGTGACGAGTTCTCAAGATCCATTGAGAAACTCGCAAGAACCCGCGCAGGGAAGTGAACGCATCAGGTCCTTCAGTTCACTGTTGCACAAATCGAAAGCATTACGTGCATCCCAACCAGTACCCGGAGACACCGCACCTTCCACGATCCTGAAGCTACCCGTCAGAAGATCTAAAATCTACTGACAGTTAACAAGACGCCGTGAGGCAAAGACCAATTCCGACGCTATGCTATGCTACGATGACTACGACTTAAGCGCATATCCGCGACTGATAATAACAAGCAGCTAAGCATGATAGAGGGTATCTAACTACAATCATGAACATAAGTACCAAGCATCCAAACTCCAAACGCCATAAATGCTCAACTACCGCTCCCACATAATCCTATCATGCTAAATATATCCTGAACGAAGGCTCTTCCAACAAGTTCGCACCGATCCTCAAGATTCTGATGAAGATTCGCTGTTCTTTTCCCTCCATTCAAGTTCCGGGGCCTTGGAAACAGCCCAGACACCATGTGTTTCCTTCTTTTCCCACTTCCACCGAACACCGACTGCAGATTTGCTTGTGGCAGCCGGCGGCGCACTCGCGAGCGCAGATGAAGCAGGCACGTTGCGAGCAGGATTGGCATTCGAGGTAGTTCTCCAGATCGCGTTTCCGTTTGGGAGCGCTGTGGCAGACATGGCAGGCGCGTAGGTCCGAGGAGGCATGTACAGCCGGAGATGTTGGTGCTGTACATCCGTTGGTCTTGGGGCTTGTCCGTTTGAGTTGTTTTATTGGGCGGCGGCCCGGGTTGATGATTGGTGTCGTCGGTGGGGATGACCACGATGCGTGATTAGGGTCGTTCACTCTATGTATGCGGCTCATTTTCGTGGGTGTCATGTTCTCTGTAAGGGCTGGGTCCTGCGGATCGTCGTTGCCTCGCCTCCTTTTACCAAGGGCGTTGTCCAGGTCCATTTCCGTGGTTGTCCAGGGGCGACGTTGTAGGGCACAAGGAGGCGGTCGGAAGACCTCGGGGGTGATGTACATAATGCGGAGGGTTTGGCCGCGCTTGCGGAGCGCCAATGGGAAAGGTGAATGCGATGTGCCGGGCGTGAAGTGCACCGGGCCTGAAATGCAGCTGCACCGAAGTGCGGCGACTGTGCGGTAACGAATGTCGTGAGGCCTCGAAAAAGGTCCCTCTGACAAGACTATGCTGGAGAATCAAACGATCGTATGACAACGTCGCCGTTAACGTACTGTGAGCGAATGGCTGGCCGCTGGAGGTGCAAATTGACAGTAGGATGTGCTGAGGATGACCGGAGGACGTTGTTTACAGAAGTCGAAGCCTTGCCAAGGCTAATCAAATGGAAAGGTTTCCTGATTAGGCAAGAGGCGGACGGGGGTTTACGAGCCCCCGATTCCCGTCCTTCAGGGCTCCACACGACACGAGGGGATGTTCTTAACTGTGTACAATCTGGAGGTGAGGACATGTCCGATACCACCATACCAAAACTTTCTTTGTATCTATTTCCTTCCTTTGGAGTGTATGGAGCCATAATCCCGAACTACTTTTAATGTAATCCTATCCCCCTTCAGTCGCCGTCCACCAACTCCGGCCGGACATTGCACCCCGGGACACCATGGAGAGCTTAAATGTGTCGGAGCTCGTTCAGCGGCTGAGCAGCGAGGAAGAGTCGGTGCGCAAGATGGCCGTGTTCAAGCTCCAGAATGCCATTGGCGATCCGTCGTTCGCAGACGTCTTCATTCAAGAAGGGGGCATGCCCAAGCTGCGGTTCCTAGCACTGCATTCCACAGGCAATACCCTCGCATACTGCCTCACATCCCTTTCACGGTTGCTGGAGCTTGACAAGGGATGGGACCACGTCACGGACGACCTCATCATGAGGGTAGGTGCGACCATATCCGAGACAGCCTTTGTCAAGCTAATAGCACCATTCAGATCGTCGACCTCGTCGTCGCACAACCTCTCGTCAATGTCAACCGCGGCGCAATGTCTGTCCTCGCGGCCATCGTGGGCCACCCAAATCGTCGCACCTCGCAACCCAATGCCACGGGGTTCCAGCGCCTGAAACCAGCCGTAGAGCAACAACCGCAGTTCCTTCCCATGCTCGTGGAGAAGATCGCTTCGGCTGATCATGCCCTTTGCGCCAATGCCTTACAACTCATCAACTCCCTCATGCGGGACGCTATTTCGAATGGTGGAGGGTTCGAGTGGCCGCGGTTCATAAAGCAGTTGCAAGAACTGGGGGTAATAAAGAGCGTATATGGGCTTATGCAGAGCTCGGCCATACAGGATTTGGCGCAACCCTTGCTGGAGTTCCAGACGTTGACAAAAGTGCTGCTGCGCAAATGGCGAGACGAAAAGATTGAGATGGAGAATCCTGATCATCGACGAGCTATACGAGGCCTACAGCTTGCAAGCAATGGAGAGAGGATTCATTCGGAAACCAATTCCACTGGAAGCAGGAAGATGACTGTTGCCAATTGGAAGCGCCTGGGTTTCGAGACGGATTCGCCGGCATATGACTTCGAGAGTACGGGGTACCTAGGGCTCATGGATCTGACAGACTTCATCTACAAGAACGAAGACGGATTTCAGAAGTTGCTGCTTGAGCAGTCTGTTCAGCCGGTGGAACAACGGTGTCCCATCGGGCGGGCAGCCATGGCTGTCACCTTGATACTGTATGAACACTTCGACGTGGACAAGGCGGACGGGGGCGAGGCGCAGAAATATGTGTCTCTAGAATCCCGCACGCAGTTTGACAAAGCGTTCAAGCCGCTGCTGTTGCACTGGCCTCGGCTCCACGCCAGTGGCCTCCTGGCCTTCATCCGTTTGTGGAAAGCTGCAGGAGCGGAAATAGAAGATTTCGAGAAGATTGAAGAGCTAGTGCGCATTCTGGTAGAGCAGGTTGTGGGCCAGGCTCCCCGAACGAGAGACATCAAGGAGGTCGAGGAGGAGCTCGCACAGTTTGACCTCAAACGATTACGAGACCTGCAAATGGAGCTCTTGGAGCTGACCTATGAAGACGCATGGGGTCACCATCTCAGGTAAGCACTCGGATCTGACATGCCTACTATGCTTGACGATCTAACTCAAGAGCAGGCAAGTCCGAGAAGAGCTCAATCACGAAGCCCTTCAATTCGTCAAAGAACAGCGCATCCGCTGTCTTCTTAGCGGCTCCTGGTTCCCCGTCTCCGTAAACTACAGCACCGACGCAGGGCCAGTCACCAACAAGAGCGTCAATCGCGGCGTAGCCTCTGGGTGGCGCTATGTCCGCCTATCGCATAACCGGCGATTCCTGCACTACGCCGACTTCGACACGAAGACAGTGGCAGAGCCTAGACTAGACGCTCTGTATAACAAGAGTACGTATTTGGCTACATTTCCCCTTTCGCATTCATCGGCGCTTAAGCTAATGCTCCGATCCAGTCGATCTCTCCATCATATCCTCGGTCGTCAGCAATGTCTCTGCCTCAAGCCCGTCGACGGCCTCCTCGGACGAGACAGTGACGTCGCCGGAGCTCGCATCGACATCGACGAAAATCACCATCCATGGGTACCTCCCGTCTGAGTCTCACGGCCACTCGCGGCAAACCTCCGAAGCGTCGACCTCGTCCCACAACCATAAAGAAGTCGTGCTCCTCCAACTGCATCCGCAAAGCCACACACTGGCCTCGGAGTGGCTGGACGGACTGCTCATGCTGCTGAATCAGCAGCCTATTACTGCAGATACGAACAAGCTTGTGAACTTGATCAGTGGGTATGGGCTCAAGATTCGGTTGCTGAATGTGAGGTTTGAGGATGTGTCCATGGAGGAACCGGTGTGGCCGACGAGGGAGGGGTTGGATGATGATTATTATTATGATATTGGCGGCATGGAGGCGGGTGTATAGATGCGGCGTGCGTGTGGACGGAACCTGAAGCTGGCATACAAGAGTCGGTAGGGGTTCCTGTGTTTGTTTGTGTGAGTTGGCTGAGGAAGAGGAGCCCTTTAGCCTCTTCACAGTTGAGTGTTTCGAGAAGAGAGGCAACATGTGGGTACGGCTGGGATCACCAGGATTGCCGCTCCCGTTGTAAAAACGCGGCAGGGATGGTGCACAATGGGACTTGGAGCCGAGAGGTCGGCGCAAGGATACAGGGTTGAGGAATGGGCGAGTTGGGTGCTGGGGAATATTCTCGAACGATTATAAAGGGTATATGGGCGGCTACGTTGAACTTCAATTCGGTCTATCTATCTGGAACAGAGCACGATCGGTTCGGCTACAGTAGAGGCTGGGTGAGGAATATACTGTGTAATGATGGGACGACGGAAAGGGAAAACGGTGGCACGCTTCAGAGCACGCGAGTAGGCGTGTATTGGTTGTACAGTACGATGCGTATATTGCAGTTACGAGCTGTTTGACGAGAGATTGCACGCAGTCTCAGCATTGTTAATCATAACAGCGTGAAATATAATGACTGTTCCGATACGTGTCTGCTGGTATTGACCGTGAAGATGAAGACTTGGGCAAACGTTGCGAAGACCATGGAGAAAACGATGACATTCTCCTATCCCGATAATTGGGGCTGCGGCGTAGCTCTGTTTCTTTGTTCTCTGCCAACCCTAAGAACATCGAAACGAGGCGCACGTCTCTCACAGGGTCGTATTCATGGCGCGTGTTGAGGGCGATTTTCCCGGTGTTTCTAGCGAGGTTATCTCTAAGGCTTAGACCGGGTGCATGCGGTGTTGGAGTGGCGTCGCCCTGTTGCGGCGTCATGCATGGCATCCCGTGACTTTGTGTAGCGCTGAGGCACACCAGAACAAAGAGAGGGAGAGAGTTTGCTGGTGCAATGTGGAACTAAGGGCGAGCGGATTCTTGGTAAGGGGTGAGTACTGCGGTGGTACAAAGTTTGAGGGAATGTTCTTTCGAGGCGATCGCCTACCATGTGCTCCATAGACTGTGTTCGGCACAGTATGATGCCTGCTAGATAAATATCTAAATAAGAGAGGACAATACCCCGTAAGAAGTCATGGGAATCAAAGTTGAAGGCTCGAATGGTCCTCAGTACGAAGTACTGTGGTAGAGACTACAACCCGGCTGTACCTGCCCTGTGCCAGTGAAGTATGGTTCCTGGCGTTTATCTAGCGGCCGAGGCTGTAAAACTGTGGAGCAACGCCACTCAGGCACACGCTCTTTGTCCCCGGCTGTTCCTGGATCCGGCGGGGCGTGGCGGACAGGGAGAGATGGTCGGGCGCTTCTTGGGTGACGGCGTCTGGCTAGGACGACCTCCCTCTCTGCCACGATTGGGCACGGGGATGAACGAGCACACAGGGCGGGCGCGTGCAATCATAGGATGGAGGTGATGATATTGCTGATGGACGGATTCGTGATGTTCTGTCCAGTACGAGTGCGTACCTCCGTCGTCGCCGGTGAATTGACCTGCCGACGGGCCCGCGAGCCGCCGTGGAGAGTTGTCACAACGGCGAAGCATGTGGTTCGCGAGTTCTGGCTGGCTGGCTGCTGTACAAGCCTACAAGGTTTGAATGACCTGCCTGCTGCAAAGAAAGAGGAGGGACTCCCTTAGAGCGCATGTAAATACGTATCTTGCGCCACGTCGAGGGAGCATTCCCCTCTGGTTCAGCAATTTCTTTTTCGTCCCCCATACACTGGACTTCTGCGGACTCCATCTCCACATCCGCTCCTCATTCAAGCCCGCTGTCCGGCATCGATAGAAATCCCCAACACCTCCACTAAATATCAGATCTGCTATCGATAGGCTCTCCAAGGGGGTTGTCGGGACGGACCACGACTGGCTCCACGTCGATCAGCAGCTGGTCCCCACCGCCAACAAAGCGCATCCTCTCCCAGAACGCCCAAGCACACAAAGGGCCCTGCGGCCCTGAGTCGCTGGTGTCTGTTGGTCGACGCCGTCTACCCTCACAGTTTTGCCTCTCACACCGCCAGTAGACGGCAATTGATATACTTTCTGTTTCCCTTCAACAATGCCAGGTGCACTGCTCGGTACATATGGAGCTGGACCCCAGCCGTCCCAACACCATCACCAACACGACATCTGGGACGCCATGAAGCAAGCATCCTCGACCGCCATGAGGAAAAAGAAACCCAGCCGGCATGCCAACCGCCACGGCCCCGCGCAAATGCAATTCTCGCATGCCGAGTTCGACGCTCTACCGTATTCAATCCAGTAAGTTCCCCCCAAGAAATTCAAAAAGAATTGCCTGAAGCCGCGCTGCGCCCCTATCACACTCCATCACATCGCATCCCGCCAGGCGAATGGCGCTTGCAGCCATCATGCACGACAGTCCTCGCCTCGCCGTGCCTGGTACCTTACAGCAGGCCATTAAGCTCCTGATGGCGTTCTTTTCCCGCCTTTTTTATGGTGTTCCTGGTGCTGTTGCTGACAGAATTGTGTGCGCAGGAAAAAGTACTTTTCGTCTCTCGAACGCTTGCGCATTGCGGAGCAGCAAAAGCAATCTCTCGACGAGCAACACTTCCACTGCTCCCCCTATAGCTCCTTCAGCTACAGCCAGCACGGAAGCTCTCGCCGTTCCTCGCACTCGTACGCCCGCTCAATCATTGGCCTGCACCATCGCCAGCACCACCGCTCCCTGACGCGCGATTCGTCCCACCGTCGCCGTCTTCGCAAGTCAGAAAGTCCCCGCCAGCGGCACGATATCACGCCGCAAGAGGCCCGATTCTTCCTCTCCCTTCCTCCTAAGATCCGCCGGCAGCACTTCTCGAGGGAGGAACAGGTCCTGTTGCTGGCACAGTGCGAGCAGTACGCTTCACTGCTTCCTCTGGACGACGCAGCCGTTTTGGAACGAGCGCGTCAACGCTACGACGACTTTCAGTTCGATTTTTTCGACGACGACAGTCCTCGGAGAGGACGTTCAAGAAAACGGAGATCTCGATCTCTCACCCCGACAAGAGTCCCCTTAGAAAGGGATACACAGCAAGCATCAGACATCGACGCCATGAGCCCGCCTTTGTCCTACCAGACACCTCCCCACGGGCCCTCGTCCTTCCGCCGCACCCTCTCCCTCACCCACATACCCATCCGCCATTCCTCCTCATCCGTACCCGCTCGATCAGAAGCATCGCCCCTCCCCTTCAGCCCGCAGAACCGCCATCAGAGATCCACCTCCCTCGCACTCTCCGGCCGACGCTCCTCCCACGCCCCCTCAGCCCCCGTCTTCGACCCCGAAGCCACACACTACCAGGACCCGGAAGCCAGGAAGAAACTCCGCATGTTCCTCGCCACGCCGCAAAAGTTCGACGAAGCCGTCGAATTCGGGTTTCCCTCGACGGCAACCGCAGACGACACGATGACGATGACGCCCCCGAGGCGCTACCAGCTCCCGCCCATTACCACGGACGCGCGCAACTTTAGCAAGGATATGCAGACGTTCCTGCGGGACGACAAGGTGTCGTTCCTCGAGGATGATGGTGATGATGACGACGACGGAAACGAGGACAAAAACGAAGAAGACGAAGATGAGGTAGATGCCACAGACGGCGATTCCCTCCCAGATCTCGACTCCCCCCTCACCCCGTCCAGCGCCGCCGGTCTCTCCTTCCGCTGCGGCCACACGCGGCACGTCTCGCCCTCGACCTTCTCCTCGCTCGACGGCTCCACCATCAGCCGGCCCTCGCTCAACCACAACCACCACCCGCCTCTCCGCATCATGCCGCACGTCGCCAACCGCGAAATGACGCTGCGCATGACGCTCACGCGGCCGGATCTGCGTGCCGACGAGGACCAGTTGTATGGGTGGCGGGCGCAGAGGGGCAGCAAGGAGGATCCGTGGGCGTTGGAGCATTTGGAGCTCAGTGATGATGTGACGGGGAGTCGGGGTCCGTTTTTTGTGAAGGGTAAGGGGAGTGGGAGTGGGGGAGCTGCCAGGGGGTTGGTGTCGACGTTGTTTAAGAGGGCGAGTAGGAGGGGGAGGTAGTGTGGAAAAAAGGACGATGTTATGATGATGATGGATGACATGAGTGATGATACGGCCGAGGTTGGAGGGATTTTTCTTCTTCAACTTTTTGTTTTCACTTGGACGAGGGCATGGTTATGACGGGCGAGTTTTATGTCGCGTTACTCTTCTCCTCCCCCGTTGCCCTTGTTCTTCTTCTTCTTTCTTTCTTTTTCGCTTTGATTCAAGCATTTTCACTTCTACTACTCGTGTATATATCATATTATAGCTTTATACCAGGCCGAGACGACCGCTGGCCAATAAGCGATGCATGGGAGGTGCCCAATTGAAAACTGAGCAACGTGCAGGTTGGTGGTCTTTCCAGTGTAGCTAGTACAGAGACCGTGATACCGTAAGGAATGCCCCAGTGAATGAACGGAGATATAGACCAAGATCAGTCAGTATCTTAAGTTGAGCCAGGCAACGACTAAACCCTCGACGTCACTCTCCTCTCCCTTCCCAAGCGTTGCTATGCCGTACACCGAGTAACGTGCAGCGTAGCACTCGCACTGCATCTACGTTTCGTTTCGTGTCGTTTCGTCTCGTTTCGTGTCGCTCCGCACGGTACACGACCGCACCCGTTTTCGCACACCCTACCCTACCGTAGGTGTGAGCGACGGAGTGAGTGAGGTGAAGCGGACGTGGACGTCGAGTCACCACCCCGCTCCCCCGCTCCCCTTCTCATGCGTAGTATACCGTACGTAGAAGCTATAAGCTTCACCGCACCTGCACGTACCCTATGCCACGTCGTCGTTGGTGACAGTCGTGAAGAATGTTGCATGTTGCATGTTGCATACCCCTCATCCACAGTCAGTACCCTACCTCCTCACGTACCTCCTAGGGCACCTATGTACCTAGGTAGTTTTACAAATCGTGGGAGGGGCGAGGGGTGCGGTGGGAATCACAGCATTGCATGCATGCATGCATGAACTTGGCAATTTGTTTTGGAGATGTACTGCATAGATAGGCACTTAGACTAGGTATCCTTCAAGTCGCTTGGACGGATGCAGTCATCTGCTGTGATTTCCTTCGTGGGGGCCATGCTCTGCATTGAGGGTGAGGATTTGGTTTGGTACTCTAGTGGGTTATGTTACGGCTTTGGGTGCGTTTTCTGCTTTTACCCCTCTTGGTTTTGTTTGCGTTTGGATGATGGAGTGGTGGACGAGTCTCTTTGAAGTTTCGGAGTTACAACTATGTGCGTTCCCAGGGTTGGGTTGCGTTCGGCGTCCGATGAGGTGCGACAGTGAGTCATGCACCTCGTGCGACAATTGGCATAGGTAGGGTTATGTATAGGAAACTACCTAGGTAGACGCAGGAAGGGGTGTGAAGGACAGAAGATGACCGTGAGATTGGGGATTCAGTACCCTAGGGTAGCGCGGACGAGTAGGCGGGTAGTCCCAGTAGTTGAATCATCGTACGTATACTGGTATATATATACACGTAGATATGCTTAAGGCTAATAGTAAAGTAGAAAAGGCGCTCGTTCTTCTGTAAATGGTCTAGTCGATTATCCATCTGTTGATTAGAAAGAGATGATACGAATTACGAGCATGATATCCTTCAACCCGTAGTAGTACGTACTCGCAAGTGAAACGGGATTGGCTATACCCTTTATAGCACGACAATTGACTACTATAATAGCAGACGTCTACAAGATAGCTACTATTTAAAGAGTCAGGCTTAGCAGAAGGAAAGGACATCCTCCTCCTTCATTATTTGTCTCTCCTACTGTTTATTACACCCCGGCTAGTCCCGCTCTACTCAATATCAAGCGGATACGTCTCTCCACCAACAAGACGTTGCCCGACCATCGCGAATCCAGCATTCTGCAGAAAACCGCTTGCTCGGTTGTGATTCCATCCTCGAGGCGTGGTCTAAGCGACTACCGTGCTCAGCATCCGCGTGAACTTTACCCCATGCTAAAATTAACGGAAGAAACCCTGAAGCACACTAATTGGTGGGATGGGCGAAAACAGGGTAAAGCTACAACTCGCGGCCTCCTCGAACAATGTCATGTAGCAAAGTAGCAGCAATATAGGCGGGAAAATTGGTTGCTGATCAGAGGGATAGTTTTTGACATACATTCATGGCTTCACCTATATAATTGAGATGTCGTTCTGGGGCATTATTGTGTGTGAGTATTTGGGTATCCAGCCTCAAACCCGCATATTCGTTTCAAGGGCACTGGCTCATCCAACATGAAGTCGCGGGTGGCTCTCATAGCAGCCTTGAGCTGGTCGGTTGATGCCAGAAGTGCCGTTGAGCCCCATGTCAAGCGCCTCAACAATGGACTAGGTCTGAAACCCGCACTGGGCTGGAATAGTTGGGTGAGGACCGATTTGCATATCTTTCTCTATCCGAACCACGCAGAGCTATTGAATACTAACCCTCACAGAATGCCGGCCAGTGCAGCGCTGCAAGCGCACAATTCGCTCTCGACACGGCGAACAAGTTCATCTCTCTCGGCCTAAAAGATCTCGGCTACGAGTACATCAATATCGATGACTGCTGGAGCACCAAGTCGCGCAACGCCACTGGTCATCTTGTCCCGGACCCGGGCAAATGGCCCAACGGCATCAAGGCGGTGGCCGATCAGATCCATGCCATGGGCCTCAAGTTCGGCCTGTACGGCTGCGCCGGTACTCTGACGTGCGCGGGCTATCCTGGATCCGAGGGACACGAACTGCAAGATGCGCAGACGCTGGCGAGCTGGGGTGTGGACTACTGGAAGTACGACAACTGCTACACGCCATGCAACGGCGGGAGGGTACAGACGTGTCAATCACCGCAGGGAAATACGCGGACATGGATGACGACCATGGGAACTGCGCTCGAGAAAAGCGGGAGGAAGATTTTCTATAGCCTTTGCCAGTGGGGGAGGGACAACGTTTGGACGTGGGGAGCCAGTGTTGGCAATTCTTGGAGGATGAGTGTCGACAATTGGAACGATTGGGCCAGCGTTGTCAGGATCGCAAGCGCTGCGGCGGGAATGAGCCAGTACGCGGGTCCGGGAGGGTTCAACGACCTGGACATGATGGTAGGTGACCTCTGGGGGAACGAGTATCTGTATCTGTGAAAGGCTGACCAACTGACAGCAACTCGGTAATGGAAAGCTAACTGCGGCTGAGGAGAGGACCCACTTTGGGCTGTGGGCTATGTGCAAGTCTCCAATCATTTTGGGGAACGACCTGAGGAAGGTATCGAGCGCAACGCTGGCTATCATAAAGAATGCGGACCTCCTTGCCGTCAATCAAGACTCTCTCGGGAAAGCCGCCACAACCTTCCAGCCACCCGGTGCACCGAAGCCCGTCTCTGGCCAGATTTACCCTTACTGGGCAGGGCCATTGAGTGATGGCGTAGTGATTGGGTTGGTTGCTGCCTCTGGGGCGGCTACGCTTTCTGTGAATTTCAAGGACGTGCCTGGACTCGGTTCTCAGAGCTATTCTTGGAAGGAACTTTACACCGGCAAGACTGGCACGGGCACAAATATCTCTTTCAGCCTGAGCTCACACGATATGGCCGTTGTCAAGGTGAAAACGAAGTGAGTGCAGTCGCTGCCACTCCTTTCGTCGCAGAAAATGTTCAGAAATAACAACGGGGGATAAAATGAGGTGTAAGAGAAGATCAAGTCAATCCGGGTTTATGACCTAAGGGTGTTGAAGAAGCTACTAGCAAACTCAAACAATGAAAACAAAGTCACGATCATCTTGACCTTCGTATGGAACGTTGTTACGATGTTGACAGCAGACTTTGGAAGATGATGGTTCCTCGCTCGAGATGCAGTTCAATTGCCAAGCCATATCTTGGCCCTTGGCACTTGGCACCATCGCAACCATAGGAAGTCGCCAACAGCTCGGACAGCTGGTGTACCCGTCGGTGTATTTTCGTACCTGCACTTCCGATTTCCTTTTATGCTGTGCACATCTTATTACTCCTACTCTTCGCGAGTCCGCCAAAAATAAAAAATATGTAATCCACATGCCCGCTCCTACACAGCATCGCACGGGTGCCCCTCGACACCCCGCTGTGGCGACGCTCCCTTAGTCATCTGCCGCGAAGAGCAGAAAGGCTAAGTCGACCCCTCAATGTCCTCATCCGACGACCGCTGTTCGCCGCGCAACATGCCCGCTCTGGCCATACCCTCGCAGACGAATGCCTATGTGTCGCCTACCGATACCAGTGAAGCAACCTCCGAGGGCACCGAAAAGGAGTACTCTTCGCAGTCACAGACGCCTGACCAGCCGACGGTAGAGCCCATAACGCCCACCGAGGAACTCCCCGCACCCGTTTCCGCCACTGCACCTCCGAAGCAACAACAACAAGATGCTCGCCTTCCACCGGCTGCGACCTTCATACGGCAGCCCCCCTCGCTACCCATATCAGACGATAACCCCGACGCGATCGCATTACGGTCCGCGATTGGCATCCTCCAGCTGCAGCGAGAGAAGAGCAAGCGCGATATCAAAGCGTTAGAACAGTTGAAGGCGGCAGCGATACGCGACCCCGAGGCGTTTGCACGGCACATCCAGGCTCAGAAAGCCCAGACGGCGGCTATCAACTCCGACATCCTCGGCCCCACCCTTGCCGACACGCTTGGTGCGCGGAGTAGTAGTAGTACGGAAGCAATGAATGGTTCGGGGCGCAAATGGGACGACCGCAAGGACTCTGCGAGTTTCTCGCCGCACGACCCACCTATACCAGAGCAACTGCCGCCGATACCTCAGCCGCAGAACATTGTGCGGTGCCCGCCAATCAACTGGGCCAAGTATCACATTGTAGGGGAGCCACTTGACAAGATGCACGAGGAGCAGAAGAAATGGCCGGGCGCGAGTGAGCCGCCGCGGACACAGCAGGGGAAGAGGGCGCCGCCGCACGCGGTTGCGAGTCCATATTCGCCCTTCACCGACGGGGTCGTGGATCCCACCGCAGTGCCGGGACCCAGGGGAGTAAAGAAGTCGCCGTCCTGAAAGCAGTTGTTCTGAGGCGGTGCTGGGATTAGACTACCTACCTTCTCCACTTACTTACGAAGACGGGAGCACAGGTTGCTCTCGAACGACCGTAATCGGGACATGACATGAGACATGATAGACGATACAAAACTACCCATGACAGTATGGTTAGAGTTTCGGCATAGCAAGGAATGAAAAATATTGACCCAACTCGAGAAATGCGAGCATATCCTCCTCATAGGGTCCACAGGTGACAGTTGGCTAGGCGAATGCTATACCAGTACACAGTACTCCGTACAGCCCGGTCCCGCACCATCGTAACCAGCGACCGCACCGCTATTACGAGTCCTTGACCCAAAAAGACGGGTGCTGAACCACAGCTCTTGAAAGGGACCACGCGTTTCCTCGTGGCTGAGCCCTCCAACTCCCCATCAACCTTTTCAGTCCCCCAATTGTCGCCCAGATAACATTCTTCCGCCCATGCCCAACTCCGCTTAGACCTCCCGCGACGCCACGCAAGCGAGAGTGGCACCCTGGTCGGGCATCCGGAAAGATGACGTGTGTCTCTTGGCAGCATCAAACAAAAACCTTCGAAAAACTTGGTGTTTGTTATTGGTTTGTTTGCTGGACCACGTGAAAGGTGAAGGTGAAGATCTGAAGATCTCGCCTCGGAATAGAAACCAGGAACGACGCGTGAGAGTCGAGGCGGAGCTCATGTGAGGGACAGGGGGTAGAACAGGGCTGTGTGGTTGTCTGTGTGTGACGTACGACGAGGTTCCTTGCGTGAGGGAATGGAAGGGAGTTTGTTTGTATAAGTGGGATGGGCGGGTTTTGTAGGAGGGATTGCGCTTTTCAACTTCACGGTTCGCTTTGCTTCGTACTTTGCAAGAGGTAAATACATTCTTTCTATACACCCGTCGTGGTTGGACGCCGAAGCCCTCCCTTTCACTATCGTGCGCTTGAGAGAACAGCTTCAGTGAAGATGCGGCCCACGGCCATCGTACCCACACTTTGCTGCATAGCAGCTCTCGTCCTATCCTTCTTGTGCCTCTTCGCCGGCAGCAAGAAGGGCTTCATGAACGACTACCAGATCCTCACTGTACGTGTCCCCTTCGAAACATTCAAAAGCCTCAAAAACACCCAACTAACAATTCACCAGCTCAACACCTCCCGCCTCGGCACCAACCTCCTCAACCCGGACGCCCCAGGCCCCCTCAACGACATCTACAACGCCCTGCCCGCGGACACCAGCAACGCCATCAACGCGGCCGCAAACTCGCTCGCCTCCCGCCTCGGCATCGAAGACTTTTACAACCTACACATCCTCACCTACTGCCACGGCACCTACACGCCCTCGGTCCTCCCCAACGCCACCCTGCCCCGCTCCGCCATCCACAAACACATCAACGACTGCTCCAACATGACGGCCCTCTTCCACTTCCAGCCCGCCGCCATCATCGAGCAAGCCCTCAACGACAGCGGCGTCGATGTCACGCTCGACGACCTGCGCTGGCCTGACGACATCCAGACCGGTCTTGATGCCCTGCACGCCCTGCAGTCCGCGACCTTCATCTTGTACTGCATCGCCGCGGGCCTCATCTTCGTCTCCGTATTGCTCTCGCTGCTCGCGCTGTTCACTTCGGGCCGCTTGTCGGCTTGTCTGAATGTCTTAATTGCCAGTGTCGCGTTTTTGGCTATTGGCATCGCGAGTGCGCTCGTCACGGCCGTCATGGTCAAGGCCACGGATGTGATTAATGAGAATGGGAGGGGCATTGGGCTCGAGGCGCAGAGGGGGAATAAGTATTTGGCTATCACGTGGGCGGCGACTGGGGCGATGTTGTTGGCTGTCGTGTGGTGGCTTGGGGAGACGTGCGTGGGGAGGAGGGGGGGAAAGGGGAATGTGTATGGGAAACACGGCTAGGGTCGAGCAGGCTAGGAATTGGGTGAAGAGGAGGGAACGGGTCGTTCTAATGTAGCTAGGCGTTTTCGACGACATGTTTGAGATATCCCCGGTTACACCGCCCTGGTAACGTTTTATGATAATGCAATTTACTTTGTCTACCAGTGTACTCAACGTCTTCGCTCTCCACGATAGTGAACCTTCTACAGGCAGGGCTTGACATGACTGACCTTTCAAAGGTCCCGGCATCACTCCCCTCTACAACGAAAAAAGAGATGAATATCAAAGTATGGAATTTTTCCTTCTCTATCTCGGTCGTAGATCGTCATTTCATCCCATCAACATCGCACTCATCTTGAAACACCGGAGCCACGCAATCCATTGAACTCCAACATCCCAGTATACCCATTTTGGCCTCCCTTGCACCCATACGCCACGCAATGCAGGAGCCGACAGACAGTGACAAAAGCCCAAAGACCAGCAAACCACCTAAGCGCTCGCCTCGCTATCATCCACCACATCCTCCTCCTCCTCATGCGTATCAAATTCGTCGTCCTTCAAGCTCACCCTCCCCCTCTCCGACGCACTCTGTTCTTCCTCGTCTTCTTCCTCGTCACTTTCATCCTCCTCTTCCTCATCGTCTTCCTCCTCCTCCTCTTCCTCCTGCTGCATCCCGGGCACAGCCCTCCACTCGACGTAATCCTGCTCCACCCACCTCTTACTCCTCGGCAGCACGTACGGATCGAACGGGAAATACGCATCAAGCAATAAAGTCTGCTCCCCCTTCTTCATCGTAAGCGCCGTTTCCCTCGCCCCAACACCATCCATGTATCCACCACCTCCGAGATTCCGTGCAAGGCGAATCCGCTTGTTGGTCTCGATGAGCGGAAACACGTACAGGAAGCGCAGGTGATGGGCCATGCGTGCGAATTGCGCCACGATGGTGGGAGCGCAGATCTTGAGCGGGTTGAGCTTGGAGAAGACATTGCGGCGGAGGATGTCCTGGATGGAATTGTGCCAGTTGAAGTCGACTTCGTTGTAGCGGATGTCATCATCGGTCGGCGGCCGATCCCCTTCTGTAACGATCAGGTCCCGCCAACGGAAGCAGAAGGTGTACAACAGGGCTTGCGCGATGGCATAGTAGGTGCCATAGCGTCGTAGATCTGGCCCTCGGCAGTTTGGCTCCTGGGCTGAACGTAGGCTCTCCAGATGGTGGCACAGGAGGTCGAACACGTCGCGTACGACTTCTCTTGAGACTTGCGCCCCTCGCGCAATAAACGAAGCAAGGTAAGCTGCCGATGTGACACGGAGAATCTGCGGCAGCTTCGGGTCGAACGCCAAGTGGGAACAGCAGCCTGCAAAGCGTTCTACCAGTTCGGGCGACGTCTGGCTGAAATGGAAGAGGAGAAACTGTGTGTGTCGAGAGCGATATGACGGCAGTATTATGCTTGCGAATTGCGCCAGGAGATTCTCAAAAGTGTCGTCTATTTGTGCCAAGTCCCCACGAGCAAAAACCGAGTCGTAGTGCTTGAAAAGCAGGTCCATGATGGTGTCCAGTTTCATAACAGACTCCTTAAGCTGCTTGATCCGTTCTTCCTCGGGGTCTACGCTCTTTTCGCTCGAAACGGATTCGTCATCGCTGACATCGTCTTCCTCGTCATCGTCGACGTCACCCAGCGTCCCATCGACGAGACGATCCTCGATATCATCATCCAGTTCCTCCATATCATCCTGGATTTGGACGTCAATCTTGACTAGCTTGTCAGTGATCACGGAGAAGATTTGCCCTTTCAATTCTGGGCAGTATTCGGACACTCTTAGCAGGTTCTTGATATACTGTGCATGTGTCTTCGCAGGGTCGGTCGGGAATGGAAAAGCGCTCGCGAGGATAGGCCCCAGAAGAGTGCTGGCCATCTGGATGTGTCGAAGGAGATGCTTGAGACAATCATGGAGACGGACTTGCAGCTGTGGCCGTGAGATAGCCGGATCATCCTGTGGATGCAAGGTCGGCGAAGGGAGCTCCACAAACATGTTAACGAGCATGTGTAGGACGCCGCCTGTGTACCCGGGTTGCACAGACAAGAGAGATCTCAGCAAGGCCCGAAAGGACCTAACGTAATGCTCATTGCGCGCTATCCAACTGCTGTCTACTATGCCATGCACCAGGCCAGAGCACTTGTGATCAAGCAGAGTGACATTGTGATTGAGTGCAGTTAGGTATTTCTGGAGTAACGAACTCGAAGGCGCGTCAGGCGAGGAGGGTTTGGCGGCAAAGAGACCCCGAATCTGATCGTACGTTGAGTTGTCGCCGACGGCGTGCTTCTCCAGTGCGCGTCGGACTTCTTCTCCCACAAGCTCCAGACTCTTTTCGTTGACATCCGGAAATATGTGGACATCGACTTCCGGATCGAAGGTAACTCGGCGGCGTTTGGTCTCGGTCAAGGATAGGTTCCCGGTCGTGTCTGTCTCCGCGAACTTCCGCTTGAGGCTGCCACCGGCGACAGGCGCTAACTCGCTGCTTGCTCTCTCGGTAGAGATAAGAGAGACCATTGTGGATGCAGGGAAAAGATAAGATCACATCTGACCGGCCGAGTCGAGCGAAAGTGGGAGGGGATGATGTCGTGTGAGGTCGTGGGCGATCTGGGATAAAAAGTGAGGGGAAGATCTGTTTTGTGGGTCGCGTGGCCCGTGCAGTCCTTGGCGTCACGTGCGCCCAATTGACGGAAAGCGTAGTGAACTCTTCGGATTATGAATTTTCCAAAGCTCGCTCCTTTCTGTGTAAATTCTTCTGCTGCTAGAGCAAGGTCGAACGCGCCTGATGCTTGACTCTTCCCCGTTACCGTACCTAGGATACTGTGTAGAGTCTTCCGAGATCAGCATAGCCGCGTGAATACTCTTGGCATTGGAGCAACGTGTAGCTGTGCACGAAACGGTCTCACTTCTAGCACAAACAAACACTTTCAGCGCGTCGTTTGTCATGCGATTCTGGATACTATAAGTCCTGCGACACTTTCAGTCCGCCATCCGGCCTGTCCTTCAGCTTCTCAGCGACCGTCCTCTGAACGAAGCTCTGTTTCGACTTCCCAAAACAAGAGCCCTCTCGCAATTGTCGCCCGACAACTAGCAAGATGGGGTCGTTGGGGTCATACTTCCTCGATGCATTCTATTCATTAACCAACTGCATGGTGTGCTTCCCGGGGCAGCCGCAGCTCAAAGTCAACAGCCGGAGCTTCAAAATCCTCCGGCTACTGGGCGAGGTAAGCAGCTCTCTGTTAGCTCCTCTCAGTCGCCTGCCCCTAACAATTGCAACTTCAAGGGCGGTTTCTCATACGTCTACCTCGTACAAGACATCTCTACACAAGAGCTCTTCGCCCTCAAAAAGATCCGATGTCCATTCGGTCAGGAATCCGTCTCCCTCGCCCTCAAAGAAGTCGAGGCCTACAGCCTCTTCGCTCCGCACCCGAACATCATCCACTCGATTGATTACTCCGTGGCGTCAGATCGGTCGGATCCGAGCGCTAAGACGGTGTATATCCTGTTGCCGTACTACCGGCGAGGAAATCTCCAGGACATGATCAATGCGAATCTGGTGAACCACACAAAGTTCCCGGAGAAGAGGCTCATGGTCTTGTTTCTTGGGGTGTGTCGGGCGCTGAAAACTATGCATCAGTATAAAGTCAGGGGTCCGCCCGGCGGAGCAGCGAGTCGGGGGAACGCGAAGAAAGTCAGGAAGGAAGCTGCAAGAGCAGATGCAGAGGCCGCGGGGGCGATGGAGATGCGCGCGTCAAGGAGACATAGGGAGGGCGACGACGACGAGGAGATGGAAGCGGAACCGCTTATGGAGGCGGAAGTAACCCTGGCGCAGGAGGGCATATCGCCCGGCGGGGAGAGAGCATATGCGCATAGAGATATCAAACCTGGTATGTATACAAGTCCGCGACACCGCGTCGCTGTTCGTACTAATGACGAAAAGGAAACATCATGATAGCAGACGACGGCAAAACCCCTATCCTCATGGACCTCGGATCCATCGCTCCCTCACCCACACCAGTAACGTCCCGCTCCCTCGCCCTCCAAATTCAAGACACCGCCGCCGAGCACTCCACCATGCCCTACCGCGCCCCCGAACTCTTCGACGTCAAAACCGGCTCCGTGATCGACACCAAAGTCGACATCTGGTCACTAGGCTGCACATTGTACGCCTGCCTCGTGGGCAAGAGTCCCTTCGAAGCCCGCAGCGACGAGACGGGCGGAAGTCTGAGTATGTGCGTCCTCGGCGGCGATTGGAGGTTCCCAGACGAGGGACCCCGGCGTGGGAAGCAGCCGGTGGAGGCGACGATCAGTGAGCCGGTCAAGGAGGTGGTGAGGAGATGTTTGAAGGTTGAGCCGAGTGAGAGGCCGGACGTGGATGAATTGATCACAATGGTGATGGAGGTGTTGAGCGGCATGCCGGAGGATGGGGTAGAGGAGTAGGGGAGTAATGTGTTGTCATGTTGCATTCGCTTTGATCCGGTTTTGTAGCACTATTTTCGAGAGCGGCTTTCCTATGCGGCTCTCAGCGGGAGTTTTGGGATGTACACCTTGGAATGCTGTGCGATAACACCGCCAATATATACCCACTGTTGCCTGGTAAAATTATGATGCCATCCTCTTCTGGTATCATTCTGGTGCCCCGCCGTTTTGCTGAGTAGGTTGATATCAATTCTGTCTATTGCCTACACCAATCAAACTTCTGTGTGTTTGCAACTGGTCGGGCAGTCCATCTAGAGTCACGGACAAAAAAGTTGCCTAAAAGAATTAAAAAAAGAAAAAATAGTCCTGGTGGGGGTCGAACCCACGGCATCCGCATAACCACGATGGATGTATGGCCATAAGAGTCTGACGAATCTTATAAGAACGGCGCGCTACCACTGCGCCACAGGACTTTTCGAAAATCTTTGGGGTTTTAAAATTTGTAAAATACTATGAAGAGAATAAGCCGGCGTCGGTCCATGTGGATCACGGTCGGCGGTCGCTGGCTGCCCGGACAGAAAGCGCCCTGCAGATGGTGATTTTTGGACTCGAGGTCGCTGAAGTGTATTGAAAAAGGAATCCTGACGGATGATAGATGATGTTGTTGCGCGCCTGTACGGGGGTGGAGAAAGGATGGTTGGATTGCCCGAGGCTGGTGAGGGGCTGGGGCGTCGCGCCGTCAATGGAGCTTTAAACTACTTGCATGGACAGTACAGGCACATTGCGGCTTCTCCTTTCAACATTTCAAAAGCATACTAAGGTTATTGTGCGTTCTGTAAACCGGCTGTGGACTTGTCTTTTGTGAGTCTTGATCTTTTCATACCTCGAGGTTGCTATATACTGTATGTAGTGTATACAGATGCTTATGTATGCATGTTCTCCCTTCGCCCAAGCTATTCTATCTTTGCATGAGTAGTGTTATATCACAAACAATCTACCTGTCCTGTTATCTCCTTTCCAATGATCCCCCAATTGTAGAATTACCTCTTTCGAGTCCATAACGTCATTCATGTGCCCCCGCACTAACACCTACTTAGACACCTCCACCTCAATCCGCTATCTGCCACGACTCCTCACCGTTGAACAGAACATCATGACCATCAAAGCCAAGAAATTCACCCCAAAGGTGCTCCTGGGTGCGCCCCGGCGCTCAGCCGGTCTTCCGAATCATGACGGAACGAAAGTGCTGTACAGCGTGTCAACATATTCTTTCGCCGATCATGAAAAGCATAATGAGATCAGAGTGCTGGATGTAAAGAAGCAAGAGTCAATCGTAGTTACGGATGACAAGACGGCGCGCGAGCCTAAATGGCTGAGAAAGGATGGGGATGTGGTGATGTTGATGGGTGGTGAGGAGGGCAAGACGAATGTGGTGATTGGAAAGGCGGAGGACTGGAGTAAGAGGTATGTCGACTTTCACGTATTTTTTCTTTTTTTTTGGTTGAGGGATATAGCTCATCAGACCTTGTACTGACACCGGTTACTCCGTGAAGACGGAGTATATTGCGCAAGTGCTGACATAAATCCACAGCTACACAGCTGGTATCATCCCTGGCCCCGTTGAAAACCTCAAAATTCATCCCTTGGCCAATAATCAATACGGGTTCGCAGTTTCCGGCAAGGCTACGCCCGCCGGGGACCTCTACAATCCCGAGACGGCGAAGAAGCCGCATACCACAGGCCGCGTCTACAACACCCTGTTTGTCCGACATTGGGATCACTACGTGACCGAGAACCGCAACAGCATCTTTTTGGCTCAACTCGTCACCAACGAAGAGGGCAAATTCGTTCTGTCTGATTTTCGGAACGCACTCAAGGGGACTGGGTTGGAGTCTCCCATCGAGCCTTTCGGCGGCATCGATCACTTTGACATCAGCTATTATGGGTTAGTGTTCACAGCCAAGGATCCCGAACTGAATCCTGCGCTACATACGAAGACAAACGTGTATTACTTCCTTTCAGACACATTCTGGACGCCTCCGTTCTTGCAGCCTGTATATCCGACCAAGATACACGTCCCAGGCTTCGAAGGTGCAAGCACAAGTCCAATCTTCTCGCCTTCCGGTCTACACATCGCTTTCCTGAAGATGAGAACAGATGGCTATGAATCCGACAAAAACCAGCTGTTCATGGTTGACGACTTGCATTTCCCCGCGCACGTCACAAGTCCGCTTGGGACCAAGGACCTCAAAGGCCGATGGGATCGCAGTCCATCATCAGTGATTTGGAGCGCTAAGAAACCTGGGGAGAAACCAGGCTTCTACTTCATTGCTGAGGATCATGGGCGCTCATGTCTCTTTGCTGCGGACTGGTCGACACCCAACCAGATTGACCGCCTGGACGACCCTCGAATGATTGTTCGAGGCGGTGCCGTATCAGACATCAAGATCTTGGACAATGATGACGTATTCATCTCCTCGACGAGTTTGACTGAGAACAGTCTGTACTCTCTCTACCCACGGAAATGGTATGACGAAGATAAAGTCTACAAGCTTCCAGACGGAATCACCTCTCCATCGGAAACTACTCAGGTCATCTCATCTCAAACCCACTTTGGCTCCAAGTTAGGCCTCTCCTACAAACAAGTGTCCGAAGTAGAATGGCCCGGAGCAGCGGAAGACACGTCAGTTCATGCTTGGGTTGTCAAGCCTAGTGATTTCAAAAAAGACAAGAAATACCCCCTTGCATACATAATCCATGGAGGCCCCCAAGGCGCTTGGGAAGACAGTTGGAGTACCAGATGGAATCCTGCAGTCTTTGCTGAACAAGGATATGTTGTCATCACACCAAATCCCACAGGCAGCACAGGATTTGGTCAGGAATTCACGGACGCCATCCAGGGACAGTGGGGAGGACTGCCATACGAGGATCTCGTGAAGGGATTCGACTGGATCGAGAAGAATCTAGACTACGTGGATACGGATCGGGCCGTGGCACTCGGGGCTTCGTATGGCGGATATATGAGTCAGTCTCCTGTTTGCTTTCATTCATGATGCGCCGCACTAACAGGAGCCACAGTGAACTGGATCCAAGGCCATGACCTCGGTCGACGCTTCCGCGCTCTCGTAACACACGACGGCGTCTTCAGCATGACTGGCCAACTCGCCAGTGAAGAACTCTACTTCCCGTTCCACGACCTGCGCGGCCGCCTCTGGGACAAACCAGAAAACTGGGCGCAATGGGACCCCTCACGCTTCACTAAGAACTGGAGCACACCCCATCTTATCATCCACAGCGAGTTGGACTACCGATTGACGATTTCGGAGGGCCTGGCGGCTTTCCATACACTTCAGTCCCGAGGCGTGGAGAGCCAGTTCCTGACTTTTCCGGATGAGAATCATTGGGTGTTGAAGCCGGAGAATAATTTGCTGTGGCATAGGACGGTGTTGGATTGGATCAATGGGCATGTGGGGATAACGAAGTATTCGGAGCAGGAGGAAGCTGAAGGCAGTCGGAACGATGCGTTGTCGGTGAACTGAGGTGTGAAATTATTTCGCAGTTTTGTGAAAAGAAGAAAAACGTGCTGCACTATACTTGGGTTTCTTACTTGACTGGATGATATATTGATGTATCTTGTGTTCCAGTCAGCATTCCCAGTCGATGTCAGTCAGGTATTCAAAATTATTGACTGCGGCTCGGATGGAAAACTTGTCGATCTAACCGCAGTACTTACACACCGCCGATGCTCATGGACAACTAAACCTTAGGTTGTCAGGGCGCACACCACGATAGTAAACCATTTATCAATAGAGCAAACAGGTCGTTGGACATTCCAGCAGTCAGCTACCTAATAGCTACCTAATCACCGGATATCCGAGCAGCTATGTCGTTTGCACACAGAGACTTCGACCTGATTGATGGCTTGGGGGACTCCATGCTAGACCTTCAGAATTTGACTTACACGAAACCGTATAAACTTTAACAAGCATGAAAGTAGTAGATAGGTTGCCATCACCGTTTCTATGGCAGTGATAGTCGCGCAGAAGCGTTTATGGGAACGGTAACAATAAGAATAACTATGGGATGCATGTCAAATCACTGAAGAGTCTTTCAAAGTTACGGTACCACCAGTTTTCCGCTGCGGCATGAGAAATTCGACTTACAAATTATGGTGTTTTCATTACCGACATGTCACTGGACAAGAGGCTATAGAGGAAATGCGCTTGTATTATCAGTCCAGCATAGGACCAGTTCTCTGTATTTATGCACGCTAATCGAATCCGAGCCCATGATCTCTATTCTCCTCCCTTTCCACGCACTCCAAACCCCTCACATCCTCCAACCCCACCTTGATCCTACTGCATAGCGGGCGGCCCCCTAAACCACTTCCCCTCCCTCACCTCTTCCTCCTCTTTCTCCCTCCTCACCCAGTCCTCCATCTGCCTGCCCCACAACTCCATCTGCCTCTCCATCTCCCACCTCGGCGTCTCCGCCCCCTTCATCCCAATAAACTTCGCAAACATGCGCATCTTCACTCTCAGTCTCTCGTAATCGCTCAACCTACACTCTGGCGGCTCCCCAGGCCGCGGCCGTTCTAATATCGGACGATTCCAGTCCATGGTCTGGGGATATGCATATGTGAGTCTGTCGGGAGTGACTTGGGAGTAGTAATGTGCCATGCTGTCTAGGTCGGATTCGGTGAGGAGGAAGAGGGAGAGGAGGTTAGAGGGGAATTCGGGCGGTGGGAGACCGGTCTCTAGGTGCACTATGGGGGCGATTTTGAGGCGGAGTTGGGACAGTTTGTCGGCGAATTCGGGAGAGCGCGTGTGCAGTCCCATTCTCGACGGCGTGGGGTTTCGTTTGTCGGATGAGTGGTTTGTACGTGCTGTGTATCTGTGGGTGATGTTTGAGAATAACAGTCGTGCAGAAACGCGTTAGAAATGCCAGCTCAGGCGGGAATGGAGAAGTGTTTGCGGAATAAGGAGAAGATGGGTAGCGGCGCGGGATAGTGCATGCGGTGCAGGGTTCTGGCTCGGTGGTTATATAAAAGGGACACAAACGCACAAAGCGAACGTAGATGGTTCATTGTAGAAAATTGTTCTTTGTTCTTTGTTGTGGCTCTGAGACAGAGAGTAGAAGTACTGTGAAGTTTCTCCTTGTTGAAGGGGGCGCGGGACTTCACTTCGAAGGCGCTCTGCACAATGTTGCCGAACCGTGTTTATGGATGTTTAATATATGCTTAAGCACCACTGTTCGAGTGTGGCTTCCTGGTTATAAAGAGGGCCTTTAACAACGGTGTGATTTTTGCATTTATTCGACGCGGGCTCTATACAGCGACGCGTTAGCCAATGCGATCGTCTGTGTGCGAAAGAACATACTTCTTCCTCGGCGTCTGCTCGACATGTTCGCGCGGAAGCAAGGAGGAGTCACGCTTGCAAGTGAGGATCTGATCGAGTGAAACGTCGTTCTCGCTCCCCCCTACTTCTCTGTTTGCCCAGAATTTACTGAGATGTCTCGCGCCACTGCGAACAGATCAGACTTTCATCCGCCGTCAATTATGGAAAACTCACCTGTCACATAATAAAGTGACAATCCTATGGCCCGGACCAAGCTGTTTCGCAAGTTTCGTTGCTGCGACGCCTAGAGATGTTAGTTACCAGTCAGGCACAATCGGCCTGCGGCTTACAATTCACAGCGCTGCTGCTCCCAACGAAAATGCCATCGTTCTCCACGAGCCACCTGGCCATGGCAACCGCTTGGTCATCGGTTACTCTGATAGCATCGTCTACGAGTTCCCTGCCGACTTCAAAATTATGTGTAACCCGATTGATACCGATGCCTTCCACTATGGTGTCTACCTGATGTCTTCGGCGGGTCCCCTCTTTCTCTTTAGGGTCAAACATGACACCGAACTTCACTCGGTTATAGAGTCCGCTGCCTGGAGGATCTGCGAGAACCACCCTGAGTTGCGGTAGTCTTTTCTTCAAGAATAAAGCGACGCCAGAGATAGTACCGCCAGTGCCAGCGCCACTGACAAAAGCATCAAGACGTCCGCCAGTTTGATCGTATATCTCTGGGCCTGTTCCAGTGTAGTGCGCTCTCCAGTTCGCTTCGGTCTCGAATTGATCTGCAAAAAGCCCTTTCCCTGGCTTGTTAGGGTTCGCAGTATGCTCCGCCGCTCTCGTTCTTGCCAAGTTCACAAACTGGTTCTGGTCTACGATAGGAGCTGGCCGCACTCGCTCGACTTCAGCGCCTAGCTTAAGCAGAAGTTCCGACTTCTCTATCGCCATGTCATCAGGCATGCATCTGTTCATGTCAGCAAGCCAAAGCAGGTCGGCATGAGGCTACGGACATGTGTGCTTTGTAACCCCGAGCTCGGCAGATGGCCGCCAAGGAAATGCCTGTGCTGCCCACTGTCCCTTCGTAGATGGTATCTCCGGAGTGTGGTGTCAGGATTCCCTTCTCTTCAGCCTTCACGAAGTCAGTGAACTCCGCCTATATCGTCGAAGTGACGTCGTTTTACCATCTGAATTATACTGAGGGCGACCCTGTCCTTCGGGCTATTTCCGGCGCCATTGAGAAACTGAAGAGTTAAGCTACTGCCTCAACATGAGAATCATTTCAAAGATGGTGTGCACACCTCTGCCTTTGCAAGTATCTCACATCCGGTGGCTTCCGAGAGCGACTTGATCCTGATCAAGGGGGTGTTGCCGATACAGCCTTCGATTCCCTCTTTGATATCTTCATCTCTATCGAACGATCTCTCCAGTTCCGCAAGGGCCTTTTTCAGCAGGTGTGGATCTTCTATCCTTGAAATCCGTAATAGCTCTTTTTGTTGCGGCTTGGACAGTTCATTTACGTCACGCTCTGGCACAGGACCTAATGTCCGCTTTACGGTATATGCCGACCATAATCCCGTCAACGTTACACCCAGAAGAAAGGCTCCTAGAGTATAATATCTGGTCGATTCGGGCATGCCTAACAACTCCCAAGAGATGGTGTAAGAGTCTCAAATGGAGAAAGGTTTGGCCGAGAAAGCTCAGACTTGTTAGCATCTCGGATGTCTTGGCGCAAATGGCCCGCTTAGATCTATCCACCACAGGCCTCCGCGCACACCTCCCCGTTCATCCAGGAATGGGCCTCGTTGGCCCTATGCGCCCATGGACTCTCCTCTCGTCACCCAGCTGTTCCGCCAGCTCTTCTCGCATCGGGCGGCGCGATGTCTAGCTCGGAGAGCTCAGCCGACAAGCTCGGGAATGCCGCACGCGCGTGTTCAACGCCGGGGATATGCATCGTGGGAACAAGGAGATGTCCCAAGGGCAAGCAAATGGCAGCCCAGGCAAATGTCGATGCCGAGTGAGCGCATGGAGGAGTTTGACAGATACCCAATGGTCACAGCGGAGCAGCTGAGGGCGCGGAAAGATCGACCGAAGAGAGTCAAAATGCTCATGCGGGACTTCATTGAAGGTCAGTGGAGGCGCATTCGAATTCGCATATGTTGTTGACGGGATACCAGACAGCTTGTACAATCCAAATTATGGATACTTCTCCAGACAAGTCGTCATCTTCTCCCCCGGCGACCCGTTCAATTTCAACGCCATGGCCTCCGAGCACGAATTCTTCCAGCAGCTAAGCCGTCGCTACACCGATTTCGAAGATGCATTGGATGCTCAGGAGCCGTACCAAGAACCGGACGACCTCCGACAGCTGTGGCACACGCCGACGGAGCTCTTCTCGCCATATTACGGAGAAGCTATTGCGCGGTATTTGGTGGAGGACTACAGATTCAACTTCTACCCCTACCACGATCTCAACATCTACGAGATGGGCGCAGGAAACGGAACAATGATGCTCAACATCTTGGACTTCATTCGAGACGAGTACCCCGAGGTATACGAGCGGACCAAATACAAGATCATTGAGATCTCCACCCAACTGGCAACCCTGCAGCAGCAGGGCCTAGGCGCCTCATCCTACGCCCGCGGCCATTCCGACAAGGTCGAAATCATCAACCGCTCAATATTCGACTGGGACCAATACGTCTCCTCGCCCTGCTACTTCCTCGCTCTCGAAGTCTTCGACAATTTCGCGCACGATGCCATCAAGTACGATTTCGAAACCGGCGAGCCCTACCAATCGCAGGTCATCATCGACTCGAGAGGCGAAATGTTCGAAAACTATACCCGCAAGCTCGATCCGCTGGCACGGCAATTCCTCGAACGCCGGCAAGCCGCATGCGAGAATTACACGCACCCGCTCCAAGGCTCGCGATTAATGCATAACCTGCGGTCACTCGTGCCTTTCCGGAGCTCGCTCTCCCAACCGGAATACATACCCACGCGCCTGATGCAGTTCTTCTACATGCTGTATCAGAAATTTCCGAACCACAAGCTCATCTCCAGCGACTTTAATGTCCTGAGTGATGCGGTGCCAGGGTATAATGCGCCGGTGGTGCAGACGAGGTATAAGCGGCAGATGATTCCTGTGTCGACGCCTTTGGTAAGTCGGTTCTTCTATTATCTCTCCTAAGTGCTTCATGATGATTCGCACAAACAAAGCATAGTTCATCCGAGCGTCTTTGGACGGCTGAGGACAACCGATACCATCTTTCACCCCTATCTGATGTCAAATCCCTACCCATCTTATTTTCCCAGCACAGCTTCCTTGCCCCTCGCTAACGAAGCGACAGGTCCACCAAGGCTACTTCGACATACTGTTCCCCACGGACTTCAACGTCATAGAACCGATGTATACGGCCATCACGGGCAGATTTGCGCGGACGTACTCGCATGAGGATTTCATGTCCGGAAGGGCGGATATCGAGGAGACGCAGACGAGGAATGGGGAGAATCCCTTATTGAGTTGGTATAAAAATGCGAGTGTCATGATTACAGTGTAAGGAGCATCCGTGCCAGCGGGTATGTTGTAGATATGAATAGGAATGAATGTATTATACCCAACAACGTGGAGTGAAGAGGCGAGCAAGACTCTGGAGCTATGAATACGAACTTCGATTTTTGAATCGCAGTGCTCAATGATGGTGGAGGATGGAAGGGCAATGGGGTATATTCCGCTTGAGGGTATGATAGAACCATGCGTGTAGCGTGCCTTCGCGTCGCCAGACGCCCCAGAAGGCCCAGCACCCCACGTGTTATCTCATATTCGTACATAAATATAGTGCGTTATCTTTGAAATCCAAAATCCCAAAATCCGCAATCCCCATCCCGCGCTCTTGAAGGACCAGAACCAAGAGGTCTTTTTTCTGCAAAACTCAACGCCTGTTAAACCAGCTGCTAACCATGCCCCCGGCGAGATTCCTCGCTAAGCCGGAGCCGTACACAGCGCTCGACGCGAAGCCAGACGCTTGGCTGAATTTGTCGCAGCGGGAGAAGGCGAGGGTGTTTGTGATTGTTAGGATGAGGGCGATGACTGTTGCTGTTAGCTTTGATCCCAGGAACGATCTCCGTCCTCAAATCGCGTATTACAACATCCTCAATTCCTCCCCAACAAAATCCTTTTACTGGACTGGCACGAAACGAGAGACTCCACTCACCCACAAGCGTCAACCAAATAAACTCCAACCCAACGAGCGCCACAATTGCCAATGCAACCCACAGCACCGGCTGCGCATACAAGGCAATCCAAAAGAAGCGCTTATCGGTCGCATTCTGCGTTCTCTCGCCCTCGGAGGCGCTCTCAAAGACCCACTTGGAGTCCCCTGTAGCAGGGTCGACTTCGTTCCACCATCGTAGTCCCACGAGGCGCCGGCCGGCGATGTTTTTGAGGTAGTAGAAGTCGGTTGCGAGGAGGAGGATTGTGATGATGAAGATGAGGACGAAGTTTTTGGTGAAGAGTTGGAGGCCGAAGAGGTAGGTTAGGAGGGAGGCTGGGGAGAGGTTAGTTTTCATGGGGTTATCTTGTAAAGAAAAGAGGTATTGTGTTATGAAAGGAGGGCGAGGGAAGCTGGACATACAAACGCGGAAAAAGAGAAAGGTGAGCAGCGTTATGGGGTGGCTGCTAAGTCTCCAGCTCAGCGTACCCGGCGCTGGCTGCGCTTGTTGTGCGTTCTCCATTGCGGAATGGAGGTGCGGCGTGAAGCTTGCGGGGAGCTTTGCGGAGTTGTGCTGGTGGTTGAGGTGGACTGGGCGTTGACGTTGCAGGTCTTCACGTGATGATCGATGTTCCAAGGTTGGGACGGGACCCTGGCGCGGGAGCTAGGGAGCTTGTTTCCCCGCGTTCATGTCGTGCCGAGGTCCCCGCGATGAAGGATGATGAACGTGTATATCCGCTGTTGACGAGTTCCTTCTGCACGTTTACCGGTTCCTTTTGTCAAGCATCCGGATCCCAGCTTGACGCATAACGCTTTGTAGCATTGCTCTTCATACGCACGCGAATCCCGTCCAGCCCGAGTTCGTAGAGCCTACTTCGCCAACTCATAACTAGACTTACCTCCACTGCAAGAGAAACGCTATTCCAACATACCAAAAAGCCAATTCCAGTTTACTTGAAGTCCTCTTAGCACGAAAACCCCATCATGGCTTCAGCTGCCCCTATAATCCGGCGGGCACTGATGTACGGTACCTCTACCCTCCCCATCATCCACAACTCCTAATCAACATCCGCTTTAGTCCCAGCATCCTCGCAGAAGATGCTCTCCAAGGCCGCCTCCCTTAAGGTCGACACCATAGCCTACGACCTCGAAGACTCCGTCGCGCCCGCTCAGAAAACTTCCGCACGCCACGCCCTTCGCCCCATCCTCTCTCAACCACGTCCCCCCAACATCAGAGAAACCTGCGTTAGGATCAATAGCGTAGATAGCGGCCTCGCCCTCGAAGATCTCACCGAAGTCCTCAAAGGCGAACACCTCGACGCCATCATGCTACCAAAATGCCAATCGGCGGCAGACCTCCACTTCGTCACCGACGTAATCCGACATCTCCTCCCAGATAGACACCCCTCGTCCCCTTCCTCCTCCACACCTCCGAACTCGAAACCCCCGATTCGCATAATTGCGCTCATAGAATCCGCCCTCGCAGTTCAAAACCTGCCCTCCATAACGCAAGCGTCGCCCTACCTCTCCGGCCTGGTCTTCGCAGCAGAGGACTTTGCGCTCGACTTGTCGCTCACGCGAACCCCGTCCTTGACCGAATTCCTCTACGCAAGAAGCGCCATCGCGACGGCGGCGCGCGCAGCCAATTTGCCGTCGACCATCGACCTCGTGTGTACTGCGTACAAAGGACCTCAGGGGCTCGCGAGGCTGGAGGAAGAGTGCCGCAATGGCAAGGGGATGGGATTCAATGGGAAGCAGTGTATCCACCCGAGTCAGATCGAGGTGTGTCAGCGGGTGTTTTCGCCGGGGGAAGAGGAAGTCGAGTGGGCTGTTCGGGTGGTGGTTGGGGACCGGAATGCGCAGGCGATGGGGCGGGGCGCGTGGACGCTGGATGGGAAGATGATTGATAGGCCGGTGGTAGGAAGGTGTGAGGCCATTCTGACGAGGGCGGAGATGTGTGGGGTGGATGTTGAGCGTGTGAGGGAGAAGTGGAAGGGGCAGGAGCCTGAGTAAGGGAGGATGAGGAAGGATTGAGCTGGTATAGCGGTTTGCATGGTGCGTTGCATACTCTCGCATTTCTCATGGATGTGTTCTATCCTCCTCCTGGGGAGCATGTGGCAATTCTGTCTTTCAGTCATGGATACGTACAGATGCTGCTTGTGTCTCGCTCAAATCAGTCATCCTTGCGGCTCGAGAATGCCTTGTACATAGTAGACGTCACATGCATTGGTTGACGAGAAACTCCATCTTGGTTGTGAGCATAATGCGTACTACATCAGGTCGTATACTGGCCACGCTAAACACCCGACTCAAGACACGGTGCGTATAGAGGAATGCTCGCAGGGAATTTTTTTCTCCTCGTATCTTACAATGGGTTCTCTGTATCGATCTGTGCTTCATCGTACAGTAGGAAAAAGGGTTGTCTGGCGGAGGTGGTTGCTGCATGCAAGCTGTAAGAAGTCCTGTTGGCCGCTGAACTATGCTTTCTTTGTGCTGAGATATTGCCATCTGCAGAAAGTAATGGATGAAATGATCTCCTTCAACGCATTTTGAACGTTGTCGAGCTGTTCTTGGTCGGAGTCGTATGCATGATTCACACGCGGAACTCGAAACCGATATATAGCTGGCCGTGGCGAATATCGTCTATGCACGCATGTATAGGGCAAAAATCCATGCTGAACTACTCTTATCATCTCTTGTCTTCCAGCATAATCGTGGTCCGTGTGCGTGCGAAGATACACTCCCTACCTTCGGTTTTTAGGTATCTCGGTAGACCCACAATCTAGGTACGGGCTTCACATGGCTCGCCTCCAAATACCGAAGATGGTGTAGCACATTCGACGATATTCTGGCGAGGTTCGGTTCCCGAAATCCGGAATCAGATGGGAGCTAGAAATGGTCTGCGGAGAATCCAGGAAGAAGATCGCTTCCCCGCATTCTACAGAGTCGCGACGAGTGTGGAGGATGCAAAATCTTCCGAGGACCGGAGATGTTGGGGGACTTGAAATGACGGTCCTAGATGCCGAAGGTCATGCTGGCATGAGCCGCATCCGTGAGAAAGGATGCCCCAGCTCTTGTTGAACATCGATTCATAGAGATCGTCCATATTGGCGATGTGCACTCTGGAGGTATAATTCTTGTGGGGAGTCTGGTATCCTTTGGGACATGGTCCTTCCCTGTAGATTGATACTGGCTACTGTCTAGTTGCTCTTTTAGGGTTCCGACCTCTACGCCGTGATTATATCGCTCAAGTGGACGTCCCCGAAACTCGAGCGGTTTGAGAACGCACCCGGCAGTTGAACGTTCGAGAAAATGTTATGACGTCTTCATTCTGGCTCCTTCGGCTGTTCAGCCCTGCGTGGGAATCCATCAACTGTTGAGTTTCAGTCCAAATACTCTTGCAAATCTCTGGAACTTCGAATATCAAGCTCACGTGAAGCCATGCCGTTGCATAGGTACATATTCGAATGCGAAAGGGGCCCCATGCTAGTCGGCTTCTTCAGGTGGGCTTTCCCCATGCATTAGGGGCGAGAAGGACCCGCGCGACAGTAGTCCCGACGGCGTCAAAGGGTCCAAAATAAACGTTCGCTACATATCCGCAAGACATCGGACAAGTCGGGTTGTCCTATCTGGATAGAACCGTAGTATGCATCAAGTGCAACCTTGAAATATGGAAGATACGAGTTCCAAGGATCGGTTTCCCACGCGTTCGGGGTGCACACGCCTCACCGTATGCTTCATGGAGGGAGAGCCGGAAGTACATCGTACAAGAATCGGAGCTGAAGACAGGTTTGGGGATGACTCCGCGAATGGTTGTGCCGGCAGCTGAAGGGGTGGAGTGGACCTCTAGAGTGCCCAGGTGGAGTCCCAACTCACGTGCACTAGGCGCTAATCCCAACGAAGTTAGTGTCCGCACACACGCTCCACCTGGGCACCTCTCCGCTCCCGAAATCCAAACCCGTTCACACAGGTCGTTCAAGCCTCAGTTGTGCCCAACGTTCACTGCTACTTTTCCTTCGGTGCCATTATCGTTCTAAAGTGGAACTCGATACAAGCCAGCCTCGACGACGCATGACAGGTCACAATGCAAGAGCCAATTGATTGCGGCGGCGACTTCTTGGGCTGGGAAATTTGGCATAACGACTGTCAGCAGAGCTATACCGGAACATACACAGTATATACCCAATTGGGTATCATCAACCCGGCATGGAGATGATGATTGGGCATTTGCCTAGGGTACTATCACAGTGCCAGGCGAGTACAGACGGCTCGCCTGGCGTTTGCGCCCTTCATCTGTCCTCCCTCACTGGTGTCCAGCAGGAGTCGACTGTTGCGCAGCATGCACACCGAAAAGGCACAGCTGCTCCAGCGCTGGCCGTTGACGCCGGTGAAAGCAGGACATGCTAACCACGTGAGGTTCTACAGTACGAGAACGAGCTTATTGGAGCGGACGTTGAAAGCTGAGCGCATACGACAGCCATTCAGAAACGGTCGCACGACGGAACGTCTCCCCCGAGAATTCGCCACCGCGTGTCAGCATCGAGACTGCAGCATCTGGGCAAGGTCGACTCCGCCGTGAACGCGAACAAGTCGCCAAGTCTCGATATTGGCGGGGGTTTGCGGCATGGCTTGCGATAAACAATCCAAGGGAGTTGATGGGACTGTCCCTTATTCGCTTTTTGCGCCTCAATTGAGTTCGGATGAAAGCAACAATATGCAATCAACAGGTGTGCTCATGCTCCTTACCGCCTTATCGACGATTCGATCATACATAGTACGGAGGACTCCGTTGAGGTCTTCACAAGCAATGAGCACGAGCAGACCGTCTCTGTGACCAGTCGTCGCTCACGCCCGACGGCGCACCCGGCTGAGCGCTCACCCAGGGCCCCAGCGAGTCGGCCCTGGCCCCGACTTCTTCGCCTCTGCCGCCACCGCATTCACCCTGGCGTCTAGCTGGGGTTCACAGAACTCGACAGAAGGCTTTATACCCTGACCCTTGTAGCGGGACCATTTTAAGCACGCTGGCCGGCGGCGACATCGTCCCACACCATGCACTACTGGGGCGCGCAACGGTGCAGTGATTCGTTCAGGTTCGACCATTCATGGATCGTCACCCATTATTCTCAGAGACCACTACGAGGCCGAGGACCCAACCAGTAGTAGTCGAGACCTGCTGAACCAGGGGCCCTCTTGCTGGTTCCATGGAGCCGTAGCGTGCTTTTTCCATTTCATTTTATTATGATGCTGAGTCCCACGCGCCCTGTACTTCGGACCGCCTTCATGGGTTTCTGAGTCCTGATACGAATCCCTTACCCTCTCTTTTTTCCTTTCATGCTCGTTCCAGTCTTTCAGAACTCGCCTTCATTTTGCTAACAGACGTCACCGCGCCGCTACATCGTTTCGTTTCTCATCCGTATCACACTCGCTGGAGCCTTGCGCACTCGTCCCTTGACGGTTTCACCTCGTGCATGATAGAGTATCACTAGTATTTGGCATCCCCACCATAACCGCGTACCCAAACACACGATATACCCCTACCCAACTCACTGCCGACCGAAGTTGGAGCTCGACAAGCCGGTAGTCCGCCAAACCTCATTGCCCACGGCATTCATATACTGTGATACAACGGAAAAGCTACCACTGATCATCACAATCTCGACTTCATGGTGGACAGAAAACGTACCTGAGATAGGTCGCATATCAAAAGCTCGGTTTGGCAATGGCGAATGTATCTCTGGCGTCGCCTCTCCGGGGCTTCTGTCCCCCACCTTTCTACGACCTCTCCAAATTCGGGAATGAAGGATGTGTGTATGCCCGTGCTCTTCGGCCATCAAGAGCTAATGGCTGTAGTTACTACCGGACGGCTTTGCGCCCCAATTGGAGCAAATCTTCAATGCTGTTTACCATGTCCAGCAACCGACTATCTGTACCCTTCTAGTATGAACCAAAGCTCCAGTTCCTCGCGACTCTACTAACATGTTACGCAGACTTCAAGACATACTATCAAGTCGCAGAAGCCCTAAACGTGGTGGATCTGATACTGCTTATCTTTCTCATGATCTCCTTTCTCGTCCTTCCAGTCGAGAAGACGCGGCGACATTATCTCAGTTACTGCTTGATAGTTGGGGGTATCCTCATGGCCGTAAGTCTTGCATCTGGCACGTTGTTTACGACTGCTCACCGTGTGTAGCTCGCCTTCGTGATACCCTTCGGCGCGAAACCGGAGCAGTGCTACGATGAGATCACACCCAACGACATGTTCTCTGACCTAACGTGCGCTTTTTCGGGCGCCTTCCTCATTTCTGGCGGCCTGTCCATGTGTGTCTGGAGTAAGTAAATAACTCGATGTTGACGGACCGCCGCTGACCTCCTTTCAGTTTTCATACGAGCGCTCTCGATGCATCTTCAAATCTGTTGGGACGTGTTACCCGGTACTCGATTCTTCTACTGGGCTCAAGGGCTCGGATGGGGTGTTGTTGCGACTCTCTTCACGACCACAATCACCATTACGGGCGTCTCCTACAGATTCGGCGACATTTGCCACGTCAACTCTGCGCAATCCATGAAGGACTTCTGGGGCCCGCTCTTGGCAATCGCGGGAGCTGCGACTCTAGTGCAGCTAGCCACGTGAGTGCACTTGAGAGTCGTGAACTTGGACTAAACTGACCACCTCTTAGCTTTGCATACTGCATCAAAGTCTACATCAAGAACATGTTCAGCGACGAGGGAACTGAAACACAAAGCAGTGCCGGACTCCCGTCCTATACTACGAGCGTACGAACGCGATCCGCCAGAGCGGTATATCGGCGTGTCCGCAAAGTGCTTTGGCTACAGTGGCGAGGTATTACAATTGTCGTCTTTATCCTGGTCGATGTCATATTCTTCTCGGTGGTCTTTATCTACTTGAATGCTGCAGAGTCACACGCCACCGATGACCTAGAAGCCGTACGACCATACCTCCTCTGTCTGGTGAGGAACCCACGGGATTCATCGCCCTGCCACAAGCTTGGCCAAGACTTGTTTGTTAACCAGTCTACGGTGATTGCTGTGTTGATGATGCTTTCTGTAAGTTCCGGGTGCACAGCATGTTCCTCGAGCGAGTTCTAACTTCAAGCTTGTTAAGCTGGCCGGCATTCAAGTCTTTGTTCTTCTGGTCCGCTCCGCGATGTTTTCTGGGTGGGTGGACCTCGTTCGGTCGCGATTCAGCTCCCAACGCGAATTCGTTTCGCTCGACGCAAAGCAGTACACCGACTCCAAAAACTTTGAACTGGGGAAGATCACGAGTCCCATACGAGGTCCCGGGAGTGCCATGAGTCCCTCGCAGTCGGATTACGATCCCTGGCGCCGGTCGGTGACCAATACACCGGACCACTTCAGCAAGGAATACCAGCGCGATTACCAGCGCGAATACAACACCCCGAATCTCAGTTTCTCGACGCCTCGCGCCCCATCGCGAGTGGAGTTTGATCCGCGTGCAACTCACGCACGAGGGGGCCTAAGATTACACCCAATCAACGATGACGAGGACGAGAGTAGTAGAAATATGGGCGGCATGAGTTATAAAATATGAGTACCAATAGGGCCAAAAAAAATCAATCAACAAGGGGAACTCCATGAAAACGCGCAATTGCCCCGCTGGTGACGATCTGGAGTCTACCCCCTGATCGGACGATGCCGCTGTAGGGTAGAAGCAGCTGCGGACTCGCGACTGTCTATGGCGATCCATAATCTACAGCATCAAGCGTCAAGAGGAGAAACTCTTTCTTGTCGAATATACCCGAGATCATGACAAGCAGGCTAGAAGCGCAAGGCACCGTTGACTGGCGTTGCTCTGCTTGGACCGAACCAGGGTTGGACAATATACTGACTTCGGCTGGGTACGTACCGATTTCATGCTTGCACCACAGAGTCATGCCCTGGCGATTGGGTTGCGCCTGGGCGACTACCTTTTCAACCAGCTTTACCGGCACCCTTCTGCAGAGTTTCCAGAAAGAATTCCCAGCCTTTCTATTGAGGATACGAGGCGCCACAACGGGATCTCACCGTGATCTCAACGTCATGATCGATGTGGTCTTCGCTTGCGACTTGCGGCGCCTCAGGGCATGCGCGCGGCGCGCCCGATGAGTGATCGACACCAGGCAGATTGCAAACAGGCTTCAGCATTCATGGGGGGTTGGATCGTCACTATTAAAAATGAACGGCGATGTCGCGAGGACAGCGTGAAGGAGATGCGAGGCCGGCCATCATGACCTGCAGTCATTATCACCGCTTGTACTATACAGCACAAGACCTCCAGGAGCCTTGTGCTTGTGCGACGACACCGCCCAAGGCCTACCTATTGCCGCGTCGCTTGATAGATTAGAATACCACCTAGATGTAAAAATAAAACCGCTCTCTCACAAACGCGTACCACCACCTCGTCTCTCGTCCAATTCTTCCCTGGTCTCCGGTGCTGACGTCGCTTGCGTCGTTTGTTGAGGACGACCGAGCAAGGGGGAGGGATGGGGTGGTGGGTACCTGGGCACGTACTGCACGTGTCGTCACATAAGTTTCATGTCCCGTTCAGGGGGTTGCGTTACCTAAAACTCAGGAATTGCCGGTTCCAGACTACTTTGGATAAATGGGAGATCTTGGCAGGGCAGAAAAAGTTAATAAAACGACTTCGTGGGTCTTCACCTTGGGCGGCCCTTGGCTCTTGGGGTTCCACCACGGCTTGCCCCGCCCCCTGGAAACGGACTGCTGGCTGGGCGGATGCTGGCTAAAAAGATGGTCGACAACCTCCGCTGGTGAGGGAGGGAGAGAGGTGGGAGAGTCAGCATGCATAGTGATGATGGTGATGATGCATGCGGTGCTGCTGATGGTGGTGCTGATGGTGGGACGGGGCGAGTCCATGATGATGGGAGGTGACGAAGGAGGAGATGGCGGTGAATGCACTAATGTATTGTACTTGTATACAGAACAGTAACACAGTACGGAGTACCTCTCTCGGAGATGACGCGCAAAGAAGTGAAGAACAGGGGAAGAAGAATGCGGATGGCAATCCGGCCCCCATGAGGCAGCGTCTCGCGTGCAAGTGCGCGCACCAGCCTGGCTGCCTTACTGTGTACTTCAGTACGATGCAGAATCAGGCGGATGCCCTTTATTGAATATTCAATCACTACGGAGTACATGGTGCCTATTGTCCATAGTACAACAATCCTATCGGCCAGAGCGAGTGTTGCCACAGGGTTGCCTTCTTAGGCACGGGTTTCTTACGTACGTACATAGTACGTACGTACCTATTGTGTGGTTCCAGGTTCAGGTCTATTCATTGTGATGGCGACATGGAGCCGATACCATGAATTTCCGCCTTCCAGCGTCCTGGTCTCAGGATGACTCGACTTCGGACGGAGCACTTACCTACCTGCCTACTCGCCCGCCTACAAGATACCCCTTCGGATCATCCGGGTGTGTAGCCGCAAGAAGGTGGCAGCAAGAACAGGCATAGACGCATCGACGACTCATCGTCGCGTGGATAAAACTCTAGCGGCCTTCTGGAAGGCAGCAACACTTCGCTTGGAGAAAAACAAGCCTTGGACAAGAGTCTCAACACAGCAGACGAGAAGAATAGGAAAGAAGAGAAACACACCGGTGTCTCGACATATGCAACAATAATCTGGCTGACCGGAAAGTACTGTGTATTCGTCGAAAGACATCAATGAGAAGATCATTATTTAGCCTTTTTTTCTCCTCTTGTTTCTCGACCAATAATATGACGTTGATGATTTGGCTGGTCCCTTTTTCTCACACCCTTTTGGGGACGGGGACGACTTGCCCCGTCACGCAGGTACCGCGTCGCCTACCGGTAAGGCTGTCCAAGCGCCTCGTGGCAGCACTGACCGGTGGCGGCGTGTGCGTCGGCAAAGGTGCGGAAAGGAGTAGTTTGGCCGTTGTGGGGCGGGGAATCGTGTGGATAGGGTATGGTGGTTTTGAGAAGTCGGGAGGTGGGAGCCGGTGACGGACGACTGGGGGCGGGCAGTGATGGAGGGGGAGAGAAATCTGGTTCTCTACTGTCTAGATGACTAACAGCTGCTTAGGGATGGGGAAGAAAGGCAGTGTTCCCTTGGTTGATAAAAACATTCGAGCACGATTTGCTGATGAGACAAATTCTTTTTTCCAAATTTTCCTTCGAGCTTCGATTTGCATGTTGCATGACATGCAATGTGACTGCGCGTTCTGCTTGTTCCCCAGCCATGCATGGCTGGACTGCAGCTGCGGGTGCTGAAACACAGCAGGGCAGTTGATGAGTCGGAAGAGGTGCGGAGCTTGTCGGAACTAGTCACCGCTGTCAATTCCATCGCCATAATAAGTTCAAAAGGCAAAAACTTTGTGGATTAGCATTTGTAGCTTCATGTTTCTACGGCGCTATGTTGCTACTGTGTGTACCTATGTACTCCGTAGACGAAGGAGGATATGGCCGCGGATTGGGTATCAATCGGCTGCTTGACGAACTACTCTACTTGCGTGCCCCCTCGCCAGCTCCTGCTATCTTCGTAGTCATTAGAACGAAGTTCAACATTTCTAGGGTGATAGGCTGTAGAGTGCAGGTTACTTAGACTCTCATGAGTAAGTCAATCAGGTAAGATTGTTCATCTCAAACTGTATTCCATCGCTACTCCATGGCTTAGCCCCTCGCCATTCATGATTCCATGGACGTAAGATTCGCCCACGAGTTGATACGAATCACACGATGGCATCTTACGAAGAATCATAGGCACCTTGGCACCATATACAATGCATACCAAGTCACCTACTACCGCCTTACTCGGGAACATTCCCATGCATCCCTTTTCCGTAACGCCAAATTTCCGCCTTGTATGTTTCCCCCCGCAAAGCCATCTCGCGTTTTCAATATCTTTCATCAACTGTTCCATCTGTAACTCCCGCTCTGGTTCATCTTGGTAAGCCATGTGGTCCTGTGGCAAAGGATAAATATTGTCGAAGTTGAGATTCCCCTGCTCCAGAGCCTTCTTCATGAACTGTCCGTGATCTAGAAATCGAGGAACGAGAGTCGCATAGTCCCATATGATCGGCCGTCGCAGCTCGATCGCGTCGCCAATCATCGTACGAGAAATCGCTTCATCCAGTGCCATGCTTGATTTTCCTAGAGGGTGGTATGGGTCAGTACACTCTTGACGGGCAACATCTCTAGCGCTCGCAAAGTACTGGAGAACAATATCAATGCGCTCTGGGTCTGCTTGTAACGTTCCGGCATCAGGAGTGAAGTCTAGGTCTGCCTCCGAGATTTTTTTAATAAAATCAAACAGAACGCCTTTGACGATGATCTGGTTTTCTGATGCGCCTTCGCGGAAGGAACCATATTCTTCCTCGGAGTTGGAAGCGTCGTACTTGCGATTGTGTCCAGCCACAATAGGATCAATATCTCTGCTGATGGTCCAATCGGCGACCCAGGATGGTAGGCTCGTTGGATGAGTGGGCAGCAACGAAAGCCCCGCAAATGCAAAGGTGTCCGCCAAACTGCCCCATCCCCAAATGTGGTGGGCTACCTCCAGAAGAATCTTATCTTTTGGTAATTGGTAGTTGATCAGGCTGGATAACCGGTCTCTGGACTGCGAAATCCCGATAAATGCAAAGATCTTGTCATGCCATTGCGTCGCCTTGCAGCTCTGGAAGGTGGCCAGGATTTGGTCAATGTTATCCAACCGATCATACAAGATCCGGCACCTCCACTGCTCTAACCGGACTGGACGTTTGACCAAGGACTTGAGCCTCGCACCGGACTTATTACCGCCGGACATCAGGCATTGGGCGACTTCCGGAACGTCTTCATCTTCAACCATCTGTGCCAGTAGAGTAAACTTAGCCCAGTCAAAAGAGGAGTTACCGTAATTCACCACGACCTCCCTCGCAGAAACAAACTCCTGAACGACCCAAGCCCTGTCAAACCATTCGTTCGAAAGCAGCTCGAGTAGCGAGTCAATCCGGGCTCGAAGCCATTTGTCATTCTTCTTCCGCAACATCATTTCTATCATAGTTGCTGCGCAGTCGGATTTTGACGCCCCGTAAGATTGCAGAATCCGGTGCAAAAAGGGAACCGCGAGCCATGAAGACGGGGAGTCGACGAGGTAGATCTGTACAGCCGACGCATTGTAATAGATGTCGCGCATTTTCTTGATCTGAGACTCCTTCTCGGCGTCGTCTTTCTGATTGATGCAGATGGTGTCGATCCAAATGGTTCTTGGCCCAAAATAGGAGCTGGATTTGTCGAGTATGTTGTACTCGCTGGAAGTAATCGGGAATCGGTTTCCATTCAAGACGATTACGCGGTCCTTCTTACCATCGCTCCAGCGATGGGAAATGGCATAATACTTAGGAAGGCTAGTCGATTTCAAGTCCACTTCTATCAGTTCTGCTTTGAGATCAACGAACGGGATCCTGCGTTTTATCTGCAGTAGTCGGATCTTTTCTTTGTGTTGGAACTTTCCAGGATACACAAAGCTTCCCTTCTTCTCTGTCTGCGTATCACGGCATATCGATTGGACCAGCCGGGTCACGAGAGAATTGCGCCAAACCGCCTGTGCCAGTCTCCGACGGTAATCAGAGATGGCGTCCAGAGCGTACTTCTGCTTGAACTCTGCCCAACCAAGGAACATTGCAAGGCGGAAGCGAAAGTCTAACTGGAGAGCAAGCCAGGAACCGCGGACGAGTGGATCCATGAGAACGCTCCAGGTTAGAGGTAGTATCAGAATGACAATGCCTCCCCACCAGGGATGTAGTTTCATCAGTTTCCATAGATATGCTATGACCGGGCCGCCGAACTGGGTAACAACTATCCATTTCACAGCCTCCCAAGCAGCCGTAGAGAACGCCTTCTCTTCGTGGTATCTTCGACTCAAATCATAGCGATCCTTCGCGTCTATCGCTTTGAGGCCTAATCTCGCAGCGATTACGCCAGAGAGGATAGTACCTCCAATGAGAAAAGTAGAGCTTTCCGTGCCGTAGTACACCGAATATACCCAAAGCATACCTGCCAGACCGGCGAACAGCTCATTGAATCTCAAGGTTTCCGGCTCGCCAAGTCCAATTTTCCGAAGGGTGGATACAACGAGTCTCCGTCTCTCTGCATCGAGCGCACTGGGATCCAACCTGGAGAGCTCACGTCGAAATCCATTCGCACACAGGGCATATTCGTAGGTGAGTGCGCCGCTGTTGGGAATCAATTCCCACTGGAGGACTTGCGCTAGTTCGGCAGGACTGAGGTCCGGGACAGGAAGTTCATTGAGGCGTCTGGCGTACCACTCCAGTAGAGTAAAACTGGTCTTTGCCATGGGCTCTGTTTCGTCCAGACTTGTCGATGGTCCATTGCTGTTGGCTTCCGCGCCTTGACTGTCGGTGCTGACACCCGCGCCTAAACGCAAACATCTAGACAAGAACCCGAATGGCCGCATACCGAACTGTGTTTCTTTTGGAGCTTCATTTGGAGGGATGAGAGGTTGACCTCGTCAAGTTACATAGTGTAAAGAAGGTCCGTGGCTGTGCACAACGCCATCTCAGGCAGACGGCTTATTCCTGCAATGCAGGATCGATGTGGTGGCTGTGGACTTGGCACGCCTCCTTCACAGCTGAGGCTTCCTCGTATGCCATGAGGTAAAGAGTTTCACAAGCTTATATCTAGCTCATACAGTAAGAGCGCACATGCGGTTGGGCTACATACGTAGAGAAAAACCCTGGAGACTACTTATGTAGTAAGGGCTGTCGCCTACAAGCAGGGAGCAGCAATGGGTCCATGAGCACGCTGATCGAAAGCAGTCAACGACATGCGGAGCGCCTATCTACCCCTGATTACAGTTTCCGTGGGATACCATGGGAAAGAGAAGTTATCCCATCATTCAAAGTGACGTGTCTGAACCACGTCCGATTCCATCTATAACCTCCAGTAAATATACGAGGATAATTCCTCATTCACAGGGGGAAACCTACGGCTTTGTGCCTCCTCCAGGACCTTTTGCATCTCCTCCAGGGCCTTCTGTCTCGCCTCCAGTGACGGATAGATACCACGAAGTTCTTGATGATTCCAGAAGTACGAGGCGTGGTTTATCTCGCAAATACCGTCGAATTTGCCTTTGTGGGTCGCACAAAAGTCTCGGTTGCAAAGGAGACAGGTCTGTACCTCGCCTTCGGTCACAAGCCCTCCATGCTTCCGAGGATTACGCGTTCGCATGCGGTCACAAATATGGCAAGGGAGAGGGGAGTCCATGATTGTGTGCTTGGGGCGCGAAAGAGTTTTGTCTGGAGAATAGGTCTGGCTGACCTTCCTTCCCGTCGACCGGTGCACGCTGACCAATGCATGTCCAGTTCTCTTTGTTTGTTGTACAGTTGGCGAATGGCGGAAGTCCTCCGCGAATCAAATGCGCCCACCTCCACGTCCGGTTATCGCGGGGCTTATTGCCTAACGGTGAAGACCGTGACGAGAGTGTAATAGCTGTAGAGTTGAACGTAGCTCCGAGAGAAGCTACTAGAGCGACATTCTCGAAGGAGCTCGTGTGGAAGTTGGCTTCCATTTCTTCGGTCTTTACTTCTCCGCGTATCTCCACGTTCCCAAGACAATGATTAGTAGTAGCTGTAGGCTTAGCAACTCTCCTTTTTCTAGAGCTCTAGCTCCTTTCCTTTGAAAAAAAAAAAAAAAAAAAAAAAAAAAAAAAAAAGCCAAGGTCTGCAACCGCGTAGCTTGCTATACAGCAGAAACGTGCATGTGGCCAGGCAGTTGATACCCAGGGGAATCTAACAGAGATTACCTATCTAGTAACGGCTATCAACATCAAGCAGGGAGCAGCAATGGATCCTGGCCTAGCACTAACTTAGACATATCTCCTCTTCTACCAAGCCGGAGATATTTGAAGCTTTGAAGTGCATGATACCATGTAGGTAGCACTCGCCAATAAGTTTATAGTGCCCCGGTTCTTCGTCTTCCCTCAACACGAAGGGTACTCTTGAGCCGAAGAGCAATACCACCTTGTCATTCCGTCTCGTGTCGCCAGGCACAATCCCAACATACCCTTTCTCAGTCACACAGAGCGCGGCGTCTGGAATCAGAGCTAGAAAACTCCCAGCTGTATGCAGATATGCATTCACGAGCTTTTGTGACGTATCCGACATCTCATCCATCTGCTTACGAGCGTTCTGGTCGAGTCGGATACCACAGATAGTTGATTTGAGTTCCGGTCCCCAAACTTCTGAATCGGAGGGCTGTCGGTTCTTGTGGTAGGGGCCTATGGCATCTCCAATGAGACACTTCACGCGAAGGTCATCTTTCCCGTCGGGGCTATCATCTGTGTACCCCCCGAAGTTCGCCATAACCTCTAAGCTTTCGAGCAAATCGAGGCCGAGTGAATATTGCGATATTCCAGGATCTAGACTGTCCCCGATAGAATCGAATATGTAACCCTTTAAAACTAGTATCGGGGCTGCGTAGCTCGAGCTTGGTTCACGGACGACGACACCTCGCGACCCTGGTGGATGGGCGCTGAAAAAGTGAGTGCCAGTGCCATCCCCGGGGCCAGTCACCACCCAAGTCGAGATTGTCGGCATGAATTGTTCTGATTTCCGGAGGTTCATGAAGTCGGGGATCCAGGTGCAGAAGGATGACGACTTTTCGCTGCCCGCGCGATATAACAATTGCAGCCAGTCATGGGATGCGACATACTGCTTGGCGTATCTTGTTAGGATAACCTCATCCTTTGACTCGTAATCGGGGTAGAACGCTTTTACATCAGTGGCATCCGTGGCCATGTGCAGCATCGCAAATAGCTTATCTCGTGGCTTGGAGGACTCAGTATGGTGGAACATCTCGAGCAATTGCAACAGGGTGTATCGTCTACCCTCCTTCTTATAAAGCTCTCGGGTCTTGTTGAGGTGTAGAACGGGGCCTGAGCTTCGTAGTCTCTCCCCTTTCTCCAATAATTCTCTTTCACACTGAGAGATTGCGGCGATGAAGTCATCCCATCCAAGCTCCTGATCACCGCATACTATTGACACTTCTGATCCAAACACCAACTCTTGTATAGTCCAAGTGCGACCAAACCATGCCCGAGCTAAAAATTCGCTGATGTGGTCGAACTTCGTGTTTGGATCCAAGAGGTCATCAGATGAAGGCCGGAGACCACGCAACTTGAGTATCCAGTCCATAGCGTACAGGTCTTCTGCTCGTTTGGCCCCTGTCCAGATCACAACCTTTTCTGCAATGTCGTAGAGAGATCCCATCCGCCGGACCTGCATATTCTTCTCAATATTGTTACCTTGATCGATACAGATAGCATCTGCCCAGATTAAAGAATTTACACCCTTTCTTCGGAGATACCTAAGGCATCCATTCAGAGAATCTGTGATCCGTATCTGTCCTTTGCTGGTCTTGAAGAGAGGCGATTGATCGTTTGGCCTAGACCCCCAGACGTAGGAAATGGCCCAGAATGAAGTTTCTGGGTCTCGCAAATCCTTAACAATGAGTTCTCCTTGCAGGGGCTCGTTATCATTCCCGGGCTTGAGTTGCAACAGCCGTATTTCTCGGTCACCGACGTAAAGGTCTTTGTAGATCTCATGTGTATCCGTTGCAAGGCCTTGGCCTAATGATTTCCTGTAGAGGATTGCAGGAGTGTTAGGCAAAACGCTGCCTTCAAAAGAGCTCTGCGCCTCAAGGGAAATCACGCGGTCCCGATAAAGCTTCCAAGGATCTGCGTAAAGTGCAAAGCCAGGATCATCGTGGATGTTGTAAACCCTTGCAATGACGTATACATGTTCAATTGGACCTTGCTTGTCGACTGTGGTCATCTTTATTGCCTGTAGATCAATCTTTAGTTCATGCAACAAATATTGGGGTTTACGAAGGAGAGTTAGGCGAGTAGCTAACAACGTTTCTGACAATATGGATCCACAATGGTTGAGTCCCAAACCTGGAAATGTGAAGCAGTAAGATCGCTGCCCACTCCATGCAGTGGTAATATTCCCCACTGTGGCTAGATACCTCAAATAACGTAAACAAGATTATTACTAACCTTTTCGTATTGTTGGACAGGGAGTATAAATGCTGAATGAAGTCCACCGCTAGTACCACATACCTCAATATGAAAGGTACAGGTCTCTGCAAACGGAATGTTATCGACGGCATCCTCAGTATTCATCAACTCTTTAAGCTTTCCCTCTGTGTCCACAATAGTAAATGCGGAATAAGTGAAATCTTCGGTGGGGCTCTTCGGTGAAAACGGTGCGTGTCCATTGCGTAGGCGGAATTCACTCGTCCAATGCTCGCTCGGTTTGTAGAGGTTGTTGCCGTGGATATCTTTGCCCAGAAACCCCTCGAAATAGCGTGACATCTATAACTTGTCAGTTTCCGGCAATGTATTTACATTGGGATGAAGAATACATATAGCTCTGCTAGATACCGCGTCTCTTTAGTATCTTCGCCATAGAACACCATTGTCGGCAAAGAATCCGCGAGGTGCACCGTTCCAGACTTCATATGCACAAACCTGTTTGCATCCCTCCTGTATCTCTTCTCCGATAGGAGAGTTTCTTCGTAATCATCAGAAGGAAGGAAGTGTGTTCTTTGCTGTGAGGGTGCCTTTTCTCCTGGGCTATGCTCCATCGACTCTGTTGTTACGGTTCCAACGTCCATTACATCTAAATAATGCCCGGATATCTTGGCCTCTCGGACTCTTCCTGAGGGTTCTTTTGGGATTTCTTTGCTATTATCCAGCACTCTTCCTGGTTCGTTCTTGCCCTCTTGCGCTGATTCGAATATTCTTTGGTCTATGGTACCTTCATTGCTTGAGTTGTTGTCTTCGTCAGTGGTCTCTATTTCATCAGCTGCTGTCCCGGCGCCCCTTTCCTTCACAAATTTCTCGGCGTTCATCTCAGGATTGGGCATTTTAGGATTCCCAGACGATGGCTTCTCACGGATACTTTGACCTATCTTTGCTGATGCCATTTCCAGTCTATCTTGATTATCAGTGCCAGAAGACACGAGTGTTTCTGTGACGTTTTGCTGGCTAGATGGCATATCGTTGGGGTTTAGCGCCCGTAGAGTCGCAGCATCATTACCTGATGTCATGTTGTTGGAAGGCAGATCCGTCTTCCCCTCTCGTTCTACCTTATCGGGCGCCGCACTCTTGCTGTCAGGTCGAACCGGTTCTGGTACACATCAGAATCGTGCAAAACGAGGAAAGGACACGGTCCGCCACCGTTTCCTTTCGAATGATTGCAGGGCAGGGAGACTTACCTTTTCTGCGGGCCTTCATTTGGTTCTTCCTTCTCGGCCATCTTTCCAGATCTTTTTCTAGCAGTGCCAAATTACTATGAGCAAGGATCTGCGTCAGGAGCGCAGCATCATCTTTGTCTTCAATGCCGAAGAACTCTAGAAGTCCTCTGGACATTTCGATTGGAGGAGGTCCGCTCATTAAAGCTTCTTCCAAATCGTCTTCTCCCGCAATATATATTACCAGTGCATCTTCTTCGCTTCTACAGCTCACCGCAGCCGTGTCAGTGTGACTATCAACTACTAGATTCCCAGACCTTAACGTCCAGCTGTTGCCGATTTGATGACATTTTATGGCGCGGATATTCTCCAAGCTGCTCACCATGTGGACAATATCCGAATAGTTGCTTAGAATCGCTCTGCAACAAAGTGTCAGTGCTTTGGAAAATGGTCGACCAGAAGAGGGTGTTTGTAACTCACGAAATTATGTAAGGCACTTTCTTCCGGAGCGCTGCCGTGTAGTTCTCCAGTAGTTCTGGCTGCTCAGCTGCGAAGGCATTCTGAGTGACCAATCTCGACAAGCACCTCTGTTCCATCCCAAGTCCTTCTATCAGTCTATTCAACTGGACAGAATCCAATAATGACAAATCGGCCAGATCAACCAACCCAAGGAAGGCTTTCCGCAAATGATGACGATCTGGTACAAACCAAGCTTTCCTGTCGTCCGCTGACCGAAGTGCGAAGGTATCCAATTTTGGACCTGTTAATCTTACAGGAATCATGCGAAGAGACCTGAACTGGTTTCCCCTGAGAGGAAGCCGAAATTCCAGGTTATTTTCAAATCCCATCGCTCTGTATTCCATGGAAGGGTTGAGGTGGGATGAGATGTGGGCTAATAGCGATGAGATGTGATCTATATCGTCCGAGTCGCGCAATAGTGAGGCTTCCAATATCATATGTAATTCTTCCGGTTGGTTGACCCCTAGTTTTGTGGAGAAGAGATACTTTCGACGCGGGTAAAGGTCTTTTAATAGCGGGACACGCTTGAAGCATGAAGGTCCATCCCATACACACAAGTGAGCGTCCCGCCAAACGCCTCTTGATGCTCCGATTGATTCTGGCACATATATGGAAGCCTCTTCTTCGAGAGCATCCCTATGTAGCTACAGTTAGTAGCAGTCGAAATCTGGGGGCTCTATGACGTACACAATCTCCTCGCTATCGGGACCATCGACGAAGTTTTCCAGATGCATGTATATCTTATCCATATGTGCATGACTTACATCGGTACCCCTGATCTCTCTAAGATGGTTGATGAACACGCTGGCTTTGAGTTCGAGAATAACCCCGAAGTTGCGGAGAAAGTCCCAGGAAGGCTCGCTGGGGTCGGGCACTTCAAGAAGCCTGTCCACTGGCACCGCCCCTCGCATCTCTCCGGAATCACTTCTGCTTCGCAGCGCGAGTAATCTTCGACAGACGATACATTGCTCAATGGGACGTCTGCAGCGCTCAAATGCGTTCGCATCACAGAGCTCAAGGATGTTCTCCCTAGGAAGGTAGGTTTCCGCCAATTTGACTTCGGCTGGCCAGTCCCCACTATGACATGGCACCATCATGTCTCGGACACCCTTGCTGAGTTCTTTCCTCGAACTCTGAAGCAACTCGCGTGGTGCGTCTCCATACGTGTCTCCGGATGGCTTAATGAACCAAGCGCCGTAAAAATGCCATCTATCTCTTAACATCCGCAGTATCCGTATTGGATCCTCCAGAGCTATGGATTTGAAGTCCTTGTGTAATACGTAACTTACGCCGTCGGACGATGCTGCCACACGTAGCATCCTTCGAACCTTGACAACTTTGGTCAGGAACTCGAATCCGTCTGGCTCATGGCCAAAAGCCTTCATATAGCGCGGATGGAGGAACCGTAACCGAGTTTTGCACCCATAAGAGATTGAACTTGCGGAATGGCGCTCCGATGACCGAATGTAAATGTCTCTTGTTCTGCAAAATTCTCCATGCTCGTCTGTACACCAAAGATCAAGGGCCTCAGGATCCTTTCCCTTCTCGGCTGTCCAGCCCGAGCGATACAGGAACTCCATATGTGACACCAGATCTTCGGTGTTGTAAAGCGTCTGCAGCGTGTGGAGTAGTAGATGGGGATCCCACCATGTGTATTTTCTCGAGTACTCTGCGTGTTCAGTTACGATATGCTTGCAGAGCTCTGCTGGTGTCCCGTTTTTGATCCCAATGGCCCGAAGTAATTCGGCATGCGACTGGTTATTCAAGACGTCGGGATGGACCATGAACACATTTGGTACACTCAACGGGAACGCCAAGTTATCCGGCAGATCGGTGGCAAAATAGCAGTAACCAGCAGAAGGAGAGACCCAGTTACCACCTACGAGTGGCACGATCTCTAGGCCCGCAATCTCTTCACGGTGATCTTTGAGCAGCGCCAGCAATGTACCGCATAGCTGTTCGTACCACGCAACGGGCATCTTGCGAAATTGGCCTGGAGCTTCGCTGATGAATTCTCGCAGATCTCTAAAGAATACCGGGGTGGTCTGTGTTTTGACGCCGAGCTTTTGAAGGACTTCTAAGCCACTATTTGAGCCGATAAAGTACCTTGTATTGAGTGGGCGTTTTGAACAGTATTCTGGAGGTATCAGGGGGGCGCCGTTGGCGTTCATGAACCGTTTTGGAACAAACATCAAATTGCTGGGCGGCGTGAAATGGCCCTGGAGATCCTCCAGAACTGCTGTTTGAGAAAGCGCAGCTTCTAACTCTTTTGGGAGGGAGTTGAATATATCTAGGGCACCATTTTCAAAATGAAGTAGCTGGGGCCATGAGTATCGCAAGGCGGAGTCAACGCAAGCTCCGAATTGTTTTATAGCTTCGACCAGGGCGATTGGAAGCATGCGAATGAGATGAAGGTTCCACTCATTAGACTCAATCTCCTTACGATTGGCAGTGACGATGAAGTCGGATTGGACGTAGAACTAAGGCATAAACATTTAGTCGAGGTGTCGGATCACGACGGAGACTGTAACCGACCTTAAATCCATACTTTGCCACTGGTAAATAGGCATAGACGCCTCCGTACTGATCGTTACTACTCCACTCGCGGCCCTCTTCAAATGCCAGAATGATCTCTGCGTCACTCCAACCTGGTCGTGAACTATGGTTTGGCAGGCCGGTCACAGGATATCGAAAAACCATAAGGGATGAGACGCTCCTGTCACGCTCGCATCGAACTCTATGGAGTACCCTTGGGGCCTTTGGAATGCTCCCAGCCGTAAGTGTTTTTACAGTTGGTCCCCGAGCTCTAGCGAAGATACCGTCTCCATGCCCAGGGTGGATGGTAATGTTGATATACCTGACTTGCTGGAGAAACAACAGTATGATCGGATCTATTGCTTCCAACGCTTTTCGGACCTGCGCGTCATGTTTAGGGTCCACATCGATTAATATTCCAGTGTAACCTTCCGTCGTGGACTCGGGAAAGGCATCCCAGGTAGGCCGAATCCTACCCTGTGGCAGGTTTTTATCGAACTTGAACTGGTAGAAGCCCGATTTGATCCAGACAGAGCTACAAACTTTGAACACAGACTTAAAACCGATGCCTTTCTCGCCAATATGCCTTCTCGTTGGGTTCATCTTCGTCTTCGTGCTGTTGTCGGCATCGCATAACGCCTCGACGTTGGCTTTGGTGAATCCAATCTCATTGCACTCGAAAAGTAGTCGATTACTAGAGTATTTGATGTTGATGATTGGGTCTGCATCATACTCTGTATCGTCCGCGTTTTGGAGGAGCTCGTAAATAAAGTGCTCAGGTTTACTGTATAGCTCCTCACTGAGCCTGATATAGGACATTGGTTATCATCAAGAATGACTTCTCAAACGCCACACTAGAATGGCACATACCTTTTCAGCAGACGATCCTGCCTTGCGGCAAAGTCAACCGACAAACTTTTTCGAATGGCTTCTATGTGTTGCCTCGCCGCGGCCGGAGATTCCGGAAATTCTGCCCGTTGTGCCATTGAGCGGGATTGCCTGGCAAGGCTTTCTCGGTCGGGCATTGGTCTTCTCCACACTCAAAGCTCGAATACTCTGTGGGAAATATGATATTTAATGGGTTAGGTTTTATTGTGCAATTGTATCGCAGCCAAACCGTGTGGCTGACATCTCGTAATGCCATAACATTGGTATGCCCTTTAAACGGATATGTTCCAGAGTAGTATAGAGTTGCTGAGCTGGCATTCTGATGATTGACCGGAGCAAGTCTCCCGTTGGCCACAAGGCACAGCGAGCCTGCATGATCTAGCCGCTGGCGCTTAGTCTGACGAAGTTCGCATACGACCTACCAATGACAATCCTGCGAAAGACTACTGAAATGTCCATGTGCATTGAGCTGCGCCTGCAATATATCAAGCACTGCCCACCAACCCCGCCTTTCGTGTTTATACGGCGCTTCAAGGATGCGAGGCTACCCCTTGTGTGATGAGGGGATGGACTACAAAATTACCCGCAGCAGAGTTGTAGTAGCAGTACGCTGCTAACCGCCAACCACACCTCCACACTTCCCTCATTGCAAAGTCTCCCATTCATCCCGCAAATGTTGTCCTGGTCATATACGCCCGAGCGATGGGCATTCGATGTTACATCCCTCATGGTCCTCATAGGCGAAGACGAAGAACGCAAGTACCGGCTGAGCCAACGTTCGCTTCTGGAAGCACTTGCCGCAGCACCTGTTATTGGTCTACAGAATTATATACGCTCGTATGAGTTCCTGCTCGACGGATCTTCCCGAGAGTATTTCACGCCGTATGGATGCAAGACAGCACCGCTGCGAAACCCACGCCTGGACGCCGTCATCAGTCTCCAAGGGCTCTTAGACGACGGGAAATACGGTGTCTATCGCATCCGACATTCAAGCGAGACAAGTGCTCGGCGCAGGGGACAGCTGGCAATGATATTGTGGGTCTCGACGACGTGGATTTGCTCTGGGTTGATATTTGCTTTTCTCGGGCTGATACAGAGCGCAACCTGGATCGGTTTGGTGAATTGCGCCGCGCTCCTACTCTGGTCCATGATCTTACGGACGGTGGAGCACTACCAGATCAAGCCTTCAAATGTGAGCCGGGAAACCATTACCGGGCCCAATGAGCCCGATGCCGTATTCATTCTAGGCAGAAGAAACTCCGCTTTTGTCTTAGAAGGCACACGACAGCAGGTCAAGTTTTGGACCGCGCGAGGGTTACGATACGGTGACAATGGGACTGCTGCCAGGATATACCAGAACACGACTCGCGCCATCACATTCTTCCTCCTGACCTTCATCTTCGTCACCATTCCCAATGGCTCAACTATGGACCAAACAGCCTTTGTGCTCCTCAATATCCTGGGCCAAATCAATGTCCTCGTCGGACGCCTGCTGAACAGTTGGATATGCCTGGCGGGACTCGAGCGGCAGGCGGAAAACACGGATTCTGTCCCTAGCCGCACGCATATCTGGGCCTCTCTCTTGAGAAAGTTTGATGGGGTTAATAAAGTTAGCCGTGACTGGGCACAGGGTTTGGGATTGCCAGACACTGATGAATGGCGGGAGTGGCGGCAACGAATCGTGAAGGAGAGGCATGCAGACGCGAAACAACTGTACAACACAATCAGAGAAGAGCTGCGGCGCCAGTATTAGTCGAAGCGTTGGCAAGTGGGACGGGAAGGGCTGATAGTTCTGGAAGTAGCGGCTTCCTAGGAAACGCCAACTTGAGACGGCAAGGAGCTCCCGAAGTCGATGGAAAGTGCTTGGCGCCACCGAATGTGAGGTTTGGAATAATTATGAGGAGCAAAGGGCGTGAATGTACAGTATGGGGTAGCTAGGCTAAGGTAGACTCACCACCAATACACCATACGTTTAGATTATAGGGCATCGTTCGATGGGATTAGGTATAGCTAACATGCAAAACTTGCGGGAGCTAGAGCCGACTGCTTTGTTGTTGCTGTAGTCCCCTTCCCCCAATCAAACTGGTATGTAGCGGTCATCACCCAACAAGGCCGTTCAGAGCTGAGGTCGAGAGCGGCGGTAGGGCACGTGTAAGATTAACTAAAACTACGCAAGTATATACACATATATGTAGCTCTCTGAGAAATTTGGCTTGGGGTTTATCCTGGGTTCTTATTTTTAACTGCCTGATTCCATAAGGAGGCTCTCCTTCCCTAGAATATAGGCAACGAGGCAATTGTCTCCAAGGGATTTCTTCTCTTCAGTCCGCAACTGAGCACTTACACTTCGCGAAGCAATGCAGGCCACTTACTATCATTGGAGGGGAAGGCGATTCAACCACTCCAATGAAACATGGAGTGACAAACCCAATCTCAGCCTTTCTCACCACAGCAAATCTATTGATAAAAACTTCAGAACTACATGGACATCCAAACAGACGAACCCATTCAAAACACCAAGCCGCTCCTCCCCAATCCCGGCCCATCACGAACCCACGCCACCCCCAACCCACGCTCCTCCACTCAAGCAGCAGCCAAGACCTCATCCACGAACGGCTTCGGCACCGAGAACTGGCTCCCAAACCGCTTCACGAGCAACTGCGCGACGGTGCCATCTCCCGGGTTCGCGGGATTGAGCGGGTTCTTGGCCTCGAGGTCTCCGTGCCAGAAGGTCGCGCAGGAGAGACGGTCGTCCTCGCCTTTGTAGATGACGCGATGCTTTGCGCTGCGGTAGTGGCCGCCGGACCATTTCTGGATCATGTCGCCCATGTTGACTGGGGATGGGAGTGTTAGTTCTTACTTCTCGTTTCGATATGTATGTACGTGGGAAAGGGATTGGTTGGGTTGGGTTGGATAGAAGTAGCTCGGGGCGTAGAGGGGACTTACTAACAAACACATCCTCGATAGCAGGAACAGGAAACCACTCATCCCTCTCCTCATCCAAGACCTCCAGCCCCTCCTTCCCCGGCTCCTGGATCAAAGTCGTAACACCACCAAAATCCGTGTGCGGCCCGACGCCGAATTGACCCGGCAGCGTCTTGCTGAAGGGCGGGTACCGGATCATTTTCATCATGACGACGGGCTTGCGGGCGAAGTCGTCGACGAGCGAGGCCGGGTGGCCCAGGCCCTGGATCAGCATCTCCCAGATGGTGCGGCCGAGCCGGTTCGTCTCCTCGTAGTACGCCATGACGGGGTCTTTGAAGTCCGCGGATGGGAGGGAGGGCCAGAGGTTCGGGCAGTGGAACCCGGGGGGTTCGATGGTGGGGCACTCGCGGCCGATGTAGAATGCCTGGGGGAACATGTCAATTAGGAACTAGGTCAAAGGACACAGACATGTTAGCATGCGGGAGAAGTTAAGGACAGACCTCCTTAGCATCATGGAGCTTATCGCCTTCCCTCATGGAGTCACCCGAGCCCTCATATCCGCGGCGACCGGTACTGTTAAGGAACGACAACTTCATCTTCTCCTCCCTAGGAAGGCTGAACAGGTTCGGCAGAGCCTTCAAGAACTCTCGCTGTGTCTGGAGAGGGATCCCATGGCCCTTGACCTGGACGAAGCCGAACTTGTGGCACGCATCGCAGAGATCGGCAATCACGCGCTGCTTCTCCTCCTCGGAACTGGGGTTGATGTAACCGCTTAAGTCGACGAGAGGGAGCTCCAGGTTGCTTGCGGCCATGTTGATGGAGGTCTTGCGTGTGTATGTCTGTCTGGAGGGTGGAGACTGACTTGAAGTTGGTTGCGACCTTTACTGGAAGAATGAAAGTGCTTTATGCAAGATAGCAACAAGAGTCCAAACGTAGACACCGTGCTTTCGGCAGTTTCTTGTGACAGTTCGGCGAGTTTGATGCAACTTCAGCTGAGGCTCACGCTCCTCATTCGGCGCGTTCAGAATTGGAATCAGAACTTCCCGAATGCCGCACGATTGTCATCACCGACTACACGGGAGGCGTACGGGCGGACTCGGTGCGTATCCATCCCGCGTACCACGGTGTCTTTCTGGTACGGTAGTCATTTCACAAGAATTGGGAAGACAGGGTGACGTACTGATGGGGACCAGGATGAAACTATTCTCACATTTTAGTTCATGCAAGAAGAACAAGTAAACCATTGCACTAAAACCCTTAAAATCATCTCCTTGTTTGGAATCATAGACTCATAGTAGACAAGAAAAGTCTTGACAACAACAGCTACAACATGAACAAATTGGCGCCATCAATAGAGTTCAGAACTAATGAAATCCAATAAGCTACCTATTCCCTAGTACGTATCGCTAACATAGCGCGTGTTCTTGATCTGATCAAACCACTCATGAGACTCCGCCTCCCCACTACCCGTCTTCTCCATGTACACGCGCCTCCAAGTATCAGCACAGCTCCGTCCAAGCCTAGCTGCGCTTCCGCAAACGAAGATCTTCGCTCCGCTGTCGAACAACTCCCAGACTCGGTCGCGATGCTCCCAAATCGCATCACTGACGTAGCGTCCCTTCAGCCCCTCACCCGGACGCGAAAAGCATAGAATGATGGTTACCAGCCCTTCCTTTTCCCAGGCCGTCAATTCGGACCGGTACAGGTAGTCTTTCTCTGGATGTCGGCAGCCATAGAACAGTAAGGCAGGGCCGAGCTTGCTGGCGTTCGCCCGTTTGAGTGCAGCCCGCTCCTGAATGAAGGCGCGCATGGGTGCTATTCCCGATCCAGCAGCAAACATGACAATGGGCGTCTCGGTGGTGGCTGGAAGCTTGAACGTGGCCAAAGTCGGACGGGTGAGGCAGGTAACTTGGTCTCCAGGCTTGCGGCTTGCGAGATATGTCGAGGCCACTCCATGGAACGTGCCGTGCCCGCTCATAGAGGGGCCTTCAAGAACATCAAACGTGATACTCGCACTCAAGCCGGCCTTGGTACGGCTTGCGGGATCCAATGGCGACGAGGCAAGAGAGTACAGACGCGGGGTCATGGGAAGCAGCATATCGACGTAGACACCGAATGGCAGATCCAATCCTGGGACTTCGTCTAGAACATCAATGATGGAGAATCGCTTGTCGAGTAGAGTCTGGTATGAAGTGTTTTGTCGCAGGCGATCCAGTATTGATTGTTCCTTGCTGCCCTTGTCCGCCATCGATGACAAGGTTCCAAGCTGTCGCTGAGTGATGGGCGCAGAAAGCTCGACACAGTTGAGTAGGAAGTGTTCGACCGCCATGGGTACTGCTGGAAGGAAATCCTTCTTGGTTGTCTGAATGCTCATAACATCTTGGGCCCCAAGCGAGAATCTCTTCATCACTCTCGAGACAACCTCCTCGGGATTGCGACCAAGCACGGCCAAGTGATCTCCGGAGCGATATTCGCACCCAGGGGGAAGGCGGATGTCAATGTGGCGTTTTGCAGAACCGACCGAAGCGTCGGCCAGCTCGCGATTGGCAACGACAACGCCAATTGCCAGTTGCTCACCTCCAGTTGCTTGAGGCAGGGTGCTCAAGCTGTTCCGCACAATCTGTACTTCAACACCAACTCTGTCCGTAGCATGGTCGTGGGGGGAGATGCCAGAAAGAGCCATGCACAGCTGCTCACTCCACGTCTCCCATGGTCCGACCATATCTTGCTTCACGTTCGCAAAGCCAGGGCTGATGATGCGATCCGCGCCGAGCAGAGCAAACGCCTCATCGATTCTCTTAGGAATACGATGGAAAGTGGTCCCCCAGTCGCTATTTCCCAGGCCGAACACCGCGTATTCCGTCTTTGGCGGGAATGTCTGCCCTTTGGACACGCGTTGTTCAATCCACGAGAAGAATCTCTTGCCGTTATCAGGCGGTCTTCCATCGTACGAGGGGGTAATGATAATGATGGGTTTGTCAACCGGCAGATTTTCAGTTGCGGCATCGAGGGTGCGAAGGTCCACGACATCCAGACCGTATTCCGGCGCAATCTTAACCAATTCGTGAGCCAGACTTTCAGACGTTCCCATGTTTCCGCCGTAAAGGACGGTGATGGGCTTCTTGGTCGGTGATCCCCCTTTTCCGTTCGCCTGCTGTTTCTGGGCCTTCTGCATTTTGGCAATGGTCCCGCCTCCAGGGATGCCAAGAATCAAGCTTCTGCCAGGACGACGGCGAACACGGATCTTGAAATCAATTGGCTTGAGAGCCATCTGGCCCCTCAGCTGCAATTCATAATCGGGGTCAACCTTCTCCATATCGAATTTCTGCAAAATCATGGCCAGGTTGATAAGCATCTCTTGTTCTGCAAAGCCGCGACCGATGCATGCTCGCAGCCCATCTCCGTACTGGTTTAATATCAGAAATTGTCCCCACATCAACCGCAAGATAGGATGTACTCACCGGTTTCCAAGCATTGGGAGGCAACTTCTCGAAGTTGACCTGCAACATGCGCTCCGGCCGGAACTCATCAGCATCCTCACCCCAGACTTCGCGATCACGGTGGAAATGGCGCCAAACGCCCGATACCATCTGTCCCTTGTGGATAAAGTATTTTCCGCCGATCACTGTGTCCTTGATCGCGAACCTGGTCAGGAGGCTGCTTGGATGCTGGAGGCGAAGGGTTTCCTTGATGCAGGCATCCAGGTAAGCTAGCTTGGGGAGCATCTCATATGTTACGACCTTGTCGCCGACGACTTGGTCGACCTCTTCCTGCGCCTTCCGGAGCACCTTGGGGTTGTTGCACAGGAAATAGTATACGAATGCAAGAGTGGCGCTGGTAGTCTCGTATCCGGCCCCGAAGAAGGTGGGAATTTGATACTCGACGTTCTCAATGCTCAGCTTTTCGCCTGTCTCGCGATCAACGCCATGGAGCAGAATGTTGAGCAGATCGTTAGCGTCTGGTTTCGGGTTTTCAAGCCGGTCTCTAATGATCTTCTTGCACAGCTCCTTCATCTTGCGAATGTTCTCCTGACGCTGTTGTTCTTCGCGGTAGTAGAAGTGATTTAACATCTCTGGACGGTTTGCCCTTCTTCCTGATTCGATAGCTGCCTCCTTGAGCTGGACCTGGAAGGGATGAGGTGCCTCGGAGTAGAATTCGTTGAAGCGGTAGCCGAACACACACAGCCCAACTGTGTCGAAGGCAAGACGGGATGTGTCCTCTATCGCTTCAATAACATGCTCAGGACCAAAGCGATCCCACTTCAGCACCATTTGGGCGCTGAGATCTTGCATATCGTCAAACATCTTTCTCAAGCCAATTGGACCTATGCAGGCCGTGAGTAAACGCTCGTGCGAGAACCCGAACTGGGAACGAACCAAAAGCTGGGACAAGAAGCCTGTGAGCCTTCCACCAATTCTTACTTGTCGACTCTGCGGAGAACAAGCCGTCACCAACGACGGAACTCATCTCCTTGTGAAGGCGGTGGGTGAACTTGGTGAAACGGCTGTCGTCGGCCATCTCGTCGACAAGCTCACGCGTACCGACAAAGACCCGAGGGTGGGTCATGCCCAGATCGAGCTTGTAGATGGGATCATATTCGTCCATCAACTGCCAGTAGGTACGGACGGGTAGGGTAGGGTCGAGATCGGGAGCATGGCCCAGCAGACCGAAGTAGGCCTGGTGTCGTGGAGAAGGTATCTCCACAAGCTTTGAGTGATCGATTGGCTCTTCAACAGAATCGTCGACGTTGAAGTCGACATTAGCTTTGGTAGGCTCATGTGGACAAGCCATGAGGAGAAGATTTGGGAGGGTGACAAAACACTGCGAAGACAGTGCACCGTGTTGTGGATGTTACATGTATGCTCGAGGGTGTAGTTGGGATGGGCGACAACGAACAGATAATCTAGAGAGTAAACGGCCCGTATCGGACACAAAACCGTACGCTCAAGTCGGCGCGGTTCGGTGGTGATGTTCGGCGACTTTGGTGGACTCTGAATGTCAGTGCTGACTGCAGCCATATCCCGACCTCAGGTGATGTTGGCAACATATAAGGAATTGGGAACATAGGGAAACAGGATCGCTAGGTCAGCAATCACCAGACGAATATTCACCATGGGCGCGGCAAAGACGGATTCAACTCTACCGAGATACATGACGGCCATTGTGGCTGAAGGGCCTGGGAAGCTGGCCATCAAGCACAATGTGCCAGTGCCATCACTGGAACGTGGAACGGTGCTGGTGAAGACGGCCGCTGTGGCCATCAACCCGGCAGACGCAAAGATGCTTGACTACAGTGCAGCACCCGGGGCCATCCACGGTTACGACTTTGCCGGATACATTGTGGCGCTGGGTGAGGATGTACCGAGCCACTTCTTCGTGGGCGATCGAGTTGCCGGAATTGCGCACGGCGGGAACAAGCTGGCGCCGGGCAACGGTGCCTTTGCAGAGTACGTCTCAGCGTGTGCCGACCTGCTGCTGAAGGTTCCCGAGCACATGTCCATCGAGGATGCGGCAAGCCTGGGGACGGGACTCTCGACGGCGGCGCTCAGCTTCAGTCAGTTGCATCTCCCTGCCATCCTCCGCCAGCTGAAGTCAGCGGGTGAGGGTGGTGAGGATGCCAAGTCCGAATCGGATAAAAGTGACGCCGAATTCGTTCTGGTGGCTGGAGGGAGCACCGCCTCAGGCACACGCGCGATCCAGCTCCTCAAGTCGTGAGTAATAACTCCCTCAGGATAGTGGTCCTTTCTAACAGCTTGCAGCGCCGGCTTCAGGCCCATTGCGACCTGCTCCCCCGCCAACTACGCCCTCGTCCGCCGCTATGGCGCCGAGGAGGTGTTTGACTACAAGAGCCCGACCTGCGCCGCCGACATCCGCGCCTACACGGGCAACGAGCTTGCATTTGCCCTTGACTGCGTCACCCAGGCCGATACCACCCAGATGTGCTACCAGGCCCTTGGACGTGCCGGCGGCCGCTACGTCTCCCTCGAGCCCTTCCGCGATGCTGTAGCTCAGACCCGTAGCCACACTGTGGAACCGAGCTGGGTCATGGCGCTCGCCATCTTTGGTCGCGAAGTCGCCCTCGACGGAGAATATGGCCGCGCTGCCGACCCCGCAAACCGCGAGTTCGGTGTCGAAGCCTTCGCCGCTGCTCAGGCCCTGATGAATAGGAATCTCCTTCATGCTCATCCCGTCAAGGCCATGTCAGGGGGATGGCAGGGCGTGGTCAAAGGCGTCGACATTATCAGAAGCCGCGCCCAGTCGGGACAGAAGTTAGTATTCTCGGTAGCTTAGGCAGGGTGGTATAGATTATGGACTCATCTACGGAGTACTTGCTATGCTGTTTCGTCTGTCAGTGTCCTAAGGGCTATTCTTGTTATATCCGAATCTGATAGATGAATTTGACGTTCAAGAGTGTACGATAATAGCGTGTGTATTTGCATTTTCAAATCACTCTTCACAGTTTGGTTGTACTTTGGAGAATTGAAGTATCCCTAGCATTTGCGGTTGACTTAGCACTTGACGTCGGTCTCAGATATACACAACCGTGACCAATTCCCCCTATCGGACCCCTCGCTGTTCAGTCGGGCGTGAAAAGGCGGAGTATAGCTACCTTAATCCTAACAAAGCAGGAGGCATCAGCGAAAGCGTACTGCTCCTTCTTCCATAGCGGCTCATGCCCTCACGTCAAAAGTCCCCTCTTCCAAAACGATCGAATGACTTTCCATTGAATCTATGAACCGACCGCGGCCGAACTCCCATACCAGTCCCTGAAGGTCACTACGCTTGAACAGGCGGCAAGACAATCGCCACCTCAGGGAGAGGCCTCACCACCTGGCCCGCAGACATCAACTTCCCATCCTTGGTCTTCCTAGCCCCCTGCTCATTCCTCGAGTTGCGCACCGCATCCGTCCCGCGCTCCAGCATCTCAGCATTGTACTCAGAGACGGCAGCCCTGACCGCCTCGCTGTCCTTGACATCGAAACCAGGCCTGCTCAGGATCTTGGACAGGTTGAGCGAATCGATGAAGGCGTGGTAGCCTCCTTCGCCGCGGAAAGGCGTCATGGCGTGCGCTGCGTCGCCGACGAGGACCACTCTGCCTGCGGGGAGGCTCTCGAGTTCCAGGTCGCGCCAGACGTGAGGCTGCTTTCTGATGCCCTCGACGGGGGTCAGTTCGAAGAGCTCGCGGAACTGGGCGGGCATCTTGGCCACGGCCTTCATGACGTGGTCGAGCTTCTCCTCCTGCGTCGCGGTCTGCAGCCAGTGGTCGGGCTCGGCCACGCGGACGTCCGGCTGCATGAACATCCAGTAGTGCTTGCCGGAGACGCCGTCGGGCAGGACGTGGTGCAAGGCGCAGAAGTTCCAGAAGCCTAGATCGGGGCTGACGTAGACGTAGGCACTGTGACCGAGCGCAAGTTGACGCTTGAACTGCTCCCCTGAGAGCGTAACTTCGCCCACGATGGCCGCGAGGGGGACGACTTTGAGAAGCTCGCTGTTGGGCTTTCCCGTGACATGCTCACGTACTGGGTGCTCATGTTAGCATGATACTGCAACTGAATGTGCTAGGCCACCACCTACCGACGCTCTTGATTCCATCAGCACCGACGAGAATGTCGCCGCTAGCGCTGGTTCCATCCTCGAAGAACACCGTGACACCTTGGTCATCTTCCTCGATTCGAGAGACACGCTTGTTCCACTGGATCTTGAGGTTGGTGGAGAGCCAGTGGCGAAGGCGGTGTCGCTCAGCGCGGATAACGGGCGCCTCAGGCATATCCTGCAGGTTACACAACCTCAGCCTCGTGCCAGAATAGATAGTCTACACGGCACCGGAGATTTGATCACGTACCTGAACACCCATACGGCCGGGTCTCCCGGGGAAATACAGAGCCATCTGAGCATCGAGGTGGCTCAAAGGTTCCAGATGGTTGGTGGCCTTCTTGATGTCGGGCATGTCATCCGGGAACGACGACACGAGGTCGGCAATGATGCTGTGGATCCCAATTGCCCATCCCTGGAAACGGGAATCTTCGTTCTCATCACGCTCAAAGATCTCGAAAGAGATGCCCTTCTTGCGGAGACATTGAGCAAGGCTGAGGCCTCCAAGGCCACCTCCAACGATAAGCACGTGCATGATGGTGATGAGGAGGGAAATGAATCGTAATCGTTGATTCCCGTTCTTGCCCGTTCAGCTCCTGGAATGGGCCCCATTTTTGAGTTGTTTCCCATTCGTGTCTTCGGCGGTGAGGCTGGAATCAGGTTCGGTGGTTTTCACATAAGATCGCCGAGGAGCCTCTGCTGAGAATGAACCGAACCCAAGGGAAGAACCCCCATCCGGTGAGCGCCACAGCGGGAAGCGAAAGACAAAGAACACGCGACCGAACATGTACTCCGCAGGTTTACGGCCCCTGCATGATGCATGGAATTCGAAGCCTGTAATTGTTTATTACCTCGAGCTTGGCCGTGTTTTCCCTTCGGTACCTTCACCCTGCAGTTGGTTTCGTTTTCTCCATCTCCTTCGTTTTGTCGTCTATGGTTATTTTATTGCATCACGTACTGCAAGTCAATTCTTATCATTGATTCGGGCAAATATGATTCAATCACTTCCTACATTTCTTGTTCTCCTTGCTGGGATTGCCAGTCTGCCCATTTTCGCTGTTGCAGGCCCCCCGAGGAACTTCTCAGGGCTCTGTGAAGCGGTCAACTCCCGACTACCAGGTCGCGTCTCCTACCCCGGTAGCCCCGCATACAATGCATCCCAATCCGCATATTACACCGCCGAGGAGAGGGAGATCGAACCAAGATGCGTCTTTCGGCCGCAGAGTGCATCCGAGGTGTCGCAGATAATCCAATTGGTCTCCAAGAGCAGGGGCGATTTGGCTATTCGAGGTGGCGGCCACATGCTCTGGCCTGGCGCCGCGAACCTCGACGGCGGTCTCATTGTGGACATGCGCAGTCTGAACTCGATCAATCTGAGTGAAGATAAGAAGACGGTTTCTGTCGGTGGCGGCACCTTGTGGGTAGACTTGTATCCGAAACTCACTCCCCATAACCTCACCGTCAGTGGTGCCCGAGTCCCCGGAATCGCAGTGGGCGGATACTTGCTTGGATGTAAGCGTGCAATTACCAAAACGATATTCAAGTGCTGATGAGAAATCCAGGCGGCGTGAGCTTCTTTGCCCGAAGCCACGGCTGGAGTTGCGACCATGTGCGCGGCTACGAAGTGGTGCTTTCGGACGGCCGCATTGTCTATGCGTCGTCCGATTCGTACCGCGACCTCTGGCTCGCTCTGAAAGGCGGGCTCAACAATTTCGGAATCGTCACTCGCTTCGACATTGAGACGATTCCGCAGGACGGCATGTGGGGCGGCCAAGCTGCCTTCACATACACCGAGAGCGCTATTGCTGCCCAGGCGGCGGCGTTTAGCAAATACATGGGAGCGAACAATACAGACCGTGATGGTGAGTATCTGATTCCCTCTGCACTCTGTAGGACTACGTCAATAGCGGGTTGAGAGAAACATAACAACATCTTGGAACGTTCGCTGACCTCCTTTTTCCCCGTCAGCGATGACCGGTCTTCTCTTCAACTTTCAAAACCCAGGCAAGCAGTTCTCGATTGTGAATACGCTCTTCTACACCAAGCCCGTGGCCGACCCTCCTGTGTTTAAGGACTTCCTCGCCACGCCGGGGCAGATAGTGAACCAATTCAGCATCACGACGATGGAGAAGGTAGTCGCTCTCCTGGGCCAACTGCTACCCAAATCCGTCGACCGGTAAGTCTGGTCTCCTTTTCTCGGAAAATGAAATAGTGTGGAAATATGCATAAAAGGAAAAGAAGAAAGAAAGAAAACTGACCGGAACCCTGTACCTACAGCTCCTTCCAACTCGTCTACTCCTTCCGCAACTCCCACCCCAGCCTCTACCGCGACCTCGTCCACATCTTCGGCAACCACACCGCCACCATCGCCGACGTCGAAAACCTCGCCATCCAATTCTTCATCCAACCCCACCCCATCTCCAACGGCACCAACTCGCTCGGCCTCGACCCGAAAATCACAGACTACGTCATGGCGACCGTGACGGCGGTCTACACCAACGAGCGACGCAACGGGCGCAAGGTGCGTCTTGCGATCCGCAACATGGTCGATGGGCAGGAGAAGATGCTGAGGAAGAAGGGGATCTATTTGCCGTTCAAGTATGTGAATTATGCGGATGAGAGCCAGGAGGCGATTGCGAGTTATGGGGATGAGGTGGTGGGGAGGCTGAGGCGGGTGAGTAGGAAGTTTGATGTTGGGCAGGTGTTTCAGAGGAGGGTTCCGGGTGGGTTTAAGCTTTGGTGATGAGAGGTGGCAGTTTGTTGTTGGGAGTATGCATGTACCGTAAGTAGTAGATGGGTCTAGGGATGGTGTTTGGGCGAGGCGTTTGTGCATTTTTCACGTCGTCGATTTGGCGCTCTACATTTTTATAAGTTTGATAGTTGTTGGCAACATTAAACCAGTTGCTGTTTCCTTCTCCTTTTGACTTTCATCGCTATTGCACACCTCCTTTTCTCTAAATATCACCAAGTCCGCCTCTTTCAAATATCCGTCCTCCGCTCTGCTCGAAAAAAACGTCCCCTCTCGTAGTCTCTTTTCACAACTTACTTCTCGGACATTTTCTTCAGCAAGCCAGCTACCCAGCAACTTCTTACTAGCTCTAGCCCTGAAGACAGAAACGCTATAAAACACGAATCGTTTACTTTGCTTCGCAGTAGAAGATCTTCTCGTACGTAATTATAAAACCTCTTCGCATTTCCTATTAGCTACTCTGTGTTGTGTGTGCGGAACTCTATCAACATCCTAAGTAGATTTCAGAATCTAATGTTTTCCCCTGCAACAAAACTATTATTTAATATTATTTACTGCAAAGGTAACTCTAGAGGGAAAAAAAAGAAAAGCTTTGATTTACAATTTACTTCTTCTTCAACGTACATTTCCTTAAGCAAGCTCGCTATCTAGCAACTTTGCACTCCCCTCTACTGCTAAAGAGAAAAAAAACCCTATAAACACAAATACTTTACTTTCCCGTATCCCTTCTAAAGGAAGATACTTTAGTACGCAACCTTAAAACTGCTTTACACTTTCTATTAAGCCAACCCTCTTGTTAATGTGTGCAGAAAAGAATACACATTACAGTATAACGCCCCCTGCACAAAAAACCTCTACAGCAAAATTACCTCTACACGAAAAATAGAGATAACCTCTAATATACTACAATATTATCTACGTCCAACCCGTCATTTTCGCACTGTAACTCTAAAACACGCACACCCCTTCCCTAAATCAAGGAAGTTTTCTACTCTTAGATTCAGACTTTCGCCGCTGCGTACTTCAATACCCTAGACGCCGCTTGTCAGCTTAATATTAGTATGTAGACAAGAATTACAACCCTGGGAATATATATATATAGATATATATATATAGATATATATAGATAGATAGGCTTAATAGGCAACATCCATCTACATCGTACGCTATTCCTCTCGGTGCCTGCAACCCGCGCTCTACCTTACGAGTCTGGAATCATTTCATGTGAGGGGAGAGACTACTCACCGCCATAGCATAGGTATATCTATAGGACCTATCAAACGTCTGCAAACACCTTTCAGCAGGAAAACAACGATATCGACAACGGATTTCCCACCAAGCACCCAAAGTCAACTTCGGAGCCGGCATAAGGGACTTGAGGGAAATCTCTTCAACATGCACAACTCGGCACAACTCAGCACCCAGAACCTGGTATATTAAATGCATAAAGTGTTGCGCCGGGAATCCCAATCCCAACAAGAGACAGCCCCATTTGATTGGACTGGGGAGAACTCCGTCATCTCCCCTGTCATAATGTAGATGTGTCCACCTCCACCGTGAAAGAAGATGGGGGTAAGGGAAAGTGTATGTCCTGGTATATCTCCATGTCATGAAAAGAAAACAAAAGAAGAAAGAAGCATCCCTCATAGCGCCGCCTTACTCGTCGGCCTAGGACCTAGCCCGCTCTTCTCGTACGCCATATCAATCATCTTCATCTGGTTGATGGAATCCTCGCCACTGACCCAATACTGCGTCTTGCGGCCTTTGATCTTGTTTACAAACTCCTCCAGCTGGTACCGGTAGCTCATCCAGTGGGTGTCACCGGGAAGATTCGCAAACTGGCCTCCAGCCTCCTTGAAGGTGTAGGCCTTGTGGCTTGTCTTCTGCTGGTTCTTGGAGATGACGCGACCGGACTCCCGGTCCCGCACCGTGTAGACGTCGGTGACGTCGATGCGGTGCCAGAAGACGCCGTGGATGAGGCCGTGGAGGACAATGTGCCTCGACTGGGTCTTCTCGTGCGTGTTGGGGAGCTTTGAGTCGGCGACGGGCTTCTCGCGGGTCGTCACCGTCACAGTCGAGGGAGTCCACCAAGTGGGACCTTTGAGAGTCGTGGTGGCCTCGCCGATCCTGTCGCCGGGGAAGCGGAACTTGGCCTTGAAGTTCCAGTCGCAGCCCTTTTGCGGGCCCTCGGTGAAAGCTTCCGTCTCGCAGCTCAGACACTCAACGGGCTCGGCACCAAAGGCAAGACGGAGAGCGGCGAGATTGTAGGTTCCCATGGCCATGATGGAGCCGCCGGAGAGGTTGTATTGGAAGTTGATATCAGTTTCTTTCGTGCCCCACCAGGGAATCATAGACTCGGAATGGACGTGGTCGACGTCGGCGGGGTCGAAGAGGGAGGTGAAGAGGTGCCAGGAGGGGAAGAAGCGGTTGTGGAAGGCTTCGAGGAGGACGGGAGCATTGGGCTGCGACAGCTCGGGGAGGTTGAAGAGGATGTCGGCCTCTTCGGCATTGGAGGTGGAGGGCTTCTCGACGAGGACGTGCTTCCCCGCGCGAATGGCTTTCACGGCCCATTCGAAGTGCAAGGCGTTAGGGAGGGGGATGAGGACGGCGTCGATGTTTGGGTCGGACAGCAGCTCATCGTACGAGTTCTTGACTTCTGGGATGCCGTGCTTCTTCGCAAAGGCTTCGGCCTTGGAGCGATCGCGAGCAGCGATGGCTTGGACGACGACCTCGGGGTGTGATTTTGCCGGTATGATGAGGGTCAAGGGTCTGGTGGGGAGAAGAGAGTCAGCCGTCGTCGGGTTAAGCTCAGCGCCAATCTTGGCGATCGCAAAGGGCAGGTACAAGGAATGTGATGATGCTAGTGGACGTACGCAATCTGGGCAGCGCCAAAGATTCCAAACTTGATGGCATCGGGACTCTTCTCGACCTTTGGGGGCATGAAGCAGCTCCAGAGGCGGCTCGTGAGGGCTGCCATTGTTGTTGCTGTTGTTGTTGTGGAGGTGAAGGGAGCGGGTGTTGTTTATGTTTAGTGGCAGAGGCAAGAGGCAGGTGACAGCAGTCGAAGGGGGTTTAAAGAGGGAAGGCGACTCCGAGGCAGGTGAAAAGGGTAGGCGCAGGGCAAGAGCAGAGGGGACAAGATTAAGGCGCAGAGTCGGCTATTTACGCAGGGCGCGGACCCGTTGTTTGTCCACGGAGGAGGGAAAGGCGAGGTCAGAAAGAGGGGGCGTGGACGTTTGTTCGGGTGTTTGTGGCGCAGGCAGACGTCGAGATTTAATCTAATCTGCGGCTGGCTCAAGATCTGGGTCCGAGCTTGAGGGTCTCAGGATCTCACATGTGCAGGGTCTTGTACACCCCCCACAAGCTGACGAAAAAGGGTCCAGCAAGGGGGGCTGATGCAGCTGGTCTTTGAATTCCAATTTGTGCGACATGGGAAAAGCGACGCTGGTCCGCAAAAACCCCGGACCAACAACGTCCGAACGGCGCTTTGTGGATCCCTCTGATGCAACCAGATTCCTATGTTTGAGGCCCGCCCGGACCCAAAGGATAGCATCTATGGGCCTGGTATTCTTAGTCTCCATACGGCTGAGGGTTATTAGATGGAGGATACGTGCAGATGTGCGTTCAGGCTTGTGCGTAATCAGTACGTAGATCTTATTCACCGTTCTCTAAGCCTAGAAGGGTTAGCTCCGGGGATCAGTGTAAAGCAGGGTGGGTCGTTTTGTAGTCCATTACCGAGCTATTCCAAGAAGAGCCTAGATGGAATTCTGTCGACGGAGAGCACCTGGCAGTTGCGACGGGGCCTAGGAGTGTCGCTGGAGAAGATTGTGCAGAGAACGTCCGGTCAGAGCCGTTTCTGAAGCGGCTGAATTCACCTATGGTAACCCCCCGCCCACGGTCTGCCAGGCGAGATAGAATAGAGTGGGAGGAGCTGCATGTCATCCTCTGTATTGGATTCCGCAGTCAATGCCACTCAGTTGACATCCTTGGAAACCAATCTTCGTCTGATAGATGAACCTGCTCAGGCAACATCAGATGGATGCAAATTCCACAGAGAACTGCTACACAATGAATGCTACCCGCACCGACTCTCACTACTTGCTCGCGTCAGTCTCATCTCTGTCCCCATGCAGCTGGTGGTGGGCCTGATCTCCATTGCCCGTACTCGGAATGCTGCTTACCCTTCTTATCGGCACACACACTCCAACGCCGGCTTGGGCTCCGTACGGAGTATGTACACGAGCACACGAGCCCCCCAGGAACGAGCTCTGTCTTGGGTGAGGCCCGAAGCGTGCATCCATGCCTAGCCAGGGCTCCACGTTCCGCCAGTTGACGAACCTGCTCTCTGCTGCAGAGACGAGCTCGAGGTGCATTCATTGCCCGTGTATATGTATGATTCCCGGCCGCCCATTATCGATGCCGATCTCATAGCGAAAGGACCGCCTTTGTGACTTGTGCGAAATCCATCTATTCGCCATGTCGTCGACCGCCTCGTCCACCAGCGCTCAAGCTGCTTCCACCTCAACACCACCCAGACGACAGTCGTGCGATCGGTGCCACAGCCAAAAGCTTCGGTGCACGCGCGCCAGCAACGGCGGCTCGTCCAACTCTGCAACGGGCGTCTGCAACCGCTGCCTTCGCCTGGGCGCCCAATGCATTTATAGTCCATGCCTCCCCAAGGGTCGTCCTCCCGCCGTTTTTCGGCCGCCGCCACCAACGCCTGCGCCTACGCCAGCGCTGGCGCCTGCACCCGCAGCCCTTGTCGACAACAACAATATCAATAACAACAATACCAGCAATGCGGCGCATCATCATCAACAACAACAACAGCAACACCAGCAACATGCGCTCCCGGACGAGCTGCTCAGCCTCGACGTCGACCCCACACTGGTGTGGCCAACGTGGGTTCCGCCACTGGAGACGGTGGACTGGAGTGCGTTACAAATGGATATGAACATGGACGCCTTTTTGGACCCGGTGGAGACAAATACATCCACAACGACGATGACGACGACTTCCTCCTCTTCCTCCTCCTCTTCCTCTTCCGATGCCGCCTCAAGTTCACAAGCATCCTTCCTCAGCGGGCCCAGCGCCGTCTCGCAGCTGTCGGAGCTCATTACACGTCTCTATGCCCTCCACCGCCAGAGCACCGCCCTCACAGAGGCATGCACGGCGGGCAGGACGCTGGGCCTTCCGCTCATCATCAACGATGCGACTTTCCCTCCCGTAGCCGCATGGCTCCAGCACCTGTCTGCAAATTCGCACACGAGCTGCACGCCTTCGCTCACCACGCCTCCCGGCTCGCTCTCGACCCCAACCGGTGAGACGCTGCACGGCACCTTCTCGGCCGCCCACGCCTTGCTCGCCGTCCTCGACCGCCTCCAAGTGGAATCTGCAGGCGCTCCAGGAACGGCCACGCCCTCGTCGATGGATAGCCTCGACACCACCGACTTCTGCTGGGACCTGAACCTCATCACTCCTCCCCAGTCTTCCTCCTCGGCATCGTCGTATTTCGACCCGCCCATGCCCACGCCCACGTCGGCAACGGCGGCGCCTCGTCCCTCTCTCATGCACAGCAGCAGCAGCACCGTGGTCCGGCACCTGGTGGGCGCCTGCCACTCGCTGCTCATGAACATCTTCCTAGGCCCTCTGGACGCTTTGCAGCACGACGCCGATCTGAACAGCCAAGCATGCCAAGCAGGCCAAGCAATCGGAAATCCCGCACTTCCCGCACAACCCGCTACCCCCGGCGCCATGCCCATCTCGGAATCTAGCGGCTTGGCCCATCTGCGCCTCGTCATGGTCACCCATCTGTGCTCGTATCTCATCCGCCGACTGCAACACGCCGTCAGCCTCTACTCCTCCCCACTCTTGTCAGGCTCCGAATGCTTGCCCGACCTTGACGACCAGATTTGGAAGCGCCTCTCCCAGCTGCGCGCGACCCTCCACATCTGAACCAAATGTCTGTTTGATTTCATCGCTGCTTTCCTCGCTGTACTGCTATAACTATTTTTCTCTTTCATCATTTTCACACATGGACAACCGGTAGACTCTTTCTCAGAATCGAGAGCACAACGCTTTCTGCCGTTTTTTATACGGGCCTTGTATGTCTGAGCCCTACAAGTCCTTTTGCCTTCTTACGAATCTGCTTTGTTGTTTTGCAAGTCCTCTGAGATTCCTCCATGTGCAGGAAGAGGCACCAGCTAGATCTTGCTTGGCCGGCACCAATATAGAGAGATATGGATCCTTTCCCGGACTCCAAACATTTTTGAAACCTGGTTACCACGTGCGTGCCTCAAACAAGACCCTGAGCATGGATTCGACATCTATCCACGATCCATTACCGTCCCAGCACTTTGAACCCCGTTGCCACGTGCACTTTGATTGACTATCTCCAGGGGACCTCACGCGGACACGGGAGGGAATGGCAATGCAGCTTTCCCTTTCTTTTCCTTCCGCTCTTCCTCCAACGTTCGAAACAACTTCCAACGGGATCCCTTCGGCCTTGTCGGAGTGAGATCCAAAGCTTATCCGCCTAAGCGACATGCACATTGGCCATGGCCCCCCGTTCGGCGATTTGTACAATACCACTGTCCGAAAACACCAGAGACAGCGTACATTCGGCGATATTGCGAACCCTTCCAATAATGAGCACTCTACCACGGTCACCACATATGTCAGCCCCCAGCTCCTACGGGTGCCGTCATCCCTAGACTGGTCTCCGCCGACCGGTTCTAGAGCTGCTTGCCGAAGAGCCTCAGGACCTCAGGGCCTCAGGGCCTCACCGTCATGGCCCCCCACGTTTCCTGGTCCGTAGATAGCACACGGTCCCTGCATGGGAGTGCATGGACTCTGTACGGAGTACATGCGCCGAACAACCTCACGATTCAGCTTCACAGCCATCCTCGCATGTCGCTGGCCTCAACCTTCCATTCCTCATTCCCCGTTCTCCGCTAGCTGTTGTCCCTTTCCTAGCTTCGGTGCTAAACGCAATGTTCGGCGAAGGCGCTTCTGACCACAGTCATCCACCGTCGGCGACAATGGCAGCACTTCGTGGAAAGCACGGCCACCTTTGGGTACAAAGAAGAGAGTATACATGTGTGCCACGTACTGGTCTCTTCAGGACAGGAAACTCAGCAGCAGTGCCTAGCAGACCATCTCTACATTCTCCCAACATCCGCTCTCCCTCCACCCCAATCATCCTATCCAAATCAACTTTGGTCCCATCACCGTCTTCGTCCATCCCTCCACAATCTTCACAATGGTCTCCCGCCGTAACGAACCCATCGCCATCGTTGGCACTGGCTGCCGCTTCCCCGGAGGCGCCTCGTCCCCTTCCGCCTTGTGGAAACTGCTCGAGAAGCCTCGCGACGTCTGCAGCGAGATCCCCTCCTCCCGCTTCTCCACCACGGGCTTCTATCACCCGGATGGCTCGCATCACGGCACTACCAACGTACGCAATGCCTACCTCCTGCAGCAGGACAATCGCGTCTTCGATGCGGGCTTCTTCAACATTAGTCCCGCCGAGGCCGACTCCATTGATCCTCAACAACGCCTCCTTATGGAAACGGTGTATGAAGCTCTAGAGGCTGGTGGGCACACTATTGAAAATCTTAAGGGGTCCGACACTGCTGTCTACGTCGGTACCATGGGTGTAGACTACAACGACACCCTCCTCCGGGATGTGAACTCACTGCCGACTTACTTCGCCACTGGCACCAATCGAGCCATCATCTCCAACCGTCTGTCCTACTTCTTCGACTGGCACGGCCCGAGCATGACCATCGACACGGCATGCTCTTCCAGCTTGATCGCTGTTCACCAGGGCGTGCAGGCCCTGCGTGCTGGCGAGTCTCGCGTCGCCGTTGCCTGCGGTACAAACGTCATCCTGAACCCGGATGCCTTCGTCTTCGAAAGCAAGATGAAAATGTTGTCTCCCACGGGCCGCTCCCGCATGTGGGATGCCGACGCTGACGGCTACGCTCGTGGCGAAGGTATTGCCGCCATCATCATGAAGAGACTGAGTGATGCAATTGCCGATGGCGATCACATTGAGTGTTTAATCCGTGAGACAGGCGCGAACCAGGACGGCCATAGCAGCGGGCTCACGGTCCCCAGTTCTGAGGCTCAGACCGCTTTGATCCGCCAGACCTATGCCAAAGCTGGCTTGGACTTCGAGAACAACCCTAACGATCGCCCGCAGTTTTTCGAGGCGCACGGGACGGGAACCAAGGCTGGCGACCCCAAGGAGGCGGGTGCCATCTACGAGTGCTTCGGCAAGCACTTGACGGATAGCAAGCCCTTGTACGTCGGATCAGTTAAGACTGTGATTGGCCACACCGAAGGTGCGGCTGGTTTGGCCGGTCTGCTCAAGGCGTCTGGGATTATTCAGAAGGGCATCGTTCCTCCAAACATGCTCTTCAACACCCTGAATCCTGCCATTGAGAAGTTCTACCACGGAATCCGCGTTCCTACCACTCTTCAGCCTTGGCCGCAGCTGCCGGAGGGCGTTCCTCGTCGTGTTAGCGTCAACAGCTTTGGTGAGTGACCCGATTCTCCCACTCTTAATAGTATATCGACTCACCCATTCCAGGCTTCGGTGGCGCCAATGCCCACGCTATCATTGAACAGTACATGGATGCCGACAAGCAAAAGTCACTCTGTGCCCGGCCGGCCAGCACCCCCTTCGTCTTCTCCGCCACTTCGGAGGCCTCCCTGACCGCCCAGTTGAAGGCCTACTCCGATTTCCTCAAGACTAACAACGACATCAGCCCCTCCGACTTGTCCTGGACCCTGCAAGCCCGCAGAAGCCAGCTCCAAATCCGGGCTTCTTTTTCTGCGCCCACGATCGAGGAGTTGGTGAGCAAGATTGACGGCAAGCTTGATGGCGTGAAGCAGAATGCAAAGTCCACCATTGGCACCAGGTCCGACTTCAAGGACGCTTCGCCCCGCATCCTCGGTGTCTTCACCGGCCAGGGTGCTCAATGGGCCGCAATGGGTGCCCAACTCATCAGGTCCTCTGAATTTGTGCAGAAGATTGTCCAGGATCTCGAGGGCTCTCTCAGCTCCCTGCCAGAGTCGGATCGTCCTCAGTGGAGCCTCAAGGAGGAGATGCTTGCCGGCGCCGACACCTCTCGCATCGCAGAGGCCGCACTGTCACAGCCTCTATGCACGGCCGTGCAGGTCATCCTAGTTGATTTGCTCCGGGAAGCTGGCATCACCTTCGCCGCCGTTGTCGGGCACTCTTCCGGAGAGATCGGTGCCGCCTACGCTGCTGGTTTCCTTTCTGCTAGCGACGCCATTCGTGTTGCTTACTACCGAGGTGTGTACGCTCGCCTTGCAGGCAATAGCGCCACTGGCCAGAAGGGTGCCATGATGGCAGTGGGAACGTCCTGGGAAGATGCGGAAGAGCTCGTCAATCTCCGTGCTTTCAAGGGCAAGCTCGCCATTGCCGCTCACAACTCCCCAGCTAGCGTCACTCTCTCGGGAGATGAAAACGCCGTCGCCCACGGAAAGCGAGTCTTCGATGAGGAGAAGAAGTTTGCCAGACTGCTCAAGGTCGACACCGCCTACCACTCGCACCATATGCTGCCCTGTGGTGACCCGTACATTGAGGCTATGAAGGGATGCGGTGTTAAGGTTAATCCTGAAGGCGGCCGCGACTGCTCCTGGTTCTCCAGTGTGGTTCCATCAGAGAACCCCATGGGGCCGACTGAGGAGTTGCAGCATGTCTACTGGAGAGACAACATGACCAATGCCGTGCTCTTCACCGAGGCCATTAAGAACGCCATCGCGAGCGATCCTTCACTGTGCTTTGCTATCGAAGTTGGGCCTCATCCGGCGCTCAAAGGCCCCGTCACTCAGACGATGGCTGATGTTTTGCCCACTCCTCTCCCGTACACCGGCGTGCTCAGCCGCGGAGGCGACGACATCCAGGCTTTTTCTGAGGCCCTCGGGTTCATCTGGACTCATCTGGGCGCCGCAAATGTCGACTTCAATTCCTACCGCAAGGCCATCTCTTCCAGCGCCGAAACCCCCAAGCTGGTTACCGGGCTGCCCTCTTATCAATGGAATCACGGAAGGGTTCACTGGCACGAGTCGCGTCTGTCTCGCAAGAACCGCACCCGAAAGCAGCCCTTCAATGAACTCCTCGGCGTTCAATGCCCAGACTCTACGGCTCGCGATATGCGGTGGTCGAACGTGCTCAAGCTCTCCGAGATCTCGTGGCTCGATGGGCATCAGCTTCAGGGTCAAACCGTTTTCCCTGCGGCTGGTTACTGCGCAATGGCGATGGAAGCAGCGAGAACGTGGGCGGGTGAACGGCCTGTAAAGATGTTCGAGATTGAGAACCTGGAGATCCCGAAGGCCATTACTTTCGAGGAAGACGCCAATGCCGCTGTTGAGACTCTTGTCACTCTGTCAAGCATCTCCATGCCCACTGGACAACCGTCCTTTGACGGCACCATGACGGCCACGGCAGAGTTCGTCTGCTATTCCTGTCCTGCGATGGGAACAGAGCAGGATATGGATCTCATGGCGAAGGCCACCGTCAAAATTGTCTGCGGCAATCCCTCCACTGATGCGCTCCTTTCCTCCCCGCTTGAGGACTACAACTTCAACCCTGTTGACACTGACGTCTTCTACACCACCCTCCTCGACCTGGGCTACGGCTACCAGAACAACTTCCGTGGGATGCACACACTGAAGCGTCGTCTCAACCAAGCAACTGGTCTCATCACTACTTACCCCTATGCCGACTCCGATCCGACCGTCTACCTCGTCCATCCTACTCAGCTTGACGTCGCGTTTCAGGCCTCCTTCCTCGCCTTCTCCGCGCCAGGAGACAACCGCCTCTGGTCCCTGCACGTCCCGACTGCCATCCGCAGCATCCGTGTCAACCCAGAGATCTGCCTCTCTATCCCCCTCTCCGGCGCCGACGTCCCCATCTCCGCCGTCCTGAGCGAAGGTGACGAGTTCCGCGCCAGCATAGACGTCTTCGGCCCTCAAGGCGGCCACCAGGCCATGGTCCAGATCGAGGACCTGATGATCAAGCCTTTCGCTCCTGCCACTGCTGCAGACGACCATATCCTCTATTCGTCCACGAAGCTGGATGTCGCTCAACCGGACGGCACTTCCTGCGTCAAGGGCGTCAAACCTACCGCGGCCGAAGTCGAACTTGCGACCGTGTGTGAGCGCCTGTCCTACTACTACCTGCGCAGCTGGAAGGCCGAACTGAGTGAGGACGACTGGGCCAATGGCCAAGAACACCACGCTTCGCTTCGTGACTATATGAACCATGTCCTTGACGGTGTCGCTCGCGGATCTGCCTATCCCTTCATCAAGAAGTCATGGGCTTCAGACACGGCTGAGGATATCAAGGCTTTGATCGAGAAGCACCGCGAGGCCATAGACGTCAGGCTATTGTCCGCCGTTGGTGAGAATATCCCCGCCTCCGTGCGTGGCGAGACCACCATCCTAGAACACATGATTGCAGACAATATGCTGGACGACTTCTACAAATTGGGTCTTGGATTCGCGAGATATAATGGCTTCCTGGCCGAGATGATAAAGCAGATGAGCCACCGATATCCGCATTCTAATATCATTGAAGTTGGTGAGTTGACTCCGGATGCTCCAAAAACCTTACCTTCATCCTTAAATATACTCACACGTTCGCAGGTGCGGGTACTGGCGGCGCCACCAAGTCAATCCTCGCCAATATGGGCAACACGATGTCATCTTACACGTACACCGACGTCTCACCGGGTTTCTTCGAGAAGGCTGCGGAGATGTTCAAGCCTCACAGCTACAGCAACAAGATGACCTACAAGGTTCTCGACATCGAAAAGGCGCCATCTGCTCAGGGGTACAAACCGCATGCTTACGACATAGTCGTCGCGTCCAATGTCTTGCACGCCACTGCGTCCATGCAAAAGACGCTCGAGCATGTCCGTCAGTTGCTCAAGCCAGGAGGCTACTTGATGCTGCTCGAAGTCACCGACCACGGCCCCGCCCGCAGCGGTCTCATCATGGGTGGTCTGGCTGGATGGTGGGTCGGCAAGAACGACGGCCGTAGGTATTCGCCTACCATTACACCTGGAGAGTGGCACAGTGCGCTCCGCAAGGCTGGCTTCTCGGGCGTCGATGCTGTTACCCCCAAGATTAACGTCCTGCCATGGCCCTTCTCCATCATCGCCGCTCAGGCCGTTGATGACCGCGTGCAGTTCCTGCGTCGCCCACTCACCAACTCTTCCTCCGCACAGTCCATCAGCATCCCCAGCCTTGTGATACTGGGATCCGAAGGTCTTCAGACCGCGCAGATTGCGGAGGAGGTATCTGAGCTCCTGGAACGATACTGCGACCAGATTACTGTCCTCAGCGGCTTACCCACCGAGGAGGAGGCGGCCATGATCGACCCTACGAGCACCATCATCAATCTCGTCGACATCGAAACGCCCATCTTCAAAGATATGAATGACGAGCGCATGGATGGCCTTAGGCGCGTCTACGCAGTTGCCAGGAGCATCGTCTGGGTCACTGTCAGCGCCATGGTCAACCAGCCCTACCATTTCGCCTCCATCGCTTTCAACCGCGCCATTGCTCACGAAGAAGGCCACATCAGCATGAACCACTTCGACGTTTCGGAGATCGATGACAACACGTCCAAGGCCATCGCTGAGCACGTTCTCCGCCAATGCGCTCTGGATGAGTTGGAGACCACGGCTACCAGCCGCCAGCCGCTACTGTGGTCCAGGGAACCTGAGGTGTTCCTGGAGAAGGGCGTCCTGAAGATTCCCCGCGTCATCAGCCACATCGACCAGAATGCACGCCTGAACTCCTCCAGGCGCATCATCACCAAGACGGTACCGGCCTCTGCCCCCAGCACTTCGATTGTCTGGGGCGAGGACTTCAAGCCGTCCCTGGTGGAGGACTTGCTCCCCACGACAGGCACCAACGGCCAGAGCGCAGTAACGGTTGCTTATTCCAGCCTGACAGCCCTTCAGGTTGCGCGCAATGCGTTCTTGTACCTCTGCACTGGCAAGGACGGTGTGACTGGCGAACGGGTCATTGCTCTCTCCGAATTGAACTCCCGCGAGGCACTGCCCATTGCTGTGGCGAAGACGAACTCTCCCGCCCCGGGATCCCTCATCTCCGTGGCGAGCGAGCTTCTTGCCTCATCTCTCATCTCCGCCTTGTCTTCCAACAGCTCGCTCCTTGTCCACTGCTCCGGCAGAGAGCGCTTCCTCGCTTCCGCTCTTCAACGGAAGGCCGCAGACAACTCCGTCAAGGTCACATTTTCATACGACGCTGGCCACTCCGAGAATGTGCACGATGCGACTTGGATCGGCCTGCATGCTCACACTCCCCGCCACGCGCTTCGCAAGCAACTCAAGGCTGACAAGATCACGCATTTTCTCGATTTGACCGAGGCTGGACCTCTGAGCGTCAATATTGCGCAAGTGCTCTCGCCTGAGCACACTCGCATCCAACCTTTCGATGTCTTCAGGCGCCAGGCTTCTCTGCCCGCCTCCTATGATGCGGATAGTCTGACTCAACTTCTTCAGGAAGCGGTTGCTACTGTCGAGAAGACTTCAACACCCGAAGAAGATGTCCACGACATTGTCGTTCCTCTGGAACAGCTTGGCTCGGCCTCGAGCTTCAGGCCTTCCATCGTTGCTGAGTGGTCCACTGAGAACCCGCTCCAGGTCCAGGTCCGCGCTCTCAAGCCCGAACGGCTCTTTGCCCGAAATAAGACCTACCTCCTCGTCGGTCTTACTGGACAGATAGGCCAATCACTCGCGGAATGGATGGTCAAGAACGGCGCCGGCTGCGTGTGTCTGACATCCCGCAACCCCAAGGTTGACCAGCGATGGTTGGACTCCTTCAAGGGCTCCGGAGGGGAAGTTAAGACGTACGCGATGGATATTATGAACAGCTCCGACCTCGAAAGAGTTGTCAAGGATATCCGAGCCACCTGCCCGCCCATTGCGGGTATCGCCAACGGAGCCATGGTGCTCAACGACGCGCTCTTCTCCAAGATGTCGGCGGAAGCCATGAACAAGGTCTTGGGACCTAAGATCATCGGAACCAACAACCTCGACCAACTTTTCCACGAAGACAAGCTGGACTTCTTCATCCTCTTCTCTTCCAGTGCATGCGTTGTGGGGAATTCTGGACAAGCAAACTATGCCGCAGCCAACGGCTACCTGAACTCTCTCGCCAGGCAGAGGCGTCGTCGCGGCCTCGCTGCTTCCACTCTTGATATCGGTCGTGTCGTCGGTATCGGATACGTCGAGACAGCAGGCCAAGCTGTCGTCGACCAGCTCACGCGTTTCGGTCTGACAGCCCTCTCCGAGACGGAGATCCACCACATGTTTACCGAATCTATCCAAGCAGGCTTCTCTCGTCCGGAGGATAGGAAACAGATTCCGGACGCGGTGGTCACGACAGGTATTCTTACCGTCCGGGAGGACACGGACGCACGAGGCCCATGGCTCGAGAATCCTCGCTTCTCGCACTGCATCGTTGAGGATGGTGCCGCGGATGCTGGCGCAGGGCAGGATAGCAAGAAGAATTCGCTGCCAGTCACGGAGCAGCTTGCTAGCGCCCCGAATAAGGAGGCTGCACTTCAAATCATCGAGGAATGCTTCATTGCCAAACTGCGGGTCATCCTGCAGCTGGCTGACCAGGAGATTGACTCCAGTGCTCCTCTGGTTGAGCTTGGACTTGACTCCTTGGTCGCTGTGGAGGTTCGCTCATGGTTCCTCAAGGAACTCAAGGTGGACATTCCCGTCCTCAAGGTGGTTGGTGGCGCGTCCGTCACCGATCTTTGCCAACGTGCCCTGGACAAGCTGCCGGAGGACCTCCTTGCCCACATTGGAACCAAAGAAGCACCTGCGAAGCCTGCTGCGAAGGAGCCAGCGGCACACAAGGCCCTCCATCTCCCCGCTCAACGACCGACTGTGCTTTCTCGGACGCCTTCAGCGTACAGCACCGCGCCGGCAAGCGAAGAAGGATCCTCCACCCCCAGCCGTGCAGGAGACATGTCCACGCAGCCATCCTCACGCGCGGATACACCGGACAATCTCTCAGAGAAGGGTAAACCAACCGCCACCTTTTCGTCACCTGAGCTGACGATATCGAAGCCTTTAAACTTTCTGAAAACTGAGCGGCTGTCCTTCGGGCAGTCACGGTTCTGGTTCCTGCGCCAACTCCTCCAGGACCAGACCACCTTCAACGTGGCGTTCTACTACCAGGTCTCCGGAAATCTGCGCATCAACAGCCTGGAGAGAGCGCTGCGTGCCGTGGCTGCCAGACACGAGGCACTCCGCACGTGCTTCGTCGCCGATGACACCGAAGCGGATCAAGCGTACCAAAAGGTCATGGCCACTTCGGCGCTTCGCCTCGAACAAAAGTTGATCAACGGGATAGAGGAGGTGGCGACTGAATATGCCGCATTCAAGTCCCACATCTTCGACCTGTCCAGAGGCGAACTGATGCGCGTAAAACTCCTAACTCTTACTCCCTCATCCCACTTCATCCTCATCAACTACCACCATATCCTCATGGACGGCGTCAGTCTCCAAGTCTTCATGGCGGACCTGGAGAAGGCTTACATCGGGAAGCCTCTGGGTGATCCGCCCCGTCAATTCCCGGATTTCTCCGCTGCTCAAAGACTCGCCTATGAGAACGGAGACTTGGACCAGGAACTCAAATACTGGCGCGGAGTCTTCCCTGCGGGCGAGCAGCCACCGATCCTGCCGTTGCTCCCCATGGCAAAGGCGAGCTCCAGGGTGCCAATGAAAGACTTTGACATTCATCAAGTCGGTACGCGGCTTCAGCCGGATCTCGCATCGCGAGTGAAGGCTGCCTCCAAGGCGCACCGGTCGACTCCATTCAACTTCTACCTCGCTGCCATGAAAGTGATGCTGTTCAGCTTCACGGATGCCCAGGACCTGACAATCGGTATTGCGGACGCCAACCGGAACGAAGAGAATGTCATGGGCAGCATTGGCTTCTTCCTCAACCTTCTCACTGTGCGATTCCGCCGCCAGACCGACCAAACTTTTGCGGATGCGGTCTTGGAGGCCCGTTCCGCGATCCACTCTGCTCTCGCCAACTCTCATCTTCCTTTCGACGTGCTCCTCCAGGAGCTCAACGTCACTCGCTCTTCTTCCCACAGCCCCTTCTTCCAAGCTTTCTTCGACTACCGCCAGGGCGCTCAGGAAAAACATCCTTTCGGGAACTGTCAATTCGAAGTCAAAGAGATGCATCCTGGACGAACCGCTTACGATATCACTCTCGATGTGACTGACAGCCCCACTGATGCTGTCATTATGCTCCGTGTCCAGAAGAGCCTCTATGACGAGGCTGCTGCCAATCTGCTACTGGACACGTACATCCACTTGCTCGATACGCTTTCTTCCGACACTACTCTTACGCTTGATGACACACCTCTTTTCGGAGCGACTCAGCTAAAGGGTGTTACAGAAGTCGGAGCCGGTAACTGATCTTGTGCTGCGTTGCAGTTAAACGCCATTCACTAACTCTTTTCATAGGTACTCATCTCGAATCCGACTGGCCCGAGACACTCCCGCGCAGAATCGACCAGATAGCTGCAGAGAACGAAGACAAGCTCGCATTAATGGATGGTCTAGGGAACTCGCTTTCTTACGCGGATCTCATCAAGCGCATCGAAGCCATCAGCGAGGCTCTCCAAGCTGTTGATGTCGGGAAAGGTTCTCGCGCGCTCGTTTTCCAGGAGGCGGCTGCCGACTGGGTATGCTCGATGCTCGCTATTATGCGCCTTGGAGCTGTCTACGTTCCAATGGATATCCGGAACCCTGTGCCTCGCCTCGCTGCCATTGCCGCAGACTGCCAACCAAGAGCCGTCCTTGCAGACAACACCACCATGGACAGCACCGAAGGACTGAGCGTTGACTATGCCGCCATCGTTAACGTTTCCACCGTCAAGAAGACGCCTTCAGGTCGTGTTCCCAATCAGAGCCAGGGAGCCGAGCCAGCGGCCATTCTGTACACCAGCGGTTCGACGGGCACACCCAAGGGCATAATGGTCACTCACTCCGGCCTGCGCAACGAGATTGAAGGATACACTAAGACGTGGAAGCTCGGGGCTGAGCAAACTCTGCAGCAAAGTGCTTTCACCTTCAACCACTCCTCGGACCAGATCTACACCGGCCTCGTCAATGGGGGTTCCGTCCACATCGTTCCCATGAGCAAGCGCGGCGATCCCCTCTCCATCACCGAAATCATCCGGCAGCGTGGCATCACGTATACCAAGGCCACACCTTCCGAATACATGCTCTGGATGCAATACGGCGGCGATAATCTTCGAGATGCCTCCCAGTGGCGGTTCGCATTCGGTGGAGGCGAGACCCTGACGAGGAATCATATTCAGGAGTTTGCCAAACTGGATCTTCCTCAGCTTCGCTTCTTCAACTCATATGGACCCACGGAGATCTCCATCTCGTCGCACAAGATGGAGATTGATTATCGTGACGAGAATGTGGGCAAGGAAGGACGCATTCCATGCGGCTTCTCGCTTCCTAACTACACCACCTACATCATGGACGAGCAGCTGCGGCCAGTGCCCGTTGGCATGCCCGGCGAGATCTGTATTGGCGGCGCTGGCGTTTCTCTTGGGTACCTTAACAACGAGGAACTCACGAGCAAGTCCTTCGTCGAAAACCCTGTGGCGTCTCCGGAATATGTCGCAAAAGGCTGGACCAGGCTTTACCGCACGAACGACATTGGCCGCCTGGAGAAGGACGGATCCATGGTCTTCCACAATCGGATGGCTGGAGACACACAAGTCAAGGTCCGAGGCCTCCGCATCGAATTGGCCGACATCGAAAGCAACATCGTCGCTGCTGCTGAAGGGAAACTGAAGGAGGCCGTGGTGGTCCAACGTGGAGGCGACGCCGGACACTTGGTCGCCCATGTTGTCCTCGCACCCACTTACGATATCCAGGACATGGACTCTTTCCTGGATCAATTGCTCATCCGCCTTCCGCTTCCCCAGTACATGATACCGATTGCGGCCATTGCGCACGAGAAGCTGCCTCTTACGAACCACTCCAAGGTCGACCGCGCCGCTTTGAAGGCCATGCCGCTGCCTCAGAAGGCTGCCGCTGGGCGCGATGATTCCGAACTCTCCGAGACAATGATCACATTGCGCGGTGTCTGGTATGACGTCCTTGAGATGGAGGACGGTGTTCGCCCTGAGGTGACAAGCTCGACGAACTTCTTCCACGTGGGTGGGAACTCGCTGCTGGTCCTCCGCCTGCAGGCCCGCATTCGCCAGTTGTTCAATGCCGCGATCCCCCTCTACGAACTACTCGGCGCCAACACTCTGAGTCAGATGGCACGCAAGATCGAAGAGTGCACCAGCCTCGAGCCAATCAACTGGGACGAGGAAACGCAGCCACCCACTGTCCCGGAGTTCCTCGCGACTATTGATACTCAACCACTCCCAGAGAAACCAAGCACGGTGCTCGTCACAGGCGCAACAGGCTTCCTCGGACAATACCTCCTACCCAAACTCATCGAGAATCCCCAGATCCGCAAAATCCACTGCGTCGCCGTGCGCGACCGTCCCGCCGACGACCCCCGCCAGCTGCCCTCTTCACCGAAACTGGAGTCCCACAGTGGCGATCTCTCCTCCCCTTTCCTAGGCCTCGACGAAGATAAATTCCGCCATCTCGCCGAAGAAGTCGACGTGATCCTCCACATGGGCGCCGCGCGCTCCTTCTGGGACAATTACCACGCGCTCCGCTCCTCCAACTTCGCATCCACAAAGGAGTTGATCAAGTTGGCTACCCCTCGCCGCATCCCCATCCACTACACATCCACCGCGGGCGTCCTGTCTTCCGAGGAAACCGTTCACGGTGCGGCTTCTTCCAGCGCTAGAAACAACGTCCCGCCCACGGACGGTAGCAACGGGTACGTCGCCACGCGCTGGGCGAGCGAATGTGTCCTGGAGCGCTCGACGGAGACCCTCGACATCCCCACGTCGGTGTATCGCTTCCTGCCCGCCTCGCGACCGCAGGACCCTCGGCACGTCATGGATGAATTCGTCCGCTTCGTCGATGTCCTGGGTACCATGCCCGACTTTGAAGGGTGGGAGGGTCGCATCGATGTCGCTCCCGCCGAGGACGTCGCGGAGTGGCTGTGCGAAGCGGTGCTTGGTCGTCGTCTTCGACCGAATGGCGCGCAGGGAGGCGGGACGCGGACGCTGTTTAAGCATTTTGAGAGTTCTGTTGCGGTGCATGTGAAGGGGTTGAGGGAGTATCTTGAGGAGCGGAGAGGGGATAGGGGGTTCGCGAGGGTGGATGGGTTAAGGTGGATTGGGAGGATCAAGAGGGCTGGGTTTGGGTTTTTGTTTACGGCGCAGGATGCCGTGGTTGGGAGGGGGGAGGGGGAGGGGGAGGTGTTTAGACTGCTGCGGTAGTGGAGGCTGTTTCTTTCTGGTTTTTCCATTCTTCGTTTTCGTTTGTTGTGGTTTTTGATGACTTCCATGATAGATTTTCTGGTCAGTTTTTTCTCGTCATAGAGGGAGGCGCGTTTTATCGGTTACTTGTGTGGGTGGATGTATGATATAAGACTGACATTGGGACGGAGTGGTTTTCCTTTTTTTCCTTTCCTTGCAGAACAGCGACGAGACGCGCAGAGGGGGCTCGCGACGCGCCGCTTTTGGCTGCACCCTTGAGTTGGTGGGTCGCGGCCTCTTGGTGTGTTCCTTGAGTAGATTCCTGAATCGATTTTCGTCTTTCAAATATGCAAATAGTGAGGGTGCACAGTGGGAAGTCGTGAATATTGATCAGGATATGTTCTCCCTTGCGGCATAATATCTATCCCCACTTCAATCTTATATGAGAATCTAGCTTCTTACTCGTGTTGCCAGGCCTGTCCTTCTTCATTGAGTGTTGGTTACCTTTATCCAGAGGCACCCGAAGCATAATTCTTCTCGGGGAAGGGGATGGGACTCCTCCATCTCTCCCCCCTGTTCCCTGTCGATCAAAGGCCAAGAGATAGAAGACATAATTCGGGTGGTTGTCTAAGTGCTAGACTCAGTCCTATGTGATTTCAGACGTCTTCCTCTTCACCCTTGGCGCTCGTGAGGACCAACGAGGTCAGAGGACCAGAGATAGAAGGCAGATGCATAAATGACGTCCTCCTCTTACCTAGTTTCACCGGCCGAGGGATCGGACGCGTCGTCCATGGTAGTATGTATCATCGGAAGCCGCGGCGGTTTTCAGGCGATGCCCTCATATCCTTGAGGAGTCGTTTGATGAGAGGGGCTTGCCACCCTCATCGAGGAGCGTACCAGCCTTGACACTCCGTCAACATCGTCAACGGAGCTCAGTTTGTATCGTGCAATCCAACGATCTACATCCTGCTTCGGCCTTTTAGACCCGGTGGCCAGTCTTCTGCAACTCGGGCTGCCGGTCCTCGTCCTGGTCGTATCGCTTGGCAGTCTTTCAGCGGGCGCTTGCGACTGAATAATCATATCGAGCAAAGGTGGGATTTGCGCGCTATTGAAGGCGGGGGCCGTCGGAACCTCGCGATCCTTACTTCTTCGGCCAGGATTGCCTCGCTTGATGTCGGAAATGCAGACAATCTCGCCCCTTGAGGCAGCTGCTAGCACTATCCATGCAGCGTACAGACACGGACGCGCCTGGGGCGGCTGAGCTGCTGCTGGGGCTTCCTGAGCAGGCGCGCTGGAATCCGCGCTGGCGTTGGTCTCCTGCCCGCTCGACCTCTGCAGACTCGACCTGGCCGCTTTAGCAGCTAGGAGGAGAAGAAGAAGTAGTAGTAGTAGAAGAAGTAGAAGCAGAAGCAGAAGCAGAAGCAGAAGCAGAAGCAGAAGCAGAAGCAGAAGTAGAAGCAGGAGTAGAAGCAGAAGCAGAAGCAGAAGCACGCGTGAGGGGCGTCTAAGGACGCAGAGGAGGCAGCAAAGAGGGGCGAGAGAAGAGAGGGGAGAGAGATGAGGAAGAGGGGTTTGGGGGGAGGGAGGAAAGAGGGAGAAAGGTTGTTAGGGAAGAGGAGAGGAGTGGACGTATACGTAGTAGTGGTGAAGATCAAAAGAAAGAAGGAGTGCCAAGAAAGGCCCGTGCGGGAGCGTTGGCAGCAAACAACCTTGGAACATTTATGACGACTGGACCGGACCGATCTATTAGCAAAGGAAGAGACATTAGAATGCGTGAATCTGACTGCTTGCTCCTTTTTCACAGTATTAGTATGCACGGAGTAGTCAAAAGTTACGGTATCAGACACCCTATGATTGACGAGCTTTCTCAGATCCTCTCCCCTCCGGCAATTGCGATTATCATGCATCTATGGGGACTTCACTATCATGCTTCTCCTGGACATCAGAGTTCCAGCAGTCGCGATTGTCGCCCCGCCTATAATGTCAAAAACAGCTACATCCGCGCTAAAACTCTTTCCAATCCAGTTGCGAAGCTCTATTGCTACAAGCGAATCAACTCCGTACTTAAAGAGTGCTTTGTTAGAGTCAATATCGTCCACACGCACGGAATGCAATCGTGCACGTTTTCTTGGAAAGAGCGGCTACATACAACCGCCGCTACACGACTTTGTTCGGTTTCCTGCTTGTACGAAAACTTGTAGGAAAGTCATTTTCCTCGCCCGTCGCCGATCTATGGCCCGGCAGCTGCAGACAAGGAGAATGGTGAGAAAAGCCGACTTTTCATGGCCTCTGGTACCTTCATTCCACGGCTTTGGAGATCAGGTGGAGTAAGTGTGCCCATCAGGACTTGACTCCTTAAGGGCCTGGGCGATGGCCGGGAGGGGTTGTAATGGATGTCAAGCAGCGACATGAACTCTCCTTCCTCGATTTGGGCTATGTCCTACAGATATATACCAAATGAGACTTTTAAGTCAAAGGCCTACCTGGTTCCGCAAGCATCACCATCCGTATACAACTTATTCAATAGAATTGAACAAGCGGCTGCACCGCACGAGAAGACGCATCATCGGCCAAGGAATAAATGACGGGGCACATGCGCATTTTCGAGCCCGTAATCCAGCAGCAACCCTCACTGGCTGAAGCATGCGACGGGGAGCGCAATGAAACCGTTGATATCAGCGAAAGATGCAGCTGGCTTAGTATTGACATAAGCGGTGAACTTGGCTTCGGACGGAGCTTTGAACTGCAAACAAGTGACAAGAACTGTAAGTGATTTCAGAGTGGATGTGTTAGCTTGATGTCTTCTTCGTAGGCCCCCGCCCAAAGCGCTGGATGCTCAGTGGCATTTCTACTTCGAACTACAGTATCAACGTCTATATGCAAATGCTGCAACTGAAATATATCGGCTGGGAGAAGCTTTTGCTTCCAATTGTTCTTCCAAAAGTACTTAGGTTTCATCGTACATATTCCCAAACGTTGCAGTGTCAAGTACACCCGGCCCAGCTTGCCAACAACATGATACGATAGTCAAGCGCCATAACATCATGTCCGAATCAGGGAATGTCGACGTCTGTATCTGTAAGATGGCGCCAAAGGGAGGAAGGACATCATAGATGGCGTTATCGAACGTCTATAACAAAGAGAACTGCTATAGACAGGTCAACTACACACGGGATAAGCAGAAAGAAGCAAAAGAATGAAAAGGTAGCTGATGTAGCAAGTAAGCAATGTAGAATATTGAATAGCTATCTGGAAACATGTGCATATGTGCATTTCTACGCTGTTGCTTTGCGATTTGAATATTCGGTGGTAAAACGTAGAGTACCGATTCCATAACCGCCAATGGAAATCCGATACGCATTATGGGAGAGATCAAGGAGCAACAGAAAGAAGATGGATGAATTCAGGGTATATCTCTCCTCCTCAATATCATAAACAGACCAACACTCGATAAAAGCGCTGCGATATATATATATATATGTACACTGTCGGACGAACTACAACACCTCCCTCCAATTACGCCGCCTCTCCAAAATCGCTATGCCCCGTTTTCTCCGCATGAGCAACCGCCTCTTTCTCCCCGTTGCCCGTCCACCCGCACACATTGCATCTTAGCCCAAAATGCTGCGTGTCGGTGAAGTAATGCTTCTTTTGCAACTCGGCGCACAACTCCCTCGCCTTCTCCAGCAGAATATCGTCCCGGCTATCAAAGAGTTTGACATCATTGTCGGTATTGAGCGTAGATCCCGTTCCATCAGGCACAAAGGCAATAGTATCGTAATGAATGCCCGAGTAAACGAGAAAGCAGCGTTTCGGACGGCCTTCGTTGAACCGATCGACGCGCAAATCCTGCACATTGATACTGCAGATTTCAATGTCAAATTCCTGGCTGAGGATCGCGAGCTCGATTCCCCCGCCCCAGCTATCCTGGTTCTGGATCCAGCGACAGTATTCGTCCGGTTCGCGCTGCAGGACGGCCTCGTTGTACATGTCTGGGTCGGCGTGGATGGCTTGTGCAACGAGAGAGCGCAGCTCTGTCATGGCGTCTAGTGAGGAGGAGAGGACGGCTGTGCCGAGCGCCCGGAACATGCAGCTGTTGTCGTCGGGCATGACGCGCAGAACGAGGGTGCCGTGGTGGGTTGGGACGGGGATTTCGGGCGTGTCCGATTCGGGGAGGGCTGGTTTGCGGGTGAGGGATAAGGGGGCTGACGGCGACGAGACGGCTTGTCGGCTGCTTTGCGAAGAGGGAGGTGTAGATGTTGATGTTGATGATAGTTGCGGGACTGTCGTGTCCCCCGTTTCTTTACCCACAACGATGATTTGTGCGCCGTTCAGCTGGAGGTCTGTGTCTTTGAGGAGCGTCGACATGCCGTAGAGGGAGGGGTCGAGGGGTTGGGGTGGGAAACCCCACTTTAGCTCGAAGAGGGGGAGGGCGGTTGTGTCGGAGATGGAGGAGAGGAGGTCGGAGACTGCGGCGTTGTCGTCCAAGGAGAGGGTGTGGACGCCGTTGGGTGCGCGGAGACGTATGCGGAGTGGCATTTTGTCCCAAAGGGGTAATGGCGGTGGTGAAGGTGAAGGTGAAAGTGAACAGTGGGTAACTGTGGGTGAACTGGTGAAGTGGTGAAGGTGTGCGGAGGTGGGTCAAGTCGCGGCACGCGGGGCTAATAGGCGCCGAAGTATATGGCTTAATAGGGTCTAGAGTATATTGCGAACAACCGTGGTTGCAGTGGAGTAGAATTCCACCGCCTCCAAATTATTAAGGAAGTGGAAGCTGCGGATTAGCAAGCAGTGAAGGTGATGATGTTGGTGAAGCTTCGCGAACTGACCAGGGTGAAACGGCAGCTTGCGGCTTAGCTTGCAGGATCCATGCGCAGATCTCAATCGGCAGATTATTTTTCCGATTCACGCTCGGACCATCTTGAGACGCGACACCGAAAGGTGCACCGGATTCAAGCTTTGCCCTCTCATAGAGAATACAATCTCAATTTTCCAAGCGGATTCAAACGACACCCATTTCTCTGGAGCGTTCTGTACCCTCCAAGATGGGATCTCCGCGTGGGGTGAGCTCTACACCCGTCCCAACCACAGAGACTGCCGAAGGCGCGTCCTCGACTGTAACCGAAGAGGAATGGAAGGCCATGTCCACCGTGCTGGCCAACGTTAATGCGCACCGAACCGAAGAGTGAGTTTGCGTCATTGCTGTGTGTCGCCCATGGCGATGCTAACGTTCGCATAGTGACTATGATCCCACCCATCTCTTCCAGCGCAAGGTGTCCAAGCGACAGCTGCCCGATTATTACGATATCATCAAGGAGCCAATGGCCCTGAGCATCATCAAGTCGAAGATCCAGAAGAAAGAGTACAAGAGCTTTTCCGAGTTCGTGCGCGACTTCGCCCTCATACCACATAATGCCCAGGTGTACAACCGGCAAGAGTCGGCTGCGTACCAGGATGCGCTGGAGGTAAAGAAGGTGCTGGAGGCAGAGCTGAAGAAGTTGGTAGATGAGAAGGTTATCACGCAAGAAGTTGCGACGCTTCCCTACCTGGGCGAAATTCCGGAGCAAGACCCCTTGCCCCCCGAAGACGAGGAAGAAGAAGATAGCGAAGACGACGAGCGCGACGAGGAGGAGGACGAGGACGAGGAAGAGGAAGACGAAGGTAAACGCAGGAAGCGGCGCGGCGCGCGATCAACAGCCGCCATTTCCAAGCGCGAGACAGGGAAGGCCAAGGACGAAACCAGAGAGGATCCAGAGTCGAGGAAAAAGCGCGGGAGGCCACCGCGGGTGGACACGCCCATGGAAGCTAGGATAAAAAATATCATGAAGGCGATCAGGAAGCCGCGAAACGATCAAGGAAAGCTGATGGTCAGCGCATTCGAACGTGTTCCCGACAAGGCTGCAATGCCTGAGTACCATGCTGAGATCAAAACCCCGATGGCCATGGACATTTTGAAACGCAAATTGAAGCGCAAGAAGTACAACTCCGTGGACCACTTTATGCAGGACGTCGAACTCATGTTTGAGAACGCTAAGCAGTACAACGAGGATGATAGCCAGGTGTACAAGGACGCAGTGCATCTCCAGAAGGAGGCCCGGAAGGTAGCAAAGGAGGAGAAGGAGAAACCAGACAGCGAATATGCTTCAGAAGAAGGCCGTATACCCATGCCGAATGGCATCCTCCATAATGGGGAGCTCTGGAAGGTTGGCGATTGGGTCCACATCCAGAATCCCAACGATCTCACCAAACCCATTGTCGCGCAAATCTATCGCACATGGCAGGATGTCGACGGTGGGAAATGGGTAAATGCTTGCTGGTACTACCGGCCCGAACAGACGGTGCACCGCTTCGACAGGCATTTCTTGGAGAATGAAGTTGTCAAGACTGGGCAATATCGCGATCATCGCATCGACGAGGTCGTCGACCGTTGCTTCGTCATGTTTGTGACACGGTATAACAAGGGCCGACCTCGAGATTTTCCCGCTGATAAGGAGATCTACGTGTGCGAAGCGCGGTACAACGAGGAGAAGCATAAACTCAACAAGATCAAAACTTGGGCAAGTTGCTTGCCTGACGAAGTCCGCGACAAGGATTATGTGATGGACTTGTTTGAGCATCCTCGCAAGTTGAAGAAAGTGCCTAGTCCCATCGCCTATCTTCTGCGCGATGACCAGAAGGAGACAGATGATCTGCCGAAGCCTGAATGGGGTGCTGAGAATGCTCCACCGAAGATTGGCGCCGTCCATAGGCGTCCGCGCGATCCAAAGGTACGTGTTGCGGTCGCCACGCGTTTGCCCGCCAACGCCCCAAGTGTCGCAAAACAAACATTGACGTTTGCATAGGAGTCTCCCCCGCCAGAGCCCACCCCATCACCGCCTCCACCGCCTCGGCCCGCGCCAGTAATGGCAACGCCTAGCATCCCTCCTCCGACTAATGGCTATGGCAGCGAAACGCAACGGAACTATCCCATTGCACAAGCTCCCGCTGTTTCGCCAATGCCCGTGCCAACACCTCAACCTCACCATGTGCAGGCTGCATATACCCCAACCCATCCAACACAGTACCATGCGCATTCAGCATCGCCGGTCCCACACGCCTCTCAGCATCCCGTGCAGCAGCCTACAAGTTACCAAGCCATCACTCCCCACCTTCCTTTTTCGACGCCACAGCCTGCGCCAGTAGTACCGCAATACGCTTCTCGACCGGCGCCAACGTATCAGCAATCAACCTATGTACAGCAACCTCCAGCTGGTTACCAAGCTCCGAAACCTGTGGAGGTGTATATCCTGAATGACCACGCCAACAACTCCATTCCACCCGAAATCCGAGATCAATTTCAGCGGGACGAACAGGGCAGAGTGCTCTTCTTCACCGCTCCGCCACTGAACACATCGACCGTCGCGGCGAAGAACGGAAAAACTCTCGGACACTCGGCACGCTATCTTGCAAAAAGGGCGGAATGGGAGGCCGAACGCGCTGCAAAACGTAAGGCAAGAGATGCAGCCCTCGCTGAGCGGGAACAAGCCGCGAAGAAGGCATGCGCGGAGAAAGAGGAAAGGCTCAAGCAAGAGATCGCTGAGCTGCAGACACGGGCTTTGCAGGCGCTGGGGGATCAACTTGCTGTAGCCACGAAGACGGAATTCGAAAATGTGTTTGCCGGCGGAGAAACGAACGAGGCCATGATGAGGTGGATGGACCAGTTGACGGAGGCGCAGAAAGTGGCTGTTCAGAAGAATCTACAGAGGGAGGAGAGAAGATTGAAAGAGAAGGCGGGGGAGAAGACGGTCATTACCGGTATGACGGTGCGGTTAGAGGAGAAGTTTTGAGCCCGGACCATGAGGAGGAGGTCGGTTCATATCATGGGAGTTTTTATTATGGAGTATCAAACGATACATTATTGGACAACTGGGTACTTCTAGCGCGGCGGTTATACCCTCTCTCATAGGGACTGGTAGCATGACATATCTGTATACCAAACTGTGTATCTATAGTTCTAGGCGACTATTTTCCTTCTAAAATCGTGAAACACCAATCATGTACATGAAGCCAACTCCTAAGTTCTAACCCTAGAATAAGCCTGGATGTCGGTCACGTGTTGTGCTGCGCCCATGTGCTCCGGCCGCAAACCTTGGAAAGGCCTTGGCGGGGTATGAATGAACAACCCGCCAATAACAATCCTGGCAAACACGCTGATGAACCTCGGCAGCATTCCCCAGATCCAACCCAACGCTCATTCCAGTGAAACCATCCGATCAAGTGGGGATGGACGGGGTTCCGCCAGTCGCCCGAGGCATATCTCCCAAGAAGGCCATGCTTGATCTTGTTGCGGCTTGCTGGAATATCTCTTGCTCCCACAGACGTCTTCTTCATCCTTCTCCCTCCATCACCTAACCGCCTACACTTCATCAGTCGTCTTCCACCATGCCTCACAAGACGTTGACCCGTGAGGAAGTCGCCAAGCACAACACCGGCGACGACCTATGGTGTATTATTGACCACAAGGTCTACGACCTCACCGATTTCGTGGACGGACACCCGGGAGGTGCCGTTGTGCTCGAGCAGGTCGCCGGAAAGGACGCAACTTCGGCTTTCTACAACCTGCACAGGCAGGAAGTACTCACCAAGTATGAGAAGCTATGCATTGGCATCATTGAGGGCGAGAAGCCCGAGGTCGTTACCCCCGGCATCGGCGAACTCTCCCCCGTTCCCTACGCAGAGCCCCTATGGCTGCGCCCGCAGTTCAAGTCGCCCTACTTCAACGAGAGCCATCGTGCGCTGCAGCGCAAGGTTCGCGAGTTCGTCGAGACATACGTCAAGCCCGAAGCACAGGAGAAGGAGAGGGATGGCACATATATATCCCAGGAGCTCATTGACCGCATGGCAAAGAACGACCTTCTTGCCATGCGTCTTGGCCCCGGAAAGCACCTCCACGGCAAGAACTTGCTTGGTGTCGTGAAGGGCGAGCAGTTCGATTATCTGCACGATATGATCCAGGCACAGGAGTTCGTCAGGGCGAATGCTCGTGGTTTCCAGGACGGCAACATGGCCGGCATGATGATTTCCCTGACGGCTGTGCTGCAATGGATGCCCGAGAGCCCCTTGAAGACGAAGGTTGTAAATGAGGTGTTGAGTGGACAGAAGAAGATGTGCTTGGCCATTACCGAGGCCTTTGCTGGTACGTTATAAACTGCCATTCTCACCCGGAAGATTGTTTACCAACGTTTGCTTAGGTTCCGACGTCGCCGGTCTCCGCACGACCGCTGAGAAGACGCCCGACGGCAAGCACTACATTGTCCGCGGAACCAAGAAGTGGATCACCAACGGCATGTTCTCCGACTACTTCGTTACTGGATGTCGGACTCCCAAGGGCTTCTCCGTGCTCCTGATCCCCAGACAGGAGGGAGTCGATACCAAACTCATCAAGACTAGCTACTCCACCACTGCTGGAACGGCCTTCATCGAGTTCAGCAACGTCAAGGTTCCCGTTGGAAACCTGCTTGGCGAGGAGGACAAGGGTTTCATCGTCATCCTTTCGAACTTTAATCATGAGAGATTTATGATGTGTTGTGGCGTCATTCGTCAGTCTCGCACTATCGTCGAGGAATGCCTCAAGTGGTGCAACCAGCGCATCGTCTTCGGCAAGAAGCTCATTGAGCAGCCGGCCATCCGCCAGAAGCTCGCAAAGATGATCTCCCACGTCGAGGCCAATCAGGCTTGGCTGGAGTCCATCGCCTACCAGATGAACAACATGACGTACGCACAGCAGTCGAAGCACCTCGGCGGCCCGATCGGTCTTCTGAAGTCCTTCGCTACGCGCTCCGCGCATGAGATCGCTGACGAGGCCGTCAACATCTTTGGTGGAAGAGGCCTCACTCAGTCCGGTATGGGCAAGGTGGTGGAACAGTTCCATCGGACGTACAAGTTCGACGCCATTCTCGGTGGTACCGAGGAGATTCTTGCAGACCTCGGCGTGCGGCAAGCGATGAAGGAGATGCCCAAGTGCATGTTGTAGATTTGGAACGCTTCATATAATGTAGTATATTCTCAACATTGACGTTTGACTTCCACAGTTCAAGAAGTGACGGAATTCGTAGCGTTTCGGGTTCCCTCAGTAATCCCCCTGAGAAATTGCATAAGCAGCATCTGTAAGGAAGCCATGCCCAACTGGGCATTTCTGACGCACCCGTGCGCCAAGCCGTTCCGCTTCCTTGGTCCCACTCGCAACAACAATCCAGCTTTCCAGCCGAATGCGAATGATAGACTGGACCGCTTCGCCTTCCAGTCCAACGGGCGACGATGCATTTGCTGGCCGGACCGCGACTATACCATGGCGTTTGAGGTGTCGTACAACCTCGAGAATGAACAGCAGTTCTGGGATGGTGGGTTCATCTGCGCGACCCCGCGGCAATCCACATTCGGCACTAACAGTGAATTCACAGAACTTGACGACATCGTTTCAACGCGCTGCGACGACGATGAGCTGACAGACAACGCCCTCCGTGCCTATTTAAACGTTACCACAAGCTACAGAGGTCCGCCTACTCTCTCGAATTCGCGCCGCCTGACTGACCCACACCCAGACGAGTATCTGCAAACGGACTACAGCCTGATAAAATGCGTTCACCAATTCACACATGGAGAGCTCTTCACGGCTCACAAAGAATATGTGCGGCGCCAGATGATCTACTGTCTATTGCAGGTATCGAGCGTCTTCGGAGAACCGCCATGTGACACAGACTGATTTGGTGGTAGGAGGACGATAATCCCACTCTCCTGATGCTGGCATCCTTCCTGCTATACGATGGCCGAGATAGCGGAAACGATGTCACTTTTGAGATGATGCAGACGGAGGGCGTTTTTGCTCGGCTAGTGGAACTGATCCGGAACACTGCTGTACAGGAAGACACGCGGCTGCATCGAATGCTGCTGGAGCTTATGTACGAGTCTTCGCGTATTCAACGGCTCAGTATAGAAGACTTGGGTATGTTGTCATCGGGCCCACAACTCCACACGGCGCCGTGTTCCAGCTGACTTCAATCAGTGTCTGTTGATGATGCTTTCGTTCTTTACCTCCTGGACATCATAGAAGGTGTCAGTGATGATCCTAACGACCCTTACCATTACACTGTGATACGCGTTCTGGTATGTCTCGTCTGTAATTGCAAGATCATATCCCCACTGACGTCGATGGCAAGCTGGTTCTGAACGAACAGTATCTTGTAGTCTCCACTACTCAACAGGCAAACGGGTTTGCGGGTGTAACAAATCGCGTAATCAAGGCTTTATCTACGCATGGCACGACATATAAGACCTTTGGATGCAATTTGATTCTTCTGCTCAACAGAGAATCAGAGACTTCCCTCCAGCTATTGATCCTTAAAGCACTATACCTCCTCTTCGGCAACCCCTCCACGGCTGAATACTTCTACACCAACGACCTTCATGTCCTAATCGACGTAATCCTCCGCAACTTGATAGACCTGCCGTCAGACTCGCCGGCTACCAACGCTCTTAGACACACCTACCTTCGCGTCTTGCACCCGCTCCTGGCCAACAGTCAAGTCAGCAAACCGCCACACTACAAACGGGACGAGATCCTGAGGCTCCTGCATCTCCTTGTCACCAGTGGGACCCACTTTGCACCTGTTGATCAGACGACGCAGCGGCTCGTGTTACGTTGCACATCGGTGCAATGGCTGCAACCTCCGCCGACCGAGTCGAAGGATCCAGCTGGGGCCGGGAATGACGCAGCGTTGGACCAGTCCCCCATCGATGGAAGTCGGGAGCACGCCAAAGGAGAAGGCCAGCGAGACTTCGCACGTCGTGCTTTAGGGATGAGCGTGAAGGGCGGCGGGGAAAGTCTGAGCAGCGTCCTCGAGGTCGCAGCACACACTGAAAAGCCTGGTGTCCAAACGCCAAGCCGAGCGAAGGAGCTTGTTCAATGACTGCGACCTATGTTGATCATCCATATACCCCTTCTGGACAATTCCTGGTGTTCCGGTTCTTCCTCGTATCTAGGAGCGTGTATTTCTGGTAGCGCATCTGCAGTGAGCCTACCTGGGGCATTCCCACGTTTGTTTTTTCCACCTACGCTGGTGTGTTAACTCATTGCATGGTCGGCGTATCGGTACGCGGCCATGAGTACCTTTTCGTCTTCCTCTCCTGTTTTGCAGTTCTGACCTACAGACCGTGCCTGTTTCTGCTCAGTCATGTCTTCCTTTTGGCATTGCATGGTCTCTGTTGCATATATTATCCCTTAATCAAACCTATCACTCCTTCTCATCTTACATTCCTTGTCACAGTTACTATTATCCAGACGAAGTACTTACGAAGTTTGCGACATGAGGACTGTTGATCACAACCAAGGAATTCCCAGACCGCCCACAGGCCTTCTGTACCGGATGAATCACCCGGCAATGCGCGAATTTCCTGTCCGTGAGTGATTTTCAGAGAGACGATACCACGGAGTACCTGTGAGAGAGTTACGCCAAGGTTCTTATCAGTGTGTACGCGATTCTTTTTGTCGTCGGACCTGGGGTAATAAGAGACGCATCTCATATATACCAGAGGCTCGGGGCGCGACAAGGACTCCGAGCGGGATATCTTGGCATCCGCTCCTCCCCACGCCTAACGGCCAAGAACGGACATTGGCTTGTCCCGGCTTTGGCATCGCTTGATTTCCTTGGAGCTTAGGGAGATGCGCGCTTTGCATGAGATAGCGCCAACCGATCCAGACAGCCTCACATACCTTACTTCCACCCGGGAAGTAGAAGCCATCACCGCCCAAAGAGTAAAGAGCTGGAATGTTGGATGGATGAGAAGGCTACTCGGTAGGAGACACCAGGTGGCACACGACTCATCGTTCTAAAGCACAAGAAGCCGAGCTGATATCGATGCTTGTCAAAGACCATTTGTATCGATCTCATCTACTATTTGGCTGTCCACGCTCTCCCCAGAGATCCAAGATTCTCGAAGGGCACTGTGTCGCTGACACATGGATACTATGTGCGCTTATTCCTTCCACAATCATCGAAAACGAGGTTATACCATCGCCACGACGGAGAGAGAATGTCCGTCCCGCTGATAAGGATAGAGGGATTTGATTTCGATCCCCCAAATCCCATAATTTACTCCAGACTCTGTTGCCCCTGCTCCCCAGTACGGCTGAGGCGGAGTCGTCAATACGGGCGGGATATGGGACACATGCCCAGCTTCTTATCGGGCGGATTATTGCATTCATGCAACGGCTCACATGTCTTTCTCCTCTCACCCTCCTTTCAAGGCGCCAGTGATTCCGTGCGCCTCTCGGTGTTTGCACTGCCTTCCTCAATACAGAAGGCTCAATACCGAACGAGTGCCGACGGGTGGTTTTTCCTGGATCGGAGGAGACGAATCAATTTCAGCTATGGCTTTCATATGGACGAAATACACCGATAACTAGCAAGGTACTCCTCTACGCAATGGGGATAGGGTGTGTGGTATACGCTGCGTTGGAAGCCTTTTTGAACGCCTGCGTGTATTATGGCTGTTGCAAACTATTGCTGGCAGGCAATTCAACTTGGCCAATATAGCAACCCCACTACTGTATGCGCACACAGCTCGGCGTCAGCTGGAGGTCTCGTCCATCCCAAGGGTCCTATATTCGTGTAAGCTGGCCAGATGAAGGAACCAGTGTGCCTTGAAATTCGGAAGGTCCAACTAATCCAATTGAGGGCCAGTCAGCATGCATACAATTTGGTCGTTGTTTGGGACTCATATAGCGTTCTCTCGTCCGTGCTCCTGGCCGTCGAAGGGGGAGCGTAAGAGACTGATCGAGGATTGCGTTCAGGTGCCTCTGGTCTCCCTAGACCGTGTTACGTGGGATACAGTGCGAGCACATGGCAAAACTCCGTCCACCAGGCTTCTGAGATCCATCGGGGGCAAGAATCAGTCCACTTTCCCGACAACCCAATTCCACTCTTCCTAACTGCCGCATCCGTCAGAGACGGAAGCCGGTATATGGGCATGCCGAGCTTATTGGCCGAACCAGAGCATGCAAGAAGCCTTTTCGTTTGGGAACGGAGCAAGGAAGATTCCAAGCTCCCGTCTTCTCGCCATATGGACGGAAAAAATCAGGCCACTTTCCCGACTCTCCTCCGTGCCCCTTCCTGCGGAAGTAGATCTCCAGATAGGCGGCTGATTAGGCTATCTACTTGTATACAGCGTCTAGAAAATTCTCCGCATTTCATTTCCGACTCCGAAAACAGCACTGTGGTAACGATGGATGTCCTATTACGCCACGTTGTTGATATCATCAGCTCTTCTCACTCCTCTTGGACCGGCAGGGAGTACATTGACTACGATGTCCGTTGCCGATTGTGTGCTCATGGGCTGCTCCGGGCACGACAAAATGAGCGCCTCAGTCGTCATACTCAATGTATTGCGGGTCTTCCCGTGCCCAATATGTTGCCCACTGCATGGAATCTACTGCCTTCTCAGTTTACCATAATGGATATATTTAAATGGCTTGATGGTTCTTGGTCTTCAACTACCAGTCTGCTGCAGCCCAACCCTTCTGATGACACGGATCCTCTCCCATGCAATGGATCTTCTCCCATGCAATGGATCTTCTCCCATGCAACGCCGCACCCGCTGGAGCCCGTGCGCCTCCCGAGGGTCCTCTTGTATGTGGGTACAGCCTTGGTACGTCTTGGTATGCGAGATGGGACAGGTTGGCGATCCGCGACTTTCCAGGTCTTCCGGTCTTCTCCAGTGTTCCTTCCGACTGATTCACTTTGAGGCAGATACAGTCTATGGCTACCCTCAAGGCCATTCCATGCCCTCCCCCTTCTACAGTAGCCATCTTTGCGTGGGAAGATACACGCCTTCCTACTGCATACACCTTCCTACCGGTTATCGTGGAGAGAAGGACTGCATGCCAAACCTCCGTCACGTATATCACAATATCACACAGCCACTTTCTCCAGGGCCTTAGAGAAACACCGCGCTTTTATTACGCTGGGGTATGAGTGGACTCGTCACTTCCTCATGCTCAATCAATCCTAACCCACACCAACTGCATGCAGCATGCCAGCCCTGTGAGTGACAGGGCAAGCAACTCACTGGAACAGACCCTGCCAGCACAGAGATCAAGGTAACAGGGACGAACGGGAATGGGCTCCCAAGACGGACTTCTTCCCGACTCTGCCTCTCCTCGTTTCGTGACTCCAACAGACTTCCCGCTTCTGTATGTACCTCGATCGGTATACGTGGAAGATGCATGCGCATATCTGCCCATCTGCAGTGCCGGAAGGCCCGGAAGCCAAGGATGCAGGAGTCATAGCCTCATACCCGATCGTGCGATCGTGCACATGGTCACGGAATTCGATTCGACGTCTGGGGTATTCTCGGCCTATCGGCCATTTCACAATGCTCGAAGGTCTGTCCCTTGCTTGCACGCCCAATCGGCCACATATGTACGTGCATACGTCATTATAGAAGTCATCTACCAGCCCCTTGTGTCCGAGAAATGACAAAACGGTCGAGGTCTGGTGGTGCATGAGAGCAGATTCGAGACTGTGAGGCATGGAGAATGAGGTTTGGGCGGCTGAAATAGACGGAGTGGCGTTGAGGCGCTAGGGGAAGCGATGTGTTGTCCTTTTGGATCGTGAGAGGAGGCCGGGATTCTGTATAGAGATAGAGAGAAGGAGAGAGTATGGTGTGTGTGATGCGTGCATGTGCGTGCAAGAGGGTCGAATGAGTATGGATGTTCTCAGCGCACCTTGAGGTATCGTGACAATGAACAACTAACGGAGATAAACTACGCTCCTTCAAATAATCGCTCCTTTTCATGAAGGCTTTCTGAATACAGATTAGGTAGCCTGTACTAACCTTTACTCTCCTCTTTCATCGCCCTTCGAGGTCATGCAGCCATCATGTGAAAAACATGCATCTACAATGGATACAATGATTCAGCTTCGTTTGAATCTCAACACCCAGATACTCATCACAGTGATTCATTCCGCTGATGCTCAACCTAGCCCTACTCGAGTGAAGGAGGGAGGGAGCACCTTGCGCATCTAATCGCTCCTTCATAGCAATAACATGTTCATCCGCTTCATGTGAAGCAGAAAAATGGTAAATGAAAAGCCGAGAGCAGGCGAACCAGTTTTGCTTGTGAGGTCAAGTGAAGGGGACAGAGATAGAGAGACGTGGAAATGGGAGACGTGGAAAAGGATGGGAAACTTGCAGATGTCCAGAATCCTCAATATAGACGAGACAGAGACAACATTGCCAATCCCCATGCAACGTACGTAGTGTAATGAACCGATACGAATCTCCACTCCACATGCATGACCTGCTTAATGAATGGTCCGACCCATCAAACCACCTTCTCAGGCGCCACAGCCTTCGGAAACCTCTCTAGGGTGTCTACCGTTTGATCGGAAATCTGCCTGGAGGGGACACAAGTGGGTGCCTGCGAGTGCGAAACCCCGCCTCCATCGGCGACGCGAATCATACCCTCTATATCAGTATTCGGATCGTTACCCTTCTCTTTGCCCGACGAGTCAGGACCGCGACCGCAACCGGTAGGGGTACGAGCAGCACGTCTTCCTAATGCGCGCGTAATCTTTGCACCCACTCTCTCCCCATCCGCGCACGGCAGATACCACCTCGCAACCAACATACACGCGGCCGACACCATTAAGTTCGCTCCGGCCCACATCTGCACAGTGATATACGTCGAGTACTGCGTGACAAGGTGGCCTGCAATGACGGGCCCCGCGAGCGAGGGTACAGCCGCGAAGGTATACATCATGCCGGTCCATTGCCCGAGTTTCGTGTGGCGATGATGCTGTGTCTCGGGCGTGTTGTACGTCCCCGCTAGGATATTCGCCATACTTGCTGGTGGAAGCCCGATAACGGTTCCGGATGTCATGCCGAAGAGGATGCAGAAAGCGATGGCAGCCGCCGTGGAGCCCGCTAGGCTCCAGAGAACGAGGACGAGCAGGGAAGACAGGATCTGGGCAACGATGTGCATGTTGAATTGACCTGTTCTATCGGAGAAGGCGGCCATGGTGAGGCGGCCGATGGTGGAGGCGCCGTTCATGCTGGTGAGGAGCCAGAAGGTTTGGAGGGGTTTGTTGTCGGATTGAACGATGTGGATGGGGACATGGGAGCCATTGCGGGTGCCGTAGCCGGACACTGCTGCCCACTGTACATACTGCGTTAGTGTCTGGATTCAGGGGAGTGGGGTAGAGGGACGTACCTCTTCAAGATTGAAGAAGACCGGGTAGAAACCGAAGAAGAGGAATGCCACGGCGATGGTGAACCAGATAAAGGCTTTATTGTTGATTGCATCGGGGTCAATCCAGGTCCTCAGCGCACGGTAGCTCTGTGGCTTAGGGTGGCTGTGGGCAGGGTTCGGTTGAGCGAATATCAGCGAGAAGAGAGAAGTGACCGCGACAAGAGTGGAGACCAAGCGAACAGCATTGTTGAAACCCATGCTTTCGATGAGGTAGCGCGTCATACTTGGGTATACAACGCCAGCGATGCTGGCGCCGCAGGCTACAAAGCCCACAGCAAGTCCCTTGCGGTTGGGGAACCAAGTTGCGGAAACTGACCATAGTTAGTGAGGCCGATGACTAGTGAAAGCTGAGGACGTACCTTGCGAGCTGGAGACAAAATAACAGGCCATACCCAGGCCAACTACAAACCCCTGAGTAAGCCATATATTGGCATAGTTGGCAAGGGCATTTTCATTTGTCGGATGCGCGACAGAGAGCATAAACATGCCAAATGGAACGAGGAAAGCACCCGTACCAATGACGTACCGGAAATGACCAGCATCCAGGAGTCGTCCTACGGGAGCAGAAAACAGGAGGACAAGGAAAGATTGGGTCGAACCAATGAGATTCAGCTCCAGTTGGTCCTGATCTCTCAAGGAGTGGCCGACGTAGTAAGAGGCAAAGGTCCCGTAGGCGTTGACCAGACCCCAGGAGTTGAACATGAGGAAGAAGCAACCAAGCCAACAGGTATATGCCTGCCACGATCGTGGCCAGCTGGGCTCCCGGAGCCGAGACTCCATCGAGGATGTCGTGGAGACATCTTCCATTGACCCGGTCTGGGTACTGGCGTTAGACATCGCAAGGTCCTCCCGTGAGCCTTTTTTGCTGCCTTTCTCGTTATAGATCCGCTCGCCCATAGCGTTCATGTTGGCCGTTCACGAAAAGATGTAGACGGGTTTGTGACACAAGCCCTGGCACTGAACAACAGTTTTTTTGAAACAAAAAGTTCTGAGATGTGAGCAAACTGTAAAAACGTGCGCAGATATCTTCGGGGTGAAATCAAGGGGGCTAGGCAGGAGAAACCTGGAGTTTAAGAATCCACCTCCAGGAATACCAAGATCTGGGGAAGGGGCATGGGAGTCAATTGATCGCAGGTCCTTTATCGACTCTCCATGAGACCGAACATGGGGTCTAGGATAAACCCGTAGCACAATTCGGTACATTTCTTTGCCATAGTGACGTGTAGACCAACCGTGTAATGACGAATTAAGATACCGGCTACACAAGCAACGCAAGGAAACATACCCAAGACAAGCCAAGATGGGAATCTGCACAATCAGGATTCTCGTATCTGCCAGTTTACAGGTGTGGTGTTTGCCTGTGCCCGGACGTCTCGTTAAGGCGTAAGCTGCCAAGGTAGCTGAAGTTGAAGGCCCGATGCGGTAGCATGCGGATGTGAGTGCAGTGGTATCCGAGTGGGCTTGGTATATTTCCACTCAGGTTTGAAGGTGTCCATGCAGCTATGGGCAATTTCGCTCCCAACGGCATACAGTTTGCCTCATGGTGAGTTCTCATCCATGCTGGGATCCGAGTGACCACAGTGAGGGAGAGTCTACGTACCTTCTGGAACCCCCATGTGGAGGATCTACATGTGATAAGCTGTGTATGGCGAGTTTTTAGTACTGCTGTTTCACAGACATGAGTACTCTTGCAGCCACAGTGCTTCATGTGTGGGCACGACCGCAAGCAGTTAGAATAGCGGAGCGGGACGCTCACCCGGCGGTCCTTGGCACAGAACAGCGGGAGGGTAGCGGCGGTAGGCTTGGTGATTGGGCGGTGATGGGGTGCATATCAAGATACAGGTTCCACCCGCCAAGAGGATGAGCACATTCCCGCCCAAGCCAACCATCCATGCGTCCGTCCTTGCGTCCTTGTACGCCGCGAACAGGACCGGAATGAGCGACCGTGCAACAGCCGTGGCGAACAGGAGTACCTCATGGACCAGATGAGCGAACTGCGGAGGCTGGCACGAGGTAAGCTTCTCCACAATCCGCAATTTCCCAGCAACACAACCAAGGCGGACGAACTAGATGGGTGAAACGAGAAAGGTAAGAGAGGGGAAAATCGCATTATTTAATGTGGGGAGGACCGTTGTACGAAGACTGGGCGGAGAGGGGCGGGCAGATTGTTCTGCATCGCTGAATCTGCCATGATCGGATCCAAGATGCAAGAGGCCGATGTTGCGAGAGGTTGCCCTTCGGGTTCGAGCACGTAAAACAGGTTGACGGACTTGGGCCTTTGTCCCAATGCAATAGCTCTTTAGCACAGCCTCATCTGCTCCTGAGGTTGAATAGAAAGTAGCTGATGGCTGGAGTAGTATCGAATGCTTGGCTAGATCTCTTGTAGAGTACAACGGTAGATACCCTAGTTGCCCCCGGGGCCAAGCGTTCCTGCATACACAGTAGATGAACCTCCGTAGGGTCCCCGGACTTTGTCGCTGGCACGCAGATAAGCGGCGAAAGGGCCAGCTGAGATCCGGCATGACGGGAAGAGGCTGAGAAGGATGATAATCTAGACGATGTTGTGAGCGGGTGCACAGACGGACCAGCTCCCTTCGTGTTGCTTCTGATAACGTCTGTTATCGATTTCTGTTCGCATCTATGACGAACGGTCACCTCCTGAAGGCCAGCCGATTGCGTCGGCCAAGTATAGCGGAATGCGTGGGGAATCGGTGAGAAGGGGACGTTGACGGTGGTTGAGGTCGCCCAACGGAAGGGTTGGCACGATATGTTGCCAAGAACGCTGGAACTCCCTTGCCTCTTCGGGACTTCGCTGACAACCTCACTGAACTCCCTCGACCCACCTGCAGCCAGCAAGCTTCGCCGTGCCCTCTCAGCGAAATCTTGGAAACTTGCGGCTCACAGTGTCATCATCGGGTGGGGATCATATCGGGGCGACCGTTATCTTGCCGAGAACGGAGGAATACGCGCTATCCCTCGCTTTCTCCAACTCATTTCTGAAGGCATCGATCGCGACCCAGGAAGTCAATGCTACAGCTATGCGATTTCCATAGCCATGGCCTACATCTCAGAGAATCTCCACCGTCCTGGAAACGCGAGCATGTGTGATTGACGTCAAGCTCATTATTCAGACACGCCGGGTCCCACACGAGTACCGACTGGCTGCCCGGTTGTCCACCGAGCATCTGGCACTGGATATATCGCATGTAGATATACATCCCACGAGACGGCGCCGATAAAGGAGCCAGTCTCACTCAGTTTCCCCCTTACCATTCTGGACACGCTTGGATATTGACCGTGCAGTAGAGATCTTTCAGAGCGGCGGAGAATCACCGATCAGACACGTATGCGCTTCACACATGACCGCCAGCTGCAGCTGCGTATACGGTAAACAGGACATCTCACTGTCAATATGTGGGACTGCTTGCCATCCGTAATCTGGAGGACGGGCCCTGCTGGCTTGGCGCAGCTTGCAGTGCCCATACCGTTTCCTTCCACGGGTATTTTGACCTCCTCTTGGGCATCAACACCTGCATCTTGCTCGACACCGGAACACCACGGAAGCCAATGGCTCCATTCAGGCAAAGCGGGAAGCCGTCATCGCAGCGGGTTGCTCTCAACACACTCCAGGGCTAAGCCGCTAGCTACATAAGGACCTGTCCTCACTGTAATGAGGAACAGCATCACTATCACGCGCCATAAGAGGGCAAAAAATGGTATCTGTGGATATCACGGTATATCACGCCAACCAAAAACCACACATAAAATGTGTCGCTTTGGTTTTGTGGCATAAACAATAACAAAATAGTGCAGAAGGAAAACAGAGTAGCAAAACTGAAAAGCAACCTGTTATATCTCTCAATCAGTCCCGTTTGCTGCTCTACTTGACATAACATGCTACAAATTTCAAACTACATGTGCTTTTTCGAGCTCCATGAACATAGCCTTATAGTAGGTTATGACAGATGACTATCAAAGATACCCGAAGTTACAATGTTGATGAGTCTCACCACCGCCCTCTCAGCTATCCTTTGGGGCACTATAACAATTACACAGTGCCCTTTGTCAAAAAACCGAAAGCACCATGGATTATCATTGGCGTCAATTCTCTAGCTTTCGCACCGAAGCAAACATGCACTCGAGAGAATCAGCCTTTTGGAAGTGAGAATAAGAAAGAGGAATGTGGGAAGAAAAGAGAGCGACACTACGAAACTGAAGCGGTTTATATACCTAATCCGGTGGCTGCGGGCGTTCGAAAGGCAACCGAATGAACTTCAAACACGGGTGCGTGTACAATATGGTTACCTTGTCACAAGAACTACAACTAAAAGCAGTTTTACGGAATGCCAGTATGAGGCGTTCTTCCGGTGTTGATAAAAATCACCGAGGGAGGGAACGACATTCCCACGTCTCCGGCCTTACCCCTCGCCCTAAAAATGAGGAGATACAAGAGGAGCTGAGCTTCATCCCCTGAGATGGTGGGAAGACGACGGCTTGTATTTTAGGGGTAACGAGAAAGAAGAAGGAAAGTTACGATGCTCGCATGCTTATACAGCTCTTGATGATGGTTATGATGATGATAAAGATTAGTCTCACCATACCCCATACCTAAACTTCTTCCAGCATCATCTCCATTGCGAGCCTCATCAAAGTCGTCATGGCATGTTGACCGGCAACAAAATTTTGGAACCGCCTCTCACCGAAACATGTTTCGCTCGTAGTTCAACTTTTCGGTACCACACCTCACGCGCTGAAGAAAAGTAAAGATTCAAGACTGGTAGGAGACCAGAAGAGGTTTATATATTGGCACCAGCTGCAGCCGACGGCTTACATGACGGTGTCTGTTTTTCTCTTTTGACGCACATGAACCCAATTTTCCTTCTTGAATCGGGAGCCTCGATGTGTTGGAAAACAGACCGCTCATGTAACCGCGTGCTCCCAGTACTAAGGAGGCAGCAGCTCCTGGACCGTAACGCAATAATGTGACACGGAGAACAATGATGTGGAGAGCAATAGCCTAGCGACATGAATACTATATCGCACAAGTCCCATACAGACACATCAATTTCCCCTGCCAATAGGAAGCTTGATAGACGCCGCCCTCTTTATACCAAGTCAATCCGAAGAAAGGGCATGCGAGAGAGCATAAAACAAACCGCCCTGTACACGCCGAAGATTGCCACACCACCCCCCAAGCAACGAGAGATAGACGCCGAACACCTCAATCAAAGCACCGCCGTGAACCCGAGCATATAATTCCTTACTGCTTCCAGCGCTCTACACCATCCTTCCAATCGGTCTAGGAGCCGACGGCCCGGCCATCGAGGGAAACAGCGGTTGCTGCATCTCCGCCATCTCGCGGATGCGCTTGATAAGATTACTGCACGGCCATTAGCATACCATACCGGTTGGTCAATCGAATCTGGATTTCTGCAAAAACGTCGGAAGAGAGGTAGGAAACGACAATTACTCACTTGACAGGCAACCCCAACCTCCGTTCTTCCCCACGCACAATTTCCACCTCCTTCTGCCGACCCCGTGCATGATCCTTCAGATGATCCGTGATCAAACTCCTCCCCAGGTCCGTACTCGCACCGTACACCTTCTGGCTACAGCCGTCGAAGTTGCAGATCCAGCTGTCACCGGGACCGTTGGGTGTGTATGTCGGTAAGGGGGTGGATATAACAGGTGGGAGAATGGGTGGAGATTTTACTGGGGCGTTTCTGGTACGCCATTGTAGGGGGAGGGGTTCTGCGGACTCCGTTTCTTCTTCATCTTGATTCTCTGATGGGGATGAGGGGAAGTCTTCTTCTGTTTCTTCTGTTTCTTGTTCCTCCTCGACTTCATCCTGTTCTAGCTCGTCCGGCTCGGGGGATGCTGTCAAGGCGCGCTTGCGGGGGTTCGTCTCTGCAGCTTCAGGAACATGTTTCCGCTTTCCTGGAGATAAAGCGTGTGTAGGCGTATCGATGGGCATATCGCTATCGCTGCCGGCAGCCACTTCTTCGCCTTCGGAAGCGCTCGCCATATTGGCGCTTGGGGCCTTGCCCTTCCCCTGATTGACGCCTTTACCTTTGCCCGCTATCCTGGTGGTCTTTGGTCGCAGTACTGACAGCCTTCCTACTTTCTTGTGCCGCGGTGGCCGTTTTGGCGTCTCAATCTCTTCTGAACCGGATGAATCCGATTCCAAGTCTTCTTTCAGACTGCTGTGATCTCTTCGTGTGCGCAGCTCGGTAGATTGTGCACGGCGCAAGTCCGCCGCCGAGAGTCTGTTTGCCGCTGCTAGTTCCTGGTAGATCGGTTCGTCTTGGAAATACTCTATGCTCTTCCGCTTCGGATGGTCCATCATGTATCGCAGGTTCGATGCGTAGGCGAAGAGTATATTTCTCGCCAGCTCGACGTCTTCCACCTCGTATCGCTTGACAATGAGTCTTGCTACTCTCTCTAGGTTGATCTGTCCGACTCGTATAGCTCCAAGATTCACTGCCTTTTGCATGAACTCAAACAGTGCTGCTGCTGCCCACCAGTTGTCATCCTTCTTAGGCGGTTGCGGTGCATTTGTTTCGGTTTTGGATCTCCTCCCAGTTCTCGCCGGTGGGGACGCAGCCCTAGATGACTTCTTCTCTTTCTCCTGGGCTTTTCCTTCTATCCGCGCCTTTACCTGCTCGAACTCTTTCTATCCCCTGTTAGCTGTTTCCAAGGAGCGCCTCCGGAGCGCCGGCTTACCGAATACACTCGCTTGTAGTACTGGCATAGCGGTGTATTGCTCCATCCAATCCCTTGCGCCTTGTTCAAAAAGCACATTATCAAGAATGCGCGGTGCTTGTGAAATATCCGCCGCGCCTCTTCCGTAGTGTTGCAGGCGAATCGCTCGTCTTCGGCATACTAATAGACGTTCACCGTTAGCACGCCTCCCGATGCTCAGTCTTTCGTAGTGTAAGACTCACCTCCTGCCAAATCAGCTGCGCACTCGGCCGTCCCCCCTTCTTGCGCGGCTCATTATATATGTCTGTCACAAAATACAATATCTCCACCGCCTGCACCATCCCGTCGTATATGTCCTTATAAGCCCTGCCAGGCCGTAGCTCATACCACCCCGCCGCTCCAAGCGCCCAAATTACCGTTTCCCCATCCTCGGTCTGCCCGTAGGAAAACCGCGTCACTTCCCGGATCACGATGTCGGTGGGTCGCAAAGGCTTCTTGACCACTACGAAATTGTCTCGTTAGCCATAGCGTAGCTCTGGCCGCTCAGACTCGAGAATCGCTCACAATACTTTGTCTGCGCGCGCTCCACCGAGTCCAGCCGTCCCTCCACCCTCAGCGGCGTATCCGCATACGCTTCCAGGAGACTCGCGTGCCTGCCTGGTCGCCCATTCTCGTAAACGACTTGCGCATTGCTAAGGATGTATATTTCGTATTCATCCTCGGATTTGTATAGCGAAGGGTCTAGTGGCTTGAGGACTGAGAGCTCGGGGACCAGACTGGCTGCGGGGGTGGGCATTTTCGTGCGGCGGAACGTGTAGGGCGTGTCGCATACTTTGGGCGAAGCTATGTATGTGAGAACGGAAGGAACGATGCGCTCGTGGAACAACACATGGGAGACGACGACAGCTCGTGAATATGTGAATGCGGGTCGCGTCGTGAAAGTGGGAACCGCGACTGTGGCTGACTGCTGTGGCGGTGCATTACCCGTTTACTCCGAGGTTCTGTTGGAAGTCACTTTGCGACATGTCAAATGAATGGCCACGCCCAAAAGGCATGTAAGAAGTCATTAGATAATCTATCTTCTTCCTCCGCCCAAGTAAGACTCTTAACGCCTTCCAAACCGCACTTCTAGATCCCATCCCGCACAAGTGTCTAAAGTACAATCCATGTGCAAAAACATCATGGAAAAGCGGAGAGCGGGTATGCACAGTTCCAAATAATGTACAAGAAGCTCCCGGCCATATCTTACTTATCTTACAGTCCGAGAAGGCGAGTCCGGCGGTAGGCGTAACCTTACAAAATCATGAACAGATGCTCCAATTTTGGCATTTACTCAAGGATGCGGGTGACAAGGCCGGTCGCGACGGTGCGGCCACCTTCACGCATGTTGAAGCGCTGGCCGGGTTCAACGACGTGCGGCTGGTGCAGCTCGCAGACCATCTCGACGTTGTCGCCGGGCATGACCTGCTTGTCCTTCTCCACACCCTCGGGCCAGCTCAGGTGTGCTGACTCGTCGGCAGTCCGGATGAACATCTGGGGACGGTAGTTCTCGCCGAAGCCCGTGTGACGGCCGCCTTCCTCCTTGGTCAGGACGTACATGGAGACCAGGAACTTCTTGCTGGCCTTGACGGTTCCGGGAATGGCAACAACCATACCGCGCTTGACGTCCTCACGCTTGACACCACGGAGAAGGAGACCAGAGTTGTCACCGGCGCGGGACTCGTCGCAGGACTTCTTGAAGGTCTCGATATCGGTGACCTTGGTCTTGATGGGGGCAACACCCTTTCCGACAAGCTCGACGTCAGAGTCCTTCTTCAGGACACCGCGCTCAACGCGACCAGAGCAGACGGTACCACGGCCGGCAATGGAGAAGACGTCCTCAACGGCCATGAGGAATGGCTTGTCGACATCACGCTCCGGAGTGGGAATCCAGGTATCGACAGCCTCAAGCAACTCATCGATCTTCTTCTCGCCAATCTCGGGTTCACGTCCCTCAATGGCGCACAGAGCCGAGCCCATGATGATAGGGGTCTCGTCACCCTCAAAACCGTACGAGGAGAGAAGTTCCCTCATTTCCATCTCGACAAGCTCCAACATCTCCTTGTCCTCAATGGCATCGACCTTGTTGACGAAGACGACGATTCTCTGGACACCGACCTGGCGGGCAAGCAGCAAGTGTTCTCTCGTCTGGGGCCTAGGAATTGTCAGCGTCGTTCTCTCTAGATAAGCTCAAGTGTCCCATACATCTGTCCGTCGGAAGCGGCAACGACAATGATGGCGCCATCCATGTTGGCAGCACCAGTAATCATGTTCTTGATGTAATCGGCGTGACCCGGGCAGTCGACGTGGGCATAGTGGCGTTTGTCGGTCGAGTACTCGATGTGTGCCGTGGCGATGGTGATACCACGCTTCCGCTCCTCAGGGGCCTTATCGATGGCGCCGTACTCCAGGTACTTGGCCATGCCCTTCTCTGCCTGGCGCTTCGTGATGGCGGCTGTGAGAGTGGTCTTTCCGTGATCGACGTGACCGATGGTACCTGAGACGCATCAGTCCTCGGAGGTTCGGAGGCAAGACAAGGTGCTCAAACCTACCAATGTTGACGTGCGGCTTGTCCCGCTGGAAAACGGCAGCATAATTCCTCACGCCGTTGACATATCTGCTGGTGCCCTGGGCTCCGAGAGCTTGCTGGACGGGGTTGCTGTACTTGTTGGATCGGAGGGCGAGGCGGCTGGTGCGCCACAATTGGCGAGAGAACATGCCCGACATGACTGCAGATCAAAGAGGGAAATGAAGAAACGAAAATGAGGGAATTGGAATTGGAGATGGGATGTCCGTCGAGATGGTGGTGGTCCGGCGCGCTGCCCCAACATAAAAGTTTACGCCAAGCCTCCGCGGCGTCGCGATGCACGTGATGAGAACTATTAGTATGCACCCAGTGAACTGCTGCTGGTTAACAACAAGAAGGATCCTACACTTGAGAATTTGTAGCAATTGGACTGCTGTTTACTTCCCTTGGTGTTCTGTTTCGCCCTTCTTTTGTCTCTATGCTACCTTGCAAGAAAGCCGTGCGCGCTCCGTCAGTAAATACCCAAACAGGCTAGTCTCTCACATTTTCCAGCCAGGACCACCGCAAGCTTGAGAAGCAAGAACAACAACGTCAACGGCGGAGGAGACTATCCGGGACCCATTCTACAAGGATTTTCGGCGTTCCTTCATTTTCAATCCCTCAATCCAACACCTTTCCACTGCCAATTGACCTACCACAGCACCTCCGCGGTGTCTCCATCGCTCTGCTTCGGATACCCGAGGTTGGCACAGACAATCCATTCCGACGACCTCACATCACCCACACCTCACTCCGCTTCCCTCCCACATGTCTCTCCGTACCGCAATCAGACGCACATCTCCGCCGCTGAGCTGGGTCTCGCGGACACCTACCACAGCGATAATGCCCCTCCGCGCAAAGATCGCGAATTCCGCCTGGATGACCGGCAGCCGGGCTGTAAGCATTACCTCCCCCACTCCTCTCTTTAAACCATATTCACCAATCCCTTATGCAGTACTCCACTCCCACAGAAAACATCCTGGCGCCCCAGCCCGAAGACGAACCCGACGATGTCCTCTTCACCACCAACTCGGGCGTCCGCAGCATCGAGCTGAACAGACCCAAGAAGCTCAACTCCCTGAACGGCAGCATGGCACGTAAAATCATTCCCCGCCTACAGGAATGGTCGCGCTCCGAGCTCGCCGGCGTGGTCGTCATCAAGGGCGCAGGCCGCGCATTTTGCGCTGGCGGAGATGTCGCGGCGCTCGCGCTGTGGAACAAGACGGGGAAGGAGGGACAACAGAAGTCGGCAGACTACTTCGGACTCGAATACAAACTCGACCACCTGATCGCTACGTACTCGAAACCCTATGTCGCCTTCATGGACGGCATCACCATGGGCGGCGGCGTTGGCCTGAGCATCCACGCTCCCTTCCGCATCGCGACTGAGAACACCCTCTTTGCCATGCCCGAGACCACCATTGGCTTCTTCCCCGACGTCGGCGCCTCCTTCTTCCTCCCCCGCATGGAGGGCGCGCTGGGTACATACCTGGCGCTCACGTCCGAGCAGCTGAAAGGGGTAGACGTCTTCTACCACGGCGTAGCCACGCACTACATCCACTCATCCTCTCTCCCGGCGCTCGAAACCCGCCTCGGCGAACTCCAATTCCCAGACTACATGTCCCTGCAGAAGCGCTTCAAAATCATCAACTCCACCATCGAAGAGTACGCCAGCGGCCTCCCCTCCCCGCGCCCCGCCATCTCCGGTGAACTCCGCCGCACCATCGACTCCATCTTCCACAAAGACCAAACCTCCATCGCATCCATCCTCTCCGCCCTCGAATCCGCCAAATCCTCAGATAAATCCTCCCAGGAGATCAAGGCCTGGGCAGACAAGACCATCAAGACGCTTCACACCCGCTCCCCGACCGCCGTTGCAGTGACCCTGCACCAGATGCGCGTCGGCCGTGAGTGGAGCATCGCGCAGACGTTCCAGCGCGAATACGACATCGCGGCGCATTTTATGCAGCACCCGGATTTCGTCGAGGGCGTGACTGCACGGTTGATTGAGCGCAAGAAGGAGAGGCCAAATTGGCAGCCGAATACCCTGGAGGAGGTCAAAGATAGCGACGTGGCCGAGTTCTTTAAGCAGAGGACGCAGTTGCCGTTGATTAGTGACAAGGATTATAAGGAGTATCCGCATCAGTGGATTGGGTTGCCCAGGGAGGACGAGATTTTGAGGGAGGCTGCCGGGAGGAAGAGCGAGGAGGTGGCGAATGTGTTGTTGGAGAAGTACGAGGGGAAGCAGGGCGTGAGGGAGAAGGTGGCGGAGGTGTTGGAGAGGTATGGACAATAGATACTTCGAAGGAGTTGGGTAGTGGATGTAAGTTTGGAGTGTAGAAATAGAAGGACAGCCACATTTTCAATATGTATATATTGATTGCTATGCTATGACGGTCTCCACGGGAGTGAACTTGCACTCTGCGAAGGAATGAAAATGATAATTATCTTACTCTATTCGCAATGGTATATCTCCCACGTCTCTCATCCTCACTTCCCTCCTTCCCTCCTCCCCTCACCTCCCCCGTCCCCCTTTCAACTGCGCCGCCAACCTCTCCAGTTCCGCCTGCGCCCCCGCCCCAGCCCTCTCCCTCACCCACTCCAACAATCCCCCATCCTTCGCCCTAACCGCCTCCTCGCCCGCCTTAACCACAAGCCCACACCGAACCCACATCTCGACCCTCTCCTTCGCGCTCGCCCCCGTACACTTGGGCACAAACAACGCCGCAACGCGCGAATTCCCCGCTCCCAGGATCTCATTGACGTAGTTCTCCCAGCCAATCGGGCTCTTCTTCGTCTTGTTGGCAATCTCCTCGAGCTCGCTCCAGTGGCGGGCAGCGACGAGGGCGCGCAGGCGAAGCCAGGCGAATTGCTTGTCCGGGATGCGGAATTCGGACTGCACTTTTGCGGCGCGCTTGGTGTGGCCGGATTTGAGGAGGGTGAAGATGGTGGCGTGGGCGGAGAGGCCGACGTACGAGGCTGGATGGCTGGATGGGCCGGGCGAAGGGGGACCGGGGGCAGGACCTGAGGGTGAGAGGCCGAGATCTTTGTCGAATTGCTCTTGGAGTTTGAGAAGCTTGATGGCGTCGTCGATGTGCGTGCGGTGGGTGGCGTGTGTTTTGCTGTCGGCGAGGTATTTGGATGCGAGGTGCAGTTTGTCGGTTGCGGAGGAGACGTCTGGTTGGGAGAGGGCTTCGGAGATGAGGAGGTTGGCGCCATCGAGGCGACGGTCGTCTTGGTAGTAGAGATCTTTGAGGAGGTCGCGGTCAGAATCCCAGGCAGAGGACTCGACGAGCGCGGTGGCTACGGGCCGCGAATTGATAACGCGGAAGAAGGACGCCAGAGGGAGCTTCTTGCGGATGTGGAGGAGCACGTGGAAGATGAGATCTGGGTCTCCAGACTCAATAGCCTTGTCCAACGCGATGGTGTCTTCTTTCATGTCGAGCAGAAGGGGGACCTGCTTTCCTGCGCGAGGCTCATAGTTCAGCAGTTCTGTCGCGAGCGCTACACGCCCTTCGTCGTACGCCGCTCTCGCTATCTGCTCGAACGAGACACCACGTTTGCCGTAGACTTTCTTCACTATGAGTTGCGCTGTTGTGGCTTCATCGGCAGTGGAATGCCGCACTTTGGCCACTGCCCAATGCTCGTGGATCTTCGAGACTGGAAGGTGGAGATACTCGGATATTCGTAAAGCAAGGAGATACTCATGTCGATTTGTCAACCTTGCGATTAGATTTTCTGGCGTAAGTCTCTTGAATTGATCGTATGAAAGGGGCAGCCCGACTTCGTAGAAGCGTACAGCGTTGAGTACGCGTAACGTTTCGCACATGTCGACGAAATCGTCAGAGCTGTAGAGATCAAGGACCGATTTGCCGTATGAGGCTGCCTTCATTAGTGCCTTCTGCCAGTGTATGGTATATTCATGGCCAGCAGCCTTCACGCAGGTGTCCACTGCTTCTGCCAGCGATGGTCGGATCAGTTGTATGAGGTCATCTGCCTTTGGTGACTTCTGTTCCAAAAGTGACGATGCCTCCAGCAAATGCGCAGCAGGAGAGTCAGAGCCTAACCGGAATACCGACACCGTCTCATCGGGCACTTTCTGTAGATACTCGCATACATCGTTCGTCAGGAGGCGTAGTCCATCCACGTCCGGAAGCAAATGCACAAAAGCATCGTAGTAGAACTTGGTCGCCGTGCTCTTGGGTCCGATGAGATGGACCTCATCCTCCCACGCCAACGCTACGGCATTGCTACCGCACCATTGCATGTCCTTTGGTACCGTCTTTGCCCGCGAGTTGTACTCGGACAGTTTCTCTGACCAGTCCCCGCTCACAACCCAGACTTTCCCGTCGTCGGTATAAAATGCTAGGAACTCGCCTCTGGGGGATACACTGATATGACGGAATGGTCCGGCCGTGAAGTTGCGGTCTTCAGCATCCGTGGCGTCGACCACATATAGCGTGGTCCCGATCGCTAATATGACCTCCACAGATCTTGAAAGCGAGTATGCAGGTGGTATGATAGCCCATGAAACGATAGGATCTGCTGGGGGAATAGCGAGGAGCTTCGGTCGGGGTTCGTCGTAGCGGGACACAGATATGAGATGGTTGTTGCCGAGGAGGGCTACGAAGCCTGTGGAATAGAACTTGCATGATACGACACCATGCTCATCTGCTCCCTAAGAACATGTCAGTATATGCTTTTCAGAATAGCTCCTGCGCACTCGTACATGGCCGAGGGAGAACGGGACAAAGTCGCCTTGGAGATCATAGTAACATCGGACGGCCCCGTCTTCTGTGACCACGAGCAGCTTCTCGTCTTCAGACCACCCTATGCCCTTTATTGTGCCCTTTTCCCACTGCGCCTGTCAGTTCCTCTGCTCTCTACCTCGTCTTGCATGTCCTACTGTGATGCGCCGAATCAGCTTCCCCGCGCAGCTGTAGATATCGATGCTCGATTTTGAAGCTTGCCCACTCCGATATGCATGCACCTTTCCTTCATCCCGGTATATAGCTAAACTGTGTAAGCGAAATTCCCCGGGATCTCTGCATCTGAAGCATACCTACAGCGCCGCTACCAAGAGCCCCCACCACAAGGCACTTGTCGAGCTCAAGATCGGGGTCAAAGACGCCTGTGTAGAGCTGGACTTTGCGGTAGAACTTGTCGCCGACCTTCTCCCAGTTGGCTGTCGGCTTGGACATGTTCAGTGAGGCGGCTACATGGAGTGCGCGTGCGCGAGGACGTTGGATATGAAGCCTAGGTTCAAGGTGAGGTTGATGTCAACCAGGAATGGCCCGTGCTTTAAGCTGTCGGTAGCTAAATCAATACTGTGTCTACGACCCTAGGCCGACACTCCACCAACAACGTCTATCAAGAGTGGTGGGACTTCTTTTTATTATACTATGTACCTCCTTTGGTAGCGATTGCGGAGAAATAAAGGAAAACGAACACCCCGAACCATGACGCCGTCGCTCAATGCATTCGTAAGCCGCTGTGTTCAGTCTCATGAAGAATAGACAGTGGAAATCCAAAAACCAAACCCCTGCGTCGACCTTCTATCCCGGAGAGTCCGAGTGATCGCGTTACCCTCATATCGTTGTTTCAATTGACGGCCAGCTCGCCCAGAATGTCGCGAGGTCTTGTGCCAAATCTTTCGACGTCACTTCCAACTTTTTTCCTGAACAGTCCGAGATCCTTCAGGAACTCCTGGGCCTCATTTTGCAACTCGAGGGCAAACTCGTCGCCGCCGTCATCGTAGCCAGAGTCTGGATCAGAGTCAACACTTCCATCATCACTCCCATCCTCCTCCTCGCCATTGGGGAAGGAGTTCTCGTTACCACCCAGAACGCCACTCTCCGCCAGATAACCGAACTCGCCCTGATCCAAGTCCGGTGTTGTCATGTCCTGAGGTGGAGGTAAGATGATGGGGTTCTTCAGTTCGCCCAGAGCGAGGGCGAGATGGCGACGCAATGCTTCGATCTCACCCCGAAGGGCTGCATTGGCGGGCCGTAGCTCCTCCACCTCGCTCGTGAGGGCCTTGATTTTGCACTCGGAGACCTGACGGTTCTCCTCCATGAGGCGCTGCATCATGGCGACTTGGCGTTGGTACTCTTCCAGCTCGTTGGCCTCCTCACGCTTGCGCTGACTTGCTGCGTTGACCGAGACCTGAAGTGAACGGATCTGTTCAGCCATCTCGCGGATTTGAGCATCGCGCTGCGCCGAAGACATGCAGTCTTGGTTGACAGAAGCACGCGTACGGATACGCTTGGCTTGATCCGCATATCGGAGGGTGGAAAGCGTTTCTTCATAATCCGAGGGCGCAATGCATGCGACCATTGCGGTTTTGCTGTTGCCACCCAGACTGTCCTTCAATAGCCAAGTGAGCACCGAGTCGCGGTACGGCACAATATCTCGCGGTCTTCTCCCTTTGCCATGACGACGAGGATCAGCAAGCGCAGCAATGACACGACCCAGTGTTGTCAGCGACTTGTTGATCTGGCCGCCTTCCTTCAGGCGCTGCCCCGTGGCCTCCGTAGACTTGGCTCGCTCGGACCCCGCGAGGTCAACAAGGCGCATACGAGCAGTCCTTTCGATGGTCTGGTCGGATAAGAGGGAATGCTGGATTTGCTTGAGGCGGATGGTGAAGACAGCGTGTGAGCGGGAAGAGGTATCGTTCATCTTGGTTGAGGCGACTGTCCGGCTCTGCACAAGTGTCAGGCACGCCTTATTCTCCATGGAGGGAGTATACAAACCTGGTCACCGAGCTTCATCAAGCGCTCCACGTCCGCATAGCTTTTGACTTCGGCTTCCGTCAGACCCTGCACGTACACACCTTCTGTCTGAGACTCGCGGATCTTGAGATAGACGGGCGGGTTGGTTCGAGGCTGCAGGAGGTCCCGGACATGCTCATTGTATACTTCGAAGTAGGAGACATGGACGTGATAGTTCGTATTCGGCTGGGGATCCTGATGGATGCGCTCGAACAGTTCGACACAGGTGCGTGGGATGAGTCCGGGTTGATCGGGCGTGCCCATCATTGTGTAACTCTTCCCGGATCCTGTCTGACCGTATGCAAATATGCATGTGTGATAGCCCTCGAAGTTGTGGTCGAGGAATTCCTCTGCGAAGGAACGATATACGTCTTCCTGATGAGCGTAGTGGGGGTCTGCCTCGTCATGCGACCAGAAAGACTTGTCGAATGTGAATTCTTTGTCCTCGAGAACCCTTCTCGTATTGGAGTTATCGTCATCATCCGTAGGCGCGAGGAGGATTGTCTTCTGCGTCGCAGGGTCCATGCGAATGAGGCATTGTGCGCCCTTGTCGCGTTCTGTCATGGATTAGACTAGACGCCCAGAAAGCTTCAGGGAAAATAGCAAATCTCACCCCTCTTCAAGAAGGCTCTACACCGCACCACGACCTTGACATTTCCCGGATCATCAACACCGGCCGACGGCGCCATCATGGGCAGCGGCTCGCTTGCCCTCAGCGACGGCGCGGAGGCGGAAGTATTGTGAAGGCTCGCGTACAGACGCGGGTCCATTGTGTGTTCGAGCAGCAAACAAATGTCGTCGTACAGTTGAAGTGCCCGGAGACGGTTGAAATGGTGCATCGAGAGGCCGGGCCTGTGGGGAGGTTGATTGGGGTATTGCTTCTCACTGCGCACAGGCGCGGCCTTGCCTAAACCAGCAAAATGTAAACAGGGAGCCAGAGCTCCGTTGCCGAGGAACAGCCGTGCGCTAGTCTCGCCCCACCAATATTTCACAACGTGGACACGTCCAACAACACTTGGGACGATGAATTCTCCACGGCGACAAGACGTGGACGCGATTGATTGATTGATCGGGGAAGTGAAGGAAAAAAGACGATGAGGCCTGGCACGATCGATTCGGACGCACATTCTTAGCAGCCATCTTTCCATCACGCAGCATTCCTCCTGGCTGGCGCTTATGCGAGACAACAGCAGATCGATTTTCGTCAGCGCACGTGATCATCGATATCTGATCCACTGAGTTCCTCTTTACAAACACAGAGGAACGTTTGATAGCGTATTAGCTGAAGATGGAACAGAATACACCTCGCAATGTGAGCCTTCTCAGCAGTCTCATATCCACTGCCGAGTTTTCAGAGTCCGACCTCATCTTGAGCGCATTCGACGACGCTTCCAAGCTTGCCTGTTTCGAGCAGTTCTGGGCTCACCTTCAATCAACCGGAGACAATCATCAGTTCGACGCCCTCAGACTATGCATTAGGTTACTTCCCCAAGGAGACCAAGTAAGTCCCTAAGTAAGTCGTTCTTGTCTCTTCACCCTTCAACGCGAGCATCACAAATCCTTCAGAGGCGGTCCTGCTGACTGTCGCTTCAGGATGATGCTGCATACGTGAAGCTCTCCGATTTCATCTTGTCTACCATATCGAAGGCTTCCGCCCAAACTGAGCAACTGTATAAGCTTTCCGGATTGTGCCTTGGCAACTCTCGCCTTTCGGTTCACGTGTGTCGCAGCATCCTCGACTTCCTCTCCACCGTCATTAGAGCTACCCCTGCGGATTTCCAGGACCATGTTCATCAGGAGCTTGAAACAGCTCAGGAACAGCAAACCACTAAAGCTGTAGCGTATTTGAACTTTCTGAAGTGCTCGTATTGGCATCCTCCCGATCAATATCACCACCTGACACCGGACTCTGTTTACGTTCTCTGTCAATGCATCGGCGTAGAAGGGTTAGACGACGCTGCGCAAGATGCGTTGTCTGCTTTGCTCTCCCTCATCCAGGATTCCAGTGGTCGGATACGGCTTCCAGCAGCGGCCGTTTCTACTAATCAGACATTCGAGACTGCGGATTACAGAAAGGTTGTCAGCCAACAATTATGGAACCGATATGGATATCTCTCGGATGATTACTTCGCTTCGACTAGCAAAACTTTCAAAACTTGGTTTCAGTGGGTATCTGTGGCAACGACCATTGGTGTAGAGATAGACGGAGTCTATGAATTTTTGTACTGGTCACGACTGCGCTCCGGACTCCTCTCGGGCTTTTCAGAACAGCGCAAGTACTGTCTTGGTATACTCCAGCTCTCCCTGAGAATGGCCACCCGCGACATTCTGGAACCCCTGATGACGTTTCAGGTCCATCAACGAACTGAATATCAGCAGCAATACGAAAAATACTGCTCTTTATTCGAGACGATAGTGCTCGATCGATATCAAAATCAGATACAGGCCTGTCTTCCGGACCTTACCAAATTGCTTCAAGGAGGTTCTCTCATCACTATAGGATGGATCACAACCCTACTTTCGGCAGTATTGAGCCCCAAAGTGCAAGACGGCGTCCGCAAACTTGTCGGCGCTTGGTACATAGAGTTCGTCACGCACAACGCTTCCAGCTTCCATAGTGTGACCGAAGAGCATGAATTCTTTGATGAGAACTCTTACTTCTTGTTAGAGGGTTTTCTTCCATGGGCGACGCAGGGCGCGCTGTTCACGTCCACACTAATGGCCACACGCGATTCGACCATTTGCTCTCATGGCGAGACTCTGTCGGAAGTCATTGCGCGCTTCGTCACCTCATCGTCAAAATCCCGCCGAGCAGAAATTTTACGTGGAATTCTCCGCTTCATCCTGGACAGAGGCGGAAGGATATTTCAATACTCCGTCTTGTATCTGCTCCAGGGCCTACTTCAGGGCTTTAAATCCAAGTCAGCAGCCGTTGCACTCGACTCCACGGATCTTGCCTTGATTACCAGAGCCTCACGACTCCCGGGGCTACCAGAGATCGCGGGCGATATATGTACACTCTATTGCGCTGAACTGTGCACCACGCTATCCTCGTCGGCCTTACATTCGTTGTCCACACCGAAAAAAATCCCTGGCTATGATGTATTAGATGCGAATTTGCAACAACTTCATGGTCCGGCAATATCGTCGCGCGCAGAGGTCGGCGTCAGGAAGCTGCCTTCGCTGCAAGAATTTCTGGAGCATCTCGAGGCTTCCCACCACAAGAGCATCAAGGACGACCTCTTTGCTCCAGTTTGCGATGATATAATTCACCTCCTAAACAACGCTCCACCTGGCTCTGTGCCATACGCGGAGCTATTTCGCGCATTGGAAGCGCTATGGGATGAGGCAGACAGACAAGAGTATCGACGCCCTGTTGCTGTGGCAATCCCGCCTCTCTTTTTCCACCCATCCTGTGTGGATGTCTGTATTGACCATGTCACATGCAGCAAAGGGTCATTCGAAGAGGATCCGCTCACCCAATTGCTTACCAGAGTTCTACGACATCTAGAAGAACTCTCATACGGCAGGCCTTACCTTCTCTCAACATTCATAGACTCACTTCGCAAGGCAGTATTTGCCAGACCTGAAATCCTCTCTGTTCTCCCTTTCGAAGATCTTCTTGTTCGTTTCGTAGCATCGCCGCCACTCCCGAAAAAAGAGTTCCTTTTTGAAGTCGCGGCCGCTGATAAGCTTCAAGCATATATCGAGCACAGGAGCTATAGTTCATACTATGGTCAGCGGGAGTGGCATGCCTATGCCTGCGTTGTGAGCCTCCTCAATCTGTTTCCGGAAGGGCAGCTAGATGTTGCGAAGCGTGTGTTTGACCGTGTGCTGGAGCCTTGGCGGACGCAGAAGAAGCCAGTGCCTATCGTCAGCAAGTGGAAGAACACATTCCAGCTCCAAGCTATGCTTATCCTCTCCGAGTCGTGTATCACTGAAGCCGAAGCCGAGTGGTACCTCGAATCCTTCATGCATGCGCTGGAGCTGGAGCAGTGGCCTCGATATCGCTTTCTGCTCGAGTGGATCGTTTCGCGCATCTACCATAAGTTCTCCCATTTGACCGAACGAATCTTGCCTAATCTCGCGAAGCTGGACGACACTAAGCCCATTCAGATCGCCTCGCTCATGAAGTTGGCGGTCCTTGCAGCACAGTTTTTGAAGTCATATGAATTCACACTTGATTTCATGACACAGCTGATCCCTTTCTCGGCCAGCCCAAAGGTACACATCCGACATGAAGCACATTGGTCATTCCCTATCATGTGGGAGCTGGCGGAGCAGCACAAGTGGTGGCAAATCGTCCAGAATCCTGCTTTCAGAGCGCTGAACAACTTCATCCGAGGGCTCGACAAGTTCAGTAGACCTCCTTCCACCATCCGAACTCTGAAGCTCGATGTGGTTCATGACTTCACCTTGGTCGGCATTTTCGAGGGAGATTACCTGACCATCGAGACTCCAGAGCGTTATCTAGTAAACCGGAATGACTTCGATAACCTCTGGCAGGAAGACTCGAACGGCTTGTGGACTACTCTTCCTCTCCGTGTACCACTGGGCTCGCCGAAGGCACAATCCACTACTGAGGCAGCCATACCCATCGCCTCAGACCCTGACACTACTAAAGAATACTCCACACCAGCTCTCGCCCCGCTCCAAACAAAATCCGGCTTTGACCTAGAGTCCCTCCTCCCTCCACAGGGCCCACCAACAGGCACCCCGAAACGTCCCGCCTCCGTCATCCTCGTTGCCTCACTCATCGACAACCCAACCAATCTCGGAGGCCTGAGCCGCATCTCGGAGAGTTTCGGTCTCGAGGCTCTGTGCATTGATTCCCTGGGACACATGGCGAGCAAAGATTTCCAGGCCACGGCCGTGACATCGCATAAACATCTGCCGATTCACGAGTTGAAGGTCCACGATGTACCTGCGTATCTGATCGAGATGAAGAGGGTGGGATATGAGGTTGTGGGGATTGAGCAGACGGACCGATCGGGGATGCTCGGACAAGAGGAAGGTACTGGGAAGGGGGGCGTGGGCACGTTACCGGAGAAATGTGTGCTTGTTTTGGGGAGCGAGAAGGGCGGGATTTCGGCAGAGGTGCTGGCGGTGGTGGATCGGTGTGTGGAGATTCGGACGGTGGGAGTGACGAGGAGCTTGAATGTGCAGACTGCTGGGGGGATTGCGGTTTATGAGTGGTGGAGGGAGTGGGGGAAGGGCAGATGAAGAGGCAGGGCTAAGAAGGACCTGGGAAATGGGATAGTGTGGGTGGTGGTGAAACGTACCGATAGGTGACTTTTGGCATTACTGCCGAGGTCTGTCTGCAACACTGGGGTGAGATCTGACGTTGATGTTGAATAAAAGTGCTAGTTTGTTTTTCAATATTGCATCGGAGTCGTTCTCCTGAGCTATTGCGACGATTTGGATGGTTATGTAATGTTGTTCATGCTCTGGTAATGCACGTCCCTGCATAAGGGGCCTCCACGTGAAGTTCCATTCACTTTCCCCCTCTTGGGATGCATGCACGACGAAGCCGAACTTCGCTCGCAAATAGTATTCCAGGAAAGAACGAAGATACCCAAAAGAACTACCTCGGTCTGTATTGTCACCATGTTTTGATGACTCTCTTTCTCCATACATTCATACCCTATATACCAACAACGAGACGCCGCATAAGGAAAGTCACACAGCTAGTAATTATCGGAATTATTTGCAGTTTTGTTGCAGTAACAAGAACTCACCAACCTCCCATCCATCTCCAACACTTCCATCTCCCTTCGAGGCCCTCTCCAACGAACCCACTGCCTTCTCCACCATACCCTATGATACACCCTTCCCCAACCCTACCCAAAATAACCCAGCCCACCGGATCCCCATCCGATCTCCATAAATGAGCCGTGCCTCCCCATTCCAGGGTATGCAAACGAACACGAGATTCTCCAGCATCAACCCCCCTACCACTACCCTACCGACCGGGTATATTCACTGCGGACGCCGCAGGATAAATCTATCTCTCGCTTCCCGCGCTTCTAGAAGCTCTGCAATAATGAATAATGAAAGGATTTGTAGAGCGAGGGTGCGGTGCCGTAATAATAATATCGCGCCTTGCTTGCAGCTCCCTGGGATGTTAACGAACCTTCAATCTATCGGAAACGACGGGTAGTAAGGGGTACACGATACTGTGGCGCACAGCTTCTGACTTGACTCTCGTTTGCGATGGGATGGGATGGGTGTGCTTGCGCATAGCGTGACTGATTGATTATTGAGTGATTTACACAGTGTGGGTGATTGATGATTGAGTATTAAGGGGTCGTTGGGCGCTGATGGGTACGCGTTTGAATAAGAAGTGGGGATGCGGGATCCTGGTTACTGGATCTGCGGGATCGGAGTGCGGGACTGGGGATTGGGAAAATGGAAATTTGTGAGCTGCGATCAAGTGGAGGAGCTGAGTCAGGGTGTCCTTGTACTGTGCCTCTGAAGTTGCTGTGCGAATATTATTGACAGGTGTCTAGTCTCGCTGACCGAGGATTTGATGATGATTAGATGCTCTGCGTACGCGCTGCACTACTACTGACACGGAAATGTATGTGAATTGCACGCGCACGCGCTACCCTGGGAATTGGTTCAAAAAATGTCGATCACACTGAGGCATTTTCGCAAACAGAAAAAGGTTGGCGGGGGTATAAATAGGATTACAGGATCTACTAGCATCAATCAATCGATCGATCAAGCAGGCTAGGGTGTATCTCATAGGTAGTAGCGAAAACAGAAACCGATGCACGCACGCATGCCCAATCCAACCATAGCGCTCAACAAAGAGGGTAGTAGCAAAAATGCAATGAAGAGCGAACGGTGGAACCAACTCCACTTCCGACAGAGAAACATTCAACAAGCGAGCAAGGACACTGCTCAACAATAAAAGAGACTAGAAGGGGTAGTTTCATAGTCTAGTCCTTGCTGTGCCTGCTGACGTGCTCGACCTGAACGGCACCTTCGCCCTTCTCGAAGCCAGAGGTCATGACTTCAGCCTCGACCTTCTCGAGATCGACGTGAGCGACCTCAGCCTCATCGCCATCGAAGATCTTGGCGACCTCCTCCAGGGTCGGGCCCTTGGTCTCGACGTACAGGAAGAAGACGAAGATGAGCTCAAGGAAGATCCAGACCTAGAACACGATGTTAGTGATCTGCATAAGCATAGATACATAGATTCAGGATGACGTACGGAGTAGATGGTGTAGAACTTCCAGGTGGGCTTGAGGTAGTCAAAGCCGTAGGGGTTGACGTATTGGTTGATGGTCAGAGCGACCTGGATGAAGAAGTTCATGATCATGAGACCCTTGGCGCGGATCTTGAAGGGCAGGATTTCGACGGTGTAGGCGACGAGCAGACCAGACCATGCAAGCGCGTAGGCGACGGAGAAGATCCAGATCATGGCGATGACGGCGCGGCCAGCGTCCTTGCTGCCGGTGGCCTCCTGCTGCGAGGAGCAGATTGTCCAAATGATGAAGGTGACGCACATGGAGGCGGTGGCAGCGAGGAAGAGCGGGCGACGACCGACCTTGTCGACCAACAAGGCGCAGGAGACGGAGACGATGAGGGAGAGGATGTTGAGACCGCCGTTGATGCCGAGCTGGGTGTCGTCGTCGGTGATACCAATGCTCTTGTAGACGTCGGTGGCGTAGTAGGAGACGAGACCGTTGCCGGACCACTGGGAGAAGAGACCGAGAGATGCGAGGAGCAAGAGCCTGTACCTGTTGCCCTTGGTCTTGAAGAAGTCGAGGTAGGAAGAGGATTTCTGGTACAAGAACTCCAGGCGGAGGGTTTCCTTGATCTCATGGTATTCGAACTGGACGGTAGGGTTGTTGATGTCTCCATTGGCGTGGTACTTGCCGAGAATGTTGAGGGCCTCCTCGTTGCGCTCCTTGGAAATCAACCAACGAGGCGACTCGGGGATCCAGAAGATGAAAATGAGCTGGATAATGGAGGGCAAGGCCTGGGTGAGGGCAGGAACGCGCCAGGACCAGTGGGAGGGGATACGCTTCGTACCGAAGGTGAGCCATGTGCAGATGATGGCACCGACGTTCCACAAGCAGTTGTAGATGGCAGTGACACGACCTCTGTGCTGAGGATGGCAGAGCTCGGTGAGAAGCAGGGGAGACGAGAGCTGGGCGAGCGAGTTGCCGAAACCCATGAAGAAGCGGCCGGCCATGAAATAATTGAGGTTTCTGGAGGCGGTCTGGACGATGGCGCCAACAATCATGATGACGCATCCAATAGCGATAGCGGTCTTACGACCAAAGTGGTCGGCAATAAAGGGAGTGACGGGGAGAGAGGCGATGGAACCAATCGAGTAGAGAGCGGTCAGGAGACCCAAAGTCGAACCCTTGGGGTCCCCGAAGAATTCCTTCCATGTGGCGAGGATACGCAAGTTGTTCAACATGGATCTGGTACGTGTTAGCAACGCTGTGATCCTGATGATGGGTCACTTGAGAGGATCCTTCATACCCATCGTAACCAGTGGTCGCGGAAGCGACACAGATGATGAACGCCCAAAAGTACAGCTTTCTCAGTCCCGGGTCGCTCTTCCAGTCGACACGTGCCAGGTGAGGAGCCTCAGCCTGAACTGCCTCCACGTCGGCCATCTTCTTGATGGCGGGCTTCTTGAAGTGGACCATGGTGTAGAGGTTGCTAGGTCACCACAGTTGTCGAGAGGAAAGATTGGGATCGGAGGGTTGGGGTTGACGAGAAACCCAGCTGACGGATGGCTGAATATAAAGCCTTGTGACCTAGGAAGTTGGAGAGTTGCCCACCCTTACCGTGATCTGCGGATATTGTTCGAGAGCTTCATATATATTCGTCCCCTGGTCCCCAGGACGAAGGGATTCCCCATGGGCCCATGGTACGGGCCCATGCTCCCAAGAGTGCGGTTTAGCGGACCGGATAAATGTGCTAGGAAATGTGTGGCTGTCTTCAGTGCATTCGTCTGATTTGGCCAGAGGTGCAACTTGGTGCGGCTCACCATCCGCAAAACGCAGGGTGCCCATAGTCCATGGCCAGAATGTAGCGTGACGGTGCTGGAAATGTTTCTAGCACCTGGCTTCCCCGTGGGTCGTTGGTGGCGACTGCAGCGTAAAATTGGATGCACTGTCTCCTAGCAGTTAATGCTCCCGAGATCCAATTGTGTTGAGCACAGCACACTCCACTCCATGTTCTGATGGAGGCCTCGCCAGCGCACGTGATGGTCGAGGTCACTGATCCTACTACGCCGCACTATGGTGGGCGTGCGGAGTCCGGCTCGGTCAGCCGGTTGCTCCGCAAGCTCCATCGTCTTGTACCTACTTATGGTAAACATGCACTAGTCGCGTGGAGAGCTGAAACTAGCATGGACTGCGAACCACGGGTCCCAACAAGAGAGTGCGATGATTGTGGCCCGCCAACCCGGTAGACTTTGGAGGAAGCGCTGCACAACATGTGTCTTCAACATTTTTTGAGCGCCGTCAGGCTGCAAATGAAAATGCCTTCTAGAAGGCTGCATCGAAGGTTGACGGCCCCTGGTTGAGATGAAATGGGCTGAAATGGGGCCAGGGGGAGGCCTGTGAAAGGGTCGGCCCCCTCGCTGCCATAACCGCGATCCTGGTTATGGAGACTGATGCTTCTCGTGACCTGACCCATGTAAGTAAAGAGTGTTTGGTAAACGTGGTGATAGTTGTACACAGTATACCTCGGAGCAGTACTTAGGGTACGCAGTAGTAGACTACGGGAGAAGAGTGGAGTTGGAGACGCGGGAGTGGAGTTCCCCAACAAAGTCCCACCGTCGCCTGTTTCCCCAGGAAAGCTGGGAGTCGGGCGTTGGCCGAGGACTGGTGAAGTTGAAGTCACGCTATTCCGTCTGCGGACTAGCCGGTCAAGCTTAACTCAACAACCTTGGAACCCAACACCACACCACTCCTCTCCAAGCACCCTCCTCCGACCATCATCAAAAGTGATAATTGACATCGAAAGCCCCGAACTTGCTCATTCCTTGGCCCATCTATAATTGTACACTGTACCACGATCGCCCCGTCTCTTCTGTCTCGTCCCGCCGGCTTCTCTGCGTGTCAATTGTCCCTGCGCCTCGCCTTCATCGTTCCACAGTCGTGGCCAGAGCGACATGGAGAACGACTCGGTTGGACAAACCCAATCCCCATGGGCAGCGACGGCCCCAGATTTTGCTATCGAAGATCTGGAGAGTCGAAACGCATGTGACGGCTGGCAAGCCACTTTGGCCCACATTTGGGGGCTCTTTCGGAACCAAATGGGCCCTCCTCCGCCTGTGAGCCTCGTCGCCACAAGCTTCTTGCACCCTCGCCACCGCTTCCATGCGTCTGTCAGGCGTCGTTCTCCGTTGGGGGCGCTGGCCCGTAGCCAAGTCGCCTGAACACATCTCCAACCGCCCTCGCTAACGGCTCGGCAGGGCATCTTATCCGCACCATCGTGTTGTACAGATCGTCTGGTTGCTTGCAGGCGAATGAGATTGCAGTCCTCCATTGATCATGTTGGGACCCATGATGCAGCCAACCCAGAACGCAAGAGGAGCCCTCTAGCTTCACGCGTTCCCCTCCCCATGGCGAAGCATGACCTTTTCCCTTCCACAGCCTTGCCCAGATGCCTACATCTCATTGACCCTTTTTGCCTGCACGACTCGCTCACAGCTGCATCTGCCGCAAGATCTGGCTGGCATCATTGCTATGCTCTTCCCACCCGATCACTGGATCCTCAGCCTCTAGCCTTTCGTTTCCCCAGTGTTACCTCCTGTAACCCGAGAGCAGAGGCCTAGTCGTCTCTGGTATCACAACATGATCAGCCTGACGCGAGGAGTCAACTACTGGCTGGTGTCAAATCATTCGAGCGAACCGCTATTCCATTTTGGTTGCCTCAATGTATTGGCTCCAAGAGTTGCCAGAGCGATTACTGTTTTACGAGCAGCTGGCTAGACCCGCGATCCAACAATTTCCACCTACTCGGGCCGCATTCCATTGTACGGGTGCACTGCTGGCATTCTGCTGGTCCGTAGTAGTCTACCGCGCGGCTCGTGTATGTATGTTGGGCGGATCACGCACGCGACCGGAGGAATGTCGAACATCGTGTCGACTTCAAACGCCAACAACGAGGAGCAACTTATTAGCCATTTACTAATAAATCCGTAAGTTAATAGGGAACTTTGCGTACAGCACCAACAGTACGCATCGGGACCATGTACCATGGTACCGGGATGACGGCCCTGCCTAGAGCAGACTATCATGGCAAATGGACGTCTTTTTAGGACTGCTGGTTACTGTCACGGACTTTTCCAAGACCGGCCAATTGTGACCGTCGACCTACCTCGCAAAGGTATGACTACGAGACTGCAACCCGAGGACCCCAATTGTGCGTCGTTTTGACTTGTCATTTCTTGATGCAGCATCACACGTCGTCCCTCTGAGTCTCGGGTTCAGGATAGGCATTGCCCAGCCCTGGCAAGTTTGCTACTTATCGGGCAGTGCCACGCCAATATCGCCCCCTTACCTCCTTTGCGGAATTTGGATCCCTGGAACTGTAAGCGCAATTTTGACCAGCGCCTTTGCTCTCTCATATTCGGATCGGACCTTTCAGAGCACATGCGGTTGCACAGAAAATTTCTTTGACCGCACTGGTCTTCGAGTACAGGCATTCGAGCGCCGGCCAGCAAAACCGTATAAGAGCAGGATCATGTCAGGTCCTTAAGACATCCCTCTCTATCTTCCTCGAGCTGCTCCTCACTGTGTTGATCTCGCATCTCTCACCTAATACAGTATATACTCTAGAATGCGTATGCGCAACATCCATGCGTAACACCGTCTCCAGGTTAAGGCAAGACGTCAGTCCAAGGACATGCACTCTATCTTGAGGATAGACGAGCCCAAGATGTTTTGTAGCTGTAGCATATCTATCTAATGACACTTACAGCTGGCATTAACTAGGCAAATCCTATTGTACTCCTGATCCCAGCCACATATTGGTAGCTTTGTTATCAACCGCTACAGTCATCACGATTGTGTCCGGCTGGATAACTATTAGGGATACGAGAACTACGCTCTAGTGTGACTATAGAAGATACCCCTGGTCTACAATAGGCGTAGTTTTAAAGAGAATGCGCTACGAACACAATATCAAATATGGTTCTATAGAGAGCCGGCACTCTGACCACAGCAGTCTACTACACGCGCCATCTCTACTCGCAGTAGGACTTGCATTACCCCTTACCATCGCGTTAGCATAATTGCAACACGTATTGAGATGTTAGACTTCCCGGACTACCGTCATGATGAGTACAAATCTCTTCGAACACGACTGAGCCCAACTCAGTCACATCTCCCCCCGCGAAAACACAAAGATGTCGGCCCGTCGGGACTGCAGTCGGCGATAACGTATTGAATTGAGAAACTGCGCTCCCACAGATAACCTCGTTGAAACGCATGCCCTGTGCAGGATAGTGCAGCAGAAGGGTGACGGTAAAATGCATATCACGGTTGCATTCTTCCACCTTGTTCACCGCTCAATGCGAAGATCTCGTGACTTGAGTAGTTCTAATGGTTTGTCGTCTCCAACGGCGATAATATATAACAGCTAGTAGAGTTCATCGGCAAGGAAACGGCAGCGCGATTCGAGCTATTTGGCAAACTTTCGCACCAGCTGCCCCTTCTGTTCCGCGGCTCGAGTTTTTCTACATATGACATGCGCGGTTTTTGCTATCGAGCACTAGATGAAAGATGAGTGACGTCGTTGCTCTTGCCAAATGTGCATTAACATCTCCTTTACGCTCCGCTTCGATCTTTGAATTTTTTTCCCCTGTCTTCCAGCCCCATTTTTCTCTGGAATTTCATCCAGAGTAGAACCCATTTGTAGACACGGAATCGTCTGTTTGGGGAGATGGGCGCAGAGTAGGCCTCGCAAAGGTTGACTCCCGGCCTGGTTTCATGATGGAGTTGGCTAAGTTACTGCCTACGCACCTGTCCCAAGGCCATTCGATAAGGTTCCGCTGAAAGCGGGAAAACCAGCAATTAATTTCCTCGAAGATAAACAGAGAGATAGCAACAGGAGATCACTTCTAAGTGAAAATGTTGTTGGTATTCCCTGCGACATTGGGAGTTTCCGCGAGTCGGCTTGATGGCCGCCAAAACCTGAGGGAGGGAACCCTGGGAAATCATTGTCGTGCACACATATATATATATTCTCACCGTCACATCCTGTTTTGAAGGAGAAGAACCTCCTATATCTAATCCGCTTACGGTGCAACTCCTGCACGCTCCCTAAGCTCCTACAATGGCTGCATAATGCGGCTACAGTCCCGAGAATTCGAAGAACCTCCTCCTTGCAGTGCACTCTCCTCGGCTCTTCTGTGTTAGCAACCGTCAGCTCGTAGCATGCCACTGGCAAAGACATAGATGACACCCATCAAATATTTCGGTTAGGCATATCGTTGAGCCTACGTAACAAGAGATGTGCCAGCAGCCGCGATTCCAGCAACTTGGTTGCGCTATGCTTATATGCAAGCCTACTGGGATCGAGCCAGTACAAGTGTGAGATATGCAGTTACGATAACTCACAGGATAGGTGGTATCGTCATCTTCGTTGAAGCTATAGTCTAGTTGATAAGAAAAGGCGGTCGCCAGCTGTCGCGGTTCGGGAGTCGAATACACCGTGCTCAGAAGCTACTCCAGAAGGACTAGGCAAAAGACACTGAAATATCCGCGTTTGTTTCTTCAGATCACGGGTATTGCACCTCCTAGTCACGGCGGGGCTTGCAACTTCGGATGAGGGTAAACGACGCCGGCGACGGAAAAGTCGTAGTGAATTTAGTTGTTCCACGATCTATTTCGCACGTTATGCAAAGATAGTTGTTAGCTATAAGCCTGCTTTTTCTCCGTTTTTAGCACTATTACAGTGCTAAGTGAGGTACGGTGCTGAGGTACGGTGCTAAGTGAGGTACTGCTCCATATACTCCGTATGCTTTTTAATTTTCCGCTCTTCATGGCTGTAATAACCCTAGAGGCAGCTCATGAGTTTCGTAACCTCGAATACGTCCTTTCCGAGCGACCTCTGCCCCAATGCCCACTTCACCGTAGAGTGGTACACGCTCCTGTCGTCATGCAGTTTCTCTTGGATGTAGGAGGAGAAACGTAGGGACTTTTAAAAGTAAACAGTAACATTGCGAACAAAACCTTCAACTTACCTTCTCTACGAGAAACTGCTCTCTCTACGTATTTCCTAGCTTACGCCAAAGGGGTCAACAACATCCAGAACAGCTGCAGCCGAACTTCCTGATGGAGGAGTGCTTTCACAGCGTCGTGATAGTTGCATTAAAAATCTTCCTTAACCGTATCCAAAGCTGGTTTGACGTCGTCAATGTCGATATCAGTCAGATAGCTTGGAATCACAAGGTTGACGGAGAAGGTACTTGCCAGCGTGCAAACGATGAACAGTTTATAATTCCCTCGAGACTGCGTTGTGCTGCTAATGGAAGAACGAACGTCACCAAATGTTCACTGTCGAAGGGAACCGATGTCACCGGAACCTTCCAATGCAATATTTGTTGATCCAAAATACTCTCCGGGCAATGCTAAGATGCAGGCTTACGTAATTTAAGAGTCCTTTTTGAAGACCAATGGACATAGAGCATCCAGGTGTCAACGGCCCAATTGCGTGGAAGTGGCTAGTACTGCAAAGGCTTGTCGAACGCCGTATGATCTGTCTGCGGCCATAGGGCAGTTCCCATTCTCGGCGATGGAGACTACGATGCAGATCAGACTGAAGATATATGATTGCCAGGAAGAAAAATCGGGCACTGAATTGGCCGAATGAATGCTGCATTCTGACCCTCGTACAAGAAGGGCAGAGCTGAAAGTAAGCACTGTCTTGTGGTTTGATTTACCCTAGGGTAGCGGTAGATGGGGAAGTGGTCTCCGGGAAGAACCGTCTGTCGTCACGGCTGATGGAACATCTTTCGGCAGGCTTCGTGCTGACTGGCAGAAGCACTGCTTCACGGCCCATATCTGTCGAATATATGGTTGCGGTAGGAAAAGGTAGGTGTGCGTCAAAGTGTAGACGAGAGTTAAGTGGAGATATGTAAACCAGAAATACATATCAAGGACGAGGGTCATACTTCAGGGAAAAGCACACTTTCAACTCTAGGAGTTAGGCTACGGCGTCCAAGGGTATCGTCATAAGGTAATCGTCATAACGTATGTTCGGGAGAGCCGCAACCCTCGGGTTATCAATCCCGATCGTTGCGCTCCCCCTGATCGTCGATCATAACATAGACTCTTATCACCTCCGCACGCGACTCAACGGCGGCAGGGATTACTTCTTAGGCGCTCGTCTAGGGGCGAAAGTCCTAGATTCTGAAGGAGAGGCCTATGTATCAAGGAAGGGCTACGCCAAACCAGTGGTATCTTAAAATTCTAACTCTAACGCTTGAGGTCCGATGAGAATTATGTGTACTCGCTATATTCTTGTCGTCTGATTTGTGGATGGCAACTCATCGTGGGCTCCATGTGTGCAAGCAACTACCTAGGTATGTGATGAAGACATCGTGCGTGGGCATCACTCATACCTGCGTCCTGGAAGGGAAGGTTCGCTAGTCATTGTTTTCGCACTTTAACATCAGGTTTTCCGGATTGCCATGTTAACATAAGAGCTGCGAAAACATGCGATGTTTCGAAGAGAGTACTCGTGGCAGTCGAAGAAGAGATAGCTGTAAACTGTAGCTCCTTTACGGTTTCTTTTGTAACATCTTCAAGATACAAATTCTACGCCGAGGGCATTATTTGCCATGTTCTGGAAAACGTAAAAGAGCTTGCGTCAGCATGGTTGGCGTCTATTCAGTATGGAGCCGGGAATGAGAGTCAGCTGGGCATCTGCTGATACCTCAAAAACATGCCTCTAGGTATTACCCGTTCAGGAAATGAGATTCCTAACTCCCTTACGTAGTCCAACAGCGATGAGAATTAAATATAACATGAGTTGGGTTGGTTGCAATTCCACGTTATCTGCGGCGTAGTCTTTCTCGCCTAACCAACTCTCAGGCCTCCTGCGCACATCGGTTGACTGATTGCGCGCGGCGTGGTCAGTTGGAAAAGGAACACCGATCTTGTTTTGAGAGTGAAGTATTTAGGATGCGCACGCAGGCAGCTTCTGATGATTCACGGCCCCAGCCAAGCCCAAATCTTATCTCATCCTTTGCGGGAGGATCGAAGGCAGTGCAGGGCTCCTTCCTACCTTAGGGTAGATCTCGCATATTCTTACTGTACCTACGCCCGTCTAGAATAAGCACCGCCAGCTTACGACCAACAATCTGAAACCATCGCTAAATCTCCGAAAAAAGCGTACTTTTTATAAGCACTGATATGCATCCCAACTGCAAGTGCGAAAGCAACCGAGAATTCCAACAAACTCCGTTTCTTCCAGAACATCGCGATTATCGAGATATCATGGCCGGCGCCAGTAGGCGGAGTGCTGGTTCTATTTTCCTTCTCATAGCGTGCGCCGCATGTATACCTACGAGCAACAATCAAGGGAACCACAACGAAGGCGTCGGAAAATGCTCATTTAATCTCACGCAACAACAGCGTTGCGACAGAACGTACGGAAACGTGATCAACTACGTCGAAATCAACACGATCCGCGACTCCTCGAACAACATCATCGTTGACGTGAACAGGCAACTGCCTCCCGGGTCGCAGAACAGTTCGAAGAATCTCAACCGGGGCCCATGGACCATCTTCGGGCTTCCGAACTACAAAGACCTTACGGTCCAAGTTGATACGCAAGATTTTCGGGGCATGGATCGGGGTTATCCGTATGTCTATTACGCGACCAAGGATGACGAACTGAGATTCTCGCATGATGGACTTGAATGGACGACGAAAAGGGAACTGCAGCTCGAAGGGAGGAGTGCGTGGTGTCGAAGTGAGGGCTGGGATGACGACGAGTGGACTTGTGCACTGGATGCACAGTCAAATATTAGGGTAGGCAAATTGTCCGTCCCAGTGATTGTTGTATTGCTAATCGTCGCGTAGGACCGGCTGTTGACTTGCTACTTTTCCTGTTCTTGATTCTGCGGGGCAGTGACGGGTTACGATATTGCGAACATTCACTGCGAAGCATCGAGGAAATACACTAGAGATGATCATGATCGACACCGTGAACTGTATGCATATGTAAGAGAATGGAAAGAGCCGACGGAGGAATGAAAGTGCATTTGATACCCAGGCATAGACAATGGAATAGTAGAGGCGGAGCTGGCAGGTCATTAAGACAAGGGACCTGTGGCAAGCAGTTCAATGTTTGTGACTAGTTTTCAATGATTCTAGTGCGTTACTCTCCCCTGTCTCGAATTGCTTAAAGTTGCAGTGGCGCAGTCCACGATTCGATAAAAAGTACACCAGATATTTTGCATATTCGCCTAGAGACCGAGCTGAGTGTGGCGCAATAGACGCAGCGATGGCCATTGTTTGAGTCTCCAGCTCAGGGCCAAGGATGCGTCCGCGGGCGTGGAATGGGACATCTGGTCGAGTCCGCCTTCATACCAATGTCCCTTCAGGTGCTGGGTTCTCTCAGGGAGTTATACAGCGGCTTATTATGCGCAACATACGAGGGCGTTGTGGCGCATGCAAGAGCGGAGTACGGCGTATAAAACAATGGTACATAAAAGGCCTAGGAAATGTCGTATTCGCGCACCTCTTCCTTTATGATGTATGAAGTGAAGAAGGCCTGCAAGCCTTTCGACCAATCAGAGGAGTCAGGAGAGTTACGAGTATCCGAGAGAAATAAAACACAAGCTCTCCATTAGGACCGATCGCGAGAGCCGCAATATATAGCATCTGCAGCGGATAGGAAAAATCGTAAAATAATCATGCTAGCATGCCGTCCAACGGCGTCGAAGTCCCCTCATGAAGATGAGCCCCTGAGAAACCAAGGAAAACACAGACCGTAACGCCGTCATGCTGATGAACAGAAGAGCCATCTCAGTGATATCCGCTACCGTTGTGCTTGTACTTGTGCTTCTGCTTCGCCTTGTCTTCCAGCTTGTGGCCCAGAAACGCGCCAGCGAGAGCCCCCAACATGCCGTGCCCACCCATCTTCTGTCCGCCAAAGTATCCCGCAGCGCCACCGCCCAGTGCGCCCATCAGGCCACGATCGCCTTCTTGTTGGGCGTTTGGATCCGTGGGACCGTAGTTCTGCTGCTGACCGGAGGAATACTGGTTGTCGGGGTAGGCACCTTGTTGCTGTGCAGGAGGATGTCCGGGGTAGTGTTGTTGCTGCTGATTGTACTGGCTGCACTTGAAGTCAGACTACGCTTGTTTCGAAACATCCCATTGCTGGATATTCGGAAAATCATACCCTTGCTGTCCGTTCTGATTACCATAACCCTGTTCCGATGAACCGTACGACTGCTGATTCGATTGCTGCTGATCTCCGTAGTAGCTGGAAGCTGCGCCTTGGGGTGGATATCCTTGTTGCTGGTAGCCATATTGAGCGGGAGCATATCCTTGGCTGGGAGCGGGTGGAGGATAGCCTTGATTGGGGCCAGGCGAACCGTACTGATTGGGAGGATACTGATTGTACTGCTGACCGTATTGACTGTAAGGGTCGGACATTGTGCTGATGGCCACTCGTGTGTTGACGCAAAATGAGATGACAGAGGAGTATACAGGAAGAGGTTTGAACAAGAAATAAAATGAGGAAGTCGCGTTAGTTATACTTCACTACGAACGCTCAATGCGAGGTATATACGATGCGGCAATTCTATTCGAATAAAGACCGCGCCACATCGACTTACGAAGGAGGCGCAGTACAGCTGGTGTGCTGAACAAGAGTAGCACAGCCTCAATGTCGATCTCAGACTCGAGAGATTGGACCCATCGCACTAATCTCTGCATTATCACAGTAGTCTGGATAGTTCGGCAGCACTGTACTGTTATCCCCGATACAGCAAACATCCATGGAACGATGATGAGGGGCATTGCCGACGAAGAGAGATGACGCCACGGACCTGGTAAAATCTCCCTCTCTGCATGCTTTGCGCCACACCTGTGAAGAGTACCTAGATACCCCAGCGTGTCCTGCACAGATGAGATGGGAACCCCGTCCATACAATGAACCTACACAGTATACTACTTAATTCAAAAGTATACAGCGGCATCTAGTACTATACATAGACTATCTGGCAGCTTGTGGTGACCAGCAGACACTTACTGATCGCGCGCGATTAGTCATCATGGTGGCTGGAAATTAGCGCCTTCTTTCTCCAGGACAAGTGTCTGGAAACATCTGGACAAAGTTCCTTTTCCCACTCCCATGTCTCTTGTTTGCGTGCGGTTCTGTCTCAACTGTCTTGCAAGCAGTCGGCGATGGATTCCCCACGTTGCGCCTCGGCTGTCTGTGAAATACATCGGGCACAAAGTACACAACTCCGGGTGCTCCTCTCACTGCATGTCACGACGCAATCTCCATCGTAGTTAATATAGCAACTCCTCCGCTGCTACAAAAGTCTCGATGACCTGCTGACCATCTCTCTCCTTGGTCCTGCCTCGGCCCCTGGATAGGTTTGATCAGCCTTAGCAGCCTCATCGGAAGCGAACTCTGAAACGCTGCACCACCATCTTGAGACACGTCCAAGACAATCGTTCAGGGGAAGCCTCAGACAGGCGCACAACATCACCCTCCGATGCCGTGAGCATAGCCGTGTTTTCTATATCCATCCAGATCGGTCGCAATTGACTCTCTTTGTCTTGCCCATTTTGGAGATGGGGCTCAGTGCAAGGGCAGTTAATTTCGCCTATTCACGCGTTAGCATGGCACACGGTCCTAGGCCGTCCCCCTCAGACAGACATGGGACCAGGACAGACTCATTGCTAGCGTCATTCATGCGATCCCTCAAAATGCCCCCCTCTCCAACCCACATCATGGTTGTGGCACGGAGGAGTCTGCCCAGCTTCCTGTTGCACAGCTGCTGACCTGCCTTACCTTCGTTCTTTCGTTTTCTTTCTTCTCTTCCTTCGCCGCAGCCGGGCTGCTCGTCGTTGCTAATAGTTCTTCCTCCACTCTTTCATTTCTTCCTCCATTCGCTTCAATTCCACTTTATCGGTCCTCACGGGTTCTGGACTGCGGGCTTCCTTTCGACGGTCCGTCCGCTGGGATTCTTAAATGTTATTTTTCTTGGGCGCCTTTCAGCTGCACGAAGCCTGAGAGGAGCCGCCCCATAAACCGAGCCGTCCTACGGTATCGCCACAATGCCCGTACCGAAGTCGCGAGAGTTGGTAGTTCGACGAGACGGCCAGCAGCGGGGCGGGTTCGAAGCGGCTGTAGGATCGATTGACCATCTGCTTGGTTCTGCATTCACAAGGAGGGAATCTCCAGGCTCTGTCAATGCACGGGATGACCACCAGGAAGAGGAGCCCGACCGTGAGCACGAAGAACATCCACCGGTAAGTCTCTCATGTCGTCTGATATCTAGTTATCCCTCCTAATCTGCTCAAGTTTCCTGTGGGACGACCAACTACCACCGCTCGCCCTAACAACCCCACCGGGACCTCAGCTGCACAGGTCACCCAATTCCCTCCGCCTCGACCTAGTGGAGGCAAGGGATTGTCACCAGCGACCCATCACTTGCTCATCGCGGCAGGATCCATTGGTAGGCGTAATGGCTTCGTGCAAGAAAGTATCACTAACCACAGCAGGCGCAACTATTATACTCGTAATGGCCGTCCTGGCCATCCACAGGATGAGAAAACGCAACCTCACATTCCGGCAAGCACTTGATCATGGCAGATACCGGTTTAACAGAGCCACGAGACGTGGAGGGCCGCGACCTCCACCAAAGAGCGAGGAATGGGACACCAAGCGGGCATACGAGTCTGACTACGGTTCTATCAGGAAAAACTCCATACCCCCTCCACAGCGAGCCATGTCCATGAGGCGATCAGAGTCCAATTCATCACAACGACTGGTCACGGGTCTTCAAAGTAGCGAAAGGTACGTAATACGTCACTGTCATCTCACTTTCACGGCAACACTCTATCCCTCAGATATCTGAGTCAGACTCCTATCTCAGTGGCTTCACGGTTTCTTTTCGGTCAACACAGCATGGACGGGGGTGTTGCATGACAGCCCTCAATTTCCCTGACACTTTGCACCACCTGTATCTGCATCCTGCAGGAACGCCGTCTCCGTTCTTGTCACCACATCACTGACACATGGAAGCTTCAGCAACCGCGGCCAAGCACCAGAACCCTTCCAACCTAGCACCTTCCTGCTGGACTCGCCACCCGCCGCCCGCAATCCCCTGAATGACACGCACCGCCGCAATGCTAGTGAAACCACAGCCTCAGCCGCCGCTCTCCCTCCTCAAACGCAAAATCCCCTTCAACGAACCCGCAACGCATCTAGCCAACATACCCGTCCCACCTCCTCAACCTCGACTCTACGTTATCCCGATCCCCCACTACCGGACCGCTCCCTGTCCCCCCTCCCTCCGCCGCCAACATTCAAACAATTCCTCAACAACCGTCCCACGATCTCAAACCGTAATCCTGGCCCTCCTCCCGCAATTCCCGGCCCCGGAATGGTATCCCACTTCTCCTGGACCAACTCCAACGCCCCGCAAACACCTCACGACACCAACCGTGACACAGCCTCGGGCCAGATACCGGTGGCGGGTCGTGACAGCCTCATGACGCAGCGATCCTCGGTGCCTCGGTTCCGCACCATAGACTCCTGGGTCAACCAGCAGGCGAATCGGATTGAGGAGCAGAAGTTGCGGGAACAGTTTCGGCTGACGCAGAGTTCGAGCGGGACGAGCGCTGCGGAAGAAGCTCCAGCCGCCGGTTTGGGTGCAAGTGAGAGTATCCCAGAGGTTCCTGAGATTCCGGCGAGTCAGTTGCGTGGCGGCCAAATTGCCGCTATTCCTTGGGTCTTGAACAATAAGGCGGCGTCGCTGCCTTCATCACCGGTTGGAACACCGGTCCCAGCGTCTGTGACGCAGAGGAGTTCTGCTGCTGCGGTGGGGATGGGACGAGCGAGGCACGAGAGACAGGATACGCGGACGACGGTGGAGACGGCGCCGATTTTTCGACAGCATCCTGGGACGGAGGTGAGGTTTAGTACGAGGAGTGCGGTGCCGAGTGAGATTCTGGGCTATGGGAGGGTGAAGGATGTGCTTTCTTAGGTGCATCTCATCGCAACTAGTTGGTGGGCATGCATCTTCTGGCTGCGCCGCGTTTCTGCGTGCCTTTAAGAAGGAGGAAGTGGGGGATTGGGACAATGGGTGTTGCATGGAAATCATTGTTCTTTTTGTTGGCTTGCATTTTAGCGTACGGCAGGGAAATGGGAGTTTGGGAATGTAGGTATGTGAGAGATTACGGAGATGGATACTGCGGATGGTTGCATTAATGAGCGCATGATCAATCCGGTGATTGAATTGTACTCTACCTCCGTCAATCAAATGATCAACACGCGCATATCTGCCGTTGTCTGTTTCTCTTTGAGGAACTCAGATATACCACACACGAAGTCAACAATTTGTTTTTGCAGATAGATCAAGTCAGTCTCCCTTGATCAATCGTCTCCATGTTTCAGGACAGAAGAACCTCCACAGCCCAAGAACGACACGCACGCTCAATTCCAAATCCACGTCAACGACCCTCAAGCCCTCTCTACTTCCCCGCCCTTCCGGACTCAAGGATTCCAAATTCCAGCCGGAATCCCCATAACCCCGGAACCCTGACCCAGTGTTCGCTTCCTATCTGTTGCCTCTTTTCACATCCGACCGAATAATCCCCTGCAGTTCCTCGGCACTGCTGTTTTCCATTTTCGATGGAATAGCCTGGGCACTCTGTGGAGTTGGCCATGGAGCTTGCGTGACAGTGGATGTTTCATGTTATGTGCCGCGGTACAGTATGGCACTGAGACTGAGGGCATATAAGGCCTTCCTTTGGGTATGTACAGACGGTTTATGGGAAATGCTGACGATGTGTATTGGCGGAAATGAATTAGAGCAGGATTGCTTCTTTTGGCAAATTTGTACGGATGCTGGAAAGGAGGGCGACGAGACCGTGGTGTTGGGTCTTGCCGCTATCTCGAGTATACGGATGGCAAACCTGCGAAGTCCTTTGGCAGATGAACATCGACAACTGCGAACAGGCGATTTCTTCGGCCTTGCAGCTGCAGGGGCCCAAATCAATCCAAAACGCCCATCCTCTTCAGAATTTGCCGGTCCATTGGAACTCTCAGAGAGATGATTTGGGTATATTACAGTTTTTCTTTATACTCTCTATAGCTTCCTTCTCTTATATGCCCAATACGCCCTCCAAGGCAGCCTCCAATCCGTGCCCCTCAACCTCTGATCAAAAATGTCGAAATCGACCTTCTGCAGCGTATCCAACCACGTCTGCGCCGTCACAGCCGGAGGCATCAGGATGCCAAACGCGCGCTCCACTTCAGCGAGCTGCGCCTCCGGCCCCGAACTTAATTCCTGCTGACTATATCTTCTCCCTTCCTCGTTCTGATGCTCAAACTCATGACCTACGGTGCCTTCGGACCGGAGCTTCGCCAGCATCTCCCGTGCAGTAATGAGGTGATCGTTTGCGCGAGTCGCTACTTTGAAGACCGCGTCGCGGAGACCCGGGGCGCTGCCTCCCTGGCGGAAAACGTCTTCCTCCTTGACGTTGGCTTCGGCCATGACGTCTAAGGGGAGCATGACGGCTCCTTGGGATGGACCTGATTGGCCTGTTACGGCACCACTTTTCGAGAGAGGCTGTGGGTCTGGAAAGGCGAGGAGTGGGAGGCCCCTGAGCACGGCGACGATGCCTTGGGCTTTGCCGATATGGGAGGCGAGGTGGTCGGTTGTAACGGATGCTTGTGGGAGGGACTGTAGCGTCAGATACAGTAACGTCGAGTAGGTGTTCTCTGCGTAGGTTTCCAGCGCGGAGAGTGTCGGGTAGGGTGGGTTCCCCAGCTGTTGCGCTCGCGCGTTGATCACGCGGTGGAACCAGTGTCTGCTGAGCTTGACTTTGCCTTCGGAATAGTGCTGAACCGCGCCTTGCGCTTGCGCAATCATTACGGCTGTGGGTTCCATGGGCGGTTTTCCATGTAGCGCATTCGTAACTGCGTCTTTCCAGAATTGCATGCGCATCATGCCGATGCTGGGGGTGCTTGTGGTGTCCGCGATGCGGGCAATCTCGACATTGAAGGCGCGGATGGCAATGTAGGCGTCTCGGGCGGTGGGAGGGACGTATATGCCCAGGTTTTGGGAGGGAAAGTCATACTTTCTATGAGGATGTTAGCTACTTCTTGTGGACAGGAGATGCCGGGAGGGGTTTGTTGGACCTGATCAGCGCCATGCACTGTTCTCTCGCTGCTTCCACATTCTCAGCACCTGGTGGGTTGTATCTTTTGTATGGAGAGTAGGAGACAAATCTCCGCGCAACTGTGGACACTCTATAACGTTCCCATTGGCGCTGCAGGGGAGAGGTGCAGAGCCGTGAAGGGCGCATTGAAATTTTTGGTGATCAATGGCAAGGCAGATCAGGAGGTTAAGCGGCTATCCATAGCCTTTGAAGGTATCGTTTAAGAAAAAATAAGAAGTGAAGCAGGAGAGGGTATTATACAGTTTATTGTACACGAGATGTCATGATGGAGTGTTGAGGTTCCCAAAAGTGTAGGTGAACGAATCGTGGCGCTTGTGGCGGTGCGATGATGTCGATCCAAGCTCGGCAGGCGCGTGAAAGCGTGAGAGCGTGTCACTCACCGCGGACGCGCCTCGGCTGGTCGAATCCCAGCGTCGTACACAACACCGCTCACCCACATCTCCGTTGACTATGGACTCGACGCATTTTGAGACGCGTCCACGCAAGAAGCGACGCTTCTTTGCTGAAGATTCCTCGCCGGTGGTTCAGTCCATACAAAGGTATTCGTCCCCGCCCGCCGCATCTCCGCAGTCGCCGCCCAAGGAGGTTGAGAGCCCGGTATCTATTCCCGATGATGGAGAGACCGGCCAAGATGGAGACGAGAACGATGAGTTTGCCGGATTGCTACAAGCTGTCGTTGGTCGAGTTTCACGAGAAGTGCTGGACGCCCTCAAGCTTAGGAGTGGCGGAGATGCTCAGAGAGGTACTGTCTGATGCATTGACAAAAGATTTCTTAGCTTACAGCCTTCAGCAATCAACATGTATTTTGACCGCTCCTGGAAAACGGCAGCAGAACCTACGGCGCCCCTCCGGCAGCCCTCGTTACAGGCGTCACTCACCACGAATATGAACAGACATGGCAGCGACATGTCAAATGCACCAATGCTCTCCAAACCATCCACACCACTAAACCCCATACTAAAATCGATGCCTCCCAAACGATACATTGGCTCTTTTGGCGCTATCGGTTGGGCAACCAAAAGTGGGACAGGTATGCTGAAGCATGAAGAACATGTCGGTATCGAACGGACAAAACTTCGGGAACCTGCGGGCAAGCGACGAATAATAAATAACAAGAAACAAGATGTTGTAGTGCGTTTCACGAACAACAGGGGCGAGGAGGTTGGAAGACTCGAAAACGATTTTGCAGCGTGGATATCCTCTCTAATGGACCAGAAAGTATGCTCGTTCGAAGGTACATGCGTATACGTACCCGATCGGGTAAGGACAGGCGATACCATATACTTACAGCTACGCTGCTATATGCTTCGAAGCGCATTCGACAAGCGGAAATTCGTTAAACCCGACAACAACCGCTCCGTCAGCCTCTTTGCGGAGAAGGAAAGCCAGGACGAGAAAGACTTGCGGTTGCGGCAGGTGGCTTTGGTGAAGCTGTTCGAGGCGATCAATTTGCAGCCTACACGGGCGAACGAGAATGCGGAGAAGTATAAGCGGCAAGGCCTGCTTCAAGCTGCGGAGAGTGCCGAGAATAACGAACAAAAATCAAAAGCAAGGAATGGCGCTACAGGAGAGGCGGGCTCATCACCCGCCTCGGAATCGGAGGAAGGGGAGGAGTTGGAACAGGACCAACTTGATTCACTCTACAAGAAGGCTCAGTCTTTCGATTTCAATACCCCTGAGATGACTCCTGCAGATACCTTTGCCATGGACCTGCGGAAGTACCAGAAACAGGCCCTGTATTGGATGGTTGGTAAAGAAAAGGATGAGAGTTTGAAGCATAAGGAAGAGTCCATGCATCCGTTATGGGAAGAATACGAATGGCCAACAAAGGACGCAAACAATGACCCAGTTCCCGTGGTTGACGATCAGAAGATGTTCTACGTGAACCCCTACTCCGGAGAACTTTCCGTTGAGTTCCCTCGACAAGAACAGAACTGCTTGGGTGGAATACTGGCGGACGAGATGGGTCTCGGAAAGACGATCGAGATGCTCAGTCTGATACACACTCACAGGAACGAGCCTGCGCGGGACCATACATCGCATACAGTCCACACTCTACCACGGTTACCAAAACACAGCGTCGACGTAGAGAAAGCCCCATATACCACGTTAGTCGTGGCGCCAATGTCGCTGCTTGCTCAATGGGCTAGTGAAGCCGAAAAAGCATCGAAAGAGGGCACTCTCAAAGTCATGGTCTACTATGGATCCGAAAAGTCCGTCAACCTACAGAGGCTATGCTGCGAGGCCAATGGTGTTAATGCACCAAACGTCATCATTACCAGTTACGGTACCATACTTTCTGAATTCAACCAGGTGTCTGCTATGGACGGAAACAGGGGTTCCCACGGGGGTCTCTTCTCGGTGGACTACTTCCGGATCATCCTAGATGAAGCTCATTACATCAAGAACCGTCAATCTAAAACAGCAAAGGCTTGTTATGAGCTTATGGCGACACATAGGTGGGTGCTCACTGGCACCCCTATCGTCAACCGACTGGAGGACCTGTTCAGCTTGGTCCGTTTCCTCAAGGTGGAGCCTTGGAGCAACTTCTCCTTCTGGAAGACGTTCATTACGGTGCCTTTTGAATCAAAGGACTTCCTCCGAGCTCTTGATGTTGTACAGACAGTGCTGGAACCCCTAGTCCTTCGCCGGACGAAAGATATGAAGACGCCGGAAGGCGAAGCTCTCGTACCTCTACCACCCCGCACAATCGAAGTGGAGAAAATCGAGCTTTCTCAAGACGAGCGCGACGTCTATGAACATATCTATCTGCGGGCAAAGCGTGTCTTCAATGCGAACGCAGACGCTGGAACACTACTGAAATCATATACCACGATCTTTGCCCAGATTCTCCGCCTCCGGCAATCATGCTGCCATCCAGTCCTTACACGGCATCAGGGGATCGTGGCCGACGAGGAAGACGCGGCTCTAGCTTCTGATTTGGCCAAAGGACTCGCCGATGATATGGATCTCGGCTCACTCATCGAACGCTTCACAACCGACGGCGAGCAAGACGTAAACCGCTTTGGCGCCCACGTGCTGAAGCAAATCCAAGACGAAGAGCACGCCGAATGTCCTATATGCTCTGAGGAACCCATGGTCGACCAAGCCGTCACGGGGTGCTGGCACAGCGCCTGCAAGGAATGCCTCCTGAACTATATCAACCACCAACGCGACAAGGGAATAACACCCAATTGCTTCAACTGCCGCGAACCCATCAATGCGCGCGACATTTTCGAAGTCATACGACACGACCACATTTCTCCTACCGATAACGACAACATCCGCAGCGATAACCCGTCTAGTGGCACGCAGCAGACCCCCCGCGTCTCTCTCCGCCGCATTGGCATCACCGGATCCGCGAAGACCCAGGCGCTTCTCACCCACCTCAAGCACCTGCGGCGCACCTCCCCAACCACAAAGTCCGTCATCTTCTCTCAGTTTACCTCATTCCTGGACTTGATCGAACCCGCCCTGGCGAGAGACCACATCCCCTTCCTCCGTTTCGACGGCTCCATGTCTCAGAAAGCGCGCGCGGCTGTCCTCGAAGAGTTCAGGTCGAGTAACAAACCCTACGTTTTGCTGCTGAGTTTGCGGGCAGGGGGTGTGGGCCTGAATCTGACATGTGCGCAGCGGGTGTTCATGATGGACCCGTGGTGGAGTTTCGCGGTGGAGGCGCAGGCGATTGATAGGGTGCATCGGATGGGGCAGGAGGAGGAGGTCAAGGTGGTGAGGTTCGTGGTGCGGGGGAGTATAGAGGAGAAGATGTTGAGGATTCAGGAGAGGAAGATGTTTATGTGAGTGCCTTGACCCCCTACTCCCGGTATTTGGCATCGAGCTGTCGGTTACAGTGCTGACTTTGGTAGTGCGAGTTCGTTGGGGATGATGAGTGATGAGGAGAAGAGGATTCAGAGGATTGAGGATATCAAGGAACTGCTCAGCTAGATGGTGCATTGATTGTTTACGTATGTATGTTTTTGTGGCGTTATCTGTATATGCAGGATTATACCATGTCTGAGATGTCGGGGGGATCAGTCCTAGCGGATTACGGGATTGCATAGCTAGAGGGCAGCTTACCGGAGAGCAGGTCCATGGGTGGTTATGTCTCGCATTTGCATTGGCATTGAACTTTCAGGTATACGTATGACATAGACTATAGTGCATAAGGCATATCATATTCTATTTCTATTCCGTCACCTTCATCCTCTAGATGCGAGGCAAGAACTGTTACCTCTGCCCTAACCCTATTTGCCTTCTACCTCTTATATAAAACCCTGCCTGGACTTTGCAACCCTGCCATGACTTTACTGATGCTAATCCTCTTTTCAACCCTCCAAGGAACTCAGGGGAGCAGACACACCACCAAGGCGAGAAACGCCAAGAGGTTAACTGTATGCCAACTCCTAGGGATATAAAACTTCCCTCTTCAATGTTTGCATAAGCGGTGTGGAGACAGCGGTAGAAGGGGTTAGGACGCCCCGTCATCCGCAATCATCCTATGCGTCAGAAGTTTGTCCTAACCGTTCGTTCCCAGCTGGCGATCCTAGAGCAAGTGAAACATCTCACGCTTTCCGTCCGATATTTTTTGACGGTTTCCAGCAAGGAAGTACACGTTGACCTTGGTGCTGCGGTATAACGTATGGTTGACCGCTGTGTTCTATTTTGGGCCAAATCAGAAAAAGGCGAGAATGTTGCCTCCCTACAAAGAAGGGCTAGTACTGGTCTCTAAAACATTCGGTCCCTCCTCTTCATCATCATGTCCCCATATTGCAGACTGGCGGTCTTTGTAATGGGTAAAAGGGGTCTTTTCGACCAATGAGAAGCGGGCGTAGAGCCGGGCCGAAATGCCTTTCCCCTCGTTATGACGGGTGCACCTCGCATTCGCTTTCTCGCCTTCTCCACTCGTTCGATTCATCCCACAACATTGCCGCGTCGTCTCCCCGGCGTCGCGCGAGGAGGCCGCCACTCCGCTGCTATTGAGTGATAAGCTTGGGAGACGCCCAGTAATGGCCCGTCTCGGCCACAAGAAGTCTCGCAATGGCTGCCAACGTTGCAAAGCGAGACACGTCAAGGTACGTCAGTCACTATCCGTTACCCGTCTATACCTGTGAATTCGCGACACAGGGCACATGTATGGAGCTGTACTTGTACAGCTACCCCTGCCCGCTACCCAAGTTTCCTTTTGCCCGCTGCCACTGCTACTGTACCACCCCATGGGCTTCATGAGACCACTGACGATGATCAGTGCGACGAAGCCAGGCCATGTTCGAATTGTGTAAAGCATCATCTGGAGAAGGAATGTAGTCTAGTTACAGGCAATCCGCCGGTAGGACTGCCCGTGAAGCGCCAACCCATCAGTCGGCCACCAGTGGAGCGCATATCGATACCCGAACCATTGAAGACGGTGCGTTGACAAGGAGCGTTTCGTCAAGGACCCTTCACTCATCAGAACAGCCCCCAGCCCGGACGTCAAGTGCTCCCTCGCTTTCCATCCATTATGTTCTAAACCCACCTCCTACGGCACCACCAACCTCCACTGGATCCAACGCATCATCGCCTCAATCTCAGAATGACACCTATCCCTTCCTCACCAGATTCTTCCACAGGACCGATAGCTCCCAGTCAGCCTTCACTGCCCGCGACCTAGAGTTAATGTACCTCTCCTTCGTCCCCTTCTACAGCTCGACACGACTAACCATACCAAGGCATCATTGGACCATCTCAACATCCCAAACCATGTCCTCACGGGAAGATGTGTCCACCTATTGGGCCGTCGAGGGGCCCAAACTCGCCATGCCATACCCGTATCTGCTTCAGGAGCTTCTCGCCCTGTCAGCACTGCACAAAGCAAATCTGGAGAAGGACCAACGTAGCACATTCTACGCCCTGGGAGTCTACCACCAGGACCTCGCAATCCATGAAATGAGGGCAAGGCTCCCCACATTAAATCCCGACAACGCAGGAGCCATGTTCGCTACAGGTGCACTCCTCAGCATGGGCGTGTTTGCGTCAACTGGCATGAGTGCCTCGCACATGGAACGCAGCTTGGGGAAACCCAGGTCATCGATTGATGCTCTCCTCGACATTTTCTCGCTGCTACAAGGCATGTACAGCATCCTCAACCAGGAGCGGCCGAATGTGGCGACCGGTCCGTTCCGCATTCTTATCGAGGACACCGATGAAGATTGGGTGGACCCTAAGCAGACGCTTTTCGACGATCTTGAGAACCTCTTGCCCTCTGTCCAAGCCTTCATCGAGGCGCAGTCATTGCCCTGGACAACGCGCTCCGAGACCGTGGGCGCACTTGCAACCCTCCGGACGTGTCTTCACGATGCGAATCGGCCTCGTGCAACTACTCGAGAGATCCGTTTTCTCTTCTTCTGGGCGAGTCGAAACACCCCGACCTTCTTCAGCATGCTGCGCTCCAAGGAACCCGCAGCTCTTGTGGTCCTGGCTTACTACGCCGTGGGCTTTGCCATAGCGGAAGGCCGCTACTGGTATATGGATGGCTGGGGTCCGCGGATTCTCGGTGACATTGCCGAGATTCTTGGTGGCCAATCTGTCTGGCGTCCCGTAATACAGTGGCCCTGGGAGTACGTACATCGCAGTGCGATGAAGAAAGATGATGGACTGCCTCGACCTCAACAACCACATCCATTTGATTTGCGAAAGCTGAGAACCGCATGATCCATGGACTGGAACCAGACGGTGACTGTCGACCCTGCAAGGGACCTCGACTTGTGAGTGTGTCCTACTCTATCTTGCATCGGGTCAGTTTCTGCATTGACCCGCGCATTGCATCTCAAGCGTTCAATATGGTGCCTGCAGCAACAGCAACCTGTAAGCTCACCCTTACCAAGAGCTGCACCCGCAATCGTTCCAGTCGCCGCAGGAGGGAATCGCGACGAACGATCGTTTGCACACATTCATTGCGGCACGGTTCTTCTTTACGAGTACGCACCGTTCCGGATCGTCCCGGCGCGTATCCATTCGCTCTGCTTGTCTGGTTTGCACTGCAATCAACGCTGAGCACCGCCGAACTCCTGGAAAAGGTCGGGTGCTGGCCCTCGTACCCGCTCGATTTACCCGAGAGCCAAACCGTCTGGAAAAAAGAAGATCACGAGATGGGGTTGCCTCGTTGCCTGGTCTTACTACACTTACTGTACCACCAATGTATCTACCGAAGACGGACTCGCTCGATTGCTGAACCGCCGATGCTGCGGGACGGCTATCGCGCGTCTACGCCGGGACGCCGTACGACCGCGCCAAGGCGGACAGAGTATGCGCATGCTGCATTGATCATGTAACGCTTTCGCTGCGCATGTTTTGCTGACGGTTTTCGAACCTTTTGAATTACGGGGATGGGGTTTTTTGTACAGTCTTTGATCCAGCAGCGACGCTGTTCGTCGTTATCAGGAACATCTACCAACTGCAATTACTTGTAGGCAGACAGGCATTCTTCATGGAGGAAGTGCTGCGCCCATCCACGGCGGCTTCAGTAACGCATCTTTCAATAATGGAGCTTCAATATACCTACATATGCGTCGACGTGGCATACATACCCTGCGGATCCAGCCTCGCCGTCCAGCCTCGCCGTCCAGCGTCCCATGTATTATTCATTCATTGGTGAAAATCGTTCCTACATGCCGATAGATACATCATCTGCTGCGGTGCGAGGTACGGTGCGGTGCGGAGCGGTGCGCCCCGGCGCGCTGCCGCACGACGCTGTGCTGTGCTGTGCTGTGCTGTGCCGCAGAGATACTTAGCCGTTGGAGATGTATGCCCCTCACCTGCCCTGAGTTCAGAGTCACCGTGGCCACAATGTGCAATCCAGCCTTCGCTTTACGGTACTTTTGGCACTTTCCGCCGTGCAGGTGCGATAATAGGAGGTTTATTTATCCATACTGCGGTGTGGTGCGTGGTTGTGGCGTGATTTTCTTGGGTAGTAATGGGGGGATGGGGGATGGGGTGTCGATGAAGGAGGTCAGGTCAGGTCAGGTCAGGTCGGGTCGCGGGGCAAATGAGTATGTTGGTTGCGATTTGTGATTTGAGTGCTTGCATGCGATGGGATTGGTTTGTGGGAGGAAGGTAGGTACTCTGTAGAAAGTTGGAAGATCAAAACACGGATTTTGACTTGTAACCCTTGCAATGATAGAGAAGAAAGGTAGACCTTCTAGCCCATGGCCAGAGCAAGGAAAAGCTGAGCATTTGTTGGGTTGTCGTACACAGCGCACGGTAGCTTTGACGGCGTTATCTAGCCAGAAGCACTGTGGAATTTTGTGTAAAAAGTCTGAGATGGGGTTTGCTGGATGTTTGCAGTGTGGAAGAGGAGACTAACGTATCACTAAAACATGTCAGGAAGAAACCAGAGACGTGAAAAGCCGCAAAGACGTAGAAGTGCTGTTCCATGTTTCCCAAACGAACCGACTATCTTGCTACTCGGAAATCCATGCATGTAAGGAGCGTATTGGGGTATCTGGGGGGGAAAAAAACGAAAAAACGATTCAAAAGAAGGCCGAAGGCGGAAGTGATCCAACATCGACGTCCGGGTCCCATTTCAACGCCATGAACGCACCCAGTAGAGAAACGATCCCGTCACGTATATCCATATCCCCATACCCTCCAAAGCATGCATCCTTCTTACTCCGCCCGGTTTCCCCATTGCGCTCCCTTCACAAGTCGAGTGAATGGTAACTATCATCACTACTCTGAAAGCGGTCTCCTCGGCTCCTCGGCCGGACTCCTAGCCCACCGTTCCAGTTCCTCAGGCGTGGGCTGTGATACAGCCGTGCTATCGCTCTGGACCGTTGTATCGCTGAGTCCACGGGTGTGCGAGGGACGCCGTTCGATGGGAGGATGTTGTCGAGGCAGATCGTCTTGGTCCGTTTCCTCCTTTGCGTCGGTGATGTCTTCTTGCTGCTGGTGTTGGTGGCCGGAAATAACTTCGTCAATATTCGACGTCAGAGAAACTTCGCTTGGGCCACGCGTATGAGTGGGTGGTGCAGGCACAGGCGCAGTCGTAGGTGCATCCGCATCCGTATCCGCAATACTTGAACTGAGCGCTGGATGCATCACCCCATCCACCACCAACGCATCTCTCGCCGCCTTCTCACCAACCTTGCCTTCTCCAGCAGGCAACTCACTGAACTTGGCATCCTCGCCCGGCAACTCCGCCAGCGGCACCGCGGAAGGCGTTCCAGCTCCGGATGAACCTCCTGCCGCAGCTCTCTTCCTCATTCGCACGCCCGCGACGAAGTAATCCCCGCCTGCTGCTACATTTTCACTCCCCGGCGTCGCAGCAACACTATCCGTCTGCGGCGGCGGACTCCACAACTCCGCCGGTGGAGACTCCATCTCATTGATCGGCGGGAACCCACCTGGTCTATCTTTCCCCTCGCCCATGCCATAATACCCCCTGGTAGACAGCGGCGGTGAGCCCGGCGTGTCAGACTCCAATTCCGAGACCCGGCGATGCTTGATTTGCTCGCCTGCAGCCGTGGTGTCGATGTCCGAGTGATCGTGCTGGTGGTAAGGCGGGAACTGTTTCGCGTAGTGTGCGCGCTGTTTGGCCTCGCGACGGCGCTTCCAGAGGAAGAAGGCGATGATGCCGAGGAGGACGAGGAGGACGACTACGCCGACGACGATGCCGGCGATGGCGCCCGGTGGGAGGGAGGAGTTCCCTGAGTCGTTATTGGATGCTGCGGGATCAGAACCGGGAGGCTTGTAGTCCTTGGAGAAGATGGAGATGATTTCGGGTTGGGGTAAGGGGTCGGAGAAGAGGGCTGGGGCGATGGTGAAGTTTGCGCGCTCGTAGTCCACGATGAGGTAGGTTTCTTGGAGAAAGGCGCGGCCGAGGACGTAGATCCCGTTTGGGGACTTCTTGATGGGGAAGTATCTCGTCCTGTTGGGGAATATGGGGTCACTGGCTAACAGGTCGAAGGCGCTGTATGGGAGCGTTATGGTTGTAACGTCATTGCTTGCTTTTTGGTTGGCGCCTATCTTGAACGTGACGGTTGCGTTCTGCTGGCGATTGTAGTTGATGGCGGATTGATTGACGGTATACATGTTTCTCCTGTCGTCATATTGAAGCTGGAACTTGTCTGCGAATTGGTCGCACAGGGCGTCGGGCAGCCATAAGTAAGGTAGAGTGGAATCAATGGCAGCAAGGAAGGCGGGGGTGTCGGAGGTGAGTGAGAAGTCATTGGCATCGACATCGCGGTCGGGATGGTATTCGACGGATTGGACGCCGACTAGGAGGGTGTAATTCTGGTTGCTCACCATGGGAATGGAGATCCCACCGCCAATACGGGAACGATCATAGCCTCCAAGCACCAAGTTACCTGGTGTGCCTCTATTCCCTGCGGATGGTTAGTAGTGTCGGTAGATGACCCTGTCATCTAGATACATACTATAGAAGGCGCCCGCGGTGTAGCCAAACGATCTTGAGGGGGTCTGGTTGTTGTATGCAAAGTTGTCTAGAAAGGGTGATTGCGCTTCACCTGCTGTCTTTACCGCTCCTATGCCTAGACCAAAAGAGCCCATGAAGAACTCTTGCTGCGCATTGCCCACAACGATCTGCTTCTCCAAGACGCTGCTCGAAGGGGAGCTGGGTCCCAAGCCAATGTTGATCCAACCATATGTACCATTCAGATTCCGACCCGACCACCAGTACGGAAGGGGTTGATTGTATAGACCATCCTGTGTCCAACCTCTTGAAGAATCCGCTTGAAGACCGAGCGGCTGTCGCGATTCAAAGATCTCTAGGCCTCTTTTCTGGGCGCAGTCGCGATCACTGCACCAATCCGCTTGCATCGGCAGCTGGGTCACCGACGACGACGTAGATATCAGCACCCTGAAGTTTTGTCCATGTCCCGTTCCATCTACATCTCCGGCGTTGATGATAAAAGTTGACCAATTTCCATCGTTGCCATCCCACTTTCCGCTCGGAGCTAAAGCATACGCGGGCTTTGGCAGGATAGTGGTATTCGCATGGTCCGCACGACGTCCGAGATACATTATGGTAGTCTGAGCATGTCGAACCAGCGGAATAAGAAAAAAGCAAAGATGAAGGAGATGCACAACAAATTGTCAGCAAGAAGAGTGTGCCGTCTGAGCTCTGACTGTATCACCGGTTGGGGAAGCGGGGAAGGGGAGATCGAGCATCAGCGCCTCGTGCGAGTTGAGCAGCTTATGCAACATGCAAACTGCGGAATTGACCGGGTCATACCCACGGCGTAAGCTCGACGAGCCATCTATAGAGCACTGGTCAAATCTTTTCTTTGTTCAACGGGTGAGCCGCCTGATTGACTTTCGCTACACCCGTCCACAAGAGCAAGGCCCGCCGTGCCACTGCCGGGCGTACCTGGACTGCAAAACTGCATGTTCACTGGGGCGAGCATGAACACAACCCTGGGAAGCCGGCAATTCAATGGATCGCGCATCTGACGAAGGCCACCGGTCAAGCGGTTCTGCCGCCGAAAACAAAGAGGCTGGGGAGGTGGTCAAAGGCGGCGAACAAGGAAGGTGGCAGGTGGCATGCATGGGTGAATGGCGTGCGCGTGGCATGAAGAAAAGAGTGAGACTGAGAGACAAAGAAGAGTGGTGGAGGACGACCAGGACTCTTCATCCCATGTTGTTACCCCCTGTTGCATGACAAATGCAAGGCTAGTCTCAATTCGGCGACCTTCCAGCCTCCGGACGAATGAAACTTTTGGCTTGTCCACTAGCGCCATCACGTGCACTCCGACCGCTTGGGAATGAATTGGAAGACCTCGTACTCATAACATCAGCGCCATTTGCAACGTCCATCCACTCTGCACGGCGCCAAAAATCCCACCGTACGACCACACCAATCTGCGCGCATACTATTGCTTGCAGTGACCAGGATGAATAATACCCTACTATACCCCGCCCGCTCACGCCCTGCTTACCACCGCCGCAACATTCACCGAAGAGGAGCAGCTTCGTCTTGCCATTACCACGCCATGCCCTCAGTAAAAGTTAAGAATGCCACAACTGAACCGTCAGTTCAAATTTGGGCATGTTCGCAAACATCCTTCTAGCTGGCTGTTTCACTTTCTTTGTCCTCCAAGCCACCGTCCCTCCATTTGTGCCACAGGCACGTTCACTGATTGCTTTGTCGGGCGAGAGTGAGCTGTATTGACGACCGTGCCAGCCCTGGATTGCCCCGCGCCGAGAGCTTCCCAAGGTGTTGACAGCCGATTGCTACGCCGTATACCGCTTTCCAGAGGGCACTCTCACGCTATCAAGTGCATGTGGCGTTCCTCTTCGTTCACTTCTGCTGGGATTCCGTTCTGTCGGATCGGGTCTAGTGAGGATTGAGGCCCTGGGTCTGCTTGTGGCAGCTGCTCCGAGCGGGCATTGATCGGGACGATTCCAGATGTCATTGTCGTCCTCTGGGCCTTGGTCAGGTTCATTGTTACCCTGTTAAGGTAAACAGGAACTTTCCCAAGCTGGATCCGCCATATGTGCAATGCAGAGCTGCTCAGCGGTAGCCTGGCTCTGCAGCCTACGAGCTTGCCGACTTATAATCACACGTTCCTGCATCTTTGTTCTCCCTTTGCTGTCCCTTCGCTCAGGTGTGGTGTAATCAGATCTTCAATTGCGTGGTAAGTCCAAAGGGTTTATGCGCTAGTTCATTAGTCTGCTTGATCTCTTCCCTTTGTCTAACCAATTCACTTCTTGTGCGACTCTGCGCCTGCGCTTTGTGCTCGGTTCAACAACGTGTTCTATATGTTTGCAGCGTTGCTCAATCTCGTCATGATACCTCCTCGTCACGTGCTGATCTGACAATTCACCCTTCTTCAGCCAGCTAGACCCTCATTCAGCCGGCGTCGCATACTTTCGTTACCAGAATGCGCACTATATGGCCGCTATTGGCGGTTTTTGGGGCGGTTGCCGCTCAGAATAGCACGGTGGAAGGGCTCGACTACGGGCCTCCACCATCGGAATATCCAGCGAACTCGGGGTATCCAGTGTCGACTACCTGTAGTGCCCAGACGGTCACGGCGACATATACAGCTCCAGGCGGTGGATATGGATCCACGACAACCATCACACAGACAAGTTGGAATACGACAACACTGTGGGATACCACCACCTACTATAATATAACCACGGCTACACAGGTATGTCTCGCTTCTAATGTAGTCGATTCAGTCCACTGACTTGTATAGACTGATACTGTCACTTCCACGACAACATGCACCACTACAGAGACCGACACCATCACCCAAACATCGACAACAGTAAGCTTCCACTTCGCTGTGGAGTCCTTCATAGGAAGCTAACAATTTCAGACCTGCACCACAACCATTATTGAACATGTGACTGATATTGAGGTATGTGGCTCCTTATGCGCTCACCTCTCAATCCGTTAACCCCTCTTTTCCCTTGTATTTCGTTTTGTCTATTGTTCTGTTTTTTCACAGATCGCTCCATCACTCGCACAATGATTACGCTCTACTTTTCCTCCTGCATCACATACTAACAACTCCAAGTACATTCCTACTACAACGGAGAAGACCATAGATCGGACGGTCGTAACCACTCAACCAGTGACAGAAATATCGATAAGCACGTACATCACAAGCTTCACCTCATTGATTACTTCATATATTCCAATCTATATTACTGGTGAGCTGCATGCCTACATGTTCCGCTTCGCGTATTAATGTTAATAGAACCGGGAACTACCATTACAAGTTATGTCCCGACGGTGATTACGACCACTATCACTTCGACCGCAAGCTATCCATACACAGTCATTGAAAGTGTCCCGTATACGACAATTGAAAGTGTACCTTATACAGTCACCACAGAGAGGCTTGTCCCGACCACCGAGGTAACGACTTCCATCTCAACCTATGTCTCGTACATTACGACCACCATCACCATCGTAACAACGACCGCGGGTGAGCCAGTTACAAGTATCGTCACGACCATTGTTCCTACCACCGTCACGGAGAGTATACCATATACGACTGTTGAAAGCGTTCCGTACACAGTTGTTGTTCCAACCACAGAGATTCAGTCCGTCCCAATCACTGTCCCGACGACAGTAATTTCAACTTCCACATATGTGACCACGATTGTCCAGCCCCCGACTACGATCACCGAGACCAGCACAGTCTCGTTACCTGGATCAATTGTTACCATAACGACCACCTCTGTCGTCCCACCTACGACAGTCACCTCCACCATAACCACTGAAATCACACAGACTCTGACACAGGTCGTGCCAACTACAGTTGAGCGAACAGTCGATCGCACCATCACGCCCAGCGCCAGCCCAAGTTCTTCGTCTCCGCTATCCGTCTCATGCACCACCGGCTGTCAGGTTGACGTCACAGCAACTCGGTTGGCATATCCGGGAGAGGTCACTGTCAGCACAGTATTCTATCCCCTCATTAGTGTCGATGTGTATCTCGACCGCGAAGGACGCACCACGAGCTCCTCCACTACTGTAAGGCCCACTCCGACGCAAACACCAACCTTGACGTGGGTGTACTCTTCTGTCACTCTAACCTACCCAACCGTCTATGCATTGTACGATGATTACACGCACATCAAGATTGAGCCTGTCTCCACATCTTGCTCCACCGCACGGCTATCGCTTACCCTCCCCTCACCAACGAATTTGGCTCCTCTCATCCTCCCTGAATCCGAAATCCCCAATCCTTCGTTGGTGCCGCCGGTTGTCGTAGACTACCTAAACAGTCTCCCCACCGTCGTGGAACAGCTTGGGCGACCCATCGGCACAGGGGCATGTGACCCGCTCGTCGGCAGCACCAGGAATCCGGTCACCGCGTCCCTACCGGTTACCACCACCGTCACAACTATACCTCAAATTGATCAAGTCACCACAAGCACGCATATTGCGCAGGCTGTGTCTGACCCTTCAGTTGGGATCACATCCACGCAGCCTCCCCCATCTTCGATACCACCACCCAGCTCAGCAACCCCAAGCGAGACCCCAACTCCATCCAGCACATCTGAACCTTCCAGCCAAGCTCCACCACCATCTTCGGGTACGCCCCCTCCTCCTTCGTCCGCGCAACCCCCTCCCACTTCCGCACCACCATCATTGGGTACGCCTTCTCTCCCTTCATCTGTGCAACCCCCTCCCAGCTCCCCACCTCCGTCATCAACGCCTCCTGACTCTTCCACTCAAGAACAACCCTCCCCGCCACCATCCTCTACGCCCGAACCTTCCACCCAGTTGGAAACCAGCTCCGTTATCTCAGAACCCGAACCTCCTTCTAGTAGCACCCCTCCACCACCAGAAACCCCCGAACCCGAATCTTCCGCTCCACCGTCATCAATGCCTTATACTCCGCCGCCCGCAACGCCCTCGCCTTCTTCCACGAGGACAACTACAGAAGCGATCAGCAGCACCCTCAGCGCTCCATCCTCTTCAAGTAGCCTACCGCTGCAGTTTACAGATGCAGCTGCGAATGTGAGGCCGGGTGTGCTGTTTGGAGGAATGATTGGATTGGCGGGATGGGGAGTTGGTGCGGGATGGATATGATGTCCGGTTTTGTTCTGTTTTGCAACGGATTGGGAGGAATATTGGGTGAATGATGTTATAATCGGGACGGAGACGGAGATGGATGGGTAATGGTTTTGACGTAGAGGAGGAATGTAATGTTTTCGTCGGGTCTACAGGAAATAGATAGGGTGAGAAATTTGAATACATGAATTTTAGACATATTGTTCTGAGCTTTTGAGTGCACGGGAAGTGATGATATGGCTTGCGCCTCCCTGTCCCTAGGAGTGTGTTTAAGAAAATACATATACCGTTAGAGCTACACTATGAGAGTCGTGAAAACTGTTCCTCGAGGAACTTCAGATGTGCTTTCGTGTGTACTAATAGATTTCTTGCAAAGTCGCAAGAGAAGGAGGGAAAGAGGGAAAAGAAAAACATGGTTTGGAGGAAAGGTGATGCTTCTGAAACAATTCAAACTCTCTGACAGATTACAGTAGAAGAAATGGGTTGAAGAGAAACGCAAAAAGGAAGGATTCTATTTGCCGCTGTCGTCATAGAATGACCCTCTTCGCCGTCTGCAACTGAGACGATACAGCTAGGTATCAGCCTTTTTGATGCCCGTGGTTCTCGTTACCTTTTCCCTCTGGATGACCTCCGCGACTCGATTCCCCACTCGTTCCACCAAGTGAATAATATTGTCTCTCTCCTGTTGACGTCTGCCAAGAGAACTGCGCCCTTGATCACGGTCAACGCTGGGTGGAAAGGCCAAGATTTTGTAATGCAGCTCTTCCGACGTCTCTTCCAGTTCCCGGTCTCTGCCCCCAGCCAGAAGTTTGAAGGAAAGCACCAGGGGAGGTATTTCAAAGAGAACCCAGCGTTCGTTGCTCATCTCGCTGCTTATCGAATTGTTCGCTGTTCTGAGCGTCAATCTCGGGGTCTATCTGTCGTTCGCCACCTTGTTGGCTTCATCTTCCTGCACCTCCTTCTTTTGTCCACCTCTTGCCTCAAGCGAGCTAAACGTCTTCGTTAATCTTTCAATTTGCGTCTCGATCGGCCCCATCTTGTTCTTGATCTCTGTGATGTCGGCCTTCATGGCAACGTCGTGCTTTATGGCGTGCTTCAACTCATTCAGAGTTGCAATGTTAGGGTTCGAGGCCATGGCTTGATTGAGCATTGTAATTCTGCTGACAGCATTGCAAGGGATGGACGGGATGGTGTGATCAGGGTTTCCCTTGGTTTCGGAGACCGTGGCCATGATGGCGACGTTGCTGGGGGTTTCCTGAATTACTTGGTCAGTCCACTAAGACACAAGAAAGACGGGGTGCTTACGGGAGAGAACTTTGCGTGCTGGTTTACCGACCGTTCTTGGAAGATGGGAGTTGTGCTTCTGGCTGCTGTTTTTCTCTTGACGTGGAGGAAGCGACCTATATACCTGTGATCGGTAAGCACGGTTAAACATTGCTCTGCGTGTTTGCTTCATGAGTTTTTGAACGGCGTCTTTGCAAAGAGGAATGATGTGCTTGCTGCAGCAAGTCGTGTAACTTCTGAAACAGATAAAACATGTTTAGCACTGAAAGCGTTACCGGTGAGGACAATGGCGGACGGGGGTCCGGATTCTAGACAGTCCCACTGCGAAATCTTAGGGCCTGACTTTCCGCAATATATCACCTGAAACCACAGCAATCGTGGCGTGTCTTTTGGCAATTGAAAGGGCTGGGGGTGAATCAAGAGGTGAGGCATGAAGACTGGCGGTAGCGATGTTGGCTGATGGAACATTTGCGATGCATCTGCGGAAGTATGACTGAGAGGCACTGTAATCCTAACCAAACAACTGTCATCACCAAACAAGAAAGCGCATAATATATGTGAGTGTCACGGGAAAGGGAAGCGTGTAGAGTCCATGGAAGGCTACTCCATTGGACACTGGGCGAGACGCAGCCGTATCTGATTGCATGTGGGCGTGAAGTGTGAGGTCCGTGCACGACCAAGCAAACAGTACCAGCTGCAGGGTAACTAGAGAAGCAAGACCAGGACACATAAGGGTTGATTCACGAAACAAGAGATAAGCCTGCTGCAAGAGATGGATATTTACTGAGTATCTCATGAAGAGCAGTAGTGATACCGAGTACAAGTACAAGTAAAGTTGCTTGCCGGAGCAAGAAAAACGCAATCCGCATTCTAGTGCTATGGTACTCTCTCCCAATCGCCTCTGAATCGATTAATACCCTGTACGTGCAATCATCGCCCTCCCAACACGTCATCAGGTTCCACTTCGCCGACATTCTTTACTTGCCCATTTCCGTTCATCTGCCCATTGTCCGTGCTCAATTGCCGCTGGAGTTGCGTGCATTTCGCGGGCTGGATGCCTGGTTAGTTTTTGTCGCCGGCGAACAAAGCGGATACGTTTAGGTGTTGCCAGTGGACCAGCTGAAATTGAACTCCAGGTGTGAACCAGGCTTTGTGCGGGAGGTGGCTTCGCGCGAATTTCCAGCCGTACGGGGAGTCTTGTTGGCATTTGATGGAGCCTTGACGGCCTTGGAGTCATTTTCAGTGACAGAGGAGTCCGCCCGATTCAGCGACATGTGGGTGGGAGGGATCATGCCGGAATGCTTGACTGGATCAGTTGCGCGTCGCTTATTGAAGGTAAGATCATGAACCTCCCTCTTGAACTCCGTGACCTGTTGCACCAGCTCCTCAATCCCGTCAGTCGCCAATTTGAGCTTCGTAAGATCTACTCTGAGCTCAAGCATCTCCTTTGACCAATCCGTCGGCTTCTCCACTTGCGCCTTGAGGGCCTGGACTTCGTCCTTTAGCTGCTTCAACTCGTGCGTAGCGAGCTGGGCATCCACCCGACAGTTTTCGACTTCCTCTCGGTCCTTTTTCGCCTGCATTTCGAGTGCTTCGATACGCGCGAGCAACTCGGGAACGTCGGGCGCGGGACTGTGTGCATCCTTGAGGGTAACAAAGTCGTCCTCGTCGTCGTGGATATAATCTTGGACTTTTTCGACATCCGACTTTGATTGGTAATTCCAGAACCCGAGGGCATGCTCTTGCATGCGCTTGTCCGCACCTTTCTCCCACGGAAACAGCCCGCCCAAGCCGGCGTGTTCTTGGTACCAGTTTCGATTGAAGTGTTCAAGAAGAGTTGGGACTGACTTGATCTTCGGACAGTATTGCGACTCATAAGGATGAGTCTGGCCACACATTATGCATGGTTCCGTACATTGGAACCAGAAGCGACGGTGTTGGAGAGGCTTAGGATTACCGCAGCCAATGCAAAGAGTGTTGTGGCGATAAATGCCGGCGTCTTTCAGAATATCCCAAGCGGGATGCTCTGGGTGCAAGAAACGCACATGGTGCCTGTCTTCAGCCATGGGGTCGATATGCTGCTGCTTCGCTGGCTGCTTCGCTGGCTGCTTCGCTGGCTAGTTCACTGTCGAAGGCGATCGTAGAGCAAGAGACGGATGCTGGGGCGCTATATATGCCGGATGCGCGAGAAACCGGTTGTGCTGTGTGGAGCTGTGGGAAAAAGAAGCGGGAGGGTTGCGACTCGGGCTTCGGTTTATATGGTCCACAAACTACTCTGACCGCCTTTCACTGACGACATAACAAAATGTGCGCAACGGCCCGGGCGCACACCCAGGGACTTTCGCGATTGGACACTAATAGCTGATTATCATGATCGCCATCATCAAGCTTTTGGCTGGCCTCATCTCCGACCATAACCGCTCGGTGATGGACAATGAGTGCTTCCTTGGCAAAGTGGGTGAATGTGTGAAAGGTCTTCGTCCGATTTAGCTCTCCGATAGAAAAGCTACCCTTTCTCGGCATTGTCAATATCCTGATTCGTTATAGAACAGAACCGCGTCTATCTCGCAAAATGGAATGGGGCGCCGGGTATGGGCGATGGTAAGGAGAGGGGGGACGTAGCATGCATATCCTCTTTTGGTGTTTCCTTAGGCATCTGGAGTTCGGGTTCGTGAAGAAAATTCTGAACACCTTAAAAAAGATAAGAATTCGGGCAGATGATTTCAGGACGTGCATATAGAACGTGTACACCGATGGGTGTTGAGGACATGATATGGACTGACAGGAACAGTAAGACTGAGACCGTACAAGGAATAAAACAAGGGAAGGTAGAGTGCAAAGCGGATTAGTTTTACCCTTAAGATGCGCATGTGGACTCCGAGTCCCGTCAACATTGGAACTTGGCTGTGTTGTGTTAGCACTGACCGCACTGAAGCCACTGTTCGGGAAGTCGTGCTTCGACGCGTCCATGGTCGGTGAAGTTTTCGTATGGCTGAGATGACTTAAGCTACCACAGAAAGGGGGAGAATGTTTGGGATGTAGCATTTTGTATGTTCTGTCAGGGTTGAAGTTGAGGTGCCCAGGTGGAGGAAGAAGTGAGGTTATGTCTTGGCGATTCACTATCACTGAAAGAGCGCTAGCGCGCTTCTCCTAGTACGCCCAAGCTTCCTAGCAGCCCCACTGGTCTCTACTCTAGATCTACCTCGGTGATATCTATACATACTGTTCCCAACGCCCCGACTCTCTCTATGCAGCACGCAGCGTAACCCCTCCACTGGAATTCCGCATCCCGCACTTGCACTCTCGTTCTCCTCCCTACCAGCATTCACACTATTTGAATCCTCACTTCGAACCTTCTTCGACGGCGCAAAAGCTAGGGAACAACCATGGCGACCGGCGGCGCAGACCCGACCGGCAGCGGACAGCAAGCAAGTACTCCAGGACTGCGATATCCGTCAAACAAGAAGACAATATACGACCGCAACTTGAATCGCAGTAAGAATGCGGAGCTGAGTCGAGCGGCATTTGCATACCTGTTTGTGGAGATGATATCGTACGCGCAACGGAACGTGCGGGACATTGCCGCTCTAGAAAAGCGGTACGCCATCTTCCCTGACTCCAATTCTGCGCTTGTTACCCGTACTCCCCCATTGCAATTCTGCGATTGGAATCATAGCTGAACCCCCTCCCACAGTCTCAACGAACAAGGCTACCCCCTCGGCCTCCGCCTCCTCGACCTGCTTCTCTCTCGCTCCTCCAATCCCCTCGCCAGTATCCGACCCACGCGAATCCACACGTTGATCCAATGGGTTGCCCAAACTCTCTGGCGGCACCTCTTCGGCCGCCCCGCCGACGCGCTCGAACGCTCCGCGACCGACGCAACGCAGTACATGCTGTACGACAACGATCCGATGGTGAGCACGTACATCAGTTTACCGAGAGAGATGCGCGGGTTGAACTGTGCGGCGTTCGTAGCAGGGATTGTGGAAGGGGTATGCGACGGGGCGGGTTTTGCGACGGAGGGAGTCACGGCGCATAGCGTGGGGGATCAGGGGTCGCAGGAAGGGGATGCGGCGGGTGCGGCGCCGAAGAAAGAGATGTGGCCGGATAAGACGGTGTTTTTGATCAAGTTCAAGCAGGAAGTTCTGGAAAGGGAGGAGATTCTGGCCAAAGGTGCGGGATGATGCGCTCAGGACGATAGTTTGAGAGGGGTAATTTGAATGGATTGGAGTTACGGTGCGAACGGCATAACTGTGCATGTTGAACCGAAGGTCTCACGGGTTACTTCGACATTGTGGAGAGGCAAGGAAATGCACATTTTTCAGGCGACAACGAACTGATGCCTGATGGCTTCTTCGAAGGAGAAATAGCATGTAGTGGCATTAACTAGCGAGCACGAGTTGTAACTGCTCGCCACGAGATCCGTTATTATTGATAGACGAGCCCAGAGAACGCAGACTTCGAGAGGGGTGTCTGAATTTCTGAGCCGGTATCCAAGGCTCCCACGCACAAAACCTGCGCAAATACCCGCAGGAATTCTATCTCTGAGCCTGAGATATCTCCTATAATGTATCTGGTCAAGCTTTTAAGCAGGACCTTGAGATGGACTCCAACGTCGAAATTACCTCCTCCTACTTCGACTTCGACTTGGGCTCCGCTCCCTACTCCTCTCTCTACTCCTCTCTCGCTTCCTGCGCTCCCGATCTCTGTCCCTAGACCGCTCTCTCGACCTCTCCCTGTCCTTGTCTTTTCCTTTATCTTTCCTATCCGAACTAGGGTTCCAGCAATCGGATTCTTGATACCTGGTCGGGCCCCTTCGTTCATAATCGCGTGATCTGTAGCCCCTGTCCCTATCTCTATCTCTGTCCCTGTCCCTATCTCTATCCCTATCCCTATCCCTATCCCTATCCCTATCTCTGTCTCTGTCTTGGTCCCGGTCCCGGTCCCTATGCCGGTCTCTGTCACGGTCGCGCGAGACACTGCGATCCCTTGTATGAGAAGCTTTCGAGCGGCCGCCCCCAGGTACATAACGATCAATGCCTTCACGGTCCCGTGATCGCGAGCGTTCACGGCGGCGTGGAGGCGTCCCGTCTCGCCCACGGCGATCATGGGAACGAGATCGACGTCGTTCACGGGAGCGACTGCGGGAGTCGTAGCGAGACTTGCGGCGACCAGAGTAGGTCTCACGAGAAGGGCTGCGGCTGTGTCGTGAGCGGTCGTCTCGACGTGAGCGTCTTGACCTGCTGTCATCACGGGGGCGATACGATAACCTATCGTCCCGTGTTTCGTAGCGCGAGGAGCGACGGCGGTCATATCGACTCTCGCGCGAAGGGGAGCGACTTCGACTGTGCTTTCGCCTGCTGGCCCGATCGGGGCTACGAGATCGTGAACGTGCTTTCGTGCTCCTCGCAGGCGGAGCCTGGTCAAACCTTGATTTGGGTTTGGATTCCTCGGTTGACTTATCGGCTGGAGCGTCCGGCATGGGGGTATCTTCGTCCTTTGCAGCAGTTGAGGACAGAGCAGAGATCTCCAACTTGACAGGCGATTTCGCGTCGCCCTTCACCCTGGAGACTGGATCACGGGGGACGAGGGATTTGGGAGGATGGGCCTTGCGCACTGGCGGTTCCAGAGACTCAGAACGTGGGAGTGATGGCCGCTGTCGAGCCTTCTTCATTTCCTCGCTCTCCTGAAGTAGAGCCTGGAGAGCCAGATCGTCATCCACCTTGATGTCTTCCAAGTTCAATTCTTTTTCGGGCTCAGGCTCTAAATCTGGGCTTCTGGTCCTGCGTCGGTCCCTGTCTCTGCCGCGGTCCGGGGTCCTGCTGCGCGTCCGGTACCGATCTCGACGCCTGCCACGGTCACGGTCGCGTTCACGATCACGGTCCTTGTCACGATCACGCTCACGCTCACGCTCGCGCTCATGTTCTCGCTCACGTTCTCGCTCCCTCTCTCTTCTGCGGCGATCCAGCTCCTCATCCTCCCGTCTGCGTCTTTCTTCCCGTTCCTCTCGTTCTTTCAACGCACGCTCCCTATCCTGGCGGCGTCGTTCCTCTTCCTGCCGGTCAAGTTCCTCCCGTTCCCTGCGTCTCCTTTCCTCGCGTTCTTGGCGTTCCTTTTCCCTTTCCTTCTCACGAGCTTCCTTCGCTTCACGCTCCAGCCGTCTTCGCTCATCCCTCTTCGCTTTTTCCTGTCTCTCTTTCTCTCGCTCTGCCTCGCGCTCCTTTTCTCGTACAGCTGCACGCTCCTGTCGCCGAGCCTCCGCAGCACGCGCATAGTCTTCTTCAGTCTTACTCCCACGCCGTTCCTCCTCAGCCGCTGCTTCTTCGCCCACTTCCTGTATGCGATACTCGCGCATCTTCTGGGCACCCTGCGACTCGAACATTTGATCAATGAGCTTGGTGAATGTTTCCGTAACGTTTTTGTATATGTCGCTGCGCTCTCCAGCGCCTTCAATCAGGGTCGCAGCGACACGGGGTTCCTTGGACAGTAAGGTTGGGTCGCGGTCCGTTTCGCGGTCGACAAGCTCTTCAAGGGACGCAAGTAGAGCGGCTTTTGCGGGCTATATAGTTATGTTCAGCGAGGGGACACATGTTTCTAAGTAGGCAAACTCACATCCGCTTCGAATTGCGCGAACAGGGCCTTGCGCATGGCATCGTATTCGCCCTTCTTCCGAAAAGTGTGGAGCAGGTTGTCGATCGCTGATCGCTTTGTCTGTGATATGGGAAGGTCCGAGAGCTTCAACTTCTTCCGTGGTGGTGCGGCATCGAGCGCAAGGTTACCGTCGACCTCTGCCATAGCGGCGAAGACGCGTGCTGGCTCTCGAAAGTCGAAGAGCCCTCACAGTTTGCTGATGCACAGGAGCATACAATCGCCTTGATTGGTGAAGCCGCTTCACTCAATTGTGGTTGCGGTTGTCATGCGCGGTGCACCGCAGAGCGACAGTAAGGGGTCAAAACATACAACGGCGATGTTTCGAACCTCTGGGGAGCAATATCTAGACTGGAGATGCGGAACCGCCAGAGAGGTGAACTCTCATGGGCCTTGGCGTCACATGACCAGATCCGAGCTTCCCGGATCACGAACCTCAACATCGAGAAGCACATCTCATCCTGGCAGGACGACCGGAACGCGACACCAAGTACCTCCCTTCGACACTTTATCGCTACAAGGCGCGGTGCCTGCCCTCAATTGCCCTCTCAGACACACTGCGCACGCTCGGATACCGATTCCACGATGGTTCACAAGGTTCTATTCTGGGGAGGCTTCGGTAATTCTCTCAAACCCCTCCTCCCGGCCGTATGATATCAAGACAGGTTGTCGCTGACATTCAATCGTGTTTCCCAGGTCTCGGTGTGCGGCTATGGCAGCTCGGCATTGAAATGCGACCACTCTTCAACAAAGAATCCCTCTGGGTCTACCCTATTTACGCATCAATTGGCGGCAGCTTCGGATACTGGCTCATGGGTGTCGAGCAGAGACAATACAGAATGCTTGCGGACCGGAGGGATGCACTGCTCGAGAAGAGGGCGCGGAGGAAGCAGCGTGAGGAGGAGGCAGCTGCAGCGGCACTTGCGACAGAATCATAAACAGGGCAATTGCCGGGGAAAATGAGGGAGATTTCTAGGCTCAATCGCGATGCACAGTCTTGCATTGCAAAGAGGCTCGTGGGACATTGTTGGGGAAAGCGTGAGAAGTGAGCGTTGTACTACATGTTTGACTGCTTATTTCCAAAGTCGAATGCTGTACAAAAACCACCAATTTCATCAAAATTACTACCAAGTTACATCCAAAACTGCATCTATTTCATTTGTAGCCGTATACTAGCAGTGTCTAGCGCATGCGTCGTAAGAACCGCACTGAGCGGGATTCGCAGCTAAAAACAGCAGCACTAAAACCATAAGAACACCTGTCCACGATAATGCAATCCATCCACTGTCTGATCAATACATATAGGGGCAAGTCGACCTCGGATTTTTGATGAGCTCAGAGCTTATCCCATACGTCATCCTCCCGCTTCTTCAACCTCCCCATCCTGGCCATTATTTCGACCAATGGACCACTCCAAACACAAAGGGATAGTCGTCTTCTCCGGTGGGAGTGCTGCAAACAGCCTTGTCGATGTCTTCGGAGCGGTTCGAGAGAACAGAAGATGTCCTTTGAGCTATGTAATTCCCATCAGCGACAATGGCGGAAGTTCTTCAGAATTGATTCGCGTTTTTGGAGGTCCCGGTACGTCTATCTGGCAAGGTGGCGATATGCATACTGACCCGGTTAGGTATTGGTGACGTTCGAAGTACATTTATTGATCTTTTTCAAGTGATTCCTGTTTACTTATCATTCCTTTAGGTCGCCTTGTCCGCCTCATCCCAGACGCCAACGACGACGCTGATGACAGCGAAAAAGCGGCCATCAAAGTCTTCTTCAATCACCGCCTCCCCAAAGACAGACATGAAGCCAAGAAGGAATGGCTCCAGATCGTCGAGGCCAACCATCCTCTTTGGACCAACATCTCCAGCGCTAAGAAAGAGCTGATACGCAGCTTTCTCAATATGATCAACTTCGAGATTATGAAGAGATTGCGGCCGAGCTCGACGTTTAATTTCTCGAGTGCGAGTATCGGCAACCTGTTTTTGACAGGGTAAGTACTTGCTACAGTTCATTGCACACCGCGGGATGCCAGTCACGTGATGGCACAATTCACCATTAAATGGAGAGCCACAGGAGGCGTACACGTTGCATGATCTTAAGTCCAGTGAGACTCTCCTGAAGCCGAAACACTAACATCTCCAGCGCTCGCCTCTTCTCCGGTTCATTCGAATCCGCCATCTACCTCCTCTCCTCCATCTGCCGCGTCCCTGACCACACCTCCGTGATACCAGCCATCAACACAAACTTCACACACCACATATCCGCCAGCCTCGCAGACGGCACGACTATCACCGGTCAAAACAGTATCTCCCACCCATCTCCCCCTCAACCAACCCGCACTTCTTCCCTCCTGGAAGTCCCCTCAACGACAACATCCTCCTCCTACCCCTCCACAGTCCCAACCCCAGACCCCTACAAAGAAATCCACAGACATACTGCCGCCCCAGCACCCACCACCACGCACGACGACACCGACACAATCGAAGACGCCAACCCCCCAGGCACCCACCCCACCCTCCGCCAGCAAAACATCTCCTTCTCCAAAACCCTGTCCCCCTCCGACGACTTGCCCGCCCGCATCTCGCGCATCTGGTACATCAACCCGTACGGCGCCGAGATCCGCCTCAGCGCCAACCCGCGCGTCCTATCGGCCCTGAACGCCGCCGACGCAGTCATTTACTCCATCGGCTCTCTCTACACCTCTCTGATCCCCAGTCTCATCCTCAAGGGTGTGGGGGAGGCGCTCGCAAATCCCCGGATAAGATGGAAGATTCTGATTCTCAATGCGCTGAATGATCGCGAGACGGGGCCGAGTTGGGACGCCTACACGGCGGTGGACTTTGTAGCTGCGATTGCGAAAGCGGCGGCTGAGTCGAGGGGCGTGCTTAAGGGAGAGGTGCCGAGGAGCGAGTATAAGACGTATGTGACGCATATGATCCACTTGACGGGACCGGGGACTCCGCGCGTGGATAAGGAGGTGTTGAGCGAGTTGGGGATAGAGTGTGTGCGGGTGTATGGGAGGAAGTTGGAGGGGGAAGAATTCGTCCGGTATGATGAGAAGGCTTTGGTGCAGGCGCTGGAAGTATTGATGGGGAGGGGTAAGGATGGGAGGACCGTGCAGAGAAGTCGGAGAAATACGTCTGAGGGCTGAAATCGCGGGTTGAGAGTGTAGTGATTGGATGTTGAGAAGTTCAACATGGTAGTGTTGATGCTTGAGACGTATTGCGGTAATATACCTTGTATTTGCAGTAGCCTGGGTATCAATGCTTCTCGATAGTCATACATATGCCTTGAACATTTACACTCCCTGTCCCCGCCCATGCAACCTACTCCATTCCGCCCACAGCCCTTTCCAGATCTCCCTGCTACTCTTATCCAATCCCTGGTACATCGCCTGCAGGCTATCCTTATCCATTTCCGCCGTACCGATGGCCTCCCAGATTCCAGGCATTAGCTTCTCCCTGACGCTGGCGTCTAGTCGGCCATTCAACTGACAGCGGCAGAAAGCTGCGAGCAGTGGGTAGATATAGTGAGATACATATTCCCTGGCTGCTTTGACGGGATCATTGAGAGCCGTCTTTGTGTTGGAGGAGCCTCGATGTTGATATGCTTTGGACACCGATGACTGGGTTGGGGAGCACAGCATCGACAGGATGCGAGCGTATTGGGATGCATTCCACGGTGCGAGATGGATCGGGGCCGATGAAGGTGACCTGAGCCAGGTGGGTAGCATATGATCCCTGCCGGCATGGGGTATGAAGAGGCATGAGAGAAGCCGTTGGAGAAGTTGGAGCAATAAGTGGAAACGTCCACCCAGGCGACTGCGTTGCAGCAAGAGAATGTAGCGTGTAGTCTCGCACAGGCGACTGTAGATCGCTACCGCGTCAGGTGTGGGAAGGTCTGGACTACTCCGTGAGCATAGTCGCGAAAGCGCCGTCAGTACGCACTCAATGCTATGCTGTGATGTGAGGGAAGGCTTGTCTTTCACGATCGTGTTGATTGTATCCAGAATCCCGGACAGAGAGGAACTAGGAATGCTGTCGGTGTTATCCAGGACGTTGCACAACCGAGGTAAGAGGGCGACTTGTTGCTGTCTGAGTATCTCGTCGTCGTCCAGCTTGTCATTGAGCGTCGAGACGAGGGCATGTAACAATCGAAAGCATTCACCTTCATGACCGTCGGCAGCTGCTTGAAGGAAGGAGGAGGCTGCTCTCAACTGATCCGCCAGAGGAAGGGACAGCGCGGCCTCCTTGAATGAGTCCAAGATGATGCGTTCATTCTCCTCTCCGGCGGTGGTGATCAGGACTTTGGTCAGAGCTAGGAACCAATCCAGGTTAGGAAAGAGTCTGGCTTTAGCTACAATTGCATAGGTTAAGGCCTTGTCCTCTTCGCCAATTGTAGAAGCGAACATCGACCCATCGCTCCCAAATGAGTGTACGTCGATCGTCTTCCTGAGCGCTTCAATATTATTATGTTCTCTTAAGAGGCTTGCCGGCAGTTCAGCGATGGCGGCCATGACCGCTCTGCCCATTGATTTGGATTCGAGGGAAATCGCCAGCAAAACCGAGTACTGCTCCCAAAACAGTATCTCGTTGTCTTTCTGAGAAAGAAAACCGGCTCTCGCAACGGCCAATCGAGCTGGGAACCATCTACGCGGTTTCACAGAAACGATCTTGTCTATGAATTTCTCGAGGTATCGTTTGTTCTGGACCTGGTCCTTATTTGGTAGGACGTGACTCAGTGTCAACTGGATGACCTCTTGAAACAAACGCAGCGTGTTCGACGATTCGTGACCGTGGTCATGCAGACTCTGTGCAATTTCAAAGAAAGCGCCACCCTTCGAAGCGATCTTGGACGTAGCATTTGGGACTTCTTGAAGCGTTCTCATAACGCTGAGGTAAAGTTCAGCGTCTTTCGCGTCCGACAAAAGCGCCTCGGTAATCTTATCTAACACGGCTTCACGCTGGTCTCGGGGGAGAGCCGATGGACGGATGTGGGGTAGCGCGGCTTTCACCACCCCGAGTAACGCTTGGTTTTCACTGCCATGTTCCGCTGACTTCATTAAGGCCGCCGCAAAAGCAACCCTCAAATCGGAGCGTAAGGACGTGAATAGTGTCTGCGCGAGAGCATCGGCAGCGTTTTGAGCAACTTCAAAATCGAGGTCAACGAGCTTTTTAAGTATCTTCTCCAGATTGTCTTGCCAGGTGTCTGTGTCGGTTTCGAGGTACTCCAAAAGCTGTGCAAACTCGGTACAAAAGAGCGTTAGCATGTCCGTCTGAAGCGGCGTATTGCCTTGGCTGGACAAGATGAATTTAAACGCCTTGCGTATGCTCTCTTGAAGGAGGTCATCCCACTCGGGGACCGTCCGCAAATAGTCGCACGAAGTGAGCAGAAACAATAGAGCTGCTTCCTTCGTTTTCGGATGGGTATGCTCATGGTTCTTTTTATTCTTCGCAGATATATCCTTCATGGCTCTTCGATGGAGCGGCGCTAGGAGCTCTTCTTGAGCGTTCCTTGAGAGGTGGAGGTGCAAGGGCCACAACATCGTCACGAGCTCACCCATGGTTATCCAGTGAGAAGCTAGGTCCGTGTGCGTTCTATACCAGCTATCCGTGACCAACTCCGAATACGTCGCAGCTAAGGAGGTCAATTGATCTCGGAGCGCCTCGATGGTATCATCGGAATGAATTGAAGAAAGCAAGGCGCGCAGTATTACATCACTGCTGTGTGCTTTCTTGAATGACTCCTGAATTTCCGGAGATGGCTCCTTTGACTCCGTCTTTGGTGGCTTGATACGTTCTGAGTGAGTTCGCACAAGACTGCTGATTTGTGACGGTGTCAACGACTTCTCAACTAGCGCTTCGATGGCAAGTTCCAAGCTTCGAGCTTCCCAAATCACGGGCTGAATGCCTCCCGCTGTTTTCCGCTGGAGATGTGCATGGGCGCAAAGCTGAATGTCCCAGTGGTTTATGACGCCAAGTAGGTCCCGATTACGCGCGAAAGCCGACATGATTGGGACTATTATGGATTCCACAAGGACCTCACCATCAATGATAGTTTCGACGTTATGGTGCCGGTTGCCCTGGCTTGGGGCATGCTTATGATCGTCGTCATCGATGTCCATTGCGTCTTCAGCAGCTGAAGAGGGGGATTCAAGATCGTTTGTAGATATGTTGTCAAAGAGATATCGCGCCAAATCCGCAGGCCTTTCTTCCGACGCAGGGACTTCGGCCTTCTGCCCTGGTCTGGGTACGAAGATATCGGCATCGAGCTTTACCAGAGCTGAAATCAGGGGCCAATGGGCGGTTCGACGATGGTTTCGTGGGTATTCGATTCCTGAGTGATACCAAAACAAGTCGGTAAGAACACCTGCTTCCATTTTGATGTCATGGACAGTCAATACTTCCAGCAAGCCCCGCAACGCCTTGACGGATAGGGTAGGAACTTCGAATCGTGGTGCTTCAAGTGCACAACCAGCACATTCGGCGAGCGCAATGAAGGCGGCCTGGAGCCATGGACGCTCAGCAATACGGCTCTTCGGAGTCCGTGACGGGGATTTCCGAATGACCAAGTCCAGGAGCTGTGGAATGCAATCGAAAAGAGGCATGAATGATTCAGGAATGGAGGCGGATGTGTCGTGGATCTGAGCGGCCTGAAGAATTTTGGCTCTTAAAGGTTCTAGATTACCGGACAACTGGTCGCTCTTACTAGACTTCGGTCTATCGCTCGAATGTTGCTGAGTCCCCATATTGGCAAAGAACGATTTTCGGCTCGGAGCGAAGATATGGGTCATCAACAAAATTTCAAGGTCCTGGATCGCCTCTCTCAGAGCCTCTGGGGTCTCTTCAACTGCAACACTATTTTTATTAGTGTCCCGCAGGCGTGCGTACAAGTTTAAGAGAGGAATGAGGCATTCTGACGAGAACTGATCTGCGGAAGCGCTTGTTGAGTCTTCGATGTCGATTGTACGAAGGCCCCAGATTTGTAGCACAGGAGAAAGGTTCAGAAAAAACCGAACCGCACCACGTCCTGATTCCAAATTGGAAGTCAAGAGGCCGCTGACGGCAATGAGCCAGCCTTTCAAAATCCTTGCAGCTTGAGCCGTTTCGGTTTGCATGACCATCTTCATTCCCTGCGATGGCACCATCTCTTCACCAGAATCCTCCGAGCTGCTTTTTCGGCCTACAGACCTCATTACGGTAGCCACTTCCTGGAATAACAGTAAAAGTTTCTCCGATCCAAGGTTGACTTTCTTTGTGGGACCATCAGAACGCCCCGAAGGTCGCTTTCGTTTTCGCGACAAATTCGCGTCTTCTTGCACGGTCTCGCTGGATTCCTCAGAGATATCGGTCTGTGTGTCCCGGGATGTAGTGGCAGAAGCGGCCGCAAAGTCCTCGTCGAAGTTCTCATGGAGCGTCCTCTCCAGGATGGATAGAAAGTCGGCGTCATGAAGCTGAGCAGCCGCTTGACTCGCAGGGAGAATCTCTATCATCCAATGAAGAAGTTTCCATGCCCTTAAGTGTGATCGCGCCTGAACACCGCTGCTCCCTTCATCTTTCAACTTGTCAAATACCCATCGTAACACCCATTCTGCTTTGGCGCGTCCTACCCTCTGTATAACATCATGACGGCTATTTCCAATCTCAAGAGTGGTCCATCCTTCGGGCAGTCCAACAATGTTTCTGGCTTGCTCGATCTGCTCGTTTAGGTCCGTAAAGTTTTTGTTGATCGCAACGAGACGGGGCAAGGTTTGGACTTGCTGAGCGTGCGACATCTTTGATAGTTAGTCAGAATCCATGTGAGGTCTAGAAACGCCACGTACCGTAGCAGTCGCAGCCATTTTCTCGAGCCCAGATTCGCAAAGGATCGGTCGCAACAGAGATCAGAGCGTTCGGGTTGTCTCGTTAAGGCTGAGAAATTTGAGCTCGGACCACACGCCAAGTTTCGACGACATCGAGCTCCGCTCAACCTCCGCCCGAGGTGAACGCGAAACCTCCCCATAGTCACTACCATCAGGACATCTGGTCTCGGAACTCGTGTCGAATAGGCCAATTGAACAATAACACACGCCCATCATGGCTGACGAGACCTCGAATAATACCGCCCCTGTCCCGCGGACATCGCGCCCCATGAGCGAAGCTCTTTTGAACGAGAAGGTACTTACAAGCGTTTCGGACTTCATTGACTACATTGGAGGAAGATTCTGGTCGTGGAATCAAGGAGGATGGCATAATTAGGCTTTGAGACTGCAGAAACTCGTCTGGTTCCGCGCGCAATACAGCCCCCATGGCCGGATCAGATACATCAATCGTGCGACTTGTTTCTGAGTTCTGTTCACTGACTTTATTTGCTTTACAGTGGGATCGCTGCCTCTCCTCCTTCCTTATCCGCTCCGGTCTCGGTCTCTCCTTCGGCATCGTCTTTTCAGTACTGCTGTTCAAACGGCGCGCATGGCCCGCGTTTGTTGGTCTCGGTTTCGGTGCGGGACGGGCTTGGGAGGAGTGTGACAATGTGAGATACTCTATGGGATCTTTTGCGATCGATCATACTGACATGGAAGCAGTCCTTCAAGCGGGCGACGGTACCTTCAAGAGACGGGCTTCGCGTTATACGGCCATAGACGAAAGGCATGCATCGTCTAGCGTCTTCGTATTGAGGTTCAGGTTATTCATGTGACATCAAGCTGTATAGTAGACGGGGAGATGGCATTCCCAAAATTCATTGGTGCACAGTTGCTTTCGTTCGTTATGGTGCATTGTTCAACGCCTCTCGCCGGATGTTACCTAATCCGCTGAATTGGACATTACGAATCTTTGATGTTCCTCTCTTTCCTCGACGACCTGGCTTTGGCAAAATAACATCGGACTGTGGCCCACTTCATGGACGGTCCTCCACCTTACGATGGGCGCTGGTTATGCTCAGTCTTGGTACAAACCAAGTCATTTTAACATCGAGAACTGAAGTCGATTATTGGAACGTCTCTAAATTGAGATTCCGTATCTAGGAGAATGAGGACTTAGAAGATTAGCGTAGTCTCCAATAGAAACCCACCATGCATAGCCAGAATTCGCCGATTTTCTACCCAACCGTTCTCCTTAATGGGGTCAATCTTCTAGTGGCAGTTACGCATGGCGCCTGGATATATATTGAAGTGGGCCGTAAGCGTTGCTCTGAGCGCAGCAGTACGGAAACAGCAGAATATTTCAGTATGGATGTATTCTGTGAAATGGGACTGCAACAGGTCACTGTCCAGGTGTGTACTTGTAGATCGCTGACCTGAAAGATCGACCAATCGCGAGATGACCTAGCGGAAAACGGCCGCTAACCGAAACAAGCAATACTCCACCCCGGTTGACCGAAACTACCCCGCCACTCTCACTGAAGAAAGACAGCCGCGACAGTGAACATAGATTCTCTCCTTACGCTCACGGCTTTCTTCCCCTCCTCCTCACTTCCCCCCGCCAATCATCCCTCAATCCCGTCAAAAATGGCCTCGGCAACCTCACTCGACACCTCCCTCCCTACCACCAGCGAGCCCCCCGCCTCCCCAACCACTACCTCCGCACAAACCCAATTCCCGCCCATCAACATCGGCACCCGCAGTTCAACACTTGCGCAAATCCAAGCCCGATGGGTTGAAGATCTTCTGAAGCGCGCACACCCGCACCGGACCTACAGAATCTGTCCCGTCCTAGCGCAAGGCGATAAGGACAAAGTGACGCCGCTGCAGCAGTTGAGCCAGGGCGAGAACGCGAAGAGTCTCTGGACGGGCGAATTGGAGGCCATGTTGGAGCAAGGGGAGGTGGATCTCATTGTGCATTGCTTGAAAGGTGTGTAGTACGGGAGCTGCTTCAGGTGGAGAAAAAGGTCTGAAAATGGAATCAAGACTGATGGGGATTTAGATATGCCAACACAACTCCCACCCAGTCTGACTCTAGCCGCCATCCTCGAACGCGAAGACCCTCGCGACGCCCTCATCGTGTCTCCCAAACTGCCCAAGACAACGACGCTCCACTCCTTTCCCGCCGGTTCCACGATCGGCACCTCCTCCGTCCGCCGTGCAGCGCAACTACGCAGGCTCTACCCATCGTTTAAATTTGCCGACCTGAGAGGAAATGTAGGCACGCGGTTGGCCAAATTGGACGCGGAAGATAGCCCGTTCGCGGCGATCATTCTCGCCGCGGCAGGGTTAAAGAGACTAGGTATGGAGGACCGGATAACGCAATACTTAAGTTCGGATAGTGGAGGCATGCTGCATGCTGTTGGCCAGGGAGCGCTAGGTATTGAAATTCGGAAAAACGACGAGAAGATAAAAGAGATGGTGGAGGCAATCAGTTGCGAGAGGACGACACGGGCATGCTCCGCTGAGCGAGCTCTGCTCAGGGCGCTGGAGGGCGGATGCAGTGTACCGATCGGTGTGGAGACGACGTGGAGAAAGAAGAAGGGCCTGGCGACGGGGATAGAGCCGTCATTGGATTATGATAAGCATGGGAAGGCCGTGGAGGAGCCGGTGGATCTGAATGAGCAGGAGTTGGTGCTAAAGACACTGGTTGTGAGTGTTGATGGGAAAGAGTCGGTCGGCTACGAGGCAGCACGGAAGGTCAGGTCTGCGGAGGAGGCGGCGCAGTTGGGGAGAGATGTGGCGACGGTTTTGCTACAAAGGGGTGCAGATAAGATATTGGAGAAGATTAGTACGGAGAAGCAGTGGGCGGCGAAGAAGCAGCTCGAAGAGCTCAAGGTGCAGTCATGAGAGCTGGATCTGCCCTTCTTCAAGGGTTTGCCACATACTGAGGGGTACATGACAGGGAGGAGGACATTAAAAAGGCGCTGCGAAATACCCACATGGATTGTTATCGGTGTTTAGGGGTCAAGCCAGCAAATATCATGACCTTCTCGACGTCCTCACTGAGGTTTTGAACACGGGTACCGGACATTACGTTGCAACTGATCGCTGCGCAACGTCGATTTCTCAACGCCTAAAACATGTGAATAGAATGCTCCTCAAGAAGATGTCGTCAATAGTGACTGAGGACACACTGATTGGAAGGGCGAAGGCCAGTTGAGAGAATTACCTGGTACTCAATCCGGAAAAGAATAAGCAATGCTTCATCATGCACCAAATCGAGTTTGAGCAAAGTATTCGAGGATGTAGACTCTTTTGATTCTCCTATGTGTCCTTCACCGAAACAACGCAGACCCATTTTCCGGTTCCCGACCCATGCAATTCAAGACGGGGTATTGGTATGGAGAGAAGGAAAAGAAATCGTCTACTCTTCATCCTCGTCCGCCTCGTCGCTGACAACGTTGAAGAAGCGGAGCTCGTATACGCCCTTGGAGGTAGAGACGACGCGGAGCCAGTCACGGAGCTGCTGCTTCTTGAGGAACTTCTTGGTGCTGGGGAGAGGTTAGCCTTGATCGCGGGCACGAGGATAATCTCATTCGAACGTACAGGTACTTCAAGTAGCGGCCGGAGAACTCGAGGTGGGCAATGACCTCAATCTTGCCATCGGCCTGCTGGCTGATCTGGACGTTATCGCCGAGGTTGCCGGTGCGGCCCTCGACCTTGATGCGGTCGTGCAGGAACTTCTCGAAGGCCTGGATGTCGAAGATCTTGTCGTTGACGGGCTGGGAGCAGTTGATGATGAATTTCTTCGTCACCTTCTGGCCCTTCTTCTGGCCCTTGGGTCCGGCTTTCTATATCATTGTGTACCTTAGCCTACTGTTCTGTGCTGGGAGATGCGGTCGCCGTGCGATAGCTCAGCCCAGCGGACAGCAAAGCGGTGTACGTACGGCTGCTGCTACCATTTTGGATCGATTGAAATGAGGAGGGGCGCAAAGAAGTGGATATCCTGCGCAGGGCGTAATACGAGGTGTTTATGTGAAAGTGTCGAGGTTGCAATGTGGGAGTTCGTCTTGGTGCCCAAGTGGAATTTTGGCGGTGGGAAGAGCTAACCTGTTCTAGTAAGAGGCTTGGCAGAATTTGTTACTACGTTGACCAATCACAGTGTTCTGAAGAGGGGTACATTCATTCACTCCTCATAAGACTTTCGTTCTATTCATTCATACATAATCTGCGTATATTCATCTCACCAAAGCACGATTGTCATCCTTTACTTCCTCGTCTACAAGTACACTCCTCTGCAAGTAGCTTACAAAAACAAGGCAGCAAACAGCGCGATCAATCCTCCCGCAACACCATTCTGTGCGAGAAGTGACGAAGCAGCACCGGAAGGCTGTGTAGGTTCACCACTTCCCGTCGGTGTTCCGCTCGGCGTTCCGCTAGGTGTTGCCGTCGCCTCAGTGATCGTCTCAATCGCAGTAGAAGATCTCGGTGGTGGTGGAGCATTGTTTCCTCCGTCGTTGACTTGCAGCGGCGAGGTCGTAGAGTTGTTCTTGGACCTGGCTGCCTCACGGAATGCCTGAAGAGTCCTGGGTCCCTCCTTACTGAAGAAGTGTTAGCCATGTCACTCTGTCGTAAAAAGTATGTTGGGACCTACGGAGGATTGATGACAGCCACCATCCCAGCAGCGCAGTGGGAGTTACCCTGGGGCACAGCGGAGCAGTACAACCATATCGGCTTATCGTCCTTGACCGTGATCGTGAACTGCTTCTCTGCCTTTCCCTCCGCGACCGCGAAGTTGAAGCCAGAGAAGATGCTCCCGTTGATCGGGTTGCACGGGTTGTCGAATGCTGCCTGCGCTACGGTGTGGTTCTTGGGGTAGAATTCGAAGGTGATTCTGTCTCCGGGCTTTGCGCTGATGGTGTCGGGTGTAAATCTGAGGCCATCCTTCCCTACTGCAACAGTTTGTACGGCGGAAGGGGGTGAGGTGTGGTTGGCGGGATTGTGATTGTGGTTGTCACCTCCCGCAGGATAGAAAGCGAGAGCGAGAGGGAAGGTTGCAAGAGCAGTGACGAATGTGGAGGAGATCATTTTGGCTTATTACGTGTCTGATAGGAAGAAATGGGAATCAAAGAAAAGCTTGAGGTTGGTACTGGGTATCTTGAATGGTCTGAGAGGATTGAGCAGCGATATGGTCTGTCTCCGCCGCGAACTGAAGCCATTCTTGTATTCAGAGCACTACCATCTTTCCAGTGCGCCCCCTTCAGACTTGAAACTCTGTCAGCAACTGTGTTATTCTTGTGGAGGCTTCTTGCTGTATCGTGCCGCGCGATAGATGGTGCGCCCTGCGGCCACAGCGAGACTGGGTTTAAGCAGTCAGGCGGCACAGTTGAAGAAGCACGAATAAATCTCATAGAACGCGGGTTATCGTGGCGAGCATGAGTGTGGTGCAGGTTACCGCCCCAAACAGTCGGGCGCAATATGACATCGTGTCTGTTTTAGTTGGAGGCTGAGTGAGGCACAGAATCCGGGCGCGTAAACATGATGGATATAGTCAGCCATTTTTAGCATCACGTTTCAGGATCGACCATGCTACCTGTTATTCGTGCGATAGAAAATAACTTTGGTTTGCCATGATTCGCCTGTCGAAAAGGATTACTCACCGGAGTCCATCTGCTCCGCACAATACAGCCTCCCGTGTCCCAGGAAGTAAGATCTTGTCCATAAGAGGGAAGCCTGCTGTACAAGTAGAACAACCCTTGGGCACTCCATCACCGGAAGACGTAACGGCCTTATCAGATAAGATAAAATAAACTAGAATAAAAAGATGAGACAAACTAGGACTACCGAGATGTAGAAGTTGTCTCTAGGCCAGAATACCAGTCCATACCCGAATCACATTCCACTACAGAGAGAGAGTACGCAAAGGGGAAATAGAGAGCAAACAATCCAAATCTTTGCTATGTTTCCTTCAGACAAGTCGCCACGATGATCCCACCGTTGTGATGGGAAAGAAGCCGGATGAGCAAAAACAAAAGAATAATTTTGCCCAGTATCTTAACATTGCCCACTCTCGGAATCGAACCGAGGATCTTTGCATATCAAACAAGAATACGAGTGCAACGCATTACCACTGTGCTAAGCGGGCAATTTTGAGAAGATTTAAAAAATTTGAAATTTCAAGCTCTATGTGCTAAAGGCAGCACACTCAAGATGATCTCTGATTAGCGGTGGTGTTAACAGGATCCGTGAATTATGTGTAGCGTCCCTCTGGCTGAGGAGAAGGATCAAAGATATCCACGCTTTCAACGAACACGCTCCTCCCCACGATATGCATGACGTAGCGTGACCCGCGCATAATCAACCACAATGTAACCCCACGTTGTCGACTCCTGCATGTCGCACGTTAATCATCGATTCAGAGGGCGGCTACAACATGATCAAGACCAACCAACCTTAAGGAGCCGCGAACCTGTTCGACCACCCTTCGACACCACTAACTCCTTCCGGGCCCGTTTGGAAACGGGCATTCCAACTCGCCTCGTCCATGGGATATTCTCCGGGACCCTCATGAAGCGGCGCCAGTTCGTCACGTCTACCTTGATCTCGCGCCCCAACGCCATTCCCGCCCGATCGCTACCCAAACCTCCTAACCCGGTCCACGGAAAAGCCTCATCAAGGATCTCATCAATTCTCCTCTTCCAGAATCTCCTGCTTAGAAAACGCTGTTCTTCGCGTACCCACCTTCTTCTTGATTCCAGCGACCTGCATCATTGGGTCATTCCACATATACGATATATCCCCGATATTGACCACCCCGTCCAGGGTACCGAATACGGGACTCGGACACCTCAAAGCCTTACAGCCGGCTTTTCCATGCGGTCTTACCGTTGACGCCCCCATCTGGGGTGCATACATACTCGCCTCCATTAAACGCGGATTCCGCTCGTGATTCGCCCTTCCTGACAGGGCTATTTCCAAAATCCCAGGTCTCATCCAATGAGGGCTATCCGGCCCGTTAGTGTAATGTCTGTAGATTAAAATCTCAATCTCGGACTACTTTGCTCACGATCTGGGGGAGGCGCATATGAGGCTCGTCGCAGGGTTATGGATCGTGGAGGTTCTTGCTTGCTTCGAGGGGTGGCAGGCGATAGATGATGGCGCTGGCCTTGTGAGCTGGCACAGCGGTATATAAGGGGAAGGGGAATTTGTTCTGCTCGACTTCTTTTCCTTCGTCGTTCCTCTTCGATCCAGGCCAGTCAAACATGTTCTTCTCTACTGTCTTCACCGCTGCCGCTCTCCTCACGGCTCAGGCTGCCGCCCACGGCGCCGTGACCAGCTATGTCATCGATGGCAAGACATACCCAGGGTAGGGCTCTCTGCATCTCTCTCAACTCGCCATGAGCTTACTATCCCCACAGCTACGAAGGCTTTGCGCCGGCCACCAGCCCCAAGACCATCCAGCGTCAATGGCCAGACTACAACCCGACCATGAGCGTCAACGACAAGAAGGTCATGTGCAACGGCGGCACGAGTGCGGATCTCAGCGCCACCGTCCCCGCAGGAGGCAAGGTCCGCGCCATCTGGAAGCAGTGGACGCACGAACAGGGTCCCGTCATGGTCTGGATGTACAAGTGTGCCGGTGACTTCAAGTCCTGCGACGGCAGCGGCAAGAAGTGGTTCAAGATTGACGTATGTTTCACTCATCTCTCATCCGCATCAGCTGTCAAACATGCTCACAACTCCCAGCAAGAAGGCATGACCGCCCCACCCCTCAGCGGCCGCAACTGGGGCACCGCCAAAGTCGTCAAGAACCTCTACTGGGAGTCCACAATCCCGGCCAACCTGGCACCTGGAAACTATCTCATACGCCACGAGCTGCTAGCACTCCACCAGGCTAATGCCCCTCAATTTTATGCAGAGTGCGCACAGATCCAAGTCACCGGCAGTGGATCCGCAGAGCCCAGTGGCCAATACCTCGCCAACATCCCCGGCTATGCGTCGCAGAATGATCCCGGAATCATGGTCGATACCTATGGCAGCAAGGCTACTACGTATACGCCTCCTGGCCCGCCCGTCTGGACGGGACAGGCGTTCAAGCCTAGGGGCTCGTCGAGGGAGGAGTAGAGCGTGAAGTAGATGAAGTATTAGATCTTCAACTTGTATATCTTGATTGCATATGCTGTTGCATGGGAGAATGTGAAACTTGAATTCAGGGGCGATTCTGTGTCTGATCGTTGACAAGTTGGTTTTCATCTGTTCCATCTGTGAAGCGAACTTCTGCTGCGTGTGCTTGAGATGGATGGGAGAGGATGAACGAGCAGAGATGAGATGAATTATTGAATCTCTCTAAGGTGCAGGAGGCTATCTACATATAGGCTACTGCGTAAGACAAATGCAAACAAGGAACGGCGCCTGCTGACCAGCTATAACAATCTCATTGTACACAGGATAGAAGCTGCTGGAGAGGAAACCAACAGTTGTTCCTAAACTCCATCCATCTCCTTCATCATCCCTCTTCACTAAGATATCTAAGCCACGTGAGGCGTGCAATTGCATTGTTCGCATCTGATCGCCATGCCAATACAGACCTCTATTCATGCCCTCCCTTATAATCTTCACTAAAATTGGCATCATCGAACTATGCCTGCGCATCAATAGCGTTGCTTTCATCATTCATCGCACTATCGTCATCGCATTCGAGGCCATAATATTCGTCAGAACATTGCAATTCAAAATCATGACTGGGAGGACCTCGATGGGTTTGCCTTCACAGTTTAACAAGTAGGTTCAGACATTCATGAGATCAATATGTTCAAAGGCCGATGCGCAAGCATCGCACCCCAACGGACAGGAGCTGAAAGCTCTATTTTTGAAAAAAATAGTATTCCTACCGAGCCCAGATATAAACGCGAGGAGGATGCGGCGAACTTGTCTTAAAGTTACAGTAATGCCGAGAACTCAGAAAACTCGCTACAGGTTGAGCCGCATATTGGCAACTCTCCGTGTTGCTAACTCGGCCAGATAATTACCTCACCTCCCTAACACAGGCAAGCATAACCCAGTCGCACGCAATCAGGGGACACCTCCGAGAATCCTGGAGGAAGATTCACCACACTCTTTCCAGAATACTAAACCAGGCTTTGTTGCTGTTGTAAGCAGTCTGTACGTAGCTTCCATCAAAAGTCCTGAAGGTCGCGTTTGGAGCGCCGGCCAGCGTCTTCGGTGCGCGGTACGTAAACGTTGCCGTCCATTTCAGCGGGCACATCAGTCATGTCGTCATAGATATCAGTCCCAATCTTGATTTTCTTCGTCATCTCTCTAGACGATTCGTAGTCTGCTTCAACCACCTAAGTTTTTTTTTCTTTATCTGAGCCTTCTTCCACAACATGTACCACAGCTCATACTGCTCGGTGGTTTTGATGCGATTGGCTTCGAAGAGCATCGCTAGCTTATGGAAGTCGCCACGGTAGATCTTGAATTCGATGGGGATAACGACTGTCGTATCATCCTGGTCGGTGCCATCCTCACGCATATGGGCTTTGCCCGACTTTTCGATATCGAGCTCATCGGAAAGGGCCATGGTCAGCTTCTTCTCTTTCGCCAGAGCTGCCAATGCTTCATTCAGGTCCTTCCTCCAGTTTCGTCCCGCTTTGAGCTTCGTGTTCTCGTCATCCACCGCGGTCTTCGCCTTTTCGCTCTCTTTGCTCGCATTCCTCTTTTCTTTGCGAGCCTTTTTGTTCGCTCCACGCAGCTTGTTCGACCGGGTATTACTCACATGAGTGAGCATCGCGTTTTCACGTTCCATCTCAGTCAATTTGCCCTTCAGCGCTGCATTCTCGGCTTTCAGTTGGCGGTTTTCCAGCTCCAGCATGTTGGTTCTGCCGATGGCTTCCCGTCTCAATGCAGAATGGGACTTGAGGGTCGCCTTGTGGCGTTTCTGAAGAGTTTCCAGCTGCTTCGCGTAAGATTCCGCTTTCCACTTCCATTGCTCTTTTTCATGTGTCATTGCGTCCAGGGCTGAATTTTCGAGAAGATCAGAGCCTGCCAGGTGTTTCTCTTTCGCCCAGAAACTGGAGCTCACCTATTTCTTTGACGACCTTCTCCATCACGGCTTCGGAGCGCTTTCCCCGTTCGTTCTCGCCTTCAGGAAAAGTCTCAGTGCTCACACTGACTTCCGAAAGATTAGGAAGTGGCAAATCTTGCTTCTTGGGGCCTGCATGCTTGGGGTCCGAGGATGGCGGGTCAGATCGAAGCGCTCCGTCGTGGGTCATCTGCATATAGTTAACGACTGCGATTGCCGGGCCGGATGGCAGCGCACCTTGTATATTTTAGGGTAAGATGATGGATGTAAAACTGAAAATTTATGCCAACAACGAGCGTGAGCGAACCGTCTCCCAAGGTCTTAGTAGACTTCTATCGGATCCAATTCGGAGACGCCGACGACTGGGTGGCTTTTGGAGGATCGCCCCAGCTCTCTAAGGAAAGTGGAAGCCGCAGAGAGAACAAGAATACTGGAAGGAATGAATATAATGTTACGTGCCGGATGGTGAAGAAGACCAACGGTGTGGTGCGGGTGAGGTGAGAGTTCTGCAGTGGTGTCCCTTACATATTGACAGGCAGAGCTGCATGAAGTGGAAGGTACGATGATGCCGCGGGCGCGAGAGCACGTGAAGACTCGACATTCACTGTTCCCCATTTGCCCGCGTTGCGGATCTGCGGGGTTCAGGGTCCTTGCAGCTAACACCAAACGTCATCTCGAGAGGAGGAAAGAAGCCATCCAAGGGCTTCCTTCATACGTCCAGAGGAAGACTCCGTGCAGAACTTGAAATCACTGTGGCCACGGGGACGAAGGATGAGATTCATCCAGTGTCAATCATCGTATGTCTGAATACGCGGTTTAGCAGAGTCACAGCATGGAGACAAGAACAACCCGATTGAAGACATTCAAGTCGAATCATTCCACGCTTCTCTAGCCCCACCCATTTGCCGCTCTGGGCCTGTAACCGCGGATTTGGACTGAGGAGAACCCTCGCATCAAACAACCACTATCACATCGCTGGTTTTGTTCTAACTGCCCCTCCCTCTAGCTTCTAGATCCTGCGTTCGGCTGCCTTGCATGCCTCTCGTACTTTCTGAAATTCTCTCAGAGTGTTATCGCCAGGGGAATCAATAGCCTACCGAGACTCGTATGTCCCCCAGAGTACGTATCGCGACATGACCGATAGGGTCTTATCTCGTCTTAAAGGGAAGCAATTTGCCTATGTTGCATCTGTATAAAGTCACTTCGCTCTTTGATGGTATTTCCCCGTGTTTGAGACAGGCTCCCGTTCCTTAACATTCTCAGTGAGCGCTGAGTTCTCCTGTTCCCGCTTGTCGATTTCCCGATTGTGGTAGATGGTTAGGGTTCTGATCGTTTTCTCTGCTATACTAGCCTTTTTTTTGTGCTTTCATCCTCAGATATTCTGCATTATTTACGTGGGTGCTCTCTGGCATCGTATGCTAGCTTGTGGGACGGTTCCGCTCGTTGATCTGCCTCTTGTGGCTTTCGTCCATGTTGTGTATGACACTGCACGCCATGAGTATCTTGTCTTTCAGCATTCCTCTTTTTGTCATCCGCGTTCGATGAGCGGACTTTCGCCTTAGCCAACTCAATCAGTGCCTCCGCTGACTCGTCATTTGCCTGTTTTATTCTGTCGTGAAAAGAAGAGATCACGGTCCAACTGGATGATGCAAAGACGGCTGCCAGACAGAAGCTGCAAGAAGAAGAGGACACTCGGTCGAAGCTGAGGAGTTTATGAAGCAGCTGAAAGCGGTGGAGGCGAAAGATGCATCGGAGTCGCGGAAGGGATCCATAACAAGCTTTGTGGCTCATAGTGCACGTTGCCTTGCACAAAATCAGACTTGATCAGGTGTGGATACCGTAAGGCAGTTTGGATGGAGATGGTGGTTTTGCTGGTCGATGCCAGAACTAGCTTTGGTCAGCTGAATGGCAGAGAGGAAAGGTTTGCTAGGGAAGAAAAAAGATATGAAGGGTATCGACACTGCGCCATGAACGGCAATAAATGAAATCAATGGGCCCTCAGAACAAAAGTACGTAGCGAAGCTTCGGACAGTAGTTTCCAAGGTTCGTTCACATACTCAAGTCCGTTAAGAAATGCAAGCCTTTGTTCAAGCGTGAGCATTACGTCAATGTCTTCAGGCAGTTTTTGATGTTGTCAGTTCACTGACAGCGTCCATTATGTAAATGGTTTGGCGCAAGACGACGGGAATTTCTACTACTTTATATTGCTTCCCACGCACTCGCCGTGTGGAAAAAAAGGAGAGAATGCATCTCCATCCTGTGTTGCACAAGTCAGGGCGTCTCATTGGCAACAACAGCTACAAAAGCAGCAATGGGCACTCACACTTCGGACATTTGTATTTTCGCGAATAATGAACGGAGCCACCACTGGCATGCATTCGGCTCGCAACTGAATTCTGCCAATCTGACAGTGGAGAGACCTGCAAACTGCAAATGCTCGGTGTCCGAGCCTAGGCCCAAACCCTGCCGATTTCCAAGCATATGTACACTACCAGAAATTGTGTCTTACGAGCCCAGTATTGCGGTGCCACTTATGCTGACCTGAGACCGAATGCAGTCCTCTCCTCTTAGCTCATGACATTGATGAAGAGTTTTCTATTACTTAGTGAGAATTACCCGCACTTAGTCCCCAGCTTGTAGTAGTAAGCGGCTCACCGTAGCCGTAACAGCCGCACACCGCTTGAGCCATCTCACTATAAGTTCTTATTCTTGCCCAAGATCTTTTCTCTCCCCTACACATTTCACGCCTCCACGCACAACCAAATACGCCCCGGGGCGGATATCTATTTCTTCTACGTTGACGCCTTGGCACCAAAACCACGATAATGCCCGGCCCAAGATCCGTTCTCGAGGAGTACCTCTATGAGCAACTTCAACACTACCTCGGGCCGTTTTGGGAGCCTCCGGAAGATGAAGAGAAAAGATGGTATAAGCATGTCGACTTTGAGGATCTGGCTAGTACGTTCAGCCAACAACCGTTCCTGATATCATGGTTATCTGTGAACCCAGATTAACTGTCTCTCTCACCCGTAGGGAAGATTGCATTACTTATCTTTCATCAGTACGGGTTTGGATTCGATGACACCAGCAACGTCTTCATGATCGCCACCGATCTACGTAACGTGTTTTACAAGCGAGTGGACATTACAAGCGAGTGGACACCCCACCAACTTTCTACAACGCGTGAACTCCCAGCCCTCATGGCACCCCCAACCCAAGGCCAGCCAGCCTCGTACGAGGCTAATATACACCTTGCAATGTCAGCTATCCATCAAAATCAAATCCAGAGGCAGTCGCTGCACAGACGTTTGGTGTCGCTCGAAGTACCCTCCACCGCCGACGCGCTGGGAAGCCTGCCTGACGTGATTGCCAGCCCAACTCAAAGAAGCTTACTGAGCTAGAAGAGGAGGTGATTGTTATACATATACTTGATCTGGATCAACGTGGATTTGCACCTACATATGCAGCTGTACGTGATATGGCCAACATCCTGCTAGCTGCGTGCGGCGCAGGCCAGGTTGGTATCCACTGGCCAAGCAACTTCGTCAAGCATACAGACAGTCTTACAACACGTTTTAATCGACCGTATGATAGGCAGAGGGCTCTATGCGAGGATCCTAAGTTAATTAAGAGCTGGTTCAAGCTGGTAGAGGAGACAAAGGCCAAGTACGGCATCTGTGATGAGGATGTCTACAACTTCGATGAGGCTGGCTTTATGATGGGCAAGATCACTACTCAGCTTGTTGTAACAGGATCAGAGAGGAGAGGCCAGCCAAAGGCTATCCAGCCAGGCAATCGTGAGTGGGTGACGGTCATCCAAGGAATCAACGCTGCTGGTTAGGCTATCCCATCATTTATTATCTTTGCTGGCCAACACCATCTCTCTGCCTGGTATGAGGAAGCTGATATCCCACATGACTAGGCAATTGCTGTTAGTGACAATGGCTGGATGAACAATGAGCTAGGAGTTGAGTGGCTAAAGTACTTCAACACTTATACCAAGACTCATATTGTAGGTGCTCGTCGTCTGCTCATCCTTGATGGCCACGAGAGCCACCACTCCCTTGAGTTTCAAGAGTTCTACAAGGAGAACAATATCTACATGCTGTGCATGCCAGCTCATTCATCTCACCTGCTCCAGCCTCTTGACGTTGGCTGCTTTGCACCATTGAAGCGTGCATACAGCCGTGAGATTGAGGCTCTGATCTGCAACCACATCAACCACATCACGAAGCTTGAGTTTCTGCCAGCCTTCAAGGCAGCCTTTGATCAATCATTTATATCAACCAACATCTGTTCAGCCTTTCAAGGTGCAGGCCTAGTTCCTCTCCAGCCAGATGTTGTTCTGTCAAAGCTTGATGTGTAGCTCCGTACACCTACTCCTCTAGCTGCTCTAGTAGAGGCTCTCTGGGAGGCTCAAACACCAAGCAATATATGTGAGCTCGAGGCTCAATCAACGCTAGTTCAGAATCGTATTTGGCAGCACAAGAGTTCATTACCAGCCTCAATTATTGAGGTGATTGATCAGCTCAAGAAGGAGGCTAAAGTAATGATGCTCTCGGCTGAGCTGATGCGTGATCAGATTGCTAGCCTTGAGAGAGCTAATGAGGCAGCTATAAAGCAGAGGCAGTGTAAGAAGAAGCAGATCCAGAAGCATGGAGTCTTAACAAAGGGAGCAGGAGAGGATATACTAGCTCAACAAGAGCTTGAGGAACAGATTGCTCGTGAACAGCGTCAAGGTGGTGTGCGATCAGGACTCAGCCGCCAGGCTCTGGCGTGCTGCACAAGGTGTAGAGAGCCTGGGCATAACTCATGCATGTGTAAAAAGAATACTTTAAACACTGCTTAATCTACTCTCTTAATACCTCTCTATTATCTTATATAGTTGTTGAGATATACACCTATAAACGGGCACAAAGTTGGTGGGGTGTCCACTCGCTTGTAATGTCCACTCGCTTGTAAAACACGTTATAGGTAAAGACGAGAAACCGGACTTCAAAATTGCGGTCTTTGCCTCCCCCAAGCCGGACCAGGTTGACCTCATCGTGGACGCACAGGGCGAGGATGTCGAAGAGGGACGCTTGGAGATTAACTTGACTTCGAAGTCAGCAAAAGAATCTATG